AGTTGTGTGTGTGTGTGTGTGTGTGTGTGTGTGTGTGTGAGTGTGTGAGAGAGAGAGAGAGTTGGACGTTTGGTCAATTTAATGCGCATTTCGTCCACCCAGGCAGATGGAGTCAGAGTCACGGCAACAGAATGCAAACTGTGAATCCTTGTCCATAAAAGCCATCAACCCTGCCACTCCCATCCCATCACCCAAGTGAAGTCATTTTCAACAAGATAATCCCTTCTGGATCCTCATTATCCTCATTTATTTCCCCCCCCCCCCGCCCAACAAAAAGAATTCTCCAGAGCCGACCGCGATGTGCTGCCGCGTCGCATTTATGTAAACCCAGGGCGGGACGCTGATTGGATCGCGGGGCGTGTAGTCCGGGGTCGAAAAGGAGACAAAAAGGCTGTTTTTTTGTTACTTGTTGGTTAGTTAAATGCTCGACAAACTCGCCCGCAGCACCGCCAGCAGCAGCAGCATCATCAGCATCATCAGCAGCAACCAGCCAACCAGCCAGCCAGACCTCAAGGGCCGGCCGCTCCTAATTGCCGCTGGGTTGAACTAGTTAACTAGCTACGGGGTATTATTTTACTTTCACACTCTTCCTTTTCTTTCTTCCTTTCTTCCTTTTTTTCCTTTTTTTTTTTTTTTTTTTTTTTTTTTTTGTTGGTCCCTTTTTTCCCTTTTTTTTCTTCTTTGCGGTCCTTAATGATTTTCTACCTTTCTTTTCCCTCTCTCGCTCTTTTTACTGGATCTGGCAGATAATTTTTCTTGTCCTACGTTCATTCGTTGATCTCGTTGCTTTCTTGTATCTTATTGTCATTTATCTTTATTTTCCCGGGTTTCCGAGAGACATCGTTGGATCCGAACGGAGCAACCCGAAGTTGTTGATCAAGAAGAGCCTGTAGAGAGCTAGACAGACAGACAGACAGACAGACGGGGAGAGAGAGAGAAACTCACGGCGGAGACTTGCACGACAACCCTTCCTGCGTCTCTGTTGGACAGACCCCCGATCCGCTCTTTTTTTAACTTCCCCTTCACTTACCAAGGTCTTTCTTTTGATGCGCCCATCCGCCAACGAGCTGGCAATGTGTTAAAAGAATGCGAGGGTTTGCAGTTCTAGAGGGGGTCTAACATCTACATCTGGCAGTACATACATTCTACATACATATACGTGTACGATAAACTTCGAATCTAGACTCGTCGCACCCTTGGTTCCCAAATCGCGTTTTGTCTCCCCCCGTGATCGCCCAAATCGACAACGCTTGAATGACGGTTCGCCCGTTCAGCCGCCCTTTCGAGATCCTCCCTAACCTCCCGTTGTCACGGCCGACGCTTCGGAATATAAACGATGTCTACAATTTCTATGGATGGAAGCGAATGGTCTGGGATCAATCAGTATCAGTCCAGCGGCAAGTCGGAACCGTCTCTTTCGCCTAACCTCGCGAACCATGGCAACCTGCCCACGCCTCCAGCGTCAGGTGGCTTTTTGTACAACGCCCTTGGATCGAATCCTCCTGATACCAACGGTCTCGCGCCGCCCCTCCGCAGCAATGGCGCGCCCCAGAACCCTTCCCCTCCGAGCTCGATCGTGTCGGCGCCAAGATCGAGAGCCAGCGACGGAACGCTGTCGGACCCAAATAGCCGGAGACATCGCCGGATGGAGGAGATCCTATCGCAACATTACGCTCTCTTGAAGAGATTCCTACAGGGATCCAAGGAATACGACATGAACGAGATAAAAGCCGCCCGCGCACGTGATAAATTAAAACGCCTGTCGCCGATCCAGTTTCTCGATATGAGTACGGATGTTTACGACGAACTTCAACGCCGTCTGGCCGCTGCAGCTGCTAATCGTCCTGGCGCACCGCGTGTAGACCTCCCGCCGCATCTACTCCCTCGCCCAGAAGTTCACGCGAAGCGGAACCAGGCTCGTGAGAGGCTCGCCTTGCTGCACACACAAAGGTTCAGGGAACTTGCCATGGATGTGCTTTGTGATTATGAACGGAGGTACCCGCACCTTGTAGGCCACGATATGAGTCGTCACGGGAGTCCCGCGCCTAGCCTTCGGGGTCGTTACGGCCCTGGCCCCGAGCCTAACGGACCGGGTAGGCCGCGGTCTGCGCCACGAGGACCGCAGCCCGGTCCCGGAGGTAGAGGGTATCCGCCTGGTCCACCGGGCGGTCGATTTCCTCCCAGACAGGGATCACTGAGTGCAGGAGCAGGATTGGGGATCAATGGAGAGACGATACCGGAAAACGCGCCCTACCAAAAATCTTTCCAGAGCAATACGATCGTGCCGAACAAGAGTACGCTTGTTGAGGACGATGAGAGCGCTGCCTTCGATGACGATGACGATAACAGACGGAGTGATGCTTTTGCGTTGGATAGAGTCCTGGATAGCAGAAGAGGAACCGCTGCAACCCTTGGGCTTTCCGAACTTGATACCAAAAGGCTCCAGGATGCTGAAGCGCAAGTGTCGGCGTTACAATCCAAAGTGGAAGAGTTGGAATCGTTATTAAAAGGAAAAGAGGAGGAAATTGACGTTCTTCGCAAGAGTGAAGGAGACAGCTTAAATGTACTCTATTTCTCCCCCTTCTTTTTTTTTTTTTTTTTTTTTTTTTTTTTTTTTTGGCGTGGAATCTTTCGACTAACTCACTACCCGCAGGTGTTGGAGTCTGAGAAAAAGCAGTGGCAAGATCTCGAAAATGAGCTTACGAATAAATTGTCGGATGCCCAGAATTTGAACGAGTCTCTTCGGAATGAACTTGAAAACGCGCGACGAGAGCAGGAAACGATGGAAAGGGAAATGCAGGAACATCTTGAGCAGATGCGCCTGGAGCAAGAACAGCAGCAGAAAACCCGACAAGAAGCAGATGCTGCTGCTGCTGCTGCTGCGGCAGCCGCCACGGCCGCTGCAGTTGCAGAGTCAGACGGTGGTGAATGGAAAGCGAAGTTTGAGCAGCTGGACAAAGAGCATCAGGCCCTCAAATCAGAATTTCAGCAGCAGCAGGAAATCACAGACCAAGTGAGACAGCAGGCATTAAGCTCATTAGAAGAAATGAGGGCTCTGGCAAGCGATGCCAACTGGGAACGCGAGGAAAATCTGACACGAGAGGTTCACCGATTAGAGGACGAAGTGAAGCAGTGGAAGAACCGATACGCGAAAATGAAGACCAAACAGCGTCATTTGCGGTCTTCCTCTCTTGGATTACCCGGCCACATTCAGGATGCCACGGTTTTCACAAAAGGGCACGAACTAACGCAGCCTGGCGGCCTGGTCAAAGATGTGCATATTACGAAATTCCAAATGGCCATTGACGAATTATTACGGATTGCACGGTCAAATGAACCGCCATTGGTTCTGGAGCAGATGAAAGCGGTCGTCGTCGCCGTGCGGCTTATGATCCGGGATATCGAAGTGGCAAATGAGAAAGGAGATGATTACGGCCAACCCCGTATCAGAGCCAAAAATAGAGTGTCTGCTACGGCGAATAATCTAATAACTGCTTCGAAGAACTTTGCCAATTCAAACGGCATATCCCCCGTCTCTCTTCTTGATGCGGCGGCCTCGCATCTCACCGCCGCTGTGGTCGATCTCATTCGCAACGTTAAGGTCCGACCAACTCCCGAGGATGAGTTGGGAGAGGAAGATGAATTGGATAACCTGGCCCCCATGCAGTCGCCAGGCTACTTCAGCACGGCGCCCAGCCAGGCCAGATTCAGCGGGAATGAGTCCGTTTATAGCGCGATAAGTTCACCTTCATTACGCTCACGAAGCCAAACATATTCCCGCATCGCAAGCGCAAAACTCACGCGAGCAAGCGGCCAGAGCTTCGGTGGTTCTGGGACAAAATCCGGCTTCGGAGTCCAGCGAGGCTCTGATCGAGAGCTGGGAGAGCTTAGGGTATACCTTGAGGACCAAACAGAGGGCCTTATTCAATCGATCCAGGCCCTGGTGGCTAGTATTCGCGCGGAAGACGATATTTCCGTTGTCAGAACCCACATCACATCCATCTCCAACGTGGTCAAGAACGTCGTTTCTTGTACCGAGGACGCAATTGCCCAGCCTAATGCCAATCGTTCTCTGCGGGAGCGTGCGGGGCCGGTGATCGGGCTGCTTTCGAGTTGTTGCGACAAGCTGATAGAGGCGGGTGACCAGGCTAGCAGCCCAGAGCAGATCCGTGAGGTGACGGCCAAGTTGCCTCCGATTGCATTCCAGATTGCACGCGAAACAAAGGAGCTCGTGCAGCGGGTGGACCAGTTGGAGATGGAAAGTCAGGATGACGATGACTTTCGATGAATATAAGTGGTGGTAATGGGGAGTTTATCGAACCTTTCTTCAACTTTGCTATGCAGCCTTGCGATTTCTTTTCTCTCTATTCCATTTTGAGAGTCCCTATGCCCCCGGGGTTTCTTTTTACTTTAAGTATTTCTTATGTTCTGGCTGGGCTCTCTCGATTACTTTTTTCGACCTTCTGTCTTCATTTTATGCCTGCTTCGGACAATTTCATGATCTGAGCCGTCTGTTATTATTTGGGCTATGATATCTCTTCAGCGTTCTGTTGCACCTCATCAACACTGTTGTCTTATTCCCTAGATTCTACTTCTGGGCGCTATTCCCCTTAAAGTATTTGTTTCAGCCCATTATGCTATACTACCCAGGGTCAATGGCCCTATTTTTCATTCTCCTTTCATTGTCGTTTCCAGCTTCGCTTTTTCTCTTTAGAATTTCGAGTTCGTTGGTTACCGGACACTCTGTGTCACCGGGCTTTTAAGTGTATTTGATATCTTGTGTTCGATCGGACTAAATGTGTATTTATGCCAGCAGTGTCCATTTTCAATCACCGGGCAAGGCTTCGCGTATGTTTAGTTGCTTATGTTAAAGTCCAAGCAACGTTTTATTACATAATCAGTGCGTTTCGGAGTATATATCTTCCGAGGGATTTTCTGCACAACAGGTATTTTTCGGCGCGTTTCATCTGAACTGGCCTCTGGTGCTGTACATAAGCTACATTGATTGCTCGTTATCCTTGGAAAAAATCCACAATTATCTTAAGGTACGTAACAGCTATTTCTCTTGTTATTGGTACCGCACACGATCCAATTGCTATCAATGCTACGAGAAGTCGTTGATACAAGCCATCTGGCTACGCTCTGCTTTTCACGAACGGAGCTTCAAATGGAGCTCCAAAGGCCCCAAAAGTGCAGTCAATTGAGTGCCAGAGGTGCCAGAAGTGCGGGTAAAGCCGCCGCATATGAGCTTTTGTGCACTGCTGCCCCCGGAACATCCACTGGAAGAAGCATGCAGCTCTTGATCCTCAATCTCCCTCAACTTCACTCCCAGCAGGCGTCGTGTCTGAGCTAACTCGGTTGCCGTAGACGCCAAACCCGCTTAGGCCTAGCGCAATTCGTAACCCGGAAAGCAAGGGCCGATTATCTAATCTGCGCCGACAACCGCCGAACGATACGTGACGGAAAACAAACCGCAACAAGGAAAAAATGCCCCTCCTTGCGCGCTGCCCCACCTTGCTCTCTGCTACCCCGCCTCTGGTCACTTCGTCTACAAGTGCTGCTCTCTCCCGCTCTCTTCCTCGTTATTCTTCTTCCTCTCTTCGACCCATTGCTCGTCCTTCCATCAATCTCTCCACCAAGAAAAACTCCCAATTCTCTCGACAGTTTCACGCTTCCTCCGCAGCCATGACGATCAAGACTTTCTTCGACGTCGAATACACCGATCACTCGGGAGCTAGTAAGTTGTTCATCCTCCCTTTCACGCTGCTCCTTTTTTTTTTTTTTTTCCCTTTCCTTTTCCCGTTTTTTGTAATTGAGAGGTCCTATCCATATTTTTGATATATCGCCTCGTGAATTGTCTTTATGGCACTCCAGCGACCGCTAAGGGCAGAATCGCTGTTCACATCCCCCTTCCCAGCATCAATTGGTCTCACATTCCCTTCAACTTACTAATACTGCTGTTTTTCCTCACTCCAGAGAAGACTGAGCGGATCGTCTTCAACCTCTTCGATGAGGATGTCCCAAAGACTGCAGAGAACTTCCGTGCTCTCTGCACCGGCGAGAAGGGCTTCGGATACAAGGGTTCTTCTTTCCACAGAATCATCCCCAAGTTCATGCTTCAGGGTGGTGACTTCACTCGCGGCAATGTGAGATTCTCCAATCGCTAAACCACGCCGATTCAGAAATTGCAACTGACCAAGACATCTGTTTCCAGGGCACTGGTGGCAAGTCCATCTACGGTGACAAGTTCGCCGATGAGAACTTCAAGCGCACCCACACCGGCCCTGGTATCCTGTCCATGGCTAATGCCGGCCCCAACACGTAAGCTACATCCCTGGTAGACGAGAGACTTCGTTGATGTACGTTTGGATAGTCGTCGCTGACATCTTACCACTACGGCTAGCAACGGCTCTCAATTCTTCATCACCACCGAGAAGACTAGCTGGCTTGACGGCAAGCACGTCGTCTTCGGTGAAGTTGCCAACCCTGAGTCCCTGCAGGCTGTCATGAACATCGAGAAGACTGGCAGCAGCTCCGGCGCCATCACCACCAAGACCAAGCCAACCATCGTCGACTGCGGTCAGCTCTAAATCTGCCATTTGGCCCCCAAATCTTGAAAAGGATAGGATGTAACGGACGAAACGGGATACATATGGGGCGGCTGTTTTAAATAACGACCAAAAACTAAGACTACTTTTCAATTAATACGTATGCCATCCGCTGTGGCTTCCCGCCTTTTCCAAACCTTTCTCAGCTGTGCTTTACCGCCTTCTCTTGCCGTTGATACCGGGAGCTCTTTCTAGTTGTTGAGCTGATTTAAATTGTCCTCGACTTCTGAACGGGCACTCAGGTGGAAAACCTTCTCTCATAACTGGTAGTCTAGTCAATGATATGCTATAAGTTATGGTGTATTATTTGCTCTTTGGAATCTAATGAGTGTAATGGTGCAATGGAACAACCTCTCTTCCAGAAGTCTTTTTTTGGTCCAGATTTCTTGTCATGGTCGCAAGATTCGACACCAGCAAGGATGCTGCCATACACGTAGTCACAAATATTTGCTTGATGCCACTCTTAAAGCAAACCTTGAGCCAAATGAGAGACATGGCACTGATCTTTTCTTGATAGCTCACATTGAGTACATAATGGTACCACCACCTCCGATAGGAAAGTTGATAATGTGAGGCCTCAAATGATGAAATCTAGGGCGAGATGCTCGCTCAACTGCGCATCATGAGCATAGTGAGACGATGGGAACATTAACTGGATTTGATGTTTAGATTTCTATAGCATTATCTATGTGCTATATGGTTCCCTCACCATGCTGGGCAGGTGGCACCACAGCTTGATATCGACTAGGCCTGTGATGGGTGACTTCTGACCCTTGGGACGGTCGAATACCTTGTGAATCCCCTCCCAATTCCGCGCTGGTTGGAAATAAAATTCCCCACTCGTTCCTCTATCGCATGCGATCATCGACAAGAAAACAACCCGATGAGCCATAAGCCATAAAATATTCAGGGCTATATGCCACGATGGGCCGATATTTCTGCACCTGTCAATAGCAACAGTGATGCCAGTCGCCCCCCCACCCGGGTAGCACCAAGTAGGGGACACGGAAATGGGCAGTTATCCGACTATCGTTCAAAAAGTGGCGGAAGCTGTGGGGATCGCCTGAAGCGGGGAAGGAGTTTTCCCTAGGCTTGTCAAGAAGGGCAAATGGTCCCGGCGCCTTCATATCCCATTGGGCAACAAAAAGATCTTTTTCTTCTCTCCCACCCCACTCGACAGCGTCTGTATCACATCAAGGGGCGTGGATCGATCGTAATTACGTTGCTCCCTCACGAATCTCACCCTACTCTTCACGGCTCCATATCCATACCGGCCTGATAGCCTGTTTCTCCCTCAAGAACCCTCCTGCCTGCGCTCTTCAACACCCCATTTAATATCTCTCTCACCTGCTTACACCCGTCAATTCCCACCGCAAACATGGTCTCCAAATACGATATATGGACGCCAGACTCCATCCGCACGATAGAAAGCATCTGCTCCTCCTCTTCGCCCTCTTCTGAAGCACCCGCAACTGGATTCGTGTTTGCGACCGTCATGTGCGGCAATTCTAGTTCTTCGGGGCGAGATAGATCGAGCAGCGGATCCAAGCTTTCGTTTATTCCGCCTACTCGCGACTGGGCGAGTTCAGCGGCGGGAGTAGAGGCACGGCCACTCATGCCTACTGTGCACGCGCAGAGGAGGCCTGGCATGGGGATGCCGGCGTCCACCAGGGCAAGGGTACAGGCGTTTATGCAAGCAGCAAATATGGAGCCGTCAGAAGAGAGCACGGAGACATGAAGTGATATCGTGCTGTGAGGGTATATGTGAGTATGCAGGTGTGGTTGGAAAGCGTCGCGCAGAGCGGACGAGAGTTCAGTCGTAGCTTGTCTAAGTTGTAGGAGTCAGAATTCATTGTAACAAAGACAAAAAGGTCCAAGCCGGGTCTCAATTGGCGGGAAAAATGGCTTAAAATAGAATTACCTATCGCCTCCACCACCACCTCCTCCTCCACCGCCAGCCATCATGCTTTTCTTCTTCCTGTCAACACCCGCGAACCCGGCTATGTTTACAACCACTGAGACCACAGCTCCTCCCCCTCCACCTGCAGTTTCAGATCGCTTTCCCTCGGCGGGACCGTGGACATTGCATACCACGACGGTGTTCCCCATTGCGAGATATGAAGAACCGGAGCTAGCTGGGTTCGTGGAGATTTGAGCTTGGACAAGCCGGAGCTCGTTCCATCTTCGGCCATCGAGACGGAGTCGGGTGAGACGGTAGGTTGTAGAGGTATCGAGGGGCATTGTGACAGGTCCCGCTTTTTTCTCGGTGGGATTTCCAGCGTATTGGACGGATTGGCGGGCGCGTTGTTCTCCCCGTCGCTTCGCTAGGCTTTTTGTTTTGCGATTATGGATAGCCCTGTAAGATTCCTCGGATTATAGTCGGCCCGAGGACGGCCTGAGGTGTCTTCCACAGGGCTGCTATTTACCTTCTGACCGCAAATCGCGCCGTTGATCTACCATCCCCAAAGCTGCTTGACATTCATCGGGGCAATTGCTGTTATCCTTCATCTCTGTATGGCCTGCGAGAGAGCATGTTGATCGGGTAATCCGTCATAGAGAAGAAGTGTGAGCCAAAGGTGATGGATCTACCGAATCCGGCCACACTCTTTCGTCGATATCGGGTTGGTTGGGTTGACGGAGCGACACATTGATACCTGTTTTGTACCTTGTCCTCTTTTACCCTCTCTTCCGAAATGCCTTCGTCTCTCAGGTTTCATCAGAGAGATGTCAAGTTCGGGATTTTACCCTCAAGCCTTAACTACATCATGAGCATATAGTTAAGCGTGGTCCGCCACATCCACAGTATCGTTCTGCCTTCTATTGGATTGCCGCCAGCCGCTCTTTCTCTGTGGTTGGATTGCATGTGCTCCCTTTGCTTTTATGGCCTGGCCCTTCTCGTCCACACTTAGGCCCTTGAAAGTTCCAAGTGTCCTGGCTCGCCCGCAAGAATCCCAGGGATCACTCCGGAAGCATGATCAGCCTCGGAAGAGGGGGGGGAAAGAAGGCAGCATACGATGTCTCGGACGGTGGGAAGCTGCGATATCGATTTGGACTGCACAGATGCCACGCATAGCAGGCGTTGACCAGCCATTGCGGTTACTACCGTGCCTGGTTTCTCTAATGCTGGGGAGCCGCGACTGGGTGTCTTGCAGCAAGAGCGCGGGCAGCCAGCCGCCGTGCGCTCCGTCGCATCTTACGAGTAGACGACTGCAGCGGAAAACACACATGCTTTTCTCTTCTCTCCCTGTCCATTGACGTGCTATTCATTATAGTCATATCATCTAGAATTTGATTTGATTAATTTGGTGACAATGAGCCATTTAATGCATTTGAAACTTTCCCTCGAGCGGCATCTCCGGACCAAACCTTCCCGGATGAGCACGGTTATCGCCGAAGCTCTGCCGGAACGTCTTCCTGTTGAGGAGGAATGCAGCTCTTCCTACAGCCCAAATCACTTCTACCCCGTGCGTCTCGGAGAGATCTTCAATGAGAGATACCAAGTCGTTGCAAAACTTGGTTTTTCATCCAACTCAACTATTTGGTTGGCGAAAGACCTTCACCAGTGTGTTCCGTTCCATCCTTGCTCAAGGGCTATCACTGACGGAATAGATGGCGTTGGCGCTCGGCACGCTACGTTGCCGTCAAAGTAAATGCGAACCCTGACGATGTCAAGAGTGCTGCTGAAAGGGAATTCCAAGTCTCCCAGCTTCTCGAAGGGACCAAATCACGCCTCGTCAATAGCAAGCCGGCCGGGATTACGGGACACCAGTACGCCCACATACTACAAGACTATTTCAACCTGAATGGGCCGCATGGAGTCCATTTCTGTACCATCTCTGATCCCTTGGGAGAGTCTCTCGAAGATTTAAAGCAGCGCTTAGAAGGGAGGATTCCTTTGAATCTCCTGAAGGCTGTCACCAGAATGATACTCAGAGGCCTTGAGTTCCTTCACGCCGAGTGCCTCTTCATCCACACAGGTACCTTATCAGTTCAGAAGATTGTTCCGTGTCAATTTCCCGGCGCTAATAGATATCCAAGATCTGAAGCCGGAAAGCATAAGGTTAACTCTGGGGAGGTGGAAACCTCAAGCTGTCGCGCGGGCCGAACGGAAAACACCACGGCCTCAGAAGAAACTCGAAGATCGGACAATATATACTTCGCGCCAGGCCGGCGATCTCAACGACCTGGTAAGAGTAGTGATCACTGACTTTGGAGCTTCGGTGGCTGGAAATGACTGCTTTCGGTATGAGCATCTAATACAATCCCTTCCATACCGCGCTCCAGAGGTAATCATTGGGGCGGGATGGAGTTATGGTGCCGATATCTGGAATCTCGGCGTCATGGTATGAGTGAATTTCCTGCCAAACTCTGGAGATGACGCTAAGCTATCGCGCTAGATTTGGGACTTGCTTGAAGGAAAGAACCCATTCGATTCAATCTCTAGCATGAACGCAGCTTCAGCTAGGAAGCATCTTGCTCGTCTCATCGGCTTCCTCGGGCATCCACCAAACGATCTTCTTGCTCGGGGGTCAGATACCCATCGATATTTTGATGATAAAGGTAATGTTCAAACTATTCTCCACTTAACTACCCAGCTAATGGGTTGGTAAGGCAACTTTCTATCTCCCGAACTGATACCCGAGAGTGTTCCTTGGGAAGGCCTTCTTTCTCGTGTTCAAGGGAACGAAAAAGCCATGTTTTTAGACTTCATCAGGAGAATGCTGTGCTGGAGGCCAGGCGATCGAAGCAGTGCCGAGGAACTTCTTTTACACCCGTGGACGAGCCAAGTGAAGATTGAAAGGCTTATAAGTCGGGAGTGGTGTCACTAACTACTTCCTTGGAGAGTTGGCAATATTGAATCCCCTTCAAGACGACTTCTATGGGGCCTGTCCTTGGCAACTTTTCAGGGTATACCCTCCCAGACATAACAAACTGAAGCGCACAACTCACTCATTTATCTTCGTGCACAGCTTCCAGAGTGAAGGGAAATGTATAAGGTAAGTAATGGGATATTGCTGGATTGCTGGATTGCTGGATTGTTGGAAATAGATGGCTCTAATTAATCATAATCATGTAAGTCATTGAAGATATGGGAAAAGAAACATTGGGCCCAAAAAAAAAAAAAAAAAAAAAAAAAAAAGAAGAAAGAAAAAAAAGGAAAAGAAAAAAGAAAAAAAATTAAGAAAAGCGGGATAAAAAAAGGTACAATATTATTAATTACATAGTTACTGAGTAGATTAGAAGCTAATAATAATAATGTTATTATTTATATTGGCCCTGACAGTCATTGTCTACTTTCACCCTGTGACGTTCTAACTGACAACTGCATAAGATAGTCAGACTCTTAACCTGTGCAGGTTATCCAGGGACCAAAGAAGGATATTCTAATTTGATCGCTAAGTGCCATTGACACTACAACATCTGATAGAACCTTTCTGCACTTCAACTCTAAAACAGTGTACCTGGTACGAAAGACATGAGAAAAGCCCTGATGATCATTGCTGGTATTTGTGTGCGTCGCAGACACCAAAAAAACCGTTTAATATCTTCACATAGCGTATTCTACCATTTTATGATGAGTTACCCAAGGTTGCTTTACTTGCAGGCATATCTCCATTCTGGCCTTCTGGGATGACTCCTTTGGTGCATTCCAGGCTAGAAAAATTGGCGAAGATAAGAGCTGTTGATATTTATTAGCAATGATTCTGATCTGGTTTAATAGGCCTCCTGTCCATAATGTCTTCGTGGATTGTCCCTTCGATCCTGATTCTGGGAAATCTGGGCCAATTGGACTACAGATTCAAAGAACCGAAAAGACCCCCCTTGCTGTTATTTCAATGGTGATCATGCGGTTAGAAACCGCTGGTATAAGGACCCATCAAAAGCCGCCGAGGAATGGCAACAGGTTAACATGAGGAGGATTGAGGGGCTTCACGTCAGAGAGGCGGGGGAAGCCAGAGAAGAGGCGGCAGAGATTGGAAAACCAACCCACTCTGTACTCACTTGGGGAATCACGAAGGCTTCTAGAGGAAGTTGTCCTGGAACCAAAGCCACCAGTCAAAGACAGCGTTCTGCACCGCGGGATCAGGGAACTTGGCCCATTCACCAGCACTGCTGAGTTCCAGGACGCGTTGACAGATGGCATCTGCCCTCACACTCCAATCCTTCCCTGCAAAATATTTGGTGAAGAAGCCCTCCATATCTTGAAGGGTGCACCAACAAATCTCTTCAAATATCCTCTCTTCCACCAGCTGACACATCTGCACAGGTCCTTTTTGTGACAATGACATGGCTGTGTCAGCTACCTTTTAGATGACAAGCCAGACAAGCAGTTGACAGTGATCATAGCAGAGGTGGCCTTGCCAGACGCGCTTAAATAAGTCTGCCAAATCTGAATCCACATTTTGATCAGCAATTCATGATTCAAGGTTGAAGGCTGCATCCCCTCCCTAAAGAGCATGAAGGAGTTTTGAAAGCGCATTTTGATAGAGTTGGTCAAAACTATTGATGGCACCATTGGATGAAATTAGACATGACTCATAGATTTTCTCTGCCTCTTGCAGCAAGCTGCATAAATCATTGAGTGGGTTAAAGGGTGGTCCTTGATGATAGATTTCTCATCTAGTGAAAGCTCCACCATGCTGACAGTGTAAGGAGATCAGTTTTGATATTGATGCGAGGAAAACATATGGAGGTAGGTTTGGCTTGGTGCGACCATTTCATGCGCCTAGGCGAAACGGGCCAACCTTCAAGGTTTGTCGCGTGCCAGGTAAACAGAGCCAGAAAAGTTGGCTGTGTCAATATGAGCTTCGAGTATTCTTTGTCTCATTTAACAATAGTGTTGCTCGTGCTTTCGGTGTGGAACTAACATAAAGCCTGTCTTGGGCCGTATAGTATACCGTCGCTCTTGAATTTGCCCGACTTTTTACTCGAGGGGATCATTGCCATGGCCATGTGTTATTTCGGATTCAGCATTAGCTGGTACGGCGCTTCCAGGACGGACAGGGTGATGGATGAACTCTTCTCGGTTTCTGTAGCAGTTTCTTACCTGCCGCCGCACAAACACTCTTAGAACACGTATTCTTTTTACCTAGAGGCATATTTCACGTTCACATAGTCTGGTTTCCACAAAGATTCGTCGATTTGCTTGGGTATGAGAGGCTGAACTACATAGGGCGGATGCTTTCTGGCGATCCCCGTTTCGAAAATCTGTAAATTAGATCTACCTCTGATGATACCTCTGGGGCGCTTGAGACAGACATCGATACCGATGGGAGCAACGGATTCAGTCGCGCAGTTCGTGCGGGTAACTAATTAATGACTAAAAAAAGATCCTCGAAGACGCCATTCCGGGCGGTTGGACATGATCACGTGATACCGCATCTGACTGGAGAGGTCGATTTCGCGATTCGCGTTTCGCACCATCCCGCCTCTCGACTCAAGTCTTCAAACAGGGTTCGTGACAAGCCAGGATGGTCAATCACTGGGAAATAGACAATTCGGATGCCTCCACACAAAGCAGCGAAGATGATGGATTGACAGATCCTGTACCAAGGGAGGGACCAAGTAACATTAATATCAACGATGCCGTCGGGAACGGGGACAAACCCATCATTGACATATCCGACACCCCGAGTGCGGAAAATGATAATAATGACGATAATGATTTCTTCAGCGACGGAGAAACAACTTATTTACAGTTTAAGAATAGAAAGAAGCGGAAAAGATCCGCCGCGCTGAAACGGAATTCGAAACGTGCACAGAACAGTTCTATTGTCGGCCGCCGCGAGGAGCGGAAGGATAATGACAATGAGGGGCATATTCGTAAAAAGGCTCGCCAAATGAGAAGTTACGGTGAGGCGTCTTCTGAAGGTGAAGCGATGGAAGATGCTTTCCCCGATTATTTGCAAAAGCGTCGCTCTCAGTTCGACAAGAGGAGGGAACGTCTCCTGGAGGCGGGCTTGAGGTTACCGCCGGATTATGAGAGTGTTGAATTCTCGGATGATGAGCGCCTGCAGGACTTGAGAGAAAAGCCTTCGTTTACGAATATTAATCCCTGTCGGAAGTATGAGGACATACAACTTCCGTATTCATTGGGGTTGGTACCCGCTCCGATTGCGCAGTGGCTTCGAGATTATCAAGTGGAAGGTGCAAGCTTCCTTCATGAGCTGTTCGTTTACCAAAAGGGTGGTATCCTTGGGGATGATATGGGCCTTGGGAAGACGGTACAGGTTATTGCTTTCTTGACAGCTGCCTACGGGAAGACCGGCGATGAGAGAGATGCCAAGCGTATGCGAAAAATCAGGCGAAAAGGAGACAGCATTTGGTATCCAAGATCCTTGATTATATGCCCAGGCACCCTAATTCAGAACTGGCGGTCTGAACTTAGCCGTTGGGGGTGGTGGTCTGTTGAAGTATATCACGGAGACACGAAAGAAGAGGCTCTGCAATCTGCCATTTCTGGGAGGGTTGAGATTCTGATTACCACATACACTACCTATCGCATGAACAAAGATTCATTAAATATGGTTGAATGGGATTGTGTTGTAGCTGACGAGTGTCATCTCATGAAAGATCGCAGGTCAGAGACGGCAAAATCGATGCATGAACTTAATGCTTTGTGTCGTATCGGCCTTACAGGGACCGCGATTCAAAACAAGTACGAAGAGCTATGGACCCTCTTGAATTGGACAAATCCTGGTAAATTTGGTCCGGCTTCAACGTGGAAGACCACGATTTCCGATCCGTTAAAAATTGGCCAGTCTCATGATGCCACAGTCTATCAACTCAGCAAAGCCCGGAAAACGGCGAAGAAACTGGTGAAAAATCTTCTCCCTGCATTTTTTCTTCGACGCATGAAGACGCTAATCGCAGATCAACTCCCGAGGAAGAGTGATCGTGTCGTGTTCTGCCCACTCACTGAAACTCAGGCAGATGCATATGAGAACCTGCTAGACAGCGCCATGATCGAATGCATCAAGATGTCTTCTGACCCCTGTCCATGTGGCTCAAAGAAGAAGGCGGGATGGTGCTGCTATAAGAGAATTCCTGGTGGCGGACCGTGGCAGAACTACGTGTTTCCAGCTATTTCCAATTTACAGAAGTTATGCAACCACCTTGCAACGCTTATTCCACAATCGACTGACCCAGAAGAAAAGCAAGAGAAAGATCTTGCTATGCTAGAGGTTGCAGTACCCGATCAATGGCGCGAGTTGTATCGCACTCGAGGTTCGATCCTCAATTATTCGAATCCCGAGTTTTGTGGGAAATGGAAAGTTTTAAAGAAGTTGCTCAAATGGTGGCATGCGAACGGGGACAAAGTTCTCGTATTTTCTCACAGTGTTCGGCTGCTGAGGATGCTACAGATGTTGTTTAACCATACCAGCTATAATGTCAGTTATTTGGACGGCACAATGAGCTACGAGGACAGAGCTAAAGTTGTTGATGATTTTAACGCGGACCCTCGGCAATTTGTATTCCTCATATCCACAAAGGCTGGCGGTGTCGGCCTTAATATCACGTCAGCTAACAAAGTGGTTGTTGTCGATCCGAATTGGAATCCTTCGCATGACTTGCAAGCACAGGACCGTGCCTATCGTATAGGCCAACGGAGAGACGTTGAGGTATTCCGGCTGGTGTCTGCTGGTACGATTGAAGAGATCGTTTATGCCCGACAAATATACAAGCAACAACAAGCAAATATCGGATATAACGCAAGCACAGAACGAAGATATTTCAAAGGAGTGCAAGAAAAGAAAGACCAAAAAGGCGAAATTTTCGGTCTTCGCAACTTATTTGAATATAAGGATAATAATATCGTTTTGAGGGATATCGTCAACAAGACGAATGTTGCAGAGAGTAAAGCCGGCGTTGACGTTGTTGACTTCGAAATTGACGAACGAGGAGATGATGAGAACAAAACCCTTGAATCCACTGATGCATACACTGAGGATGCTACAATGAGCCAGTTAGCGGCCTTAGTTCAGGACGGCTCCGATGCTATTAAAAAATGGGGTGAAAAAGATCGCTCAGTTACGCCGGCTAGGCATGATCCCATTCAGGCTATCCTAGCCAGTGCTGGTGTGGAATACACTCACGAAAATTCAGAGGTTATTGGCTCATCGAAGATCGAAGAACAGCTCAGCCGTCGCGCAGAAATGGCCGCTGATGGCGGCGATATAGGCAAGGAGCAAGTATTCCAGGCGTCCCAAGGCGATGCCAGTTCATCGTCACTCTCGGCACTAACCCGGGATGGGAAATTGGTCAGGTTCAAGTATCATCCACCTGAGGACGTTATGAGGAGACAGTTTTGTAGTATGGCGAAGGAGAGTGGCTACGAGAACGCGACAGAGTTTGCGTTGGTGGTAGAAGGAATGACGCAAGCTGACAGGCGAGCGTGGCTAGAGAAATGGTACAAGACGAGAAGGGAGCTTTTACTAGGGGAGAGACCACGTACGAAGTCACCGAGAACTGGTATGAAGATTAACGAAGAACTGGGCCAAACTTGAACTGTGAAAGGAAGGATGACGGAAAGATATGGTGCCAAAGCTTGTCGTTGTGACCGAACAACCGTCGGCATGGTTCAAACCCGTGGTTTAAAAGAAGTATGGTACAGACCCGCCGCTCTCAGTCTGATACGGCCGACTAGCTTCCCTTGTGACCAAACGGGATGATTCCTGCTCGTATCCGTCGTTTGAAAGTGGAGAGAATATTCAATTTGAACAATTCACGTCTCGAGTTTGTATAGAAGGCAGTCGATCAAGACTGGGTCAGGTATTACCGCTGGCCTGGGGGCAACATCGAACCGCATAATACTCGAGTTAGGCCACGAACATAAGCTCATGACAAAAGTTGAGAAGGATGAAAGTTGATGTACAAAGGTCCGATTCAAGACACAGAAATAGTGGATGAGGAACGCGCTGTTGTGGTGACAGCTGTGACGGATTCACGAAGATACAGGGCCACGAATGGCATATCAAAATTAAATCAAAACCAGAAAGGCAATCATCTATCCCATGTCGTCACCATCGAAATTGCCCTTGTTCTCCCGAAGCCTAATGTAGGGTAAGAAAAATGAAACACATAACTCCATCGCTAGAAGACCGAAAATTGCACCAAAAGCCATGCCGCCGAGGATATCATAAATCAAAACCACGAGAGAGTCCATAAAGCAGGGAGATTAGGCCATTTCTCCTGCCACTTGGCAAGGATCTCGGGCACTTTCTCGTCAAATCCCTTTCGAGCTGCACCACCTCCCTGATCCCAGCCATCAATCCCGTTTATCTTTCGTTCCTGGTCGGCAGATTCATTTAATCGGTCGGCGAGGTCAAGGATCGCCTTGCTTCCAATCAATGCTTCTTCGTGGTTGTCTCTAATATCGACATTGAAGACATGAACCGGCCGATTTAGCGGCGCGCCGCGATTCATCAAATCATCCACCACGGCGTCCCAGCACTTCTCTTCACATGTGATAATCACATCAACAATACCACCTTCTGTCCCAAGGCTGCCTTTATCACCCCGTGATACATGATCCAAGCGTGGCATTCCAGGGAGCCACTCTTGGAAGCGCTCCGGTCCCCATTTAACACTCCTGTTTCGATCAAGCATGGGTAAGACGCCATTGTTCCTATATAACCGCGGGTCTTTGGATTGCAGCTCATCGTAGATTTGAGAATATGATACAGTATTGAAGTTATACACGTTTGGTTGGGTGATCGTCGGACCAGGGAGGCGGACCAATGACCCCGTGCCAAATGAGATAACTGGATATGACGAAGGGGGAGCGGCGAGGCGGTTGTGAGCTTCCATAGAGCGGTTTTGGTTTGCCGCGCATACTGTGCAGAATTTGAGCTTGTAGGATGTAGATGTGGGATGTGGAGGGGTAGAGGATGGTTTTTCTACGGGACCATCAGGCGCTTGGGATGGTGCTGATGGGATCGACTGAAGCTCTTCTGGTAGAGGTGGAGGCGGAGGAGGCGGCGGAGGGTTTGGAGTGACTGATCTTGAACTGGCGTTGCCAGCTAGGCGAGGATCTGAATTCATGGCAAACTGTCTCTTGCGAATTGGCCCTTTGAGCAATGGTGGAACGGGTGCGAGTTAAAGTCCTAGAGCGGGCTGGGCGCTTGGGGCGAAGGGATACCGTCAAAAAAGCTCTAAGAAAATGACAATTAGCAAGTCTAGTATTGCATGAACAATTTACTGATATGATTATGGAGTAATTATAGCTGGATCAGAGTGATTAAAGTTGCGTATAGTCGTTTTCTCCTCACGGATAGAGTAGGACAGCTCCAATAAACAGGTTCATCATACAATCGAAAGGGACAAAAGGGAAGATAAGAAGGATTTCGACAGTCTACCATACCTTAAACGCAACTGGATCTACTTTAGTCCGGAAATATTCGTGGCGGTTATCGATCCCTAGCCATGACAGTGATGAAGCTCTACGTTGGCGATGGTGGTGTTTTCGAAGCGAAGTCGAATTTACCTTTTAAGAACGCTGTCTGTCTAAGCGCGCTACCCCTAATCGGGTTAGTCTCATATAATAGTTATCACGTGGCGAAGGACAAATGCCCCAAGGTCGGGAACAAGCTGGGATCAAAGTCGATCACCGTCAAACAGCGACAGCCCAGAGGTCAGGAAGAGATGAGCGGCAAAGGGAATGGTGAGACTATAGATCATAGACGTTGCTTTGTATGGAGTATATGCTAGCTAACAGATCAATTGCGCTCTCTATGCAGGAAGCGCCCATAATACTCTCACAATCGGGAGTTTCTGGGCTCAGCGCCAAATACAATGCGCTTATCCCATGCAGCTTGTGCCTTCCAAGACCCTTGCGAAGCATCGTCTCCAAGGATCCAGCGCCGGGCAATCTCTCGCGCAATGTCATCCTGATCTCTTGATGCATCCAAAATCAGGAGGCAGCCACAAACCACATGCTCGAGGTCCCGCAGATAATTTCGCCCCTCCCATTTCAGCTGCTCCTTATCCTTGTTATTGACGCCCGTAAGCCACTGCTCCCATACCCGCTGGAGCTGTCGGGCTTCATTGTGGAATCCCTTGGAATTGGATACGTTTAGTGCATTTGAGACCCAAGCACCTAAGACTGCCAGGCATTGCGGACCCTCTCTTCCCTTGACTACGCGGACGACGTCGTCGGCCATGATATCTGTGGTTCCTTCCCAGATGCTCAAAACGCACGCATCTCTAAAGATTCGCGCAATATTGAATAGTGGATCTTCGTTCTCAAGATATCCAACACCGCCAAGGTTCTCCATGCATGCGCGTACTCCCTTAATTGCTCGAAGCGCTGTCTGCGCTTTGACCATGGGTGTAAGAAGGCGCAATAAGGCATGCGCCTGCTGTGGAGTTTGAGGAACGATGTTCGCTTGGGCTGCGGGTGTACGGCCGCTTTCTTGGCCCTCAGAAACGCCCAACAGAGCTGCCACGAGAAATGTCAAGTGTGTGTTGGCAGCGTATTTCACATGGTCTCGTGCCAATTTTCTAACATGTGCTGGCATGTCCATCAACATCGTGTTTCTCACCGCTCTCACCTTTGCATAAGCCTTCGATATGGCCAAGCCGCGGCCCCAATAGCTTACAGCCGCAATAGCGTTTTGTAATCTGGTTATATTCAGGAGGGTAGAGATCTCTTTGACTCCCTGGCCTTCCTTTCCGACTAGATATGCCCTCATGCCTTTGAGTTCCAATTCTGCTGTAGGTACGGGCTTGGTGCCCAATTTGTTCTTGAGTCGCTGAATCCGGATCCCGTTCAATTCAGTTTCGCTATTTCCTCCTCTTACTCTTCTGCGTAGCGGGGCGTAAAATGCGCTCACCGCTCCATCCTTGCTTGTTTTCGCAAGCAGTATGGTCATATTGGCGTCGGTCGCCGATGAAAACCATTTGAACCCATCAATGCGCCACGGCCCCAGCGGCATACCATGGGCATCCACGCCGTCCGTTTCCAGTTTCTCCGCCCCTGAAAGTTTTCTGGCTACCGTCTCCGTGCCACGGACATCGCTCCCTCCCTTACGTTCCGTCATCCACTGGCCACTTGTCCACGCAATGGACGGGTCGCGACTGGTAAGTCGTCTCCGAGCTTCCGCGAATATTTCTCCATTCTCTCCGTCTAGATGCCTCCCCAATAAGCAAGCTGCTCCATCCGTCATCGCACTGGGACACGTCACCATCGCTGCGCTTGGTACCCAGAGGAAAAATTTCAAGCTTTGGTATACCCGGTTATTCCAAAGGTCTCCACCACTTGCTTTCTCATAGCCACTCGCAACGATTCCCTCTTTGATGCCGATATCTTGAAGCGTCCGCCAACCTTCACCGGTAAATAGAGAATCTTGCTTGTTTTCCACACCAAAAGTTGTAAGAGGCTTCACAGATGGCAAGTTACGCTCTGCATCAGCGATGTGCGACTGGATCGGCTTGGAAAGCACCAAGTTGGAGAACTGCGTGAGGTCTTGGTACAGATGTTGCGGAATAGGGTTTGGAAGGTGAAGGGAAACCACGCGACGGAAGATGCTATCGTCTTCGATCGAGGGAGGGATGACCGGTGGGCTTTGGAAGAAGCCGGCGGTAGAGCTAGATGGCTCCATTCCGTGCACTTCGAAGTGGGTAAGATGCTTTGCCTTGTAGATAAAATCCTGATTAGTCCTTGCTGTAGCTCGACTACGGTAGAAAGGAACATTTATATCGGGATATCAGGTTGCATATGTTTTTATAGATCTTTTGAGCTTCTCCACACTCCACATTTGCTTCCCTGGGTTAAGCCTCGGCATGTGAAGCCATCTCGGTAACCCATAGTTAACTCTCTCCCATTGAACCTAATCGGAACACCTCACTTTATCTATAGCATTTGAGGCAGGACGGTCACATATTCATGACCACAGCCATGGTATGAGGCTGGCATCCTCCATTCGCCCCCTCCCACTTTTGTCTTGCAGAATCTTGATCATTCTTCAGCCGGGTTAAAACACATGCAGGCAGAGTGGAGCAACAACGGTGGTTGCCTCGGGGTTTGCCCGTTAGTCATCAGAAAATGCCGAGCACTCATCGTTTCATCGCAACGGTGGGGGCAAGCTGCGCATCGCGACTTTGACGATGCTGACGGTGGTGATGATGAGGTGCGACTCAAAGGCGCAATAAATTGATGGACAAGCTGCTGGTTGAAAGTCAAAAAGATGGATGCGACAGATGCTAACAATGGCTTTCGACCAGCTCTCATCGTAGTGGACATGCAGGAGGACTTCTGCTATCCGGTAAGTTCTGCAAGCTCTGATCATGCCCACACAGAACGCTCTCAGGCTGATTAAAACCGCCGTCTGTCGCTGCAGAATCCTCTTGGTGTTCGCGGTGGACGTGAGCTTGTCCCGTTAATAAACGAACTAATTGGGTACCCCGGATTCGTCCTCAGAATTGCGACTCAAGATTTTCACCCCGCGACCCACATCTCCTTTGCTACAAACCACCCGGCACCGAATAACAAACCATTCGAGTCGTATATAACTATGAAAAACCCCGCGCCAGGCAAGGAGTCTATAACCATGCCTCAGCGCCTGTGGCCCGTGCATTGCGTGCAGCACACGCCCGGCGCGGAACTACTTCCTGGGATTGAGAAGGATAAATTTGATTTAATAGTCAGGAAAGGGATGGATGAGAGGGTAGAGATGTATTCTGCGTTTGCGGATGCGTTTGGGAACACGGACTGTGTGGCTTCCGGGGGTGCAAGCGCGGACCTAGAGACGGCGCTGAGGGAGAACCAGGTGACGGATGTGTTTGTGGTGGGTGTCGCAGGGAGTTACTGCGTCAAGTTTACGGCTATCGATGCGATGGAAAGGGGATTCAATGCCTACGTGATTGAGGAGGGTACTAGGTGTGTTGATGAGGGGGACGTGTGGAACGAGACGAAAGCCGAATTGGCTGGTCACGGTGTTAAGGTTGTTCGGCTTGATGGGCCAGAGGTTGGAATGATAAAAAGAAGTGTGTGAGCCGTGTTAGCGAAAAATGGGCAGATGTTACGGGAGTGCTTCGAGGCCTCTTAACCGGCTACCATATATTCTTTGCAGCCCTCAGTATAGATGACCATTTTTATTATGAGAGTGGACTTTGCATTGGTCGGATACAATAACTAAGTTGACTAAATAATACCGAGAGCTGTCGTATTTCCGCGACGGAGCTGACGCTGACACCGATTTAGTGGTAGATTGGATAGGAACTTCACAAACCGATCAAATCGCATTGGCAGGCCTCGGTGGGACTGCCTCCCTGTCGCCGCGTCGGACGTATCTGCAAGGCTAAAAATGGCGCCCAACAACGCCTCCCCTTTGACGAAGAGAGATCGACATAATATTTGGTCCGTTTCGCAGCTTCGCGCGTTGCCAGATGCCCAAGGTTCCAACAGACACCGGAGATGCCAAACTGCAGTGCCCCCGCATCGATTCCAACAACCGATGAACTCCCGGCCGCCGCCACAGCGGTTACTCAGCTCGCCAGCAAAATAACGGAAACAGAGCCGCTGCCTTACTGGCTGGTCAACGTCTCGCCAGAGCAATGGCCGTCGGAATGTCCAGAATTTCTTCGGAACCTGCCAGAGAAATCGATCAAGATTCTTTCGACCCCTGACTACGAATACGTCCGGCAAGATTGGCAGCTGGTCAAGCAGATAACAGGTTGAAGCCTTCTCCTCCGCTGTGTCTGATTGCCCCAGGCGATATATTAAACTACATACTAACCGTGGCCCGCAGCAACTAATCAAATCCATCTGTTCCACCGTGTGCCGTCGGACCTGAGAAAGTATCTTGAGTACATGGCCAAGATTAAGGCGACTTATGGTTCTGTCCTCGACTTTATCATCAAGGAACGGCTGCGCTGGGATGACTTGAAACCCAAGAGTTTACGGCCTTTTGAGCATTCAGGTTCGTATATAGACGTCACTGTCTCAGTTTTGTGTATCTTGTTTTCTTCTTCTTCTTCTCGCCTTTTTTTCTTTTTCTTTTCTTTTTCCTCTCATTTTGATTCAGGCCGTCCGGGTTTTACATGTGCGCTGGGAGAGTGCTGCTGCTGACTCCCGGATGTGTGATAGATGACTACAAGGTTCTATATAATGACTGGCCATATGGGGTTGAAGAGGACATCGTACACTTGGTAGTGTGGACAAAGTTTGAGCTTGAAGATGATCCCGCGACGGATGATTTGACCCCTCAGGCCAGGAGAGAGATTGACGACTTTGTTGGACGGGTGTTCAGATCAAAGGTCCCGTCACAACAGGTGAGTTGACTGGAGCCTAAGAGCGATGGCCGTGGAGGCCTGGGTAGCGGCCAGGGAACACTGATTCTTCGCTCCAGGTGGTGTGGTTTAAGAATTGGAAGTCATTGAAGTCGGTTCATTCAGTGGAACATTTCCATATTATGCTAAAGGCGCCAGACATGGCATTCGTGCACGAGATCACGAATGGCGACGTGCCCCTGGTTGCAAAGGTCCGAGCTCAATAGGTGGTCGCATCTTACTGGCGCCCCAGTTGCTGTCATACATAAATTAGGACACGACAGTTTTTAGCCTCGTAGCCATGCAGATATCACAGCCAGCGCTAGGGAATCTGGACCCTGGACCGAGGATTTTGCCCCAACGGAAATTTAGATGAGGCTGTAGTTAGTTGGGTTCCGTCTTCCGCATCTCGAAATTTGGGCCTCGGGGGCCCGCTGGGAAGACCCCTAAGCTTCTGAAGATGGGCTTCTCAAAGAAAACCAGCGCCAGAAGGAAGAAGATTCTTCCCGCTCAAATCCACTGACAAATGCGATCTGCCAGCAGTCCCGTTTGCAACACCGACGGAGCGGCGACGACGGCGTGGAATTTGTGCAAACACCAACGGGTTCTAGTTGTTTAGTTCCGTTGCCTGCCCCTCATTTGATAATCCCGCAAAAGCTTCTTCTTTGCCAGCCCGTTCCTTTTTATTTTATTTTATTTTTTTTTTTTCAACAAAGAAAACAAAAGTGAATTGCACTGCTGCGTGACCAGCGCAGAGTTTCTCCTGTCTCTTGAAGCTCAATAATAACTACTAATTTTTCTCTCTCCTTGATTCTTCGTAGCACGCTGTTGCATTCCCTCCCAACACGCCTGGTAGTTGACCCTCTGCGTTTGTATATCTCTTTTTCTTCCCACTTGACCTCATACGTAAGAGGCATCCAGATATCATCGCCGACCGTTTCGCCACTGTCGTGTGTACATTTGCCTAGTCAACAAAAGCCGGTTCCTAGCAATTCGATTCCTTGATGTCTTGACGTGGTATTTTCGATTGTCTGAGCTAGATCATCTAAAATTCAGAACTTAACATTTGACCCGTCATGCTACCCAAGTTACCTCTGGGACACGGCCATCATACTCCCCGCCGGTCCTCGTTAAACAGTGCGTCTTGAAGGTCCTTGCTGTAGCCAGCCCGTGCGACTTCTTTTTTATTCATCTTCGTCGTGTCGCCAATTGGCATCATCATGCGGCCCATATCTGACACTTTATCTTCCTTTGCACCTGCAGGCAACAAGTCATCCACCGCGGATGAATCGAGCCAGCCTACCTCACCTGGCGTCGAAGATGAGACGGTCGTGGAGCCTGATCAAGGCAATGGTGAGTACACCGGCTCTCCTATGATCAGACCTGCTCTGCCACCCACAGCTGCTAATCGCCTGTTGCATTCTCGCAGTCCTGTCTCACATCATCTCGCAACTACGGCCCGGCGCAGACTTGAGTCGCGTGGTCCTACCCACGTTTATCCTCGAGCCACGTTCCATGCTGGAGAGAATCACAAAGTACGTCGAGTTGTTCTTCCCCGGTGTATACTTGTGGTCTTGCTTGTTGGTTGAACAGGGGCTGTATTAATGGGGGGATCGCTTGTAATAGTTTTATGGCCCATCCGGAGACTCTCCTCGACATGCCCAAGATCGACGACCCACTCCAGCGATTTGTATCCGTGGTCAGATTTTATCTCAGCGGCTGGCATATCAAACCTCCGTACGTGATAATGTCCTAGCTGATCTACGAGTGACAAGATAACGGACAACTAACCTCGAAAACAGAGGTGTCAAGAAGCCCTTGAATCCAATTCTAGGGGAAATTTACACATGTTACTGGGAGTATCCAGATAAGAGCCACGGCTACTATATTTCGGAACAGACGTCGCATCATCCTCCCAAGTCGAGCTACTTCTTCATGGTTCCCGAGCATCATATCCGTATCGACGGTACCTTAAAGCCGCGAAGCCGATTCTTGGGGAATTCCGCCGCAAGCATGATGGAAGGGATAGCTATTTTGCAATTTCTGAATCGAGGAACAGAAAAGCATGGTGAAAGATAGTACGAGACCCTCCCCTTCAGTAATGTCTCTGTGGCTTCGCTGACACCTGGTGTAGCATCGTTACACAGCCAAATATGTATGCGAGGGGAATATTATTCGGCAAAATGAAGTACGAGCTTGGCGACCACAGCTATGTAAGATGTCCTGAAAACAACCTGGTCGCAGACGTGGAATTCAAAACCAAAGGCTACTTCTCCGGAACCTATAATGCTATTGGAGGTTCGATAAAAAACGAAGCTACCGGAGAAATATACTATGAACTCTCTGGGTTCTGGAACGGAGAGATGTATATCAAGGATGTGGCTGTAAGTATGTTGCGACCCGGTTCCAAACTCACATGCTGATTGGGTGGACGTCCAGACCGGGAAAAGGGAGCTCCTCTTCAACGCCACAAATGCCAAGCATTCACCACCTCTCACTCGGCCTCTTGAGGAGCAAGAGCCACGGGAATCCCAAAGGCTTTGGCATTCAACAACCCAGGCCTTGCTTGCAAGGAATCATGAAGTAGCTACCGAAGAAAAGACAAAGATAGAGGACAGGCAACGCGAAGAAGCGGCTCAGCGAGCCGACAAGGGCGTGGAATGGCGCCCAAGGCTATTCAGGCGCGTCAAGGGTGGACCTGGTGGCCCCGAAGAAGGAGAAGAGGATCTTGACTGGATCTTGAATGCCATTATGTGAGTTATACTAAGAACCCTTGCCTAGCACAGTGCTGATATAATTTCAGTGATCCACAAGACCCAAAGTTGGCTACACGTCAAATTTTGGCGGTGGCGCCGATATTAAAAGGACAAGTCGTTAACCATCAGTTTGATATTCCCGCACACTGTCCATCATCTCACCATTCCAGTACACCCAACTCAGTCACCAAGGAGCAGTCTAATAACCTTATCGACCTTGGAAATGATGGAGCTGCAGATCAGCGAGAAACTACGAAAAACAATGGATCAGGAGAGTTGGTGGATTTGCTCAGCGGCAGTGGAAACGAAGGCCAGAAACAGATATCTTTAACAATGAGCCCTCTGCAGCCAACAATCAGCGACCAGGGCCACCCAACAAGGAGAAGAGATTCTGAATCGTCAGGCGTGGATGAATTTGTTGATGCTCAGGATTGAAATGTGATGTCTCGGATATGACCTTCAACAGGACACAACACTCTGAGCTCGCATGCCACACCCAGGACACGTTCGACGGTTTTGTTGGGTGCCGATAATAGTGAGAGATTGATATCTTTAGCGTGCCTCCCAATGGCGTCGCAAGATGTCAAAGAACTACATGAGTTATCATACCCAGGCAAGGTATTCCGATCTCCTCCTATTGGCCGAAAATCAGCCTATAAACCCCTAAAGGCACGCTCGGCCAAAGATGGTTATCTTAAATCGCGTAACGACATGGAAACGATTGACGTGCATTTTCTACATCAGATATTTTGATGAACATCTTACTATCTTTACGAAATTATTTACATCATGTGTGCGGTGAAAAGGGGATTTATGAAGTTCCAAGTTCAAAATTTTGTTTTTCCTTTAAAAAAAAAGGCATTCACAGAGCTTTTCTTCAGCCTGTGTAGACACTATAATCATAGACAATAAAGCTTAAAAAAATTAGTGTGATGGAATATGAGTTTTCTTTAATCTAATTCATTATAAGATAGCGGTGTAAAAATCCCTTTGATAAGCATCCCTGGGTATAGGTATCCTCAGTCCGTACGCGTTTCCTGGTCCTGGCCATCCAAAAACACCGACCCAAAAGGAAAATACCAAGCAAATAAATTTGCATCCAGATACGCCAGGAAGAGACCACAAACTCCAAAGAAGAACAACCAACAAAGCAAACCCACCGCATTATGTGTACAGCTCTCCTCTAACCCCCAAGCCTTTCTCTTGGTCTTTCCTTCTGCTAGGTCTTGACCCTCCAATCCCCAGCGTGTTGACACCCGCACCATCACGATCTTCTTTTTCTTCTTCGCCCAACAACTTCTCCTCTTCAAGCTCCTTCTCGATTTCCTCCCTCAAGCCTAATATATCTGGTGGAATCACACTCATTTGCACACTGGGCGCACCTTTGATGTATCTCAATTGCTCCATTGTACTCTGCACCAACGAGTCCAGGTACGCTTTAGAATTTTTATTCTCAACTTTCCGCATTTCCGACAAAGGCGGAAATAATGTGCAATCGGGACGGAAGTGATTGCGGAACTTTAGGGAGTCCGGAAGAACGGGGTTGAGGTCGCTTTCGGCTTCGAGGCAGATGGCTGTTTCGTAAGCCCAGAGCCGCGAGACGTTGCGAGGGGTGTAGCCACCTCCGCCGACGACGAGGGTGGGTAGACCGAAGGTTTTGGTGTATGCGACGCAGGCGCCGTGTGCGCGGATGTTAAGGTTGAAGCAACCGAGGCGATCGCAGCCAAGACTGTCGGCACCACATTGGAGGACGATTGCGCCGGGTTGGTAGGTGCGGATGCAGGGTCCGATAATGGCTTTGAAGAGGGCAATGTAATCGTTGTCTTCGATGCCGTCATTTAAAGGGACATTCAGGGAGTGATGAGCGCCGGGGTTGAGCGGATGTGAGGGGCCAGTGCTGTCTAAAGGTCCGGTGCCGGGGAAGAAGTTTTCCTTATCGTATTTGTGGAAAGAAACCGTGAGGACACGGTCTGTAGACCAGAACGCTTGTTCGACTCCATCGCCATGATGCACATCGATGTCGATATACATCACCCGCGGGTGGATTCGGAGTAACTGGAGGATTCCAAGAACGATATCGTTAACGTAGCAGAAACCACTGGCTTCGGACTTCTTAGCGTGGTGCAAGCCACCAGACCAATTTATAGCGATTTCAGATTGATTATTGCAAAGTTTACGCGCTGCATCTAGGGTTGCACCGGCGTATAGCGAGCAATAGTTATAGAGTCCATCGAAGACCGGGCAGTCGTCGCCAAAGTTGAAACGGGCGAGGGTCTCGACTTGGGCCGTTGACTCCATGTCTGCAGGCATCACTTGGGTGAGAAACTCGAGGTAGTCCGTACTATGGAACTCCGCCATTTCCTCGTACGTCGCCGACCGGGACAGATACAAGTCCATCGCGTGGTGCATGCCGTAGGCCAAAACGAGTTGCTTTGTGAGAGTGAGTCGCCATGGCTTCATGGGGTGATTAGAGCCGAAGTGGTGCGGTTCAACAGCAGGATTAGCGTGCCATGATACACGGTAGCCCTTGGGCCGTTTGACGATGTCATGTTCGACTTCGTTTGCAGTTTTGGCGTCAAGGGCCAATGTCTGATTTGGAATCGGTGGCGCGCCGTATTCTTGGACAATAGTGGATCGGGCCATGGCTATCTAGAGAGGTGAGAGACTGGGCCCAATGAAAGCGGCCATGAGACGAGGAGCCAGTATGCGACCACAGATGGCACACTTTTTTCGATGGATCGCGAGAAGAGATGAAGATTGATCGTGAGACGGTGCTGGCGGCGCGTTTTCGGTCTGGCGTTCTCTGCGGCTCCGGCCATCAAAATTGGGCGGCCAATCGCAGGCCTTCCCTTCTGAGGCACAGCGCTAATCCAAATATAGTTAGTTTGTTGGCTCGTGCACGTGGCGGCGTCAAGGCGGTGTGATTCTGCCTTGCGCCATCGACTTTCTTTGCCGGCGCGCCCATCACCTCTTCCACCTCGGAAATATCGAGACAGTCACGCTCTTCAAAGTAGCCTGGTGCTTCAAATTTGCTAGTTTATTTTGTATATCGGTGTATTGTTTTTTTGGGATCGCTCTGGTGATCTTGTTGCTTCGTTCCTCGATATGTCCCATACCGAGGACTGCTCCACGGTTCTGGAGCAGTTTGTCCATGATGGTAAGTCACTTCACAATATCTTTCACTGGTCTATTCTCTATTTAGAGCTAATAGTCATTCCACAGTGGCAAACCTTCCTGCTGAAATCAACCATTTGATGGAAGAAATACAAGCCAAAGACAAAATAATACAGGAGTGCCGTGCTATAATAAACTCCCGCGATGCAAGTCTCCAAAAATTCATCAAGCTCAATGGCAGCCATTCGCTCAACCCCAAGGAGGAATCGTACAGCAGCACCATACTTCAGAATATGGACCGTTGCCAGACATTGCAGGACGAAAAGATTGCGCTAAGCGAAAAGGCAGCAGTTATTCTTGACAGACACGTCAAAAAGCTGGACATCAAAATCCGCGACTTACAGAACGATGGCGTTCTTCCTAATGATCCGCCTATTCCATCTCTTTTCGGCACTAAAGGCCAACTTCGCGATCCTACCAAATCAATACTGTTTAACGAACCTGGTCAGGCCGACGCGTATCCCTCTCCTCTCAACCCGACATCCGGAAACGCGGCCTTGCCCGCTAACCTGCTTCAACGACTAAACAGTGCTGCGGCGGCTGCCGCTGGGATATCTGCTACGGGTGGAACAGGTGGAAGGAGTTCCGCCCCGGCCACCCCTGCAGCCGCCTTACATTTTCAACAACGCCATCGTGAATCTTCTGCTGGTGCGACTGAGAATAAACGGCGAAGGCTCAATGCCTCTATAGGGAATTTGCCGGCGGCCCCTTCTGGTCTTCGTCAATCATCCTTGGGCCCTGGCACGCCAAAAGGTGGGACCCCTGGTGCCTCCCGTGCCGGAAGCGCCGGACCTAGGGCGACGGCTGTAACAAAGAAAGCAACTATTAAAAAGGTCGCCCCTCATCAACAAGTGCGAAAGATCAAAGCCGGTGCCGCAGCTACAAAAGCTACCAAGCGCTCATCGAGTGGAAACGGTCGTTTAAAAGCTGTGTCTGCTAATGCTGGTTCGCGAAAGAGGTCTCCCGCCTCGGCGACAAGCGTCGTCGAAGAAGAGGATGAATCTATGCTTAGCAGCGCCGATCTTTCAGACTCTGAGAATAATGTTTCCCGCCGCCAGGCTGGTAGGGACTCTGACGAAGAGATGGAGGATGAAGAAGATGAGACAGGAGAGGATACCAAGGTTTATTGTACTTGCCGGAGTGTAAGCCATGGGGACATGGTTGCCTGTGACAATGACAATTGTCCGTATGAATGGTTCCATTGGAAGTGTGTAGGGCTCACAAGGGAGCCACTTGGAACATGGTACTGCGAGGAATGTCGGAAGAATTTGGGCAAGTGATTATCATTTGTCCTTCTTTTTTCTTTTCTTTTCCTTTTTTTCCTTTTTTTCTTTTTTTTTTTTTTTTGCAATTGACAGTCTGGCTACTGTTCTTCTGCGGATTGTCATTAACATGGGATGACGAGTTATGATGACCAACGTCTAATTCATTCATGATATATTTATTTTATTAAAGTGGTCAAAAAAACAGCTCCATGTATAATAATCCAGTACAGAGTACATGTCATTCATTTGTTCTGGGCATTAGACCTGACACTGCCCAATAGTTGTACAAACATCCAAAGCAAAATGTCAGTGTTTAAGTGTGAAACAGACTCCGACGCTATGCTGTATATTTGTGACACAAGAATATTATATCAAACTTTTTTTTTGTAGGGCTTTCCCGAGTTTTGTAGATTTTCTGATATCCGACCTAGCCCTGAGTATAGACATCACTGAGAGTTGGGTTTAGTTGTCGTCTCCAGAGAGTAGGCAGGGAGGTAAAAATGAGGAACGGCTAGCATGAGACGTGCGATAGCTAGGTTGCAGGTATTCGTGAAGCGAGGTCATATTAGTGTTGATGCCGTCGAATTACACTGATTGAATGCGTTGCAAAGTTGGAATGTGCGGTAGGAGATATCTTCGACCACATGAGTTAGAACGAAAGACGTCCTTGTAACCAATCCTGGAAGTATTCGCAGTTTTCTGCATTGACAGGTCCGCCTTCGTTACAGAGTGAGAAGACTGGGCATCTGCCACATGGCACTTCGGTCATGCCATTACTTCCGAGAGTAAGCTGATCTTGATCGGACGTGTCCTTTCCAGCGCCCGGGGCCTGGAGGCCGAGCTCCCGCTGGAGAGATATCTGATTAGGCTTTTTAACACTTTTGTAAGCCGCTCCATCACGAAGGGAGATTAGCCTGCCATCGTAGCAAAGCATCTCGAGAAGTTGCGCTATACTTCCTTCTCCTAATGTGACAGGAGTCAAGCCAGAAGCGTTGATCGCTTTGGTGATGTCGATTACGGTAGGATAGCCTCCGTATGAGGGTAGATAGGGGATATACTGGGATTCGGTGGACTTCGGGGTGTCGTTTTCTAACTTTCTCTTCTTCTTTTGCCGATCGGCCTTTTCGGTATCGTACCAACTCCTTGCGCTAACCCAACGCTCTATCCAAACACCCAAACTGTGTATAAAATCTGCATCCAAAACACCATCCGTGAACCAGGCTCCTCCAGTGACTTCCTCGCTCGGCTGCAATCCAGCCAGCATGTAGATCTTGCGCTGTGGGTATTTGACATTGCGTACTGATTTGATGTAGTTTTTCGCTTCGAGTGACTTCAAACATCGGTTCATGATAGTCTGGTGTAGATTGGTTCGCGCTTTAATTGTCTTGGTCCAGACGCCCTGGCGGCCGGTGGAATGAATGACATTATACACCAGGCGTTCTTCGGCATTGAGGTTTTGAAGTCTGCGATGAGAGCAAGACGATTAGCTTCTGCTTCTTTGGCTAGTAGCATGAAGACGCTGTGCCCAGACACTCACTTCTCTGCATCTGACTGTTCGACGACCTTCCAAGCAAGCCGATCATCTTTACCATGGAGCAGACGGAACAAGCTCTGGTCCACAAGGGACTGGGCGCATTTCATCAAGAGAGCAACATCGTTATTCGGAATAACGCCCAACCCCAGCAGGTCCTGCTGGTAGAACAGGTGATCGGCAGAAAACCCCGAAATACATTTATCGTAAAGAACCGAGGCAAGCTCATTTACGTCTTTTGACGCTTTGGCCCTTGGGCCAGCTGAAGAGGACGAGGCCATGTCGTGAGAGGAGGTGGATACAATGCTCGAACGGCCGAGCTGTGAAAAAATCACCGGGGCGGCAGAGGATAACTCATAGTCGAATCTCTGACTTTCATCCGAAAACGAGACTGACAACCTGTGTTAACTTGTGTCTCTGATGGTGCGTTAAACAAGCACCTCCAGAAGTCGACAGTCCACTGCCATCAACTCTTTTTTTTATTTTTTTTCTTTTTTATCTGGTGGAAGTGGGGGGGGGGGGGGGGGAGAGTATAAGCTTGGAGGAGCCAAAATTTAGCCACGGAGCGATAACAATAAATGTGCGAAACTTTGATCAGGTCCAAAAACAACGATGGAAGTAATAATCCGCCTGTTTAACCCCTATGGAGGGTGCTCGTCTAGATAGTTGCGAGCGCTCTATAGATACAACTACGGAGTATTTATTTGGAGTAAGCTCCATATACATATATATATATCTCCAACCGACAAGCCGCCAAGTGACTCTATATCTGTCACTATTCCGTGCCAGAGATGATTTTAGGATGACTCAACAACTGCGGAAGACATAGCCAAGCTTGCCAATTTATTGAAAGCGAGGCTGAGCCAGCGAGCGAGCTTTTTGTGTTGTTGTTAACGGCTGCGTGTAGACGGCATTATTTCAAGCAGGTCGACTTGGCAAAGAGTTCAAAAAGGCCAGACGCCAAAGTAGGGGGCGAAGAAGTCGACATGCAAGTAGTTCGCAATGATATTTTGGATTTGGTCGAACATGCGCATCTGAAGCAGGGCTGAATCCGCCCTCATACTGCTGAAAGGTTGTTGATTCGGCATCGCAGATATCCAGTTACTTGTCGTTGAAGCCGCCCATCGGCAACGCCACGATTTTCCTCCAGGAACAAGCAAAATACGGCCTTGATTTGGTCAAAATTCGGAACCCAAAGCGATATATTTTCACGCCGTAGATGTAGCAAGTTGGACTGCAGCTGCAGACTGGGTTCAAGGCGAGTTAAGTTCCGAAGAGTAGTTAACTAGTTACTTGTGTTTGGGTGGCCAGTCCCACAAGCATGAAGTCACCCCCCAAAGCAAAAGTGCTGCTCTTGGGAGAGAGCTCGAAATTTCCAGAAGCTCAGCGCAATACGCTCTTTTCCCACCATCCATCTTCCCCCATCTCCCCGCGTCTCCCTATCCTCTCTTCCGCAAAGCATTACATTTTGGCGCGACATCTCACACGGTCATATTTTGCATTTTGTTCTTTGACTACTCGACAATTTAATTTAATTTATGTCCGCAATGGCCGACGCTCTGAAGGCTGAGGGCAACAAGGCGTTCGCCGCGAAGGACTTCAACTTAGCCGTGTGAGTATTCCAACCCACGCTCGTCCTCCACACAATTCCCTACTGACCGGTTACGAGGCAGTGAGAAATTCTCCGCGGCCATTGCACTCGATTCCAGCAACCATGTCTTGTACTCCAACCGGTCCGGTGCCTACGCTTCCCTTAAGAATTTCGACAAAGCCCTCGAGGATGCCAAAAAAACCACCGAGTTGAAGCCAGACTGGCCCAAGGGTTGGGGCCGAAAGGGCGCTGCGATGCATGGATTGGGAGATCTCGGTACGTCCCAAATTCTCTCCGAGTACACCATTCAATCGAGCTAATAGGGTAATGTTAAATGTCAGTCGGTGCCCATGATGCATATGAAGAGGCTCTCAAGTTGGACCCAGCCAATGCCCAGGCGAAATCCGGTCTTGAGTCCGTGAAGCGGGCAATTGATGCTGAAGCTAGGGCAGACGGCGTCGCAGGAGACCCAACAGGTGGCTTGGGTCGGATGTTCAACGACCCGCAGCTCATCCAGAAACTGGCGAACAACCCAAAAACCTCCCAGCTCCTTGCCGATCCCTCATTTATGGCCAAGCTTCAAAAGGTAGCGCAGAATCCAAACAGCATCGGCGAAGAGATGCGTGACCCTCGGTTCCTTCAAGTCATTAGCGTTTTGCTTGGAATTGATATGCAGTTCGGAGCTCCTCCCGAAGGTGGTGCTCAACCCAGTGGACAACCAAAGGAAGCCGAAGAGGATGTCCCCATGCCAGACGCAAAGCCTCAAAAGGCGCCTGAACCAGAGCCCGAGCCCGAGCCTGAAGACGAGGAGACAATTGCAAAACGAAAGGCAAAGGAAGCAGCCGACAAGGAGAAAAATCTAGGTACAGAAAATTATAAGAAGCGACAATTTGATGCTGCCATTGAGCATTATAGCAAGGCATGGGAATTACACAAAGATATTGCCTACCTTACCAACCTCAGCGCCGCTTATTTCGAAAAGGGGGAGTACCAACAGACTATCGAGGCCTGCGAGAAAGCCATCTCTGAAGGTCGTGAAATGTTGGCCGATTTCAAGCTTATCGCAAAGTGAGTCTCACAACGCTTCGACCCGTGCCTTTCTCCCTGTGCTGACCTTTTTGAAATAGGGCGTTTGGAAGAATCGGTTCATCATACGAGAAGCTGGGAGATTTACCAAAAGCTATTGTCAATTACCAGAAATCCCTTACCGAACATCGCACGCCCGATATCCTTTCCAAGCTACGAAGCGCGGAAAAGGCCCAGCTTAAGGCTGAGAAGGACGCCTATGTTAATCCCGAGGAAGCTGAAAAGGCTCGTGAGCTTGGAAACCAGAAATTTAAGGATGCTGACTGGCCAGCCGCTGTTGACGCCTACACCGAGATGACAAAGCGTGCTCCTGACGATCCTCGTGGCTATAGCAACCGCGCCGCTGCATTGATTAAACTTATGGCGTTCCCCCAGGCTGTCCAGGATTGCGACGAGGCGATCAAGCGTGACCCAAAGTTTATTCGAGCATACCTGAGAAAGGCACAGGCACTGTTTGCCATGAAGGAGTACAACAGGTGCCTTGATGTGTGTACTGAAGCTGCCGAGCATGATGAAAGCGGGTCCAGTGCTCGTGAAATCGAACAACAACAGCAGAAGGCCTTGGAAGCGCAATTCAGCGCGCGTGCTGGTGAGACCGAAGCGGAGACTGCTGAGAGGATTCAACGCGATCCTGAGGTATGACTCGACTACGTCCCTTAATTAAGTTCCTATGACCAAATACTGATTGTGATAAACCTTTAGATTATGGCTATTGTGCAAGACCCAGTCATGCAAAGCATCTTGCAGCAGGCGAGAAGTGACCCCGCCGCGTTGCAGGAGCATATGAAGAATGCTACTGTTAGGATGAAGATCCAGAAGCTGATTGCGGCTGGCGTGATTCGTCTTGGCCGGTAATGTGTGTTTGCTTGCGGGAGAGCCGTCGGGTTCATGTTGACGAAGTGGATGACCTGATGAACGAATAACTCGATTGTGATCCGATGCAGTACGTACGTGATGATTATCTCTGAAGCCACCGATTCAATCAATAGGTTAACCTGGCCCTTAACCCTATTGTCACTCGTATCTACCAATGCAGATTCAAATACGCTGCTTAGCCTGGCGTCCCCTTCATAATATCACTATTCGGCGGGAACGCCCGCTAGTTTTGCAAAGTGAGCAGTGTTGCGGACTTTTCAGGCTTCAACTCTTAAATCAATTCACTCCACTCAAAAGTACAAGTTTAATTCGAAGCACTGGCTTTTGCAACTTGCACTATCAACGCTTAGAGGCCAAGATTTCTCATGTCGTAGTAGTGGTACTGTTGGTAGAGTCACCTTGGGCTGTATTCTTCTGCTAAGCATGCTAATGCCCCGTCTGATATTCTTGTCCAGCGGATTGTAAATTTTCTGTTATGAAACATTTTAAGTTGCTATGAGGTACGGAGTAGTTAGCTATCAATTCAATATTTTATGGTAGCATTCGTATCTTTGTGATTAGGGAATTGTTGCCGGCAAGGTCTTCAAATCACCAGCGCAGGTTCTTCATTTGAGTCTTGGATCAAGATTGTGAAACCTCATTAATGATAGTATTCCCAAGCCACCCAGGAGAATGTCGAAAATCGTCTGAATTTTTGTTTATTGAACGACATCGAATCCCGTGCTTCCTATACTCCATAGCTGATCCATGAACGTCTGGAGAGCTATAGTCCGTTCCTATGGAGCTAAATTGGGGCGTAACCCATATGTCACTTGATCATTGGATCCTTTGCGAAGAGAGTCCGTATTGCCAGCTTGTGTTTAGGGCCATGAGGCATCTGATGGTTTCGCGTCATTCAGTAGATCATTTGATGACATATTCGATCACAGCATTAGAACCATCCATGGCGAGGACTATTCTACTGCAAATTTGCTCCTCCAGAAGACTAGAGGGAGAACAAGCAAGTCAGCACTAAGTTCCTCCCTCCCCACGGCATACTGGCCAAGCAGTAGCCGTGCTGGAATGCAGTGGTATGGTGAAGCTCTGCAATCAACTTGGGTGCGGATGTCAGACAATACCGTGGAATGCCTTAAAGCAGATTTCCAACGGGGCAAAAGTTGAGGAAAATATTGACATGAGGGTTATATGTCAATATGTATGGTATGTGGTGGCTTGGTATCAATAAGGCGAGTTTCTCTGCGGTAAACTATGATCGAGATAAGATGGAATGCAACTCATTGGGCCGCAATTCGCGCCTTTTGAGGCCAATGTCATTCAAGCTCTGTTAACCAGTACTTTGTTCCCCTGTCTCAAAGTCAAACTTGGGACTCATGGGTACGGTGATGTTTTGACCGGTCGTAGAATACAGATAATTCGAGGCAAGCTTCGGGTCGCCAGCTTTCCATTTGAAAATACATCTGGCACTGGGAAAAAGAACGAATGAACTTCCAGAATCACTAACATTTGTGGACCAGCTGTCAGGGTTTGAAAGAACAACTCCGCACTGGCCCCTCGAATGTCTTCCGGGAGCTCTTCTGGCATCTTGTTGTTCAAGTTTCTGGTGAAGTGGTGTTTTTGTGTGTTGCCCAAGACAAGGCAAAGACTCACGCTTTACTATCAGCATGTAGTTCGATTGTCCGACACCGGTTTGAAGGTCATTTCATTTTCAGATCCCGTGGGACGGCAGGACATTTCCCATATTAGCACCGCAATAAAGGGCGGGTATGTTGCGGTGTGCGAGTTGCACCAATCCCAGACAAGGAAAAATCGATTGGAATCTGTGTTAAACACCGAAATCAGGTACTCCGTACATAAGTATCTCAGCTTTGGAGAGCGGGGGAGGGAGAGAGCCCTCTCTCTCAATCCAGGCTGCGCAATTTCCTAGAGGATCTGACGCGCAAGAGATGCACAATTGAGTTTGCTCGACGCGAGCTTGCGAATGTTGCGTTCTCCTCCCAGCCACTTCGACCGATCTTTCCATCTGATGGCCATGAGGATGTGTGATTGTGACGCATCTCGCCACACCTCCACACGGACGCAGTCTCTTGGCTTTTTCCAGCGGTTATCGGCATGACACCCCCGCCTCCCTGAAAAGTTGGTGCTCCGAAGCTCCAATGCAATTGCTGGCCCTGGTTACATCGTAATGGGTTCCCTGTCAGCAGCTCTCTCACGAATACGGAGGAGAGAGCAAGAGATTGGGGTTTTAAAATATTCCCTTCATCTCCAGAGATAAATGATCTGTCCTCCGGAGCAAAGATCTGTTGTGCCAACTGTTCAATCTGCACGTCAGTCTGGGCGGGCGAGCCAAGTGGAGCTTCAGATCCGATCAACGGAGTTTTTTGGAAACATTGTTTAAAAGAGGGCTGGCCACTTGGGAGATGAGGAACTTGCACGGCTCCATACGATCGTTTAGCCAAGAGGAGCTAGTCAATCATCGAGAAGCAAGCGTCGCCGCGTCGATGGGAAGTGGTACAAAACGGGCAACCCTTGTTTTTTTGGGCCTGCATCTGATAACCAGGCATCGTTCGTTTGAATTCTCGCCACATCGCGTGTTCTCCGCAGCGGGAGCTTGTTCCATGGAAGACGGGCAAAAAGGGCGTGACAGGTGAGAAACGATTTTGCTGCTGGCCAATTTTCCGGTCAATGGAACTCCTGTGGAGTCGTAGTGAGATTATGGTAAACTCAAGCAGTTTAGCTCAACCAGACAGACCCCGGCATGTGGACGACCAGTGGCTTGCGCAGGGTGGGATTCCGCTGGTTTCGCCATCCACACGCCGTAAATGCTTTTTTATTCTCGCAGGCGAACATCGCCATTTTTTTGCCTCCTTTTCCGGCTTCACACCACGCCGGCGGCTGTATCTTTCGCATGTATGTATGTACTCCGTACGAGCCCTGTATTGACGCCCCTCAAGAAACAACGTAACTGTGGCTGTGCAGATAGAGTGGGTGCTGTGCACTCCGTATGTGGCTGGAACCAGGTAATATTACGGTCAGGGTGGAGCAGACTTGGGCGACTATTAATCGTTAGCGTAATATTTTACATGGTTGATGACGATTTGGGGTTTCTCCGTCACTTTTTTTCTTTCCCCAGACACAAAGGGGAGACAGGAGTCTAAATAAAAAGGAAAAAAATTAATAAGAGAAAAAAAGAAAAAGCAGAGAAAGCCAAAGGAGGGAGAAGGCAGACAGAGAGATTGCCAAAGAATCTACCCTCCATCAAGCCATCGTTAGAGTGACGGGCGACCTGTCCTCCATTCCTTCGCTAAGCTAGTGAGCTGAAGTGCCCATTTGTCGTCATTTCTTTCTCGTCCAGGTCCGTTGTCAACCATTCCCTTAAAACGCCGGCTTCAGCTCATCCTCCCCGCATAGACATTGCTGTGTAACCACAAAGCTCCTACTCCTGGGAGATTGGGGAGTCCTAGGACAATTGCAGAATTGAACGCCTCAAGTTTAGCTTCATTTCGACTGCAAGACGCTGCATTCGAATGGGCATCTTTGTGTGGTCCAGCCAACCGATCTGTCTTGTGAACAATGGCGCTCGCTGCTGAGCACATTGACCCTCTCAAGGGTGACCTGAAGCAGGAAGAAGTCGTCCAGGCTGCTCAGGACCCCCAATCCAACATTCTCCCAGAGACCGCCGAAAGAATCCTCGTCGAGAAGAGCAGGAAGGCCGGCTCAGTGGCCTACCAATTCGATCCCAATGCGACTCCTGAACAAAAGGACGAGCAAGTTAAAATGGTAACCCGATCATCCCCTACTCTCTTTCGCTCAGGAAGCTCTCGAATTTGTACTTTAAACTATGGAAGATGCTTACAGTTCGCCGACAATTCCACCAGACCGTTCCCACAAACTTTCACCGTGACAAAAAGCCATCTCCGGTTGCTGTAACCACTGATGTCGTACGTACAGCCGGTCCCTTTTGGGTTTTATGCGCCCGATAATTTGTGTAAATGGCTCATGTATTTTTCTAGGTTAACGGCACCGCTGTCGACGGAAAGACACCCACCACGGGGAAGACAGATGGCCAGCTATCGCCGTTGCCCCCAAAGCCGAGCACGGAACTCTCCGAAGAGGAGCGATGGGCGAGAGACCGAACCGGGTGGGCACCCCGCTTTCACATTAAGGAGGACGAGGTGGATGAGGGGGAGATCCTTCTTGACCACCAGACCTTGCTTGAAAGTAAACTAGACGAAAATCTATTTGGAGGTATGCCCATGGACCTTCTGCCGTCTTGACAGTATATTCTCAAAACTGATCACTATGTATTCCATTAGATTGGTATCACAATGCCGGCATCATCGTCTTTGCTTGTCTTGCTTCATGGTTCATCGCTCTTATCGGTGGTGGTCTGGGATGGGTGTTTATCATCATGGCGGCCTGTGGAACTTACTATCGAACATCGATACGCCGTACCCGAAGGAATTTCCGAGACGATATCAACCGCGAATTGGCTAAGAATCGACTTGAGACCGATACAGAAAGTCTCGAGTGGATTAACAGCTTTCTCGTCAAGTTCTGGCCTATCTATGCACCGGTTATCGGTGACACGATCATCAATTCAGTTGACCAGGTTCTCAGCACGGCGACGCCATCATTTTTGGACAGTTTGCGTTTGAAGACCTTCATCCTAGGTACCAAACCTCCGCGATTGGAGCATGTTAAAACCTACCCAAAGACAGAGGTCGATACCGTTCTCATGGACTGGAAATTCAGCTTCACCCCAAACGACACCATGGACTTGACAGCCCGCCAGCTTCGCAACAAAATCAACCCTAAGGTTGTTTTGGAGGTCCGTATCGGCAAGGGCGTGGTCAGCAAAGGCCTTGACGTGATCGTCGAAGATTTCGCCTTCTCAGGTTTAATGCGAGTCAAATTCAAGCTCCAGATTCCCTTCCCACATATTGAACGTGTGGATGTATCCTTCATGGGCGAACCTGAAATTGACTACGTATGCAAACCCCTGGGAGGAGATCTTTTGGGCTTTGATATCAATATTATCCCCGGATTGGAAAGCTTCATCAAGGACCAGATCCATAGCAATATCGCACCCATGATGTATGACCCGAACGTCTTCCCCATCGAAATCGCAAAGATGCTTGCTGGAAACCCGGTAGACCAGGCTATTGGAGTCGTCGCTGTCACCCTTCATGGCGCCCACAACCTTAAGAACACCGACAAGTTCTCCGGCTCCCCTGATCCGTATGCGGTCGTTTCTATCAACAGCCGTACTCCGCTCGCTCAAACCAAAACTGTCCATGAAACTACGAATCCCAAATGGAACGAGACGCACTACATTATTATTACCTCTTTCACCGATTCACTCACTATGCAGATTTATGACTTCAACGAATTCCGGAAGGATAAGGAACTTGGCACTGCAACTTTCCCGATGGAAGGACTCGAAACTGACGCAGAACATGAAAACCTATCACTCGACATTATGGCGAATGGCCGACACAGGGGAACTTTACAAGCAGATGTTCGATTTTTCCCAGTTATGCATGGAGGCAAGAATCCGGAAACGGGGGTGGAAGAGCCACCACCGGAATTGAACACGGGTATTGCAAAGATCACAATCGAACAGGCCAAGGATCTGGACGGAACCAAGAGTCTTGTTGGGCAGCTAAATCCCTATGGAGTTCTACTTTTGAACGGCAAGGAAATTCATATAACCAAAAAGCTTAAGCGCACAAACAACCCCATCTTCACGAACCCATCAAAGGAAGTCCTTATTACTGACCGGAAAGCTGCTCGTCTTGGCTTGATCATCAAGGATGATCGCGACCTTGTCACTGACCCAATCCTCGGAACCTATCAGATCAAGCTGAACGAAATGCTGAAGATGATGGAAAAGGGACGCGAATGGTTTAATCTTAATGGTGCAAAGACTGGACGCGCCAAAATGAAAGTGGAGTGGAAACCTGTTGCTCTCAAAGGTGTCGTTGGCAGCGGTGGCTATGTTACCCCGATCGGAGTCATGCGAATCCACCTGCAAAATGCTAGGAACCTTAGGAACGTGGAAACTATGGGTAAATCTGATCCTTATGTGAGGGTACTTCTTTCTGGAATAGAAAAGGCTCGCACTGTCACCTGGAGAAACAATCTGAACCCTGATTGGGACGAAGTTGTGTATATTCCGATGCACTCTCCTCGGGAAAAGATCATTCTGGAAGTTCTGGACGAAGAAAGCATTGGCAAAGATCGACCTCTTGGGATGTTGGAGCTGTCTGCTGCAGACTACATTCGAGAGGGAGAAGACGGTCAATACGAAGTCGATGACGAGAAACAGCTTCTCTCAACCCCACTGCGTCTGGAAGGTCGTGGCAATCCTAAGGGCACTCTCAATTACACAGTCGCCTTTTACCCAACGCTCAACGTGGCAGACCCTGAAGAAGAAGAGGAAGAAGCCAAAACCAAGCAAGCTATGGACGGCCAGGTGGCTGTGGAAACCAGGAAGAGCATTGATAGTGCGCGGTCCGGAGCCACCGGCCCACCCCAACCAAATGGGGAGGACAAAGCCAACGGCCGCCCAAGCGCTGACACAACCAGGTCCAAACAGCTGTCTAATGGTGAAATGGAAGAAGCTGAAACCCCGACCGAAAAAGTTGTTCCGAAGATCCGCATTACATCACAAGATGTGCATAATTACGGTATGTCCTCGATTGGATGTGTTGCTCCGATGTGGGGGGTTCGTGGTGCTAATACACTCTAAATAGAATCCGGTTTGATTGTTTTCAAGATTATTGAAGGCCAGCTATCCCAGCAGGATGTCCATCTTGAGGTTCTAATGGATGATCATGCGTTCCCATGTTACACGTCTAATAAGGCACGCTCCAAACATATTACTTTCAATGATGGTCAGTACCGTTAACCTTTCAACTTTGAATAATTTGCTCACTTATAGTTTAGTTGGAGATGCCTTCGTCCGTGAACTTGAATTTTCAAAGATAACTCTTCGCTTGGTTGAAAAGTCCGATTCGAAAGGCGATGACGATCACGATGGCGCCATCGCGAAACTCAGCGGTCCGACGCTTACTACACTACAACAATGCTTGGTGCGAAAGTTGACATCGCCTGATTTCCTGACAAGTTGTCCAGCTAACAGTTACTTAGTATAAACCGACCGAGTTGACGCTTAGGTCCGGCGAAGGTGCCGTCAGCAAGGTTACAGTGAGCCTGAAGTATATACCAGTGAAGATGACGCTGGATCCTTCAGAAAGTATCAATAATATGGGCAATTTGCGGGTCGATGTTCTTGATGCCGCAGATTTACCGTCCGCAGATCGAAATGGATTCAGTGACCCATACTGCAAGTTCAAGCTTAACGGAAAGGATGTTTTCAAAACAAAGGTTCAAAAGAAAACGCTACATCCCGCTTGGAACGAGTGGTTTGAGTGCTCTATTCCATCAAGAATTGCAGCAGATTTCAAGGTTGATGTATATGACTGGGATTTTGGAGAAAAATCCGATTTCTTGGGTGGAGCTTCGATTGCCCTGGACCAGCTTGACCCATTCCGTTCACAGGAAGTGTCCATTCCTCTGGATGGCAAATCAGGTGCCATTCGACTGAAGCTCCTTTTCAAATCGGATTATGTGGTACGATCCAGACAAGGCTCTTCCACCTTCTCTGGAACTTTCGCTGCACCCGGGAAGATCGTCGGTGCTCCAGTGAAAACTGTTGGACTGATTGGCGGTGGGGTGGTCAAAGGCGCTTCATTCTTGAAACATGGCATTTTGCGAGTCCGCCACGGAAAGGAAGACTCTGATGCTTCTTCCGCCACCGAGATTGCATCCTCAAGCAATGGTGCTCCTGTTGTGCCAAATGTTGAAGTTACTCCCACGCCTCAAAAAGCCCCAGCTCTCGTTGACAGCTCACCGCCTCCCTCTACAATTGCGTCGTCTCAGCTGCACTCCCGTTCTCGAAGTACCGCCTCCCAGGTTGGGGAAAGACTTGGCTTCGGTGGTTCAGGTGTGAAAGGGGAAACTGGAATGGCGACGTTCACAGTCGTTTCCGCCACTGGCTATCCACCATCCACCAATGTCCGGGTTACGATTAAACAGTCTACCGCCAAGGGATGGAAAGAAGTCCATAAGTCCAAAGCTCACAAGGCGGGCTCAGGAAGTGCAGTCAATTTTGACCAGGCCCAAGAGACCTTCAGAGTGAAGGACGTTGCTGCAGATGTTCAGTTCCAGATCCAGGTCAAGGACCACGCCACCTTCGGCTCAGACCAGGTCCTCGGCGAAGGGATCTTCTTCGTGGACGATCAAGGCTCAAACGCCGGAAAAGAGCGCAGTGTCAAGGTCGGAAACGGGATGGTTAACATCAAGACAACATTCACTCCAGCGGATAACATGTCGATAAGACCAGGGACTTCGCACTCGACCGCCGGGCCAATGGACGAACCGGATAGCCCAGAATCAAGAAAGCCCAGAAGAAGCTTTTTGTCCAAGCGAGTCATCAGTTCTTCTGGTAGTTAAGTTAAACCATGACTGGAACTTTACTGGTGGGGTTCCTTTGCGCTTGTGTTTTGTTATATTCCTGTCCTACCTTTTTACATGCATACATTGAACCGATTCTCGGTCTACAAGTCATTTCGGGTTGGCGTTATGTTGATTATGGTATTTATAACCGATATATACAATTCTCATTATGTTCGCTTCTTTATATAGTCACTGTCCATGAGCTTTCTATATGTCCTATTAATATTTCCTTTTTTATGAACTCGGTCATACAGTACACTCCTGGCCCTTTGGATAGCTAATATTTTTTTTATCTTTTTGCGGAGGCCAAGTCGAGGCTTGATTTGGGCTCGTCCCACTTGCGTTTTGGATTCACCCCAAAATCGAGCGGTTTCTCCTTTTTCTGGATAATGAAACGGCCATGGTTGATAACATATAAGGATTTTTTCTTTTTAACTGAATCTTGGACCTGGCCCATTCATCTGAGGTTGTATCATCTTGATATCACGCACTCCGTAGATGGCTGCTCTAGCGAGGAGGGGAACAGCAGCCGCGAGGGGAAATGAGAGCTAGTTTCCCCACAACACACCCGCGGGTTCCCCGCAGCGCAAACCACGACACAGTGAGGGTTTGGGCGCAACCCGAGGTAAGGCGGGTGGGACGCTGCCGGAGATCCATACAATAGCTTTGCGTTTGTGTTTTGCAGTTTGGCAAATATCGAGAACTAACGAAGAGCGAGGAGAGGGCATCGTTCAAGCACAATTGCACCGCTTCACTTGAAATCTCCATGCAGACCTCGGCTAGTTGAGTACAAAGTTACATCCATGTAAATCGCGCCAGGCCTGCGTTGAGCTCCCAACGCCATAATCCCTGTAATCCGTAGCTAAACTACTCCGTACATACTCCGTACTCCCAGCCTCACCTCTTTTGTGAAGCGTGCATCCATCGAGCTCAAGTAAATCACAATCTCATACACAGAAAGCAATGGCCACCCAGCCGTTCACCATCTCCCCCTCCTCGCTCCGAACCCTCCAGGACAAAACCATCCTCATAACTGGCGGTTCTTCTGGCATCGGCCTCTCCACCGCCGAGCTCTTCCTCTCCCTCTCACCCACAAACAACATCTCCATCCTCGACCTCTCTCCTCCCCCTTCAACCTCCCCGCTAGCCAGTCCCCAAAACTCCCGTCGCGTCCACTTCCACAAATGCAACATCACCGTCTGGAAAGAGCAGCGCGCTGGGTTCACGGCGACAGTCTCGCGTTTCGGATACCTCGACGCGGTGTTTGTGAATGCGGGGATTGCGGAGTACGGTGACCAGTTTTTCCGGGATGAGCTAGACGGCACTGGGGGGTTGAAGGAGCCGGATCGGAGGGTATACGATGTGGATCTAGCGGCGGCGAATGATACGGTGAAGTTGGCGATTTATTGGATGAAGAAGACAATTGGAATGGTAGAAGGCGGGAAGAGGACGGGGAGTATCGTGATGACGGCGAGCCTGGCGGGATATTTGGCGAGTGCGGGAGCGCCGCTGTACAGCGCTGCAAAACATGGTAAGACCTTCTTTCATTTATTTATACCCTTCCATGCTTGTCATCCCCATTTTTTTTCTACTTTCGTTCGAATCTCTCTCTTCTCTCTTTTTCTCTTTTTTTTTTTTTTTTTTGGCGGAATTGTATCGGATTGTTCACTGCTCTGGCATTTCTCGATTAATAGGAATCGTCGGCTTGATGCGCGCGCTGAAGAATGATACGGCGACGTTGAATATCGCGGTATCTGTGGTCGCGCCAGCCATCACGGTGACGCCCATTATTTCTAGCCCTTCTAAGCGAAAGAATGTCGACCCGGCAGAATGGGCTGCTCACATGGAGAAAATTGGCGTCCCGATCAATAAGCCAGAGAGCGTGGCCCTGGCTGTTGCTCACCTGGTCGACTTGGGCATGAAGGCAAACGGTATGGGGCTGCTCGTGCAGAAAGATCGGATGGTGGATGTTGAACGAGGTATCGCCAAATCGCGAGAACAGTGGATGAGCAAGGAGATGTTGGACTTGTTTAGAGGGGGAAGAACGGCCCCTCTGTTTGAGAATAAGCTATAACTACATAGTGGTATGATCAGAAATTCGATCGATACCAGTTAACAGGTATTTTAGGGGATTTTAATGCTGACTGGGGCCAATCAATGCTCCAAGGGAGCCATAGATTATCATTTAAGTGTACGTAATCCATGGCAACCTAAACAGCAGGGGTCATACGTCCATTGCTGATTAGCGAAGTCATGATGGGAGTTTTAACCCAGCATGGCATTGTTCAGCGAGCAGACAGACGGCTTTGTGTTGCGGAATCCAATGATAAAATGGAACCATCAAAAAATATACACAACAAGTTCAGCTCTGGAAGCGTGAAAAGCTCCTCATGGACTAGCTCATTCCGACGGTCGTCAAAATAAGGACGACGTTGATGGGTTAAGTATGACCTAACATGGAAAACCTCATCTTAGCATTGCAAAGCTGTTTCTAGATTGGAAAATGCCAATGGGAAAGCTGGGAGTCCTCGGAAATACCTCCTCAGAGGCCAGATACAGCAAAATCAGAGGAGGGAAAATTGGGGGGGGGGGAAAAAAAAAATGAATGGTCACATAGCATCATAACTTTCATATACCCATATAGCATGTCTACTAGTCTTCTTATCCAGAGTTGGGTTTATACGTGATGACGTATTCCCCAAAAAGGGTGTTATAACATACCTCCTAAGTCCCCTAAGGTCACGAGAGTGTGTCTGGAGTCGTGGTAATGTTGGTGGTGGTGGTAGTGTCTGGTTTATCTTCAGGTTGCACGGGGGTGCGCCAATTTTGAGACCTGGCTGAATTTCCTTCCTCGCAATTCTGGCGACCAGTCGATCCCGGTTTACCTTCGTCCCATTTATCCCTTTCCGCTGGCTTCTGGGAGTTACCCCGAGCCTTGTTGATGTGGAGTGGACTCCCCCACACGGCGCTCACACCACCCAGGGTTTTGATGGCTCTGTCGGCCTCTTCAGCGGATTCGAGATCGACGAAGAGGAAATAATGGTTTCCTGGTTGCGATCGTTTGGAGGGATGCGGTGATATGACTTTACTGATTGCTTCACTGTTGAGCGAAAATGCGTCAGCGATCGAAAAAAAAAAAAAAAAAAAAAGAGATCAAAAAGAAGTGGGGAAGGGGACAAAGCAGCAGAAACAGATAAGAATCTCACATTTTGAAGCCGTAGAATAACTTCTGAATCTCATAATCTGCCGTAGCTTGATTTGGCATTCTGGGTAGACCTCCGACAAAGAGACGACGTCCTTCGTCGGCAACGCCGTACCAGTGGCTCGAGGCATCATCTCTTCCCCAACGATCGAATATGAATGGCCGCGGCCGCTCGTCTTCTTTACTTGAAGGGTCTCGCCTACCAAATTGAGGCTTTGGTGATTTCGGAATACCTGGTTTGATCTTCACCGGGCGTCCGAGCATATCCCTGCCGTCCAGCTCTTCCATGGCATGGGTTGCCTGTTCCTTGCTGGCGAGTTCGACGAAGCAGAACGAAGGGTTTCTCCCAGTGAAGGGGTCAATCGAGATATCAATCCGCTCTCTTTTTAAGGGAAAACGGCAGGTAAAAGCCAGTCATTAAGGATCAGCATTCGCTTCGCTCAAGGAAACAGGTGGGAAGAAAGTTGGCGCAAAAGGCGACTCCAACGCAGAAGCAGTGGGAGGACGGTACATTTGATAATATCCCTCTCCGTGCTTTGTAGCACTGTTGAATAACGCTTCAACGTCCTCCTTCTTGGCCATATATGGCATGTTACCGACGTACAGCCGTCTTCCTTCGGCAAACGAAGCGGGAACATCGGGGGCCGCCACCAGGACATTGGCACTGTTTTCGGAACCCCTGTTGGAAGGGCGGGCAGCGTTCGTAGGCTGCTCACGGTTGGAATCCCTGTGGCTGGGGTTGGTGCGATTGAAGCTGGGCTGCGGAGGTCGGGAGTCCCTCTCCCATCTCGAGCCGGATCCGCGTTGCTCGGTTTGTTGTTCGGCGGAGTCCTTTGAGCGCCAATTCGGAGAGTTCTGCCAGCGGCGGTTCACATTGGGCCTTGGGGTTCTGGGGCCAGGCTCATTGCCTTCATTAACTTGGGCCATTGCGCTGTGTGGACCTGTCTACCTGGTGAGGGGCTGCGAGTCAGCGCGAAATTGTCCTTGAGAGCACAGATATTGACGACAAAAACGCTTCACCACAGTGGCTTGGTGCAATTGAGGGAAGGTTTGGATTGGCTTACCTGGAAGAACAAGTTCCTTGCAGGCCCACAGAATATCAGCACACAAGGTAAGGCCTGTGAATTGGGGGGTCTCGGATGCTCGCCTTTCATATCTTTTTTTTTTTTTTTTTTTTTGTCCTTGGTTGATGACAAAGTCTGTGGACGCCAAGCCCAAAACCCAATTCACGATTCACTGGAAAGCGGAAGTGGATGGGTTAGCTAGCTAGTTAGTTGGCGTGTACTGAGCATTGGAGGCCAGTGTGTTCTCCGTAAATGCGTATGTAGTGTCTACGAGCAGCGGCAGTTCAGCTCCAGGGTTGGGCTTCCCTGGCCGTTGCTGGTTGGTTTGCTCTAACCATGACGGCTTGCTACTGCGGAAGACCTGGCGCAGATCAACAAGCAGATTCGATCCGATCGCTGTGTGAGCTCCCCTCGAGAGCGCGTTAACTCGCTAATTAGAGAGCTTAACTCGTCGACTAGTCTATTCTGCCACGACGACGGGCACATCCGCGTCGATCGTCGAGTGTACATCTGGCATTCGCTCCTGGAGGGAGATGGGCCAATGATGGAGGCAGCACGAAGCAGTCCGCTCAAGCGTCGACTGCGAGAGATCCACCGGGGCCAATTCGGCTGTGTCACCGGCTATTTATAGCAGTGAGCAATCCATCGTGCTCCTTGGGAGGGACGAGATGAATGAGAATAAAAGGTTTTTTTTTTTTTTTCCCCCGACTCAAGGGCGGGTAACCAGCTCGCTGGGCGTGTTCGCTGGCCAGGCCTCCCTTTTCCCCGGCGAGCTGCTACATAGGGGGGACCGGAAGCGGGTGTGCTTCGAAAAGGCGCCGAAGTGGACAACGACGGAGGGCAAATAATTCCAAGTAAATTTATTAGGATTGGAGGTGGGGATTGGAAACCTTCGCTGGCTGGATATCTGGTGGGTTTGGTTGATTTTAGCTCGTCGGAGCTCAAAAGGAAAAAATGGCCCAAAAATAAACAGCTCCCTTTCCCCCTTTCCCCTTATCGACTGGGGGGCTGGATTATAATACTTGGATTTGCTGCTCTGACCTGCTATTCTGCTCGCACAACGTCCTTCAGTCTCCGAAACCGACAGCGGTAAACTGAGCTGGTCTACGGAATACAGAGTTAAACTAGCTCGTCGTGTGTCGTCGTCGGGCCAAAGCTGGTTGCATCACAGTCCACATCCAAACCGCATATTAGTTTATGTTAGTTACATAGTAACACTTCACTCTTCCCCTCCCCAAACTGCAGCAGCAGCAAAGCAAGCAGCCCAGCTTTTCGTCCCATCAAGGTGAGTGCACGATATGCATCACACATCCCTCTTACCGCAATGCCGTGCAATTGGGGCAGGGCGAGTGCTTCAATCCCATTCATTCCGTCATCCCTCTCGCCGCCAAGACGCTGCGACGATGCGGTCATCTGTTTACCAAGCTTTCCCTGCTGGCGGCGACAAGGTCTTAAATCCCCCCCCAGGGATGCTGCCAGACTCGAATCTTCAACCAATTTTACCTCCCTTTTCACTCCCCCTGTTTTCAATTGCCGTATATAATCGTTTCGTCCTCCAGCAATCCCCCGGTAGTGTGCCATTCGTCCCGAGACTGACTTTGCTTTGCTCCCTCTGCCAGGTCTAACTTACTGCAGCTCAAAACGCGTCGATATTCTGAACCAGCCGCTCCTCCAAGATGGCCAGCAGGGCAATTCCATCGCACCTTCGCGCTCCAAACACCGAGTCTCGCTCCGCCGAGGAAAGAAGCTTCGTCAGGCATCATGGCAAGTCTCAGTCACACATGGTGAGTGCCAACGTCCTGCCGTCGAGGAGGTTTTCCCCTTGAGCAGGTCTAGGTAGTCCCTGGAGGACGGTGTTTACCTACCTTTCTGCCATCTCGGCCACCTCTCTGCCGAACAATTCGTTTTTCTGTTTCTGTCTCTCTCTCTCTCTTTTTTTTAATTTGTTTCCTCAGTGAATCTGAAAAGAAACATTGTTCGTTATGGGTGTAGTCAAGCTGATGAATTCCTGCTTTTTTGACAAGGCCTTCGAGCATGCCTCCACCAACGTCGCAGCTTCGCAGATGCGCAACGCCCTCAATGCCCTCTCGGACACCGTCAAAGACCCCAGTGAAAAGAAGCGTTTCGAGGCTGAGATGGACAACTTCTTCTCCCTCTTCCGCAGATTCTTGAACGACAAGGCCAAGGGCAATGTTCTCTCCTGGGATCGCATTGCCCCGCCTCAGCCAAACCAGGTTGTCGAGTACAGCGAGCTCAGCAACTCCGCTTCGGTCGACTACCTCAAGAAACTGGCCGTCATCAAGTTGAATGGTGGCCTCGGTACTTCCATGGGATGCGTTGGTCCAAAGTCCGTCATTGAAGTGAGAGAAGGCATGTCCTTCCTCGACCTCTCCGTCAGGCAGATCGAGTACCTCAACCGTACTTACAACGTCAACGTTCCTCTCGTCCTGATGAACTCCTTCAATACCGACGACGACACCCAGTCAATCATCAAGAAATACGAGGGTCACAACATCGATATCATCACATTCAATCAATCACGCTACCCGCGTGTCCTCAAGGACTCTCTTCTCCCAGCACCCAAGGACTACTCCTCTCCGATCACGGATTGGTATCCCCCCGGCCACGGAGACGTCTTTGAGTCTCTCTACAACTCTGGAACCCTTGACAAGTTGATCGAGCGTGGTGTCGAGATTGTCTTCTTGTCCAATGCCGACAACCTCGGAGCAGTCGTCGATATGCGCATTTTGGAGCACATGGTGACGAATAACTCTGAATACATTATGGAACTGACCGACAAGACCAAGGCAGATGTCAAGGGTGGCACCATCATCGACTACGAGGGCAAGGCTCGCCTACTTGAAATCGCCCAGGTTCCCAAGGAGCATGTGAACGAGTTCAAGTCGATTAAGAAATTCAAGTACTTTAATACCAATAATATCTGGCTGAACCTCCGCGCCATCAAACGCGTGGTGGAGGAGAGTGCTCTTGAAATGGAGATCATTCCAAACGAAAAGTCTATCCCTGCAGACAAGAAGGGAGAAGCAGATATTTCCATCATCCAGCTGGAGACTGCTGTCGGTGCGGCAATCCGTTTCTTCAAGGGTGCTCATGGTGTGAACGTCCCTCGTCGCCGTTTCTTGCCAGTGAAGACTTGCTCCGATCTCATGCTGGTCAAGTCTGACCTGTATACACTTCAGCATGGCCAGCTGGTCATTGACCCTAACCGATTCGGCGGTGCCCCACTCATCAAGTTGGGCACCGACTTCAAGAAAGTTTCAGATTTCCAGAAGCGCATCCCGAGTATTCCTCGCATCCTGGAACTTGACCATCTTACTATCAGTGGAGCCGTCAACCTGGGACGCGGCGTTACGCTCAAGGGTACGGTCATTATTGTAGCTACGGAGGGAAGCACGATCGATATCCCACCAGGGTCGATTCTCGAGAATGTTGTCGTGCAGGGAAGTTTGCGCATCCTGGAGCACTAGTTCATATGTGTGATGTCATTCCTGGAAGCGTTTTTGCCTTCTTTTTGTAGCAGGACGTTAGACATGCATGTCTTTCTGCTGGCGTTTTATTTTGCACCAAACTATTCCCGAGCGTGAAACTTGCTGTATCGACTTTTTAATACTGTATGGCTTAAGGAGGATTTGAGGAATTTTTCTTTTTGTTTTCTGATTACCATGTTATTCCAATGCATAATGGAACAAGCTCTACGAAGGGCTTAGATTCTGAAAAGCAACTATGGAGTATGTGTAGAAGAAATTCGTGGTTCAGTCTCATTCCACCTTTTTCTTTTTTTTTTTTTTTTTTTTTCGCCCACTGTTCTTTTTATTTCTTGTGCTAGGTATTTCATGTCGATCAAGCTGACGAGCAAGATGCCAAGGGGTTTGCCAACGTCATAATCCCGTTCTGCGTCCAAGTCGTTTCCATAACATGAACATACTCGCCACGCTCCTGACGACATAGTGTGTTGATAAGGCTGACATGGCCAGGGTAAATTTGGAGTTGATCATGCCGATCGTTTTGGAGGTCTGTTTGCCAGGGTATGGCCAGGGGAGGCTCTGATAAACCAGCCGGGATCCGGAGGCTGGAGGGTTGGCTTTCCGGTTGGAGAACGCCTTTGAAAGCCGATGTCCCTGTCGCGGGATCCATGAATATTCCCTAACTACAAATCAGGGAGTACGGAGTACCTCTCTCCCTTTTTCCACCCCACGCGGCAGGATATCTGGTTCTTTTCCTGATCTGATAAACGTAGGAAAGATGACAGAAAAGATAGAGAGAATACGAGCTTGGGAGGATCGTCGAGGCATCCATATCATATCTTTTCTGTCTCCCTGCTTCTTCGGCTTTTGCCTTCTCTTCTTCCTTTTTTTTTTTTTTTTTTTTTTCTTTTTCTTTCTTTCTTTCTTTCTTTCTTTGTTTGTTCTGACGTGATGTGGATCTGCTCAGAGCTTTCCGATTCCTGCCTAGGGAGCGCACAGTGCTCCGCATATCTGTACTACATATTACAAGTTTAATGAACACCATAACCCCCTTTTTCTTTGACTTTTAATGTCACCTAGAGGCGGCCAACCGGGTAAACATGATGTCTTTACACCGCATCTGCCTTGCCGTCCTGGCCGTCGTCCCGTGCGCTACAATAGCCGCCGAGATATGTGCCGGGATAACATGTCATTCTCCGCATCCAGGATACCATGGGGCGTTGCGGGATCCAAATGCGACGGGAAATTTTACGGTGGATGCGTTCTTATTTGATTCTGCAGATGGTGGCCGAAAAGTGGTAAGGGATGGTCGCGATCATGACCTTGACCATGAGCATGACGACGACGACGACGACGACAGGGACCGTGATGACTACGATGGTGATGGCGATGAGGAGGATTGGACCTGGTATACGCGTTTAATGGACGTAAATGTTTCGGAGACTGAGAATATTGTCCACCAGAGCTTTGAGCTGTACGGTCGATTGCGGATTGATCGCGGCCATGATGACCACGATGATATTGCAGTACCAAGGAACGTTTGTGCAGTGGTTTTGCAGCCGGTAGACAAAAAGAGTGAGAACGAGGACGGTGATTGTTCAAGTGTATTCCGGGATGATAAGATCCGTGAAATGGAAGATGAGCTGAGGAGTGCGGTGGGAAGGGTGCATGGACGGGGCCTCAACAAATCACCTTGTGGAGAGGTGACGGGTTTCAATTTTGATATAGCTGGAGGTAAGACTTCCAGCCCCCTTTTTTTTTCCCGCCTTTTCACCACTTATATACGTTGGGGTGTGGAATCTTGAAAGCTCTGACTCTTGTTGTGATCAAACGTCTTAGATATATTATCCTCGAACAACATCACCAGTGACATTAGAGATCGACGCCTCATCGCCCAATATCTCTTCATCCAGTCTTCGGATCCTCACAGCCGGGACGACGCGGGGTCATATATTGCCACGTTGAACAAGATAACACCCATTTTCCTGCTCTCCTACCCTTCTTCACTACCGACACGGAGCTGGCCTAGTGGTGATATGTCAGACCTGATTCAGACGAGGTTAACGTGTGTGTGGGCGCGAGATATTGCAAAAGGGAGCCCCGGCCCGGACCCGGGGCCAGGCCGCGGTGATGGTGACACTGGCGGAGATAAGGGTGGAGCAATGAGATTGGGAAGTGGTGAAGGAGCAAAGTGGACACTTATATTAGCCGGGCTTGGGTGGTTTGTTTCATGGCACTATTTTTAAAATTGCTTCACGCAAAGACAGCTGTTTGGACCGTACTTATAATGAAGATTGATTCTGAGCTGAGAGTGGTTATAGGGGAAAGAGAAATGCCATAAATGAAAGGTGAACCAAATGAAAGGTGCGGTCGTATATCAAGGCCACCACTGTGTGGCTGTCATACACAAATAACCGGAAAATAAACCAATAATGGACGTCAAAATCATCAGAAAGGGGAAGACGAAGGGTGCGAGTAGGCAAAGTCAATCACAGCATGGAAAAGATAGGAATCATGTCATGAATTGAGTTTGGAGGAACAGCAAAAGACACCTAGTCGAAATTTATCCGCGTTCTTTATTAGTATGCTTTTTCAACAAAAAGAAAGAAGAAAGAAAGGAAATATAAGGAGAAGAGAAAGAGGAAAAAATAAATAGGGATAAATGGAGCATAATGACAACAAACTTAATCCCGCTCAGTTCTATACCTTTTTCCTGGACCCGGAGCAGACTGATACGTCAAGCCGCCCGACAATGAGAACGGTCGTTCTACGGGGCCTCTACTTCGACTTCGCCCTGAGTTCCTCGGTCTCGAACTGTGACGAGACCGTGAGGGCGCATGATACGACTCGGATTCCACTCGAGGAACATAGTATCGGGTGTATGTAACACCACCTGGAGTTGGAGGAGTCCTGGAGTACGACTGATGTCGAGGGGCCCCGGCGAAGCCAGCTGCCGGAATTGTGGGAGGATCGGGTTTGGTGAAGTCAGGGTGGATGACGTGGTATTCTTTGCTCCGTGGTCGAATAGGTTTCGTGGATGGATTTGGGGGAGTAGGATAAAGGGCTCTGCGAGTTGGCGCTGATGTGGTGCGGTAGGTATAGTCATACTGAGGACGGGGTTCCTCCGTGTACCTCTCCTGATTGAGTTGATGGGAGTAGCGTCGCGCTGATACCGGTATGAACTCCTTTTGGATGTTATGACGTAACTCTTCCTCCGCGTCGTCTTCATCTTCATCTTCATCGTCTGAGGGATAGGCGTGGGCGTAGTGATATCTCCGAGAGTGCCTGTCCATTGGAAAATCATCTGATTGCATTTCTTGTCTTGGATCGTAGTCGGGGGCCCTGCGAGGTGATTTGCTCCAACGACGCTGACGAGAAATCCCGGCATCGTGGGGATGTCGACGTTGATCAGATGCCCCGGTGGGATATGGTCCATGCTGGTAAGGTTCTCGGAAAGGAGGTACACTCTCAGACTCAGATTCAGACGAATCCAAGGAGTCAGACATTACTTGCGACCAGCGAAGATCACTTGGTGTGCATGACCGACCGCGTCTGCCCTCTTGTGGGGGTGATGGGCGACCATGACGAAAAGACTGAGAAGAACGGCTCTCTCTAACTGCAGTGCTTGATTCATTTCCACTTTGGCCACGCCTTCGTGCATTCTCGTCCGGGCTTTTGCTCCGCGGCGATGGGTCATTAGGCATCACCCGGGTACTCGAGCGGGGATATGGAAAGTTTGGGTGAGGAGCCATTCCTGCAGGGACATTTTGCTCAGATCTCGAGGTTGGATGCTCACTAGAGAAGCAGTCACGAGTCGTACATCCAGGAGGGCCTTTCGGATTTGGTCGATTGTCTGTCGAAGAGCGGCGAGGGAAAATCCCAGTTTTGCTTGCCCAGAAGTCCTGTTCCAGCCTTTGCGTCACGGATTCATGCCACTGCACTATTTCAGGGTCTGGCCCACTTGGAAATACTGACCTTGGGATTTCCTTAGGGAATACTTCGCCGGTGGCGGGGTTGATGATATTGAATTTCTTTAAAGCCCCTTGCAAAAAGAAGGCATGCTCTTCAGGGCACAATAAAAGCTGAATCGTCTGCCACCGGACGAAACCATGTGGAAGAAGAGCAGGAATAGTTGGCGCTTCAAAGGCATCACACGTCGGCTGGAGTGAGTGGAAGCAACCTAGCTTTTGGTATATAAAGGATAGAGAGGCAGGTGGAGTGCGTAGGAAGATATCGTCGTAGTCCCCTCCAACCTGCTGGTAAAAGGTGGCGAGTTTGTCCGGCATCAAATCTCGAGTATTTGATTTAGTCAGGTTTGACTACAGCGTCAAGTGTCAGTTGATTCCCGAGTAAGACAGGTTTAGGATAATTACAATGAAGAGTGCAATGCCCAGACACAGTTGTTCAAGCTGAGGAGTAGGGCTTTTATCTGGGTTAACCAGATAGCTCCATTGCACCTGCGTCGGGTTGCCCTGCGATGCCATGGGTGCGTATTCGATCAATTCTAGCATTCGGGCAATATATCCGTACAGAGATCTACTATAGGACCCTCCGTATCTTATTTATATGGCTCGAAAGCGAGTCTTGCCCGTGCAACCGTGAAGACAAACGCACCGAGGTGGTTTGTTGCAGCGCCAATGTACCTGAAGCCTGGGAATCCTCCACTTAATGGACTCCTCGAGTCCAAGGATTTAGAGTGATAGAAGAAAATGCCGGACACCCAATTCTGCAATGTCAGCCGTACGATTCAGCCGGTCCGACGATAAATGCGGCGGTCTGGGTTTGCTGTGCCGCGCGACGAGCCTTTCTATTTTAGAAACGAAATCGATCAAGCACTCACGCGAGAAAGGCGGATAATCAACGAGAGCCACTGGAATGCGGTTCCATCAGAATATAATAAGTATATCTGTCTGCAATCCATGCCCGGGACGTGGACTGTTTTGATGTTGACCCCTCCACCACTCCGTCGGCATTGGCGCTGTGAGCGCGCAAAAGTGATTCGACGTCAAACAGGGCAGGGATGTTGATTCGGCTGGGCTAAAGTCCCGCCATGCTGCCTAAAAGCCAAGGGATGGTGACCTCCAATAGTAGTGCATCAAACCGCTCCCTCGGAAATGAGTTTCATCACCAGCGACAAGGTGCACAGACTGATAGTCGACTGAGCCGCCAAATGATGGCGAAGGAAAATGGCACCAAAAATCAAGCCATCCATCCCCCTTGTAAATAACGAAACTCCCTGAACCGTCAAGTACCAAGGCACATTGCTGGTCTCCTGGGAAGATGTCGAAAGCTACATACATTATTGTGAAGCACTCAGTACCATTCGCTGCATAAAACATACTCGGCGCTCTTAATTAAATTGCCCCTGAACCGAAAGCCGAAAGGCGTGCAATTCCGTCGCCTGAACGCCTTGCCCAAGTTCCATACCGCCCTATCAACATTGTCATCACACAAAACGGCCCGGACTTCCGTCATACGACGACATCACCAGAATCCAGCGTGGATATAATTTTAATGTCTCCTCTTACTCGGTTCCGGACTGGGGCTGCGGCTCACACTCCGCTCATCTCTGCCTCTCAATTTCAGCCATTTCTTGGTCGATAGCTCCAGGTCTCTTTCCAACTCCGCACTCGGTTCTTTACGATGTATAAAATTACAAAAGCCTCCACGAACACATCCCTCGCCGCTGTTTAATCGACAGCAGGCTTCCCTGAAATCCGTCACAGGTGATAATTCGCAGTATATGGGCCGTGCCGCGTACCAGCGGGAGTTTAATGCATCGCACGCATTTTGTGCAGAATCTTCATATTTGAACCGAGCGTAGACATTGCCGATCAGGTCTTAGAAGGAAACGGGGAGGGGTTAGTGTCGAGTGAATAGAAAGCCAAATTTTCAGAATACACGTACGGTCATTGTTATTATCACAGACAACCACCTCCTCTAGCTCGCCATATTTGCACATTTCGCACCAAAAGTCCTCGTAGAATGCGTCAAAGTGATTCTGTAGCTGGCTAGGGTTCATTTTGTTCTTGGGATCGAACGCTGGGTTCTGGTACATGTTCGGCAGGAGAATTGTTTGAGAATAGGATGGCTTCACATGCTTCCGCGAGCAGCGATCGCCATGGCGGCAAGCGCCAATTTTATAATAGAATGAGCAGTTGACCTATGATGCGCGTGAGCCAATCGCACTCGAAACAAGAGGGAGAGGGTGAAGTCACTGACCTTATCTTGCTCGGTACCGAAGATAGAGGCGAGATAGTTAGCCATTTTGCAGATGAACTGGGATCGTCGTTAATGGAAAAATTCAAGTACTCTCAGGACCTTTCTACAGGTTAAAAACTGGTCCCTGCTTGAAAGAAAATGAAGGATGAGCTGGTCGCATTTCATGAACGAGTTTCCATTCTTTCGAAGCTCCGGTGGCAACGAGTACCACGTGACAGGAAACTGATGACTAACTAACTCACTGACTAATAAAAGATACAGCGGCGTGAGAAAAAACTAACTAGAAAAGGTAATAGTCACTTCCATCCTTCTCGTCAGTCACTAAAGCCCACCAGCGAAAACTATCATCTTCGAAGCACGGAATGGCTGCAGCCTTGTCCCTTGCTCGTTGCGGGAAGAGGGTTGGGAGGCGCCAGTATTCCAGGGATGTGCCGTAGCGTTAAGATGCTGAAGTTCAGAAGTCTTCGTCATCGGAATCATCTTGTCGCCGGATTTTCCTCCACCATGCCTTGATCCGTTTGCGCACGGCAGCTCTCCAAGAAGGCTTTCGCAACCCGAGCTCTTTGAATCCCTCTTCCTTTAGAAGCTCGCCATACACGTTGATAATTAAGTCGCGTAAGTTCTTGGCCGCTCTGTCGACCGCGTCCCGAGTCGTGCCCACGAATTTGATGGTAACTGCGCCATCGTTGTCAATCTCCACTTCCTCTGTCTTTCAGTCAGCTGCGGATATTTTATTGAAGCTTTCTTGGATTTCTTACGGTGCACTTGCGCCAACTTGCCCATTGCTTCGACTAACGCGATTCGAGTCTGGACTTCGCTCAACATCACGGCTGGTGTCATTCTTAGCTTGTCTTTCTTCTCGCTTATGAGTACACGACAGGTGATGCTTACCCGGCAACTCCTTTAGAGATATATCCTTCCAGAACCCTCCTTGGTGTACTGGATTAGATTGTTATTCGCTGTCCTCTCAGGCATTGCATGAGGGGCCCGTCGGTTAACTTACGCATATTCAACTGCAATTTCGCCGCGATAATAGTTGATAGCTTATCCTCGTACCACGTTATCATCAACTGACCGTCACTCTCTTTGAATGCCCACGGGTGTGCATATACACAGTTGCTTCCGTGGTACGCTGGAGAGAGAGCCCTAAAATCAACAACTCTTGTCATCTGATATGGCCCTGCAGCACGGTTTGCGTATCCAATGATGATGCAAGGATTTTCGGACATGTCGGTCCCGAGGAAACCCCAATTATAACGATGTCCGAAAAGGTTCGTTCTGAAAAAGGAGCCAGATGAATAGCCGGTGAGCACAGGCTCCATTGCGTCCATGTCGTGGGTGAATGTGCGTCCATTCCAGAATTCGTATAATTCACGTTGGATCGCGTACCAAATTCCAACACGGGCCAGGTATATATGCTCTCCTCGCTGACCCCAAAGGTAATACCAAGTGGCATATCGGACTGCGCAGAACGTTCCAAATGCGGGCTCTTGTTCATTGAAAATTAGCTGCCCATGAACAACGCGGCGGCTGACGACCTGGCCTGTCGTCTCATTGACCTTCACAGGAGCAATCCCGGTTCCACAAAAGACTCTGATTCTGGTTCCGTCTTCCAGCAGGTCTTCCATGTGTTTCTTATACCATACCCACCCGTGGCCAGGAGGAGCTGCTTCGCATATACCTCCCTCTGGAGTGATTATAATTTTGCAGTCCGTGTCGGCTTCAAAAATCCTTTCTGTCTCGGTTAACTCAACTAGCGGAACTGGCAGTCCTTCTGGAAAATGCGCCAGATCAAGCGGATTTCCACGCTTGTCGATGACGGGAGCGCTCGTGTTGGGGATTGCCGCCACTAGTTCACCGTGGGGACCTTTCTGGATCGTTTCACCAAACGTGAAAAAGGGACGTTCATTAAGAAGGGCCGACCGTCCGTTCGTTCTATATTCAGCCACGTCGTAATAGTCCGCCAGACTGCCGAGAATTCGGAGAGACGAAGCACTCGGTGGCACCATGGCACGGTATTTTTCCCTCCCTGCGGTGACAATGATATCACCGCAAGGGAGTGAAACCCTCTTAGTGGTATGAATTGGCACAGACATCGCCTTCCTCGGAGGTTAGCTAACGGCTTATATAGAGTATCTGGCCCCCCTGCGCTGCGGAGACTCACCTTGACTCTGTGATATTCTACGGTTGAAAGACTTGTTCTGGTTGATGAAAGACCTGTTGATGGTGAACTCAGATCTCTTTGATTGATTAAAACAAAGATGGTTTCTTTTCAAGAATGAGAAAACGACTGGAAAGGAATCTCGCTCTTCCAGGTTCTTTGTGGGAGAAGAAAATATGAAAGATAGATGGAAAGGTTTGAATCTGGAGACGCGTGGGGGGATGCTTAGTTTCTGGATACCTGCATGTCCAGACTCTCCTGTTTACAGCAAGCTGTCCAACTCACATTTCCGCGTGCTTTACAGCGTTAAAGTGACGGAAAGGCATGTTGTTTTTCGCGGCATCTCCCTTCAAAGACAGGTAAACAGAGTTCACGTGAGTAGAGCTGGTCAGAGAGGAGAACATTCTTCAAGCAGAACATATATGCTAGGTTTGGATGTTCTGTTTCATGCCACTCTTCTGTTGCCTCACAGGGGATGCCATTGTATGGAGCCTTTTCATTGAAGGATGGTCCTCTGGAATATTTTAGGTACAGGAAGTACTTTCTTTTGCAGAATCTTGGTCTGGACTTTTTTCCTGGATGGCTGTCATTCTTGTGGAAAAAGGGAGGGGAGGGGAGGTTGACTACTGGCCTTGAAATGCCTGTGGTATCCGTATCCAGAAGACACAGATCCAATAACGTGGTATCTGAAGGATTGATTCAAAGGTCTATATGGCCTGCGCATTGAGAATTCAAAAGCACTGGTGACCAAAACCTGTCGCCCCTGCTGACCGGATGGAACGGTTCCCTGATTTACAAGCGCAACGCGAGACAATCTCATGTGTTTTAGCTAGTACTTAGGGCTGATTTCTTGCGTCTACTAATGTTTGGATGTCGGGTATGCTATAGACTACTGAGCAGTGCACCTCTTTTCGCCTTTTCCTATCGGCAAATTCATCCGGCGGGCTCTGGGCTGGCGCTGGGGACCCGCCGGTCAGCATCGACTTGCCAAAACGGGGAAAGCGCCAGGTGGTTCTGATCAGATAAGAGAGAAAAACCTATAGGTCACGTGCCTTAGTTAATCTCTTGACCGGCTCAAATTATGTAAGCAGCCGGTTTTTCAGGGGGTTTGAAGAACGGCGCAGAGCCGCCCAGAGAGCAGTTCTGGAGGACGACGGGGGTGGAAGCGAAGTAGTATTGTCGTGTACGGAGTACATACATAGATTTTGCACGCCATCCATATGTAGCTACTAATAGGCTATTAGCCGTGTCCAATGTGATCTGCTGGCGGCCACGCCCGCGACTCCCAATTACTGCGGTTAGCTAGCGCCAACTGTCGGAGATATGGGGAACGATGCGCGGTGATTGGAAGCTAAATTGGAGTTCCCCGCACTCGGGTTCGGCGCAACCGGCCCAGTCGCCTCAATGAACACGCCGAACCCAGACGCTCGTTCCTTTAAAGAGCTCCCGACATTCCCTGCCCAGATCTCCTTCTCCTTTTCCTCTCCCATGCTCACGCACCTTGTAGGAAGTCGACATCAAGTGGCGGGCTTCCCATCACCAACCACCCAAAATGCTTCCTCCATTCGATTACTTCCAGCATCGCCGGGCCCGGTAAGTACCAGACCAGACAAACAATGCACGCGATCCCCCTGTCGCAAGCTAATATCGACCGTCGTACAAAGGGACTGGAAACAGAGACAGCGTGCACAGCGCTTTGCCAGCCTCCCCGCCGCCTACCATTCCGCATTTACGGCATTCGACAGATCGATCATCGACGAACCGATCGAAGATCTTGTTGAAGGTGTACAGAAAGGAGCCGTGTCGGCACGGGCTGTCCTGCAGACATACGGCAAAGTAGCCATCAAAGCTCAAGAACGGACAAACTGTGTAACAGAACTTCTCCTTCCCGAGGCCGAGAAATGGGCAGACCAAGAGGTTAATCTGAAGGGCCCCTTGGCAGGAATTCCTGTCTCGTTGAAGGACTCCATCCATGTGAAGGGGTTCGATACTTCGGTTGGATATACGAAGAATACAGGCCAACCACTGGCCGAGGACGGAGGCTTGGTTAAGCTGCTTAAAGATGCCGGTATGGTAGACTTGCTTGTTCAGCTTTGATGATCCGGACCCAAAAGATTTTGATTTGACTAAGAGTTACCGTTCTCTCTTCACAGGCGCCATTCCATATGCAAAGACCGCTCTCCCGATAACTTTGTTGTCCTTTGAGTCTACAAACCCTCTCTGGGGGGTGTGCCGTAACCCCCATGTGCCGGAGTACTCTCCTGGAGGCTCGAGCGGTGGTGAGGGCGCTATCATTGCCATGGGCGGTCGCATCGGCGTGGGCTCTGACGTTGCCGGTTCTGTTCGCGTACCGGCCGCGTGGAGCGGAGTCTACTCCCTTCGATGCAGCACTGGCCGCTGGCCCAAGGCTGGCGTGAACACTAGCATGGCGGGCCAGGAAGGTGTACCAAGCGTTTTCAGTCCAATGGCACGAACATTGAATGATTTGGCCTATTTTACACGCTCCGTCATTCATATGAAACCATGGAAGTACGATAACACTGTACATCCGATTAGCTGGAGAGACGAGGAGGAGGACGATGCTCGGACCAAAAAATTAAGGATTGGTGTGATGAAGTCTGACGGTAATATTGATCCGAATCTTTGTTTTGAATTTTCAGGACATAAGCTAATAGAGAACTGCACAGGAGTCGTCCCACCTACGCCTGCTATTGCTCGTGCAATTGACACCACTCGCGCCGCCCTTGCTGCTGCCGGCCACACACTCGTCGACATCACACCGCCGGCAACAGCTACTCCACTAATCGGACTCAACCTCGCCTCTCTCCTTCTCAACTCCGATGGTTGCCAGACATTCAACTCCCACATGCGCACCGGCGAAACCTCCGATCCCGGTGCTGACAAGCTTACCAAATATGCCAACATGTTCCGACCGTTCCGCTACCTCTACTACCTCTATGTCCGCTACATCAAGCGCGACAAGGTCTGGGCCTATCTCCTCAAAGACTTTGGTCTCAAGACATCTACCGAGCTCTGGAAGCTCGTTGCACAACGTGAAGCCTTCCGCGCAACCTGGCACAACTGGTGGAACGCCAAAGAGCAAAGCTACGACTTCATCCTCTGCCCCGTCAACGCCACTCCCGCCCTTCCCCACGGTGCTATGCGTGACGGTTTCAGCTCTTGCGGCTACACCTTCTTATGGAACATGCTCGATTACTCTGCCGGTGTTATTCCGGTTGGTCACGTCGATAAAGTCAAGGATGCTCTCGTTACATCTGACGGCAAGCCAGCTAAGAAGAATTCGTATAAGCGTGTGCTTAAAGATCTTGGTGCTGACAGCACCGTGTCGAGAGGAGCTTGGAAATATTATGATTCCAATGCTATGCATGGACTGCCTACCGCTGTGCAGATCGTAGGAAGAAGATGGAACGAAGAGAGAGTCATAGGATACATGGAAGCGGTGGAGAAAGCGTTGGAAGACTACAAGGGTCCCACTGGCGAGGGAGGAAAGTATAAACTGCTTGAGGTTTGACGTCATTTGTATATCCGTGTAAGAGACGGCGGATATGCGCTTTGATTGAGCGCATCCTTGTCCGCCTGGATCTATATCTGTTATTTGTCTATATCCCGTTGAGCGCGATCAACTGAGTTTATCAATCAAGTATTTAGTATATACTTTTTAAGGTGGTCTAGCCAAATATCAAGGTACTGTACATGAAACTTTTCCAGCAGAATGCTCTAAAAATGTACAGCCATTCATGCTGTCTCACCTCGCCTCAGAGCGCCGTAAGAACCCTCTCGTCTCTCATTCAATGCATCGGGCAGTAATCTCTCGGTCTCACCAACATCGCAGGCGGCGGATCCAACTCCCATCCACCGCTTATTTCTCCACCAAACGAACCAAGCTAATACGCCGCCCGCAATGGCCCCAGCCCCTGTCAATCCAATATTCACCGGCACAGGATTCCCATGCAAAATTTTGATCGTTAGAATATCTAAAGGACTCTGTAAAAAGTTCCCCAAACCTGCAAGAAAAGTAATCAATCCATACACCTTTCCGAATGTTTGGAATCCAAATACTTTTGCGGCGTAGTCGGATACGACGGTGTAGAAGTACGGCCGGTAGAGCACGAAGAGGGATATGTTGGCGTACGCGGCGGGCAGGCTATCTGAGATGCATCCTAGAACACCGACGAGAGTTGCACCGGTCACAAGGAGAGTGAGGATGCCGGGTAGAGTGCTCTGATCTAGGATGATTCCTATGAAAGGAATAGCGATAAGGCCGCCAAGTGGTAGGAAGAAGTCAAAAAGGTGGTTCAGCTGCCTTGCTTGATTGGGTTGCGAGAGGAGGTATTCATATTGCGGATGGATGGTGGATATAAAGTAGTTTGTGCGCAGCATTTGAATAATAGTGAAGAGGGTGATAAAGATGAACCAGGGAGAAAGGATTTGTTGAAGGGAGGAGGAGGTATGCATTACCCCCCAATTAGGGTCAGCTTTGAATGCAGGATTTGAGGTATACTCAGAGCCCGATTGGGAGTTTTGGTCGTCGATGAGAGCGTTGATTTGAGAAATTAAACGTTGATATCGTGGGGATAAGTCCGCGTCGCGTTCCTGGGTAACTGCAGAGTGACCTCCATTTTCAGATTCGTCTTCTGCAAGGGTCTCTTCGGCATGTTGGAGTAATTCTCCCACAGTGCTATAAGATCGAGACGGCATCAATAGGACTTGGGAAGCAAGAATGAACGCCGGCACAATCAAATATATCAAGAACAAAGTTTTGATGGTAAAGAAACCATTCGCCTTCCCGTGTACCAGGCGGAATAGCAAAAATAAGGCGCTCGAACAATCAAATGCGCCCGTTAGCATGGACAAAATGAGGCCAGCGTGTTTTGGAAATGTATTCGATAGATGGAAAGAGGATATGAATACGAACGGGCCACCAATAGCGAAGAGAGCATAGCCCGTTAAACGCCCATCGTATGGAAAATGAGCGGGATTTGCAAATAGAAGTGCACCAAGAGCAATGAAGATACTTCCAATAGCACCAGGGACTCGAGGACCGCAGGAGTCTAATATGCCCCCAACGGGCAGCGCACAGATGTTGGTGACAACTGCGGCGACTGTGAACATGAGATTCAAGCTAGAAAAAGTCAGCCGCTCCCATCGAATCGATGAAACTAGCCCGGTGTTTAATGGCTGGGAGGGACACACCGAATCTCCTGTTCGGAACAGACATCGACGCCCTGATCAAGCTCCTCTTTCGTGCAGCGATCCCGATAAACGCCCTCCGTGATAAGAATGGGCTTGAGTGCAGCATAGCCAAATACAATGCCTGCTGCTAGCAGGCAGTATACTACAGCCGCGCATATCTGGGCTAGATGGTCTCCCGTTAGAAATGTACTGCAGATCACCCGAAGCCCGTCGGTATGTTCTCCGTACAAATACAAATCGTGAATGGACCCGTGCACCGCACGGGCCGGTTGAAAAGGGAAAGTGGAAAGGTGGCCTGACCTATTCTTTTCCATTCGCTCACATTATAGGCGCCCAATATTTTTGTGTGCTTCAGTCTGCAGCATTTGGCGACCATAATCCACAGGACTCTGACCCTCTGCCTCGCCGACGTTCATGGTAGTCGGGGAAAAGTACACCGGGCAAGATCCTGATGCCTCCCGAGATGACGTAGTTGGTTACTAAGCGCCAAGCCACTAGTTAACTAGTTAAGTTAATTAGTTAACTAACTAACTTGGCATTGACGGGCCTTGGTTACTAATACGCGGCATGTGCGCGTCTTGTTTTGCGGGAGGTTCTCTCTTGGGAATAATTGCACAGAATGCTCCTCAACTACAGAGTAATTAACATCGAAGGAACCTACGGATTATTCCGGAATCAAAATGCACTTGTTTCTGTGGAGAATATGGCTAGAGAAGGCCTGAAGACTCTGTTGCAATGGTAAAAATCGCCTGTTACGACTACATAAATGGTACTGGTTGAGCCTTGTCTCTTTGGAGAACTGGCACGCCTGGACAATTTATAGGGATGGGCCTGTTGATTCTCGCAATGGTGGAAGCATCTTGAGCTCTGCAAACTCTTCCAGCACCTTCCTCATGGATTCCACAGTGTCGACTGTCCCAAAGAAGCCAAGTTTGTGAGCCTTGTCCATACTACCCGACCCAGTGAGTTAGCAAGCTTCCCACAAATAGCTCCGGAGCATGGCGACAAAGATTTATACGGAAAATGTATGTGGATTACTGACTTGAACTGGAGTGCTGTCACTCCTAACATCATGCCGTCAGCGAAGCCGAAGATTCTCTCGCGATTCTTCTCGTTGCTGAAAGGGTTTGATTCAAGATTGTGTTTCTTCATGAGATCTTTCCAAGCGGCTTGGACTTCTGGCTTGCTTGCCCATTCCGAAAAGGTATAGCGAAATCGATGCGTTGCACGTGGGCCGAATCTGGAACAGACAATTAGCCGTCGCGTTCACGTACTACTTTAAGTGCAACCGTAGCTATCAACAAAACCTCACCCTCTTGGCGGAGGCTCATATGGAGTCTGAACCGCCTGGTACTCCGCATTCTCGTCTGGAAGTTCATATCCTACACCGTACCACTTCGCTAACCTGAGCCAAAATTTGCCGAACGTGAACTGGCTGTTATCACAAGCATTGAAAGCTTCATTTGCAGCTGCCGGGGTTAAGACCGCCCATTCTTCAAGATAACCATTCATCATGGCAGTGGACATATCTTGCACCGCTTGGAACGAATTAAGGTCACCTGGATAGACCATTGGCTGTCCCAGATATGATTGCACGGCGCCGAACACTCCCAGTGGGTATACCAAGTTCATTGCTGCGTCTTTGACTGCCCCGAGGATTGACGATGGCCTCACAACGTTCCATCCAGCACCAGTTTGTCTGCAATACTCAAACAACATGTCTTCCTGGGGATAGTAGAAATTCGATTCGAGTGTCACTCGAGGATCAGACTCATGCTGCGGGTTAATCGTTGGCCCCAAATGCACACCATAATTTTTTGCACCGGTCTGGAGCATAACTCTCTTTGGAATGATTCCTGAAAGCTTCAGCGCATCCAGAAAATTGCGCAAAAGGGAGACTTCAGAGGCACCATCAGCGACAGAGCATCATGTTTGAGAACAAAAAAAAGGTTCGAAGGCAGGAAAATACCATTGACTCTCGTCATTTCCTCTGCGTCAGACCACAGGCCCTGGCCCTCCTTCGGCTCAGCCTGTACATACGAAAAGAAGAAAACGTAGTCCCTGGCCAGACACGGGTTATCAAAATGGTGATCCATCTTTCTTTAGATTCTGCATATGAAGACCGTACGCTTTGACCCCATTATCTTTCATGGACTTGGCTAATTCTTCGGGAGAACTATTCAAGAAGTCCAGTGGAAGGTGCTTAAAGTTGGCCACCCATTTTCTCTGCACTGCCGGTGGTCTACGCGACATCGCGTAGATGTTGGTCCATCGTTCAGGAGACTCAGCCAAAACGCGCATCATATGATCGCCAGAGATGCCATTGGCGCCAGTGACGATGGCCGAGAGGCCCTTGAGTGATTGAGGGAAGACCGGGAGGCCATGGTAGATGCCTTTCGTTTGCACGGTCAAGTATTGTGGTAGGGCAGGCATGATAGCCTAGGATTCCAAAATATCAAATTTGGACGTACGGAGTAGATTATCCGCTTTAAAAGTTGTATGTAGTTATATGATAATAGTATGTTTATGAACACCATCTGAGGATGCAAGGGAGTTTTCTGTCATTGCCTCCACGCTTAATTATATATATGCACAGCTAGCAACCAATTGCTTGTAACTCCCACCCCAGTCGACTTGCTGGAGAGAGTTTGCGGGAAATTCCTCCTCGCTTGAAAACAATCTGCGCCCGAGCACAGATCTCGATTGAAGCTTTGAGCTGGTTAGTTGTTGAAGCGTCCTGATTGGCCCTTTTCCCTCGTCTCGTCAAAGTTTCTCTTCTCTCATTGGTTGCATATTAACCTTGGAGACATTATTAATTATCTACTGGGCATGCGCCTATGTTGGCAGGTGTCGTAGCTCCACGAACAAAGGTTTCTAGACCGGATGGCCTCCTGGTTGTTTGCTGTCCAATTCTCACTTGCGTCGATTACAAACGACAGGGCGAGCGGGGACTGCAAGACGCTTCTTGTTGTAAGTAACTACCCGGTCCCGCGGCAACCTCGGGCCGAGTATTAGTCAGCTGCTTGAACTTTCAACTCCTCTTTCAGCCAGTTTTCTGGAACACTGTTCACCTGGACGCACGCAAAGTGAGGTGAGAGAAAGAGCTGCTGTAACCCAAGCCGCCCAGATGAGAAAGTGGCTGCATTTCCCCAACGCAAATCCCTGGTGGCACATTCCGCTGCATCCGGGATCAAAGAATCATGGGTAGCAAACCAGAGCGAGGAGAAGTTGCCCAGTCCTTTTCTTTCCCTTTTCTTTTTTTTTTTTTTTTCACCTCGAGCTCTCGGTATAGGTGGAATGAGCACACTCTGATATCGAGACCTGGATGGATGTTCCAGCTGAGACTATACATGAAGTAAAAGACGTAAAAAATATCATCAGCTCCTTTGAGCCATTTGTTAACTCCACGTCCATCCGCCCAGTTTCGGGCATTGGACAACATACCGACCTCATTGTAGTATCACATTCAGCGAGGCACCATACCGGTTTTGGGCAGTAGACCGGAAAGGCGAATGCATTCAATTTTGAGAATGGGAAACCCGCGTGGATCACTCCTCTTTAGAGTAAAATAATTCCCGTCTCAGTATCGTGGACGGAAATAACCATCAGTTCTGATATATTAATACAAAGTATCAAGGAGCTATTGGCTGGGTGAACTGTCAATCGCTCCCGATCAAGCATTGTGAGAGAGCATTGTGTTGTGGTCGACGAGGTATCGGGATCACCAATTATTCTACCAGGGGGTCTCTTGTCACCCTCGACTTGCTTGATCAGCACATTAATGGCTGGAGAGCAGCGATGGTTGAAGGGAGAAAAGCCGGTCAATTGCATCTGAAGGGGGGGGGGGAAAAAAAAGGAAAAGGAGCTGAGGGTAATCTTTTCATCTTTACCAGGAAATGAAGATCTAAGACTAGCACACTCTTTGCTCTTAGACTTGCGGGATAATATTATGTCTTAATAGCAATGCCGCCGCTCTGACTTGGGAAAACAAGAATCGTTGAGCGTAGGAAAAAGCGCTCACCACTGAAGCGCAATTTCTCGTTCATACGAGGTCGGATTGCTGGCCCATCCCATGGTGACTGCGGATGTATCTCTAGGCAGGCCGTGTCCAATGAGCATATTAGATGCGTTCACGAAGACTTCGGGAATAATGGCAAACATGGCATGTCGCTTCGGGTCATTATGCAACTCTCCGATCCGAGTGGGAACGATTCATAAACAATGAATTCGATTTTGACTGCAAGACTGAGCGCACAGCGGTCCATTCCAAACTCCTATAGGTGGCATAAAAGGCCTGAAGGACTTCCCTCTTGTCGTCGAGTGTGACGGGTGTACGACGTCAAATCCGCTAGATCACGTTTCTGTTGCACCGCAATAAAACGGCTCCGCATGGTGTTTTACGCAACCCAGGTCTTAACGGTTGTTAGCATAATAATTAAAAAGACCGAGGAGGCCGGCAAACCGTCCGGGGCCTCTGCTCTTTGTTTCGCGCGTAAAAGCTGCCTCTGTTTCCGGTTGTGAGAAGCCCTTAGTGACTGTGAGGTTTAAGAACTCGGCTGCAATGGGTAAGTAGAACGAAGATATGGAGGTGAGCTACTGTCCTCCTGGACAGGACGTGAGCGGAAGAGGGTGGGAAAGAAGCCCAGACCTCAAATTTGTTGGAACCTTCCAACTTTGCTTCTCGGACTAAAAATGATCCAGCCCGAAATGGCCAGCCCCCGACCTAAATCCAACATCGGACAGTTGAAACCAAATTTGGCCGAGCGGAAGAGCCGGAGGAGAGTGCTTTAGGGTTCTCTCAGAGATGAGCCTCTGTTGGGAAAATGATCCAACGTCTACTCGTGATTGTCGAAACGGTAATCGTCACAAAGCACGCAATCTTCTAGTTCGGCCCCTTGCTCCGCTACAGCTGATCCTGTTTCATAGATGGGCCCATCATCAGTGCCCGCAAACATTGAAGGCTAAAGGCATGCATATTGTATAGATCCCTATGATGCGATGCCTGTACCCATTTATCGTAGCAGATATGAATGCAAGTTCCCTGAGATTTGGCCGTTTTTATGGCGAGTGTGTTAGTACAAACCCTGACTCAGAATACCTTTGGAGTGAATTTCATTCCACTGTAGGATCTTGTTATCGTCTATCGATTACAATGGTAGTAAAAGACTTTCAAGCGACTTTCCAACTTCATCGCAGTGGAATCAAGAGGAGCAATTGTCAGTGCAATCGTGGACGCATACATCCATGTGCCAGCCAAAACACCGGAGGGGAGAAATGTATCTGAAGCATAGGGTACTACCAATACCGCCTTTACCAATAAAACTTTTTTCCACGCTGGATATAACACACAACATACTATTGCCATAAAAATGCCACAGGGGAGAAAGAATACAAGGGGCAAAGGGAAAGGGAGACAACATCCGCCAAAAGTCCGTCCATTTCTTGATCTGGCAGCAGTCACGACTAGCAAATTGTGTGACCAAATATTAAAAATGTTATATATATAAAATTCGATTCAAAACGCTCTGTCGCTCCAGTCGAGCCCGAATGAAAACAAGTCATCATCCCACACATTGCCCTGAAGAGCCAATGCGAGATTAAGATCCGCGTCCGGAAGGAATCCCTGCGACCAGACATCCTGCTGCTGTCCTGTCCCCTCCATCGTTCCTGGTGCTGGTGTGAAGCCTGGATGCTGGCTATATGTTGGTTGATATCCGGCAGTGATGGCAGGATGAGGTGCCGAGATAGGCCCAAGTCCCATTTGTTGATTAATGTAGGGAGTCATAAGAACACCGGTGGGCCCGGAAATTGGTGTATCGGAGGGAATTGTCTTGGTGGTCGGAGCTGTCTGATCAATAGGTTCGGAATGGGTGCTCGGATGAATGGTCACAGAGGGATTTCTGGCTTCACCTGGTGGTGAAATTTGTGGTGCTTGATGTTGGTTACTCTGCTCCTGCTTCGAAGTCACATCTTGCGGATGGCCAGTGGCTACTTCGCTAAGAACATGCAAGGGTGTTGGGCCGCCATCCGCAGAAGCCTACGGGCAGAGTGATTAGATATATACCCTTGCATCAACGCAATGACGAGTACTTACTTTGCTATTTAGACCGGATAATTTCAACGAGTTAGGATTCGCGTCGTCAGAATCTCTCGGCTGAAGGAAAGGAGGCACGACCAAAGGCTGCCGTTTATCTTTACTTCGCATGTAGCAACTTTTTAACATGGCTATTATCAGAGCGAATTTAGCTCCAAGACGTCCACCATCCGTGTCGCCACATGCTCGTAAATGCTGGATTAGCTTGTCAAGGAAATATTCAACTTTGAAATCTGCGGGATTGAAAATGTGGCTGAGCCGGCTCCCAGACGATATCACCAACGAAAACAGCTTAAGTAGTGCAATCGATCCATAAGTCATACGGACAAAGTAGATTGTTGGAAGGCACATCAGGTCTTGGTGCCCAATGGAGCAGAACAACTGAAGCGATTTGTGAATCGAAGTTAAACAAGTTGTCAATGCATCAACATGGGCCGCAGTACCCAGGTCGGCTGGACTGTCCTCGCCAATATCCGCGATGAATGGTGGTTTGAAGTCGTCGATGTTATGGTCGATGTGCATTCCGATCTCGTGCATATATATGTTTAATATGTGATCGTGATGTGCAAGTACAGCTATTTAGGCCATCAATCTTGCTAACTCTATAGGAAACCCGGGCGTAAAGTAAATCAGTCGGACTTACGAGTATATAGATCCGATGGCACCTCTTTACGCCAGTCATCCAGCTGTCTCTCAAAACCCTTTAAGGCATATTGTATCTTTGGATCAGTGATATTCACATTGGTGGTAGGATCATCCATCGAAAACTGGAAGCCAACATCCTCCGTAATATGTGCTAGTTTAACCCAATGAATCACAGTCTGATCGGAAGGCAATGCATCGGGAGAGGTCTTGAGCATATCGATGCATTCGTCGTTGTAGGGTTGCCAGCGTACGAAAAGTGGTCTTCTCAAAGAGATAGATGCACTGTGCAAATTAGTAACTTCCTCGACGATTTTCAGGAGAAGCACAAAACCAGGAGTGTAAGGGAAGCATACTTGACAGCCATGGAGTAGCATCCCAGCCATGCTCTTCTCACTTCAAGAGACTTAGGGTCGACTATAAGTACTTTATTCCCAAAGATCTCCTTCCACATCTCTGAAGCTTTGGAATTCGGTTTGGTTTTTCTGTTCATTCCAATATCCACGCCCATGACAGCGGCCGTATGAATAAATTGATAGAACTTGAGTTCCTCAAAGTGGTCCGGGGGGAGATACCAGAGTGTGGCCACGAGGAGAGCCTGGACAAGCTCGAGTGATTTCTCTCCCCGTACCAGAATTCGATCTGCAAATACACGGTGTGTTTCATTCTGTAATGGCAGCTGTAATTGAGGGCAAAATGTAGCGATTGATATGGAGAGAATTGAAAGAAAAAGAACCGGTTTCGTGCGGCGGACGTCGGACATCGTGGTGCCTGGGGGGAACACAACAAAAGGAGCAGATGGGGCCATATCGTTCACGTAACGCTCAAACGCCTTTGTCGAAGTTTCTATATCGACAACCCCTCGGTCAATAACATCCCTGTATTCATTTTCCACTCGAGGTTTGGCTTCAGGTTCAAAGGAAGAATACAACGGCGGCCAGTCTCCATCGCCACTCCCACGCATATGTGCATTGTGCGCACCCGTAGGTCCATCGTCCGATGGGCTGCGGTGTCGCGCCGGCAGTGGAGCAAAAATGCGGCTCACTGGCGGTTTCTTAAGCTCCCCGCTATGATGTCTCTTCGCGCCCGCAAACACTGAAGCTCCATTCGACTGTGGTCCCGATAACGAATTGTTACGAGACGGAAATTGTCCCAACCAGCGTGCACTGAGTCCCTCTTGTTCCAGCGTCTGGCGCAACGGCGGATCGGGCTGATCACCACTCGAATTCTGCGCTCTCGACGCGTGCAAGCTGGCAGTCAACGCATCGATCTTTTTTTCCAGTTCTGCAACGCGACTATCAGCCTTCCTTTGTCGTTTTCGAGTCGGCACCGTGACGATGCAGCGACGATTCGCCTTTGTACATCTCTTGCACGATCCATCTGGATGATTTGTATCGGGATCACACCGGACTTTCAGTTGTCGACAAGCCTCGCAGGCTCGGGGCCGTTTCAGGTCCGCTAACGAATCGGGCCCTCCAACATTTGATCCCGTCCCAGTAACCGTCCCAGGCGCAGCCCCTGGAACGGCTCGGTTATCACCGTGTCCTTGACCGGAGTAGGGTGAATGGGGAGAGTCGGAAGGAGAGTGGTGTGGAGGGGGTTGCGGGTCGGAATTCGCGGATGTGGAGGCAGTTTGTGCAGATGGATTGATGTGGCGGCCAACGTCCATCTAAAACAATGCCGGACAGCGGCACATGGGATCGATAAATATAACCGTAACACGGAGTATTACGCCGCAGTGGCTAGACTTGCAGTCGGCGACGCGGTGCAAACCTCTCGGTCCAAGCTCGGAACACGGTGGTGTCGGTGCACCGATGACACGTTCAGCCGACGTTTTGTGGGAGCCTGGGCTGCAGCAAGCGTTGGGTTGGATTCCTGCGATCGCTAGTTAATAATTTTATCCTTGAAGGGAAATACTGAAAGAAACTTCAAGCGAATCTCTTCACAAAGCTCTGCTGGGAAAACTGTCTGAGAACCGAATAAGTCGCAGGGCGTCGGTGGGTGGATAGGCAGAAACAATTCTCGTTTTCAGCGCGCCGAAGTTGGTTAACTAGCGAGGCATCTTACCAAGCGCGACCCTTAACCGGCAACAAAACGCCAGGACTGGGGATCTCGCTCTCGATTTCTTCATACTGGATAAGCACAGTTTGGGTTCTGCTGCTTGATTACGATGTGAATTTACAGGAGAACAAAGACGGTTCGTCGGCAAGAGGCTGATCGAGGCCGTGGTTAAAGCAGCAAATCTGGCGGGTCTGGAGATACCAAGCTCTTTAGCCGTCTCCATCCCTCAAAGCCAAGCAAAGAACCCCTAACTTGTACTCCTTAGCGAGCTGCTTTGTATTTGGAAAATGTTCGCAGCAAGAAAAGGGACTGTTTGCGTAATTTTCTCATTGTGCGACTTAAGAATAACTATATATCCTGTATTGGTCGATCTGGAGGACCTATTCCCAAACAGCCACAAAATTCCTAGTATGTTCACCCGTTGCAAACGCCATTGAATCCCAAGGAACCGATCCATATTCAATGCGAACACCATTTAATCCAGCAGGTTGTTATGCAAGCATAGACTCTCCAACACCATCCAAAAGAAAGAAACAGTTCATTAGCCACCAGACTAAAAGCAAAAACTCCAAAAGAATTGCAGAAAAAAAGGCCTTAAAAAAGCAAGGAGAATCGCCCAGGATGATGCAACCACATGCATGGTCTGGGATCTAAGCTAAAACTTTATGCACGGGACACTCCTCCTTGCGCTTAAACCATCCAACAATGCAAGACTTATGAAATTTGCAGAAACAAAGTAAGCGTGTTAGCTCCACACCAACTTCATACTCTTCCATGCAGATGGTGCATTCCTGCGACGTACCGTCCTGGCTGATGCAGTCCTTCTCTGTCGCTGTGAAATGCACCATCTGACCGCTACCAGGAGGGGGGGAGGAATGTCGATCTGATGTTGCTCCGTGACGATCACTATGACTACGGATACATCCGCGTATATGTGTTTCTCGTGCTTCTTCGTTTCCATCTCGTCCTTGAGGTGGAAGCATTCTATTGCAAATTGGGCAGAGATCAGCTTCATCGATGCGCTGGGATGGCCGCTGTCTAGGGGGATGAGGAAGTGGTCGACTCGCATCTAATTGTGGATGACGGTGATGATCATGGTGAAGCTGTGTGCGTTGAGATAGCGAATATGCGGGTGAATAATTGAGACGTTGCTGATAATCCTGTAAATACGCTCAGTTAATTATCCAGTCATCCATAAGCGGACAAGACGTAGCTAGCAAGGGCTGGATCCTTACAGGAGCGCTAGCAGTGCGTGGAGAATAAGATGAAGTAGGAAACTGAACTTGGTCCTCCACATCCTGAGACTGCCTATAGGAAGGTGGAAATGCAGGACTAGTGGCTCCAAATGCATAATCAACCGCGTCGTAGGATGGTAATCGCCTGCCTCCCATACCTGCTTCATTTGTATGATGTAGGCCGGATGTTCCAGGCTGGTACTGTAATATATATTAGCAACGATAAAAAGGCCTAAAAGGAGGTGCCCACATACGGTCATACGAGCCCGGTGTCGTCGGAGTTCGCGGGCTGCTTCTGAATTAATAAAGGAAGCTGATCCAAGGGAAGCAGAAGGCCTATGGAAGGACGGCAAATGTTCATATATCTCTGAGCTTCGAAGAGAGGAAGATGAAAGAGAAATGTGAGGCCTATTTCCTGTAACGTTGGACGACCTTTGACGCCCAGTCGACTCCATGATACTGTACCGCCGAGGAGGTTCTGGATTTGGATCAGGGACACAAGGGTTGCAAAGGCGAACTTCCTCCCCTCCACCAAGAGCTTGGTTTGAAAATTGGTACTGCTGCTCATGCTGGCGAGAAGAAGATGAAGGTGGTTGGTTGACATCCTCCTCGTCATCATGAATGAGGCTGATAATTTCCGCCCTTGTTGAGATCGGTTGTGCAATTGTGGGTAGTGGTTTGCGCGATTCTGGTGGTCTTACAATGAATTGGCGAGGAATGGTGATCCTATGAGGTGAACAAGATGCGCAAACAACCCGCCCACATTTCCTGCAGTGATGCTTTCGATACCAAAAATTAAAAGCCGTCCGGCAAATTGGACAATGAGACACCTCTGAATCAGGCTGCCATCTTGGGAGAGTGTAGTCTGTAAAACTCCTCTCACGATGTCTCAAAGAATTTAGCTGGCGAGCCATTGCTAATGAGTTTCGGGGTGAAGTACCACCATTATCAGATGCTGTCGTTGAAGTCCCAAAACTGCTTCTTGCCCAGGAAGCGTGTCTAGAAAGACCTGGTTGGGCACTCGAAGGGCCTCCAGGAATCGAGCTTCGCACTCTTTCTGGCTGACTACTATTATCCCCAGCACTCACTAATCTTCGTTTTCGGTTTGTTCGCGGAGAGCTCCTAGAACTCGCATCACCTGATCCCTGACCACCGGAAGACCGGTCTTGCAAGAACTCCGACCAAGTTTGACCATGGAGATCAGATGTCTGAGCATTTGCACTATGTCTGCGTTGGGCCGTCATAGGCTGAAGCTCAGGACTGTCGCCCGTCAAGTCTACCACGGGGAGGATCGCCCTCGCCAGAGGACCGCCCCTCTCTCTAGTGACGACTGGGGAGCTCCGAGCCACACTAGTTGCCTGTAAATCACCACTAGGAAGGGCTCCGGAACTTGGCGGTTTCGTGGGAGGGGGCATGAGGTCGAGGAAGGGATAGGGGTTCGTCTCGGTGAACGGAAGACACAGGTACGGGTTCAATAGCCGAATATCTTCCGCAGGAGAAGAGATCAATCTCCGTCGTTTGGACGAAGGGTAGTCATTTGCTGCAGAGTAAGGATACTCCACGTTGACCCGCGAAGCTGGTGAAGCGTATTCTCCCGCTCCCAGCTCTGGAGAACTAGTGCTGAGCGGCGGGGGAAGGCTTCCGGAGCGCGGCGAAAGATCGTCAGTACTCCGTAGGCTTAATCGGATGAAAAGAATCCTCGAAATCTCACAAAACTTGATCAAACGGTAAGCTTCCGCAACAGCTGCACGTGAAGATGGTTGTGTCGTCTGCCAGGCCCAAAAAAAAAAAAAAAAAAAAAAAGCCACTAACTAGGTTCGAGGGACAAGCATCAAGCTGTTTCAGAAGAGAACGCACGAGGTACCGCCAACGTTGAAGTCCCCAAAGAAGCCGTCGAGGCGATTGAAAATTACGCTTTGCAACGCAGAGTTGCCAGTGGATTGCACCATCGTTGGGTGGAGAGTGAAGTATGCGAGAGGATCCGAACGGCACCAAAAAAAGTTGCCCTTCCCCTCGCCATCAGGCGGGAACCAACCGCAGGCCATTTCGTCCAACTGGATCAGCCTAACCTGGCCAACCACCCTTCACAACCAAACCCAAAGGCCGTGAAAGAACTATGATACGTACATACAAAGAATGCATGGATGTTACATACCACTCCACCCCGTATATTCGAGGAAACCCCACCGTCACCTGTGCTCCCATAGCATTCGCGCTACCTACCGCCTGGCCATCGCCAGTGATATCAGCATGCTGAGTAAAAGATCCTGTCTCTGCTCTTTAAGCATTTATCAACTTAACCGGCTTCCAAGGAGGCCGGGAAAAAGGAATGTCAAAGGCAAGTGTTAGCTATGTAAGATATCTGCTATTAATGCTCTCTTTCAACCATTCTTCTCATACATGAAGAAATCATAACCATCGGGGCCATCGCTGGAAACAATATTTATACAAGGGAGGAAGTATGTCGTAAATATTAGGGAAAGGGGGAAAATGAAAACTAAGACAAGCAAGATATTCTGGAATCATAAGCCCGTTTGCCTTCTATGACGTTGAACAAGAGTTTAAGAGAAAAGATCAAAGGAGAAACCCGACCAATGGCAGGTCATCATACGAGGCCGCAAAAGGAAAACGCCTTCGAACAAGCCAACGCTTCGCCGATGTATGTACATTCTCCGGGAAAGAGCCCTTTAACGCCAGGTGTTCGAAAAGGCATCGTCAAGGATACCAAGAGAACCAGCAGCGCGAAGCCATCGAAACTGGTACTCAACGAGGAAAGCGTTCAAGGGTCTTTGACAATCTCCGCCGTGCTTTCAGAAAACGGCGGGCTAGACGAGTCCGTATTGTGAATATGATCGCTTGCCCGATGCTGCTGGACGTATCCCAAACTGGAGGGCCGATCTGCCCATTTGGTCGAGCCGTATCGCCCAGGGCTTGACCTCATTCTTCGGTGGGCCGGACGAGGAGTAGTCGGATCTTCATCCAAAGCGTTGTTGATACTTGATCCTGCAGAGTTCGAGGAGATCTGGTCACTTCGAGTCGACGATGATTTGGAAGAGAATGGCAACCGACTGGTCTGTTGGGCGTGGCTGAGCTGTAGATGCTTTGGTCTCGCTTCGGCAGACTCTTGATCGATAGATAGACGTGAGGTAGAAGCGGTTTTCCGTGCACCTTCGGACCCGCTTGTCATATCCACGGACGAATGCCGTTTTGAGCTTTTTCTTGGAATTGTTGGGGGCCGTATTCGCAGACCCTGAACTTCCGTGGGCTGCTTTGTGGACTCAACACGACTAAGCAGCTCAATGTTATCGGTAGTGGTTATCGGTGGTAACGAAGGAGGTTCTGCAGGAGCTTTCCCACTATTGGGCGTAGGGTTCTTTGTGTTTCCTTTGGCACTGTCCACGGGTGATTCTGTGGTTCGTACCGCATCCTTGGAAGGCTCGGGTTCATCCCGATAAGGCTCAGGAAACACGTCAGATTCTTCCGAAAGCATCAATCCAGGTGGAGGCGCGCGTGCACTGCGCACAACCTCAAACCCTCTTCCTTTCTCTTTAGTTTTCCCTCTAAATAGATTCCGCAACCATCCAGTGGCCGAAGAAACCGGGCCTGTGGGATCGGCCGGGCCAGTCTTGAGCTTTCGAGTTGGGGCACTGGAGAGTGCCGGGCCGCGAACACGGTAATAAAAATCAGCTTCACGAACGGCATAATCAGTTCGTGGTTGAGCAGGGTCGTCGTCTCCATCAGGATCATCTTTCGCAACTCCAAGATAGGCTGGCGCCGGTGTTCCTCGTCCAGACCCTGACGGGCCGTCCACCGTTTGAATCTCGTCTCCACTAATTGTGTTGCTGGAGTCTCTTTTATTCCAGTCACCCCAAGAGCTATGTCGCCGGCTAGTTGGCGACATCCCATCAAGGGTAGCGCGACGCTGCCTTGGAGGCCTGTAGAAGTGATCGACCGTCTCAGCGTGTTTCAGTTTAACAAGGCCGCCACGCGGTGACGCGGCTCCACCTGGATGTCGACCAGGGCCCGAAAAGGCGCCGACAGTTCCTGGAGTTGTCGGAGTGTAGCTCATACTTCCATCTCCACGACTTTGACCCACACCGTACACACTGCTGACCTCAAATCCAGTGCTCATCCTGCTTCCTGCCCCAGATCGACCCAAAAATATAGCGGAGCTCCCCGAAAAGCTTCGTGGTCGCTCCCCATCCAATTGTGTTGAAGGCCTTTCCATTTCACTGCCTAACATTGCCGCTTCAGAATTGATGCTATACCGGGGGATGTGACGGCGCCTGGACGTTCGACGCGAGAGCTGGCGCATACCAAACACCTTCTCAGTGGTTAGCACGTCCTCGAAAATATTACTAAACATGAAGGGGTTATTGCATACCTTAGAAAGTCCGCCTCTAGCAGCTCCTCCTTCAACACCGTCTTCCCCACCTGCTCCAAGTAATCGTGCGATGACTTCGATGAGCGTCTGAATCGCATTGAGAAAAAAACCGAAAACCAGAACAACGCCGTGTATTACGAGAATAACGTAACCAATCCAACCACGGGTGCTGTTCGAAACACCCAAAGACGGAACAAAAGCGACATTCAGAAGAATAGTTATGCATTTGATGACGGCCAGAACAGTGTAATAAGCATTCATCGAGGTTGGGTATTCGAAAGGCCGAAATGCAGCAACGGTAAGGACAAGGATGATCTCGCAAATCGCTAGTAGCACTATCTGGGCTATGCCAGATGGTTGAACTGCCCCTACCGCGATGCCCCTGATGAATGTAAGAAGAACGGAGATCCATGCAAAGGGGGCCGCACTGTCCGAAAACGTGTTGTACAAAGGGCCATAAAGGAGGACTGTGGGAAGATCGTCGAACAAATAGGACCGTGGGCGCGTCTTAGCGATGAGAACCAGGAACCAACCAGCAAATAGAATCAAGAAAACAAGCAGAACGGCAGCTAGTGCAACAGTAGACACTGGTGATGAGCTAGCAATCACGAACTGGAACATAGAAAGGGACACAATCGGTAATAAAAAGTAAATGAAAACGATTCGAATAACGTTTCCGAGGGTGAAAGGTAAGTTTTTCGCCCGGAGATCTTCTTCCGGGACATTAGCTATCTTCCGGTGTAGCCATTGGAACGAGAAAGCGAGTTGTGTAACCAGGGTGATAATAGCGAGCACTGAAAGCAGCCAGACCACCATGCCTGGCCATACATCCTTGTTTGCTGACATACCGATATATTGCCTCATCCGGTCAAGTCCGTAGGTGCCATTGACGCTGTAAACTCCATCTTGGAGTGGCTGCGTCCCGTTTCCGTGGCTGGCCAAACTCTCGTTGAACATGAGGACAGACCATCCGACGTGACTCACGACGGGCTGGAAAAATCCAGGATAATTAAGTGTCAACGAGCCAGACAAAATGACGAATTGAATGTATTGTAAACAATCACCGAAACCCGGAGTGACAAGACGTAGGAGGTCTTCGTCGCGTCCATAATTGCTAGTCCACCGGAATATATCCGTTGTACCCCACGGACTGTATATAGCGGCGGATATCGTAGCGACACCAACTAATATCAAAATAACTAGTGGAACGTATGTGAGGGCGTCTTTGATCGGAGACCCCAAATCAGGAGTAACATCAGCCGTTACGCAGGCGAGAGGGGTTTTGGCTTCGTCGCCGGAGACAACGTCGAAGTTCGGCACGATAGAAGCGAATGAGTACGTCGAGAAGAGGTTGTGAGAGAATGAGAAAGCTCGTAGCTGCGGGAGGTCATTTCTATAGTTGAAAAAAAGGTTAACCTTTACACCCAGCGCCCTAGCGAACCGGGAGGGGGGAGACATACGGATCTGCATTGAAAACAGGTCCCAGAGGGCATTCTCCTTGCACGACAGAATCGCAGAACGGACGCGGGTCTGCTCTGTAAGGTGTGAAACTTAGCACATCGAGATGGGAGAACAGGGTGGTGTATTTCAACGTTGACTGGTCGACGTTTACGATCTTGCCGAGAGTGACATTGGGATCAGACCATCCAGGATCATCTGGCTCCGGATATGCACCCCGCGTCGCAAGGCCCGTCACATTGCCGTATACGGTAACTGTCAGGTTCTTTTCTACCGACGACGAATTAAGGCTGGCTGTGACGAAAAGGGGGACGAAGTGTAGCTTTGCAGGCTTCGACTTGACTATCGAATTCGGGAGGCAATTATCAAAGGGAACGAACACAGCGTCCACGGGTACAAGTGCCAGGAGGAAGAAGAGCACCTGGAAGACGGTGAGGGGCACCCGGTGGTGAGCGAGCAGCGATGTTTGTCGAGCCATCCGGTGTCGAGTCAACTGGGGTTCTGGTGCGAGATAGGTCGGTGCAAAGCATTGCCGGCGAGCCTCGAGAGAACAGTCGTGTGAGATTCCGTCAAGTCCATCGATCGGCAAGTCGGGCAGCCCAGGATCAACACCGTTCATCACTTCAACCGGCAGACTGATGAGACGGCCTCCAAAAGGAGGACGGTCTCCTCCTCGCAGTTCGAAGCCACAATTCCCCCTTTTTAACGTCGAGAAAATCGTCCTTGTTTTTTCCTCACTCCACAAAGAGACATGAAAACCAAAAATATCTCATGAGTCGTTCAGGTGGGCCGCAAGTTTTGGGGGGGTTTTTTTGCCGGGAAGGACAGGGGAGCTTTTGGTTGTTATGATAAACAATCTGCCAAGGGCATCCGCGAAATGCTTGTCGGGTCGGATCTTCGCTAGACGAAAGCAACGCGGAAACCAAGCCAGGGGAGGGATTCAAAGGTTTTTTTTTTTCAAGCTTTGATTGCAAGGAATTCTGCTTGTCAGAAGGAATGATAAAATAAAAATGGAAAAAAGCTGGGGGGAAAAAAAAGAAAAAGAAAAAGAAAGTAAAAGAACCTTGAGGACAAAGGGCGATGAGTAGAATCTGTAAGAGCTAATCCAAACGCACAGCCGCACAGCCGCAAAGGAGAACTAGAGAAGGAAAAGAAAAATCCCAAAACAAAAAAAATAAAAAAATAAAATAAAAAAATAACTAAACAAGCTAGCAAGGCTTCGAATTTGGCGTCCGGGTCCGTTTGAAGAAGCCAAAAAAATCGACCCCCCCGGGCTTCGAGTCTGGAAAAATAATCAGCACTTTGTCGCTCTCAGCTGCGGGCCAGAGTTTGCTGGTATGTAGCGTATCAAATCGCAGTGGGAGGAGAGACGAGACACCGGAGCGAGCTGCCAGCACATTCCACCAACTGCGTCACTGACCAGCAAACTATCCAGTTACAACAAAGATCACGCCTAAGCATCCGTCTTTTCCACCCCTCCGCACTGAGACACGTCCCCATCGACTATTTAGCACCTCTGAGAAAGCCCCAGGATCTCTTCGGGACTTCTCCTGTCCTCCCTCGCTTTGGCTGTGAGTTAATGAAATTATCCAATTGCAAAAAATGTGATTACGCTGTGATTCTTGTGATGGAGGCAACACAAAGATAGCTACGGTGCGCGTTCCTGAGACGATTCCAAACTCCTCAGTCCGGGGACCCTCTGATCCAGTGCCCGATCATCCCTTTGAAGTTTGCACCCTCGCCCTGGAGAGTGGAACGGCTTTATTGGCTCCTACGGAGAAAAATACTCTCCAGCATTAAACCCCAAGCAAGAGTCGGACAAAATTGACTTGGGAAGTTGGGAAGCGAATCCGGTGGAGAATTCCAAACGGAGTGGAGTGGAGTGGAGGATACGAGACTGACGTTGATATGCTATTTTTGTTACAGGGCTCTGATCGGTTTGCCTCAACATTCATCCTGCCGAGATCTGGAATCACAGTTCGAAGCCAAGAGCATACAAACATGTCCAGTTTACTCCGTACTTTATGCACTTTTTAACATCTTCGGCAACTTCCGGAGAACTTTTTTTTCCAGATTTCTCGCATTTCCCCGCACAAGTTTTTGGCTTGGGAGGAATGATGATTATAAATAATGAGATAAAAATAGCTTTTGCGATCGTCGACATGGAGTACGGAGCATGGAGTTTAGTTACATGATGGAAATCGCGATTTCTCTCAGAGCTAAGTGCGTGCAAGTCCAAAAAGTCCTTGCTCTTTGGTCCTGTAGGCCGCGCTGGGTGAGCGCTACTGCAGTGTCATGCAAGCATGCATTGTATTTGCATGGACAAGCCATAGAGATGGGAGATCGAGGCAGTAACTAATCCTGCAAAGCGAGAAGCCGCCTCAGGATGCTAGACGGCTGTGATAAATTTTATGTTTAGTGGCTTCCCAACGTAGTGCGCGGGGAGCAAATAGGTTGCCAATGCTCGGTCGTAAAAAACAAGATAATCGCGCTGGCGGACAGAAAGGGCATCGTCAGCCTTGTGATTGAGGGAAAAGCAATCTCAAACTAAAAATTGGGCCGCTCATTACGAAGCCAATCACCTTGGGCTCCGGCTTGCTCTGGGGGTCTCGAAAACTTGAAAGCATCGTCATTTGTGGACGGGTCCCATGGCTTGGTCGAATCTTGTCTCAAACTTCTGGCAACGGCCTTGGTTGCAGACCTGGGTTATTCAGCAAAGAAGCCCTTGCTTGGCTCGCCAAGATTCGGCCCTCCATCTTGCTGAGCAGGATCTCAGGGCAATTTGCAACAGTGGGACATCACCACCGAGTGAAGTAGATATGTAATAAACCCCAAGAGGTGAGAGACTGAGAAACTGCCTGCTTGCTGGCACTGTGCTGGCGCTCGATCGACGGATGACGCGTTGGCGAGGCCCAAGCCACACCCATCCTCACACAAGCCTGCCTCCGTGTCGTGGCGCATCCTCGCTGCTCGCGCTGCGCTCCGCTGCAAAGGGCCAAATCACCGTGCGCTTGGAGGGGAGCTGATAATGGCTTTGTCTTTGTCGTCGGGGAGGAAAGACGAGCAGGGACGGACGGAGCCTGCGTACGGCACAGAGCAGCTACTTACTTGTAGGATGTACTCCATACAGTACATACATCTGCCCATTCATCTTCCGTGTAACCTCTAGCTGGGACCCAGGAACAGTCCGTGGGAGACAGAGTACTCCGTACGCAGTAGTTCTGTATGTCGCCGCTCCGTCGACACTGTACATCATGATCCACGCACCATCACGCAGAAATGGGGACTTCCTGGGCCCCGTCCGATCGTAGCGATCTGACCTCTCGCCCACGGTAACTATGTCAAGGTCCACAGGAACACGGGATCAACAGACTTCCCGGTGAAATCGACCGCGAGAGGTGATGCTATGAGTGTCTCCTTTTTTTCCTTCTTTTCCTTCCTTTGTGGGGTGAACCCAGTTGAGGAATGTGTCAATACAAGCGAATAATGAATCATATATAATTAATATCGACTTGGAGTTTATAAGTGTGTCGAGGGGGTGGATAGTTCCCTCCTCGTTACATATGTACGCGCGACCTGCCCAGAGAGATCGGCGGTAGCGAGTGCCGCCGGGATTGCTGGTTGGCCGAGAGCAAGGTTTACCAGCGACCCTCGTTTCAGGATGCCAGGATTGGGCCAAGGAGAGGGGGCCGCCCAAAATCCATGTTTCATCTTCGGCTTGTCTACGCTGGAGGGCGCGGAGAAACTCTCCCAATCGATGCAGCTCCCACGGTTCGGCCCAAGCCATGTCCACCGGAGTGGACAGGCTCTGCTGGTGGTAATTAGATCACTTTAATTTACCCGTAACCCAACTTCAATCAATTGAGATTTATCTCAAAAGGGGCCTTTGCATGGAGCAAATGACAGGCCTTGCAACGGCTGCAAGACCCCTGGAACACTACATGTTTTGGCGTTTAAACGGCTTGTGAGATCTTCAGGCGTGTGTGCCATTGTTGCTCCAGGCACCTCTTCATTATTCTGAACACCAATCTGTCCACTTCTTCCCATTCCATCTGTATGTACGTTCTGATCATTTCTCTGATGTTGTTTGTTCTTTGCCCGACGCGCCTGTTTGTTTATCCTTGCTGATCCTCCAAGAAAAAGCCCCGGTTTCATTAAAACTACCCCATTATGACCAGCACGTGAGCGCTCCTCTACCTGCCAGCCGACCTCCCTCCCTCTCTCTTCCGCACCACCTCAGCTCTTCTTTCACCTGTGTGACAAGTTGCTTTGGGAGTGATGCCGGGACGTCAATGCTCTCTTCTTTAAATTCCCTCCTGACCATTGAAGATCGCAATCAATGATGGTGGTCGAAACCTCAGAGCATGGCATAAGCGCCGTGGCCGAATCCAAAGCACGAAAATGGCGGGACAAAATCTTCTCCAAGGAGAAGGACTCCAAAGCTGTCCGCGATGCACAGATCGATGACTTTCTCGGTTCCTCTCGCATCCAGCCCCAATCCCAGCCCCGTGCTTCCCCTCGGCCCGGCGTTCCATCCCCACGGATCGATGTCTCCGTGTCTCAGCGCAGCCATGTGAACGTTGAGCAACCCTTGCTCGACTCCTCTTATCTTTCACACAACACCACCAGCCCCGTTAAGCGCCGTCGCCGCAAAGGATTGAAAGTCCAGTTCAGCAATGATCCCCCTGAAGTCATGGGCGAAGGTGGTGATGAGGCTGAAGCCCCGACCAAGGACATGATAGCCGTATACCGAACACGGTCGAACTCCTCCGCTTCCACCTTTACGGACAGATCAGACTCATCCCCCGTTGACGAACATTCTCCGTCCGAACCTCATTCCTATCGTCATGGCATTCCACCATCAATCGCTGTCCAACACCAATCGCCCGTTTCAGAGCAGCAGGCCCCGTGGCAGCCACTCCTCATGCAGAATTCCCAGGACACTCACTTTCTCCTTTCGCTTGGTGAGAGTGTGCGTGGCTCTCGCCTATCGCTTAGGCAGTCTTCTGACCCGAACTCGTTTGCGCGTCGTGTTCAGGCTAAGATGAGAGCTGAGGAAGGACGCGCATTTCAGAAGCATTTTAACGAGGAAGGAGACTCACCAACGGACACCACTTCGCCGGCACAGTCCTATCCCACCCAAGCTGCTTCAGATCTACCGAAGACAGAGGAAAAATCTAGTCCACCATCTTTCTGGTCGAGTGTCCTTAGTGCCTTGCCTGATGAAAGCCAACACTCGCGTCGGCCTTCGCCTCCATCCTCGAATGCAACTCCTACTTCCGCTCACATAAACAATCCTCCGGCGTCATATAAAGCACCGCGTCAGCCTTCCCCTCCATTCTCGAATGCAAACCCCACTTCCACACACGCCAGTGGCACTCCCGCTTCGTACACAACAACGCGTCCTCCTCCATATCTCAAATCTCCAGAAAGCTCTACCGCTTCTACTCAACAATCTTTCCAGAGCTGCACCGAAGATAAGGACTCCTCATCATCAAAGAACTTACGAAACGTCGCCAGCATGGTCAGCGATACCGCTTTATCGGACTTTTCCGACTACGTGAACCACTTTAACAAGCTGTTCAGTCTATCTGCCGAAAGCGTAAAACCTTCAATGGAGACATCCCTTTCAGAGTGGGTAAGAGCGTGCGTCTGGTGGTTCTTGAAGGGCCGTGGAGAGTTAGAAGTCTCTATACGATCGCGGCCTTCGAGCTCGGGCGGGAATTCTTCTCAGGCGTCGCCGGGCGACCAGTCACAACAGGCAGTGGTGAATTTGGCAAAGGCCTGGTGGATAAACCAGACCATCGTTCCTCAACATCCCGAGTTGTCGAGATTTGGGAAAATAAGCACTGATGAAATGCTATCTGTTGCCAAAAGCACCGGAGATCTACGCATTGCACATCTGATCACCCTTCACCAGAACGTGATCCGTCATCTCCGAGGGTTAGCGATGTCAATGAAACGTCACAACATCCTTCCTTCTGGCAATGACGCCCCTCCGCTTCTCCAGTCAGTCGATACCAGCGTCTGGATCAAGTATCCGTTCTTTGCTCCCGATATTTCTGCTATCCTGTCTGGTTCCGTCTCGAAATCAATGCTTGTCGACATGTCAACCAGGCACCCCGATCTTGGGGATGTGATGCCCATGGGTGATACCAGCCGATATTTTTGTTATGGGCGAATGTTTGTGGAGGCCCATATTAGTTCTGGAGACGATGCCTCTCAGCAAATCGCCATCCCTTGTATGTTGTCCATTACTCGTAATAGAAAAGATCCACATGTTATCGCCACTATCACCAGTCAGAGCGAGCTGGTGAATATTACCATCCAGGCTGATAAGAAGCAAGGACCAACATGGGCTGATGTTGACTGGCACGTGAGAGGCTGCACAATGCGCCTCCAGCTTCCCAGAGGATTTGAGTTGGACGTTCACTTCAGACAGCCTGACTTTAATATGATATGGAAAATTGTTGAATATTCACGCAAAGTTGAAGCTAGCTTTAACCCCGAAGCCGGTGAAAAGTTGATTTTTGAAGAAGTCCTGGATGTATTCCAGTACATGGACTCTCGTCCCTCCAAAGCTTTCCCTCCAGAACCTTCGCCACGATGTCGAATTAGACTCTTTGAAAAGACAGTTAAAATTACTGAGGGTACTGGAACACGCGAATCACATCGTGGTTATCGGTTCATTGCTGTTACAAGCCCCAAGGTTAAGAGTCTAACCAGTGTCTCACATTTCCTAGGAAACGGTGCTCCTGTTGTGTTTGGATATCTGCGTGGTGACAATGGGGCACCAGCACTGATGTTAAAGGTCCAAGATGGTGATGCACTATGCTCTATGATTCTAACATTTTCTGATGCTGAGCATCGATCCAAAATGCATTCCTTGCTGTTGGGCATCATACCCAGTGATGATGAATTGCAGACTGCTGAAATACCGCTCAAATCCTTCTCTATTGAGCAGCCAATTGAAAAAGGTTCAGGTGGTTTGCAGTCAAAGACACCATTAAAATTCACTTCTCCAAGTATTACTGTTATCAACCAAAATCCAAGCCTTACTGACCATGGATATGCGCCTACAATTCTGTCTGAACGTCTACGAGCGTTTATCAGTTCAAACTGGGGCTCTGTTACAGACAGGATTAATCTGGGTAAGGATTTCAAGAGGCCTATTCTTTGTCTATATGTGATAATATATGTTAATTTCATGTCTTTTAGGTCCGGGTGACCTTAGAATTGGCCTTGATGTTAATGTTCCAACTGCCATGACCGTCTATAGGCCACCACAAAATGACCTGACGATAGCAGTGGCTGAAAACTTGGTGCCAAAAGAGCTGCCTGATGAACTAGCTAGTCTTCTAAAGACAGCAAGTTCGAAATCATTGGTTAGAAAATACAATTTTGCATCTGTTCAAGGTTTGATCTTCTTACCTGCTCCTGTAAATCCAATAGCTGACTGTTGTGCAGCTTTACATACATTCCAACAAGCAATAACTGGCTTCAAAGTTCGTTTTGATGGGTAATGCCTTCTCACTTCCTGCTGCGATTCTGGATATGTTGCTCACAGCACTTTTATTGTAGATATTCAACAAGCTTTGCCATATCACGCAGAAGAATGGTAGTTCCCATTTATAAGAAGTGGGAGGCTGGCAGAACCCGACTCCAGATCATCGAACAAGAAAAGATTGTCCAGCTTGTGGTCTTCTTCTCTGACTTCAGCCATGGAAAATGCATGAACTTTGTGCTGAAGAGCACTGATAACTTCGAGAGTTCCTCCCGGCCTGGCAAGTACGCAATCAAGCTTGTGGATGCCAAATTTGCACTCCCTAGGGGCAACGATGACGAGTTCGCAGAGTTTGTCTGCTTGGACATGCCAGAGTACCCTGGTGAACACGATGACATCACGATTTATTTTGATTCTGAGAACGGTAGGCCATCCGTGTCACCGCTCCTGTCGTCGAATTGCCAGAAAAAGCAGCTAATATACGTTGCAGATCGATTCAATTTTCAATCAGCCATACCTGGCTCTGTTAAAAGTCCATTAAGGGCTAGTTCATTCAAGCGATAAGCAGGCGTCGCGATTCCCCTCCCCATTTACAGGCGCATTTTGGAGTTTGACGATGCTTTGCTGGGGGCGTTGGCTCAGGGTCGGATTTGATGACACCATACAAGCTGTTCGGTCTCTTTTTATCTGCATCCTTCTTTTCTAAAATATCGTGGGATCTCCTCGGAGTTACGGCCGAGCTTGCCATTTGACCTAGTACCGTCCTTTGTTCTCTTGTGTTTTCTTTTTCTTTTTCTTTTTTTTTTTTTTTTTTTTTTCGTTCTCTTTTCTTAAGCCGTACGGAGTACTAGTGCCATTTCCCATTCTCTGATCCCTACGGCCATCCAATATGACGTCTACAAAGTTCCAATTCTCTTGCGCCCTGCGACATCCGTTATGTAGACCGATCACGCCCGTATGAACATTGGGAGGAACTCAAAGTTAATTCGTGGATACCGGCACCCGGAAGCGGGTCGGGCCCCTCACAGGGGTAGACAACCACATCGTTAGTATCGAGGGTAGGGAGTCGTTTAATCAACTATATAAAGCCCAGACTCTCACCTTCGACGAAGTAAGGGCCACAACTCGCCGTGAATATCCCAAAATGGCCGAGAGCCTTCGCAGCAAAATGGAAGATCTCAATTTGAACGGTTGCAGCAACGCCACCGTCGCCATACATGCCGATGATCCCATCAACGTCGTTACGGATGTTGCGCCGCCATTGCACGTCTCGACCACCTTTAGATACTCTGATAACCCCGACGAACTAGTCCCATTAGCAGAGGAATCTGTAACTATGCCTTCAATCCATATATTCTTACGAGTTTTCCACCGAAATCGACTAACAATGCTCATCCTAACAACAGGAGATCCCCAGCCCCACATCCCACGTCTACTCGCGCTACACGGCGCCGAACTACACCCGCTTCGAAACAATCGTCTCCGCCCTCTTGGGAGGTCACAGCGTCACTTACGCCTCTGGCCTCGCGGCTCTAAACGCCGCCCTGATCTTTTTCAATCCGAAACGCATCTCCGTCGGCAATGGTTACCACGGCAGCCATGGCGTCATCAGCATCATCTCCCGCCTCACGGGCCTCAAAAAGATCGATCTCGACTGTCCCGCCGAGCAGTTGGAAAAAGGTGACCTGATCCTACTCGAGACGCCCGTGAACCCGCACGGGACGTCTTTTAATATCCAGAAGTATGCGGAAAAGGCACATTCCCGCGGGGCTTACTTGCTTGTGGATAGTACCTTTGGGCCTCCTGGCTTGCAGGACCCGTTTCTATGGGGTGCAGATATGGTCATGCATTCTGGCACGAAGTATCTAGGTGGCCATAGTGACATGCTCTGCGGGGTATTGGCGACCAAGAATGATGAGTGGAGGCATAAATTGTTCATGGATAGGCAATACTTGGGAAATATAATGGGGAATATGGAGAGCTGGCTGGGTGTTCGAAGCTTGAGGACTCTAGAAGTTAGAGTCCAGCGGCAGAGTGAGAATGCCACGTCGCTGGTCGCATTCCTCGACCAGGCGCTGAAAGTGCCGAGTCCCGCGGCCAATGATCCTGCGAGAGTGGTCCAGGCTGCTGTGAAAGAGATTTTCCACTCCAGTCTACAAGAAAACGATATGGCTTGGCTGTCGAAGCAGATGCCCGGTGGGTTCGGGCCGGTTTTTTCTATGACGATGAAAGAAGAACGTCATGCCCGTGCGATTCCGTCGAAATTGAAATTCTTCCATCATGCTACGAGTCTTGGAGGGGTTGAGTCTTTGATCGAATGGCGCGCAATGTCGGATGACACTGTCGATCGAAAGCTTCTGAGGCTAAGTGTGGGCTTGGAGAGCTGGACCGATCTTAGGGATGATTTGTTGGCCGGATTCCAGGCATGCTTGAATCTGTGATACAAACATACGCCTGCGCTTTCAGCATCTACCTACATGTTCCCTCCGTACATACGCATACATCAGTACATAGTGGTTCCAGAGCCGACATAGGGAGATCTCTTAAAGGAAATGATGATTTTTAGTGTTTTAATTGTGCATACTGTTCAGCAAGCATCTCAACATCTATCGTCATCAAAAGTCAGCACGCCCAAATGCCATCTATCCCCGACATCAGACTGCTTCCACTGCTGTCTCGTCGGATCTCGCCAGTCACAGGGCGTTTGGGAATGCAGCGCAAATTACCCCGCACTCAACCTCCCCCGCACCTAGCAATTCCTGCCAAGCCTGGCGATCAGATAAAAACAAAACTTCTTTTCCTTCGCAGAGCCGGAAAGGTCATTATCCATTTGCATATCAAACGAAGACACCTTGCACACACAGAAACCATGACGTCCACCTCCGCCTCCCCAGCTTTCATCTCCAACCCGTCGACCGCCGCATCCCAACTCAATGGGACTTTTCAAATCCACTATTTCGCCAGCGCTTTCTCTTTTACCGGTAAAGCGACCGAACCACTTCCTGCTCCTTTGCCCGTGCACAAGCTCTTCGATATCCTGGACGAGCGATACCCCGGTATAAAAGAAAAGGTGCTGTCTAGTTGTGCAGTTAGTGTCGGACTAGAGTACGTGGATGCCGATGGGGAGGATGACGATGCGAATGGCAGAATAATACAGGCCGGAGAAGAAGTTGCAATTATTCCGCCCGTCAGCTCGGGCTAAAAGGTAGCCGGATGCCGCTGTCTAAGGTGACGCCTAGTTCCTAGAATATCGGGTTATGCGACATAGCTCTTTGACATGCTACCATTCGACTGTTTCAATGGAAACACATTTATATATCCCGCCGAGGATGCGTCCGGGCTGCAACGTGATGAGGCATGTCGGATGGATCATGTTAAAATCTGGATTGCTTTTATTCCTGGTGCTCTGCGACCCTGAGTTACCTGAGTCCCGTCGCCTCATGATCCTTTGTCTTACCTTTTTTGGGAGAGGAATAGAGTTTCATTGCGATTTACATTATCCTTAGGCAAGGCTACTTTTAGTTGCCTTTTGACTGATGATGGGTGGGCCATTGTGACCTTCGGAAAGCGGAAGTGTAGTCGATGCAAGCTTTCTCAGACATCGCCAACAAAGATTCCATGAAGTCACACAAAATGGGCCATATAATAGCAGCATGAAAAAGCTGGAGATTTTAACCGCATGTGCAGTTATTGTTGTTTGGAAGAAGTCCATGGGAAGCAGAATGGCGACAAATGATTTGCGAAGCTGAATCACATCAGCTCATATGTCTGGGGCACATACATTAAGGAATCAAAGCCTAAAGCGCTTAGAGTAGCACATCTTGATCACAAAATATCACAAAAATGTCCTTGCAGCTGAGTATGTGATGATGGTCAGTTTTTTCTTTCTGTGTCAGATTTTGTGTAACTCCTCTCACTTACAAGCAATATTGGATACAGGCTTTTGCAGATTGGGAACTACAGCATCGGATTGCTGCATGGCGATTTCCTTCTCAAATGCCATGAGTACTATTGCTCAGAAAGAAATTAACACGGAACAAGTCTTGGGTTGGATATCACCTTACACAAGTATCCATGAGAGTTGTTACAAGTGCGTGAACACACTTATATTGCATGGCATCAATATGATACCAAATGTATGTACTCTGTATATATGTACTGTACATGCATACATGTACATAAATTTGAACCAGTGCTTGCTTGTTTGTATCTGCCAGGGACATTTCGAGCAACATGGAACATGGTCATCAACAATGTTTTCGCCAACTCGTAGCGTTGAGACTCAACCTAAACCGCTGGATAGCTATGATCAGCGATGGGCGCCGTAGATCCCCGTTGCGACGTTTCACAGACGAACGACTCTCTGGAAAACCCGGACAATTACCGTCCTCCGCTTTCTGATATCGTCATTCGATACCATCGCATGCAGATGACTTGGTGCAAAACGAGTTGTGTTGATGGTGGTCTGAATTTTTTCAGAGCTCTCACACCCGCCCGCACCCTGCATTTCGAACGCCTGATATATGCCAAACAAAAGTGAATGTGGAATCAGGATGGTGGAGCAGGCGCCATATTGAGTCGCCAGGGTATATAAGCGGTGTCACTATCACCGACAAGTTCCCCCGGATCAGCCGATCTTCTCCGCGCATCTGCAATAAAGGCCCGTGAAATAGGAACGGAGAGTGAAGAGAAGCATCATGTGTGATGTTGTAAGTGTTTCTCTTTAACGGAAGGACTGTTGCTGTACCACGTTGAGAAGCCGAGGAAAGAGGCCAGTCCATTGCTAGGTCGTTCCACCAAGTTGTATCAGACAGCTCCTATGTGTTAGGAAGTGCCCGGCCAGTTATGAATTCCATTGATTCACTGCAGGTTTCTGGATAATTCTTCCGCCTCGGTGCCTCTGGCGTCGACGCTCCTTGACAGCATAAATACCAAGGCATTCAGTTATTTTCATCTCGTTTAATTCACCAACCCAGGTTCAAGGCTTGATGTATTGATATTCCCAAGTCAACTTTTAGCACTATTTTAGGGAGATCATTATTCATGATGAAGTTTGTCAGCGCTTTCATCGCTACTATAATTGCGGTACGCATCTTGGGCCTCGACATCCCGGAGTGCGCGGTAGGTTATCTCTTTTGGTTATATGCCAAATAACAACCTTGTTAATATTATTCGCAGACACGATGTTTTGAAGTTGCAGAATCCAATCTTGGATGCAATGTTCCAATTCAGTACAGCTGTCTTTGCGTACTTTCGCCCGTTAGCAATGATTTTCACCATTGTATATTCAGTCTTTGCAGTCCCGGTGACCAAGAGACTGCCCGTAATGTTGTGCACCAGCAATGCAGCCGAGGTTTCCCCCTAGTGAACGTCGAGACGCATCAAATGACAAGGAAGGTGAGGCACTTTTGGGATAACAAGTCATTTTTTGGCGTCTTTGTTAAAATTTCGATTTTATGGGCTGGCATAGCTAAGAAAAATCAATCCCGCATCGCAGCGGTCCATCCCCACGCAGCTAAGCAACGCCGGACCTGGCCAAAGGTAGTTAGCAACGCTTTCGTTTTCGCGTTCTGCTGCTTGAGTATGAGTCTTGTGGCGGTTATGGTTTGGTCACTTATCAGATTCTGGAGGACAGTTTTAAATATTCCGCCCCGAAACCTGGCTGCTACCGCGAACGCAAATTACGTATGCGGATATCCAGAAGCCAGAACACAAGGCTTTTGCCAACGAGTCATGACCACGCTTTGAAAAAAGAAGCCACCTAGGTTCGCAAACGAGCAGTACAAAAGGAGGACATCGAGGGTTTATCTGATCTTGGATGTCACAGTGAAGGGTTCGTGGCTCCATATGAAAGGCCTCTCTGCGTGTATTTCCTTAAACATTATCATTGATCCAGTTAGTGTCTATGAGCCAATTTGTGCTGTATCTTGTGAAATTTTATTAAACATCATTTTTCCTCGGCCTCCCTGCTGCTGCTTCATTCCGGGCTGGTGTGAGACGAAGCGGGTCCACAAACCCATCCAGCAAACGTTACCGTTAACATGCAATATAGATTTGCGCAGGTTACCTCCCATCAGCATGCTGATGTTTCGCTGCAGAAAACGGTTTCGAAGACTTTTGCCCTTGCAAGCACTGCGGGTCCAGTTACGACTCGGATATGCAAGATCACGGGAAATGTGACACCTTCGCGGCAGGCTACATCTTAAGTAAAAGTGAGTAACCAAAACTGGCTGGGCCAGGGTCATTGGCCCGGGACGAAAGGGGATGCATCCCTATTTGCCTGCTCGCAATCCATCATGACATTAGCTGGGGGATTTGACTGGAATATAAAATATCGTTGACAATAAGGAAATTAGGAGCTTAAGTATCAGCGCTACAAATCTCACCTGTGTATTCCCATGCCTTCTCCGCGAGCTGCTGCCCGAATGCAGCCTCTTTTCTTGTGCTTTGCAGCCTTATGAGGCTTCCCAGACCTGAAATTGATAGTGATATCAAAGTTAATAGAATTCAAGATAGAGAAACTGGCCGGCTCTCCCAAGGAAATCCATGGTATTTGGTTTGGTATATGCGTAGCGAATGGGATCACAAGGCAAATAACATTAAAGAAATTATCGGTGCCATACGCAGAGCTTTAGTTTCGACTTAAGCGAACCACGTCGATGTAGGTTAGTTATGCGATAATATATATTGATGAAAACTTAGCGGATGCCGCCAGTCAAGCATCCTGAAATGGCCGCGCATGCTTCCAGGCCTTCTCGTTCCCGGCTATCTGCACCAAAATCTGCTTTTCTAAGATTGCCAACTTCCTAGTAAGCAGCCCGTAGTCTTCATGGCCGACCCAGCCGTTTTGCTGCGCAACCGCAATAGAGAATTGCCTAGACAAAAGCTGCAGCAGACGGAGGCAAGCAGTGGAGTGCTGGAAAACTGCTTGCAGTCATGAACGTGGCATTCCTCTAAGATCCGGGGTCCAAATTTTTTGCCCGGGAATAATGATTACGACCTGAAAGTGACAATATGAGTATATTACCTGTCGAAAGCTAAAGGGGGACCACCTGTTGGCGTACTGTCTCTCGGCAAACATTAATTCCAACTACCTCTGTGGTAGACTGGATTTGACCGCAGTCACCTGAAGTCCTGTCGAAGATATTATTTTGTCTAACGAAGTCGATGGCCTTGATATATAGCCGCTCAAGGATCTTGTCATGCGCCAAGTCAAAGGCTCAGTCAACGGTGATAGATGATAGATGCTTAAAGTATGCCATTGGTACTAAGTTTAGTGATTGGACGAAAGTCGGAATCTTCCTATGCTGTTCGCTCTGCGTTCCCCAAAAACATTCAGAAGTCACAATTTTCGTAAACACACCGCAGCAGAAACATTCTTTTGCTTGTCCTTTGGACCCAAGTGATCACAATGGACGGATAGATAAGGCACCTGGTACGACAGGATATCGATAAACCGGAGTTTTCCCTCGGTTTCTTCTTCTTTCCACCCTTTCTCCTATGGGAGGGACCATGACCGTAGGGCATCTTGCGGAGTGGGATTTGACCAAAACGAGAAGGAAAGAGTGGTTAGGACCTTCATATATCAAATCGTAAGTAAAAACTACTTTACACCCCGATGTGACCGGCCTAACTCCATGGTAACAGTGGAAACCCAGACCCTGAATGATGCTCGATACACCGACAGTAGAGTCGTTTTTAACGTACAAGTTCGGCCACCGTGGCTGAGAACGAACTCTCTGCCCTTATGCTGCAATGGCAAACAGGTAAACAGGGTGCCGAATATTCCATCCAATCTAGGCTAATTCTGGCGAGAAAGGGGAAATCACCCTCCTGGTCAATGAGCAGCTTGCCACGTTCTATTCCGACATGCTTGGCAGGACTTAGGATTTCCAATCTTCAAGTAATAAATTGTTGCAACAGCTTGGCGGATTACCTTCCATGTGGGGGTTTGAGTTTCCAGCCGACTTTCATCCAATTCCCAATATTTCGTGGTCGAACAGCCATCTGGTTCGTCTTTCCTCGCTTCATAGCTCCTCCAGGAGCGGGTATCGGTAATGGCTGCCACATCGTGAGGAGACAATGGAAGGCCAACGGGACTAAGGCCCTGCACAGTCAAGCCGGTATTTGAGCCATCGTCGGCAGCATTGAAATGAACAAGGTCGCATTTTCGGAAAAGTTCGTCAAGTTCTAAGGGGAGATTTCCTTAATCGACACGATCTCAGGCGAGTCCTGCGATTCGTCATCGAATTCCAATCGTAGCAGCTTCCGCTTTCATGGTTTGGCACCACGGATCGTAACGCGATGCATTGACGATACATAGACGGAGTGGGAGGGAGGTTGGAAAGGCAATGTTTGTGCGCAACACAACGTGATAGGATAACTCCGTCCTCCGGATGTAAATCGGATAAGGAAATGCCCTAAAACGAGGAAAACCCATTCAATGCAACATTGTTTCACAATATTGCGGGCAATTATTTCGAATCCGGGAACATTGCAAAAGACCTTTCTTCCTCCTGCTGATTTCTTGGACTCCACGTCCCGAAAGTCGCGTCCCGAACAAGGCCCAAGGAAACGCGCTGAGAGTTTTAGCTAGGCCGGTTAGCTAAACCTTAAATAAGGTTAACTAATTTATCTTGCTCGATGACATCACAGCCAAGATCCCTGTCAAAATGGTTGTGGAAGTGTGGAAAAAAAGGGATCATCACCTTCGCTGCGTCTGGTATCCGTGCTGAAATAAGGAGCATGGATAAGATATTTTCTCTTTACGGAGCACTCCGTACATTGCAAGCTATCGATATCAAGTAAAGACTGGGGGGTTCCAGTAGATAAAATACTCCATTGCCACGGCCGTCTCTCTGCACCTGTCCCAACCCCTTCAATGCCCAAATGCTAAATACGTCATTCGCTCTTCCACTTACCCCGGGTTATGCATCTAGCGCCAAAAGTTTTCATCCTCCTGCTTATGCAGGTGGGGCAGCAGGGAAGTTATTATCAGAAATCTTTGGCAACCATCCCGAGGTATCCTTGCAATAAATTTCCGCAGCGACCGGCCATCCTTTGGCACCATCAAGTGCTGCGGTGCGGACGATGTATTTCCCAAGAACAGTTTGGTGATGATAGACGTGGGTAGAGCAAGTTGGACAGAAGAAGCAATGCACATCGTTCCCTGTTCCCGCAAGCGATGTTAGTAAGATAATCCACTGGTTAATCAGCATCCTTGCAAGGTTGTGCGGACCAGAGTCTCCCTTGTACGTGTATTTGGATAGGTTCCCTTTTTCGAGGTTGAAGTTCTCTTGCGGGATAACTTGGTTCAAGGTGAACTCTCCGCCGTTGATCTGCTTGCACGCATCGCAGTGGCTAGATTTGTAAAGTTAGTATCTTCAATTTCTCCATGCGCCTCACTCGCCTAGGGAACTGGCGGGCGAGAACGAAGGGTTTGGATTAATACCAGAGGATATGCGACTTCTCCTGGTCTGCGAGCTTCACAGACCATTCAGACTGACCACAGTGGCACTTTCCACGGACGGTACTCATTTTTAGCTAGTGGTGGGTTGTCGATTCTCTGATGTGATGACGGATGAAATGCGAAGTTTTTCGGATAATTGCGATTTAATATAGCTATCGGGAGTTTGGACATCGTTCGAATTGGGCACTTGGACCGAATTTATAGGCAGAGTGTCTCGTGTCCACAGCTCAGGCCCATTCAGCTCCCGTCAGTTCGTCCATCCGCTCAGGAGGCCTGTGTCACCCGGGACATGTACCATCTTTGTATCGACCGATCATCCCGCATATTCAGCAAGGATAGCTCCTCTGTACGCTTTACATCTGACGTCTGGGGCTCTGGCCCACACCCCGCACTCGTTTTGCATCCGTGGAAATCTGGGGCCTTAGCGTTCAACAGAGCAATTCTACAGCTAGAAAATGCTTGAGGCCTCGCAGCCGCCACGGGTCTCATATTGGACGAACCATCGTCGAGACAGGAGTGAAGTTGAAAAAAGGAGGTCTTTCATTAATAATAGGAGGTTCTTTTGGTAGCAAAGTTGTAACAAACTTTGCTCCGTCGTACATGAATCCTTGGTTCCCCCGGGCATGTGGCAAACCTGGCCGGAACGCATCCCCACGTGACTTGCCGAGAAAGAATCGGAGTCGCTCGGGTCGCCCCGTTACATAATCCGCTGGCTCGGTCTAGACGCAATTCCTCCATCGCAGAAGCAAGTTATTAGAAATCGGAGCAAAGGATTGAATTGACCTTGTTTGGGACCAATCACCTGGAACCCAGGTATATCATGCATGAAGATCCGATTTATATTCGATCCCAAGCCAGACCCCCGTTCTCGAGCAATTTCAACAAGCCACCCCGCTGTTTGATCTGCGAGATTCAACTTCGCCAGATCTTGCCTGTACTCCCTCCAACCGTCGTGTAGGTCTGATCTCTCGAGGGTGTGGGGGCACATGGGCTGGTTCAGATCATAATTCTTTCTTTTTTTTTTTAGAACTTTGGCCCCATATTCCGCATCGCCGTTTACTATCTGCATTACGGAGTGCGGCTGTCTTGACGTTGACGTTGTTCTACAATATGACAAATCCTAGCGGCAAACAGCCTAATCCCGTGAGACCAGCGCCCCTGGCATGTCTAGAATGTCGCCGCAAGCACCTCAAGTGCGACGGTGGCACCCCTGTCTGTGGACGATGCCGCAAAGCCCAGTCTGACTGTCAGTATACGCCTTCCCGCCGTGGTTATAAGCCAAGCTCCAAGCCGCCGGCCCCTTCGACGATAGGTCGTACTCCACGCGCTGAGGCTCCACCCCAGCCGGCTGGAACCCCGATAGGGCCGCCTCAGTCACCGTTCCTGGATCCCTCTTTGACCATTCCAGGCATACCTTTATCGCAATCGCTGGATCGAATGGGGTTGATGTCGACCGATCGAATCTCCCTGGACCCTGACGTCTTCACGATACCAGACACCTCCGCCTATCTACAAGGAGATGGGTTGCTTTTCGACTACTATTACGCATTCTTCCACGACGCTCATCCGATCCTTCCCCCCTCGCATCTGCTGCATCGCTTAGCGCCAATTCCACCATGTCTACAGGCGGTTATGAGATTCATCGGCGCTCATTATACACTCGATCCGTCGGCTGATTTATACAGAGAGTCCGTTGTGACAGAATTAGCAGCGGCTACTGAACCGTCTTTCTACAAGGTCCAAGCTCTTCTTCTATTTTCGATTGTCCTGCACGCACGGGATGAACGAGCCGATGGTGTAGAGTCGTTCTCGGCAGCTGTTGACTTGGCCTTTGGGATGGGTATGAACAGAGCCTCGTTCGCCTCAACTCTGGGCGGTGACGATCCTGTGCGGGTGGAAACACTCCGACGCACTTGGTGGGAACTGTACATTGTTGACGGCATGTTTTGTGCTTTTGACCAGATGACTTCGAAGATCAACAATAGTACGCTGATGGACACGCTGCTTCCGTGTGACGACTTGAGCTATTCAGCGGGTATCTACCTCACCGAATCACCATCCCCGACACATTTCTATGATCGTGTTTTTGCAGATGATGACGAAGATTTTTCTTCCTTTTGCTACGCTGTCGAAGCCGGCCGGATTCTCAAGCGAACTTTAGATCTCGGTTACGCCATTGATGATTACCAGCTCGCAGACCAGGTTGAATCAATTGATGCCAGCATCGGTAGCTGGTTCCATCATCTTCCGAACTCCAAAAGAAATATCCTTGGCCCGGATGGCACCGTCGACCAATTACTCTTCCGGGCACATATGATTATCAACTGCGCGCTTATATACCTCCACCTTCCTCGCTCAAACCTTCTATCAACCCCCACCGCCACTGCTAGTATCCCCTGCGCCCGACGCAGTCTCTGCATAGCAGCAGCTTCATCAACAAACCTCACCCACGCCATCAAATCCATCAAAGCTGCGAACGATCTTGCTGCTCTTGCGGCGCTCCGATCCACAGTAATAAAGCAAACTCCATTCTTCATCTGTGGGCTCGTACTCAGCGCTATCGTCCAGCTCTGTGCATGCTCCGTGAGGGCATCCAACTGTTTGCAGCCACGGCGAGACCGAATCGCCCTCATCGTGGGAGAACTCAAAGCACTAAATTCTACATGGGTAATTTCACGATTGGTGATGAAACAAATCAAGCTTGTGGCGAGAGAGGTTCTGGAGATTGGAATCCAACAGCCGTTGTTTCCCGAACTGGAGGACCAGGGTCCAGATATCAGCTCGATCATCAGCAGTGACGTTTGGCTTGGAGACATCCCCATTGAGCAATGACTTTTCATAGAAGCCGGATCTTTGGCTATTCACTGATATACTTCGTTTACTTCTTCTGCTGTATTATTAAGTCACTATTTTCTTTTTCATTTTCCGCGGAAACCATACCCAGTTAATAGAAATATAGATGTTCAGCATTATCTACGTACCAACGTAATTCGAGAGTAATCAAGTCGCCCTCGAGGCCTTTCCCGGTTTTCAACAATAAGTTTTTTCCCTCAAAGTCAAATCCACCAGCCCGAGGAATTGCGAAGGGAACTTTTCCCGCCCCAAGGGAAAGGGGTTTCCCATCGGGGTCTATCGGGGACCACGAGGCTCGAATATTGACTTTTCGAGTGCCCACAATGCCAAGCCCGTGGTACGACCGGGCCGGGGAGCTCCCGGTGGGGATATTCTCGGCATATGACGTAGTTATATTCAGCCTTATCTCAACGACGGAGGAAAGAGAGTAGTTGAGTGCTATCATGAATACAATCGGCCTGGCGATGGAAAAGGGGAGAAGGAGAAAAGAAAAGAAAAAGAAAAGAAAATTAAATTATTCTGATACCTAAGTCTACGCAGTACCCATGGAAGCGGGACAAAGTCAACCCTAATCAGGAAGAAGGAAAACTTGCCAAAGACTCGTCAAATAACATGGTTCTTAACAGTCAGTGAACCTTAACCAGAAAGCGGGAAAACAATCGCCGCTTATTTTTTCCTCAGCATCAACATCGCCCACCCAAACAACCGATAAACGGCGATAATCGCAATCAGAATGCCTACCCACTTCCCTTCTCTTCCAGTCTTGTAGCCATATGCATTGAGCACTCCCGTTCCGGCGATCTTACATTGATCCGATAGCTCACTAGGATACATGCATTGACAGCCTGAGGCGCAATCATATGTCCGTTTCGAAAACTCGTTTACCATCATCCCTTGGAAAACGTACGCCTGGTAGTCAATGTAATGGAAGACGTACTTCCAAAACACATTGAGGATGGTCGGGGAAACAAGGAATCCCCCAACGCTCATCCAAAGGCCGTTGGCGAAGGCGGTGAGAGCAAGAGCAATGACAAAATTGGGGAACAGCGAGGCCATAAGCACCACTAGAGATTCTCCAGCAAGGAGGTCAAGGAAAAGCCACATTACAAATGTGAAGAATGCGCCAGCACCATCGCGGAAGTTCACAAGCCAATAGGCAACAATGGAGAAAAGCAGTGTGATTAGGACTATGGAACAGTTAGCACAGATCTTCCAAGAAACTAGGAAGAGAGCCACTTACATAAAAATGGAACCCCGATGATGAAGTTTGAAATGATAAAAGATGTCGCACCGTAAAGTCCGTTGGCCCTCTCTTTGATGAACGTGGACCTATCTTCAAGGAATGAGGGCACATATGCTACAGCCATAAATGACATAAATGCTGAGCTGAAGAACTGTGGCACTGTAAGTAACAGGGATCGTAAGAGAGGAAGAGCAATGTTCACTCACAAGAGCATTAATAAAGGGCTGAATATTCTCCTGGTGACTACCCAAACGCAGCCACACAGTCCCCATCATTATAGCCAACCCTTTTACAGTGTTAGCATTGGCGAGTGATAGACGAACGGAGAGGAATACATACCAAGATACATGGCAATCCGAATACCATAGGCAACAACATCCCGGTAGCTCTTAATGAAAGACCGATGAAGCAAAGTCAATATAGTCATCAAGAAACCAACTTTCCCGCCTTTTGGAGTCGAAATGTGTTCGAATTTCTCGGCCATACCCATGTGAGACTCTATCTCAGCATCGATCTGAGAGGCCTCTGGAGACCTGGCCCAGACATTATGAATTTGGCCAAGCCGATCGGATGCGGCTTCCCTATTATTCGCGAAATCCGTACTCACTAAATCCAAAACGAATTCGGCAGGATTTGTTTGTAGGGGCATAAGATAGCCAGCGCCATCAAAGTAAGATTTCATTTGTGTCCCTGGCCCAAAATAACATGTTTTTCCAGTCGATAGGATCAGAAGCTTGTCAAAAGTTTCGAAGGTGGCCGTCGATGGTTGATGGATGCTCGCGATCACAATGAGCTGTAAAAGCGTTAGCTTACTCCTAGCTAATCGAAGTGGAAGAATATACACACCTTGTTTTTAACAGCAAGCTCTTTTACGAAGGACATCACCTCAAAGCTGGCAGTAGAATCTAACCCGCTCGTAGGTTCGTCCAAGAACAAGATTTTCGGTCGAGTGATGAGCTGGCTCGCAACGCTCACACGACGTTTCTGACCGCCACTGATCCCCTTTTGAATTGGAGTTCCGATCAAGGTTTTGGCCTGATTTTGGATACCAAAGGCGTTTAGAAGGCTTTTAATACGATGTAACCGCTCCTTTTTCGAAATTGAACTGTAATATGTGAGATAATACAGGATAACCGCTGTTAACAATGCGTGCTTACCTGGAAAGCGACAATTGGGCCGCGAAATACAGTGTCTCTTCCACTGTTAAAGATCCAATAAGGACATCTTCTTGTTCAACGTAGGTACTGATGCGTCTGAATGTCTCTAGGGGCACTTTTCTCCCGTTTACTAGGATATCCCCCTCGACGCTCGCCGCCCCAAGACTGCTGTTTCGATGGGCAAGGACGTTCAACAAGGTGGTTTTGCCGCTCCCCGAAGGGCCCATGAGGACCATGAGCTCTCCTGTTCAATGTTGTTAGCACTCCAGGTGCACAGATTTCAAAGAGCAGGATATTCTCTTTTGTATTTTATTTTATTCTTCCTTTATTAAAAAAATAAAAATAAAAGTAGAAGAATAAAAACTTACCTTGATTCACATAACCAGATGTATCCGACAAGATACTTTTCCTTTTCTTCGTTTGGCGATCTTTGACATTTACTGTAACACCCTTCCATGCGAAGCTATGAACAGTATCATTCATCAAAAAGCTGTGCTCATTTTCATTAGACTCGAGGTCTACATTTGTATTTAGATATTCTGCTGACATCCTGACCCAAATTAACAGAGAATTTAGTCGAGGATCGTGACAGTTGTAGGCAGTTTCAAGATCTTGAAGGCAGCAATAGCACCCTTTTATACTATGAAAATTATACGGAGTAGATCAGAACAATCTACAAATGCATTTGTGATTACTGTCATACAAATCACCGCAGAAAAGCTCGTCAGCGGGAGCCCGACCCAGATCGGCGACCGTGTAACGGCGACCTGAATCTTGCACAAAACAGGCTTCCACAGAAATTAGAAAAATCAAAACATCAATATTCTAGTGAATATCTGTGGCCCACAGATGGAATTTAAGTGTAATTGGGCGAAGACCCCGACTGAATGCGCAATGCAGCCCTGCTGCCATCCCTCTCTCGGCAGAACTTTCTGTGCGATGGCCAGTTAGCGCACGCAGACGTATGGGGCCGCTATGGTCCGCGAAATCCGCGTTGTGAGTTCCGGGGTTCTCTGGCTGAGGTACCCGAAACCTTGAGTTTCTTCTCTTATCGTTCCCTCTCAGCTCGCCGCCGCTGTTGTAGGTCGAGCTGGAGCTTGGTTGACGTTGGACACCTGCTTGCCGCTATTATTCATCCTCGCCGTCCATCTTGCGCCCGGGGGTTGATTATTTAATCCTGCCCTCACGGCCTGGGTTTATTCCGTATCTGGCTAGCTATGGGAAGCGGACTAACTAGCCCATAATAGTTAGGTAAATAACCTTACCTATCAATTCCTCAAACGGATCTTAGTCGGGCCGGCCTCAACGCCGCTTGTCAGGGGAACGGTCTTGAAAGCGAGCGGGAAGTGAGTTCAAGAAAAATGGACATGTAGCCTTGCTGCTTCCTTGATATAAAGGGATGCTACTCAATGCTTCCGCCCTGTCGACCAGGGTTCTCATCCTCTCGTTGACAGGACTCATCCTCTTCCTTTGGCTGCTCGTCCCTGGCAGCTCCTCAACCATCAAAAACACCATCTCCATTACCACCAGTAATCATGCCTCTGCTGGGACGCTAGCTGAGCGACAAGTTGATTTCTGGAGATCACTCCTTCCTGTCCTCGAATCCGCGGCGCCCAATTGTCCCTCCCCGAAACGAAATGGCACGACGGGCGCGATCGGTTTCGACGCCGCCAATCCCCCAGAGCGCCCGGTCCGCATCGAAATGCTAGATACCGATATTCTGCAAATGCGCGATGCACATTCACAATTTCTCCAGAAAATCAGGGAGACACCGGGATTGCGACCGGTCTATGTACCAAAGACGAGGGGGATAGTGTATGCTGCTGGCGGAAAATATCTTCCCGTATTTGTCATTGGTTTGCGCATGCTGCGCCGCACGGGATCCCAACTCCCAGTCGAACTGTTTTTGAAAGACAAAACGGAGTATGAGCCAAGGATTTGCAACGAAGTGCTACCAGTTCTAAACGCAAAATGCGTCGTGCTGGCAAATATTCTGGAATCCGCGGTCTCAAATTCAACGAAAGTTGAGGTAGCAAATTATCAACTAAAAGCATTTGCGATGCTATTTTCTTCATTCGAAGATATTGTCTGGATCGATGCAGATTGTTTTCCCCTGCATAAACCGGAAAATCTTTTGGATTCCGAGCCATATACGGGCACGGGCATGGTGACCTGGCCAGATTTTTGGATCTCTACTGTGTCACCTCAATATTACCTCATCTCCCAACTCCCAGTTCCCCCAATCAGTCTTCGGGCCTCTTCTGAGACGGGAGAGTTTCTTATTTCCAAGAAGAATCACCAATTGACTCTCCTCCTAGCCACTTATTACAATTACTACGGCCCATCGCATTATTTTTCCCTCCTTTCTCAAGGAGCCCCAGGGGAGGGAGACAAAGAAACATTTGTGCAAGCCGCTTCCGCTGCCGGCGAGCCTTTCTACACCGTCAGCGAGCCAGTGAAACCTATTGGGCATCGCAAGGAAGACGGCCAAATAGCTGGCTCTGCGATGGTTCAGTTCGACCCTATTGAAGAATACAAGGCTCTTAAACACAAAAATACCAAACCACCGCGCTCAAACGCCCCACAAATCAACCACCTGGCTCGCCCACGCGCATTTTTCATACATGCCCATTTCCCCAAATTCAATCCCGCGACCGTATTCTCTAATACCTCAGAAACAAAGCCCACCTATAAACCCGATGGGAGCGACAGTCGTGCATGGCTGGTCGACGAAGATACCATTAAAGCGTTTGGATATGATGCTGAGAAAGCGTATTGGGAAGAGATCAAGTGGGTGGCGTGTAATCTGGAAAATGAATTCCAGTCGTGGAAAGACAAGACAGGAATATGCAACAGGGTAAATCAGTATTGGAATAATGTTTTTGGGGGAGAACAACCTGATGAGCTGAACCTTTGGAGTATGTGAACTAGAGAGGTTTGTAATTTTTCCACAGCTTGATTATTGAGGTCCTCTTTTTTTCCAAGGGCTTGATTCGTGTGCGGGAGTAATTATTCGAGCAATGATAGCACAATTAAATCTAAATTAGAGTTCACCTACCTCATTATTCACAATGAGCTTAAACCCGGCCCAGGGACAACGTAACGCCCCAAGGAAAGAAAAAAAAAGCAAAAAAAGACAAGAAAGGCTCGGTTTGTAGGCATGATATTAGTTTTCAACACTACAATTTCATTGCAGATATAAGGGGAGGGAGGCTTTGCCTCATCCCGTCGTGCTGTCTAAGGCCTCTCTCTATGGGATAATGGCAAGTAGAAAGTGACAAGAGTCAATATGTACAATCCAAAGGAAAATCGAATGAATATATCCCAGAAAGGTCTAAAGCCTCCCGCAAAAGGCACACGTGTAGTATAACAGTCCAACTTGTCCCATTGTAACACAAAAGAATATTATGCGGGTAGAGAAGGATCGATTTGATCAAATCTATTAGATACCGATAGAAGCAGCAAATTCCAAATCCTTCTTGCTCCACTGGTGTTTCTCCTCATCGAACTTCCTGTTTTTCTCCTCATAGAGTTTCATAGTAAGCTCTTTGTATTGGAAAGCATGGCCGCCATTATATCGGATACCATGGTCAGAATCAGTGAACCATGTGCCAGCCATTTTGTTGGGTGATACACCGGCACCCATGAGCAAGTCTGACAAAGCAGCGGAATGCTGGAAATGGACGTTGTCATCGCCCGTGCCGTGTTGGAGAAGGAAACTTCCTCGAACGTTCTTAAAGCCCTCTGTCTTGCGAACGGCACTGGCATTGTAACCGGCTTCATTCATCTCGTAAGTCTTCATGTATCGTTCGGTATACATGCTATCGTAGAAACGCCAGTCCGAAACAGGGGCGGAGCTAATACCGAAGGAGAAACGGCCGCTGTCGGTTTCCAGTGTCTTGGCCGTGAGGTAACCTCCATAACTCGTACCCCAAATGCCAATCCGCTCCTTGTCTACATATGGGAATTTAGAGAGCACCTTGGCAGCATAGACCTGGTCCTCAGCTTCAAGAGCACCGAGTCTCTTGGCGACCGTCGAACGGAATTTTCTTCCCTTAAAGCCAGTACCCCGGTTATCGACAGTCCAGGTGATGTATTCGAGTTCTGGATCGGATGCAATATAGGCGGTCCAGCCAAAAGATTGGAAACCAACATGAACCTGTTGAGAGTTTGGTCCCCCATATGGTGTGAATAACACGGGATACTTTTTCCTGGGGGAGAAGTTGGCGGGAAGTCGCTGCATCACATTAAGAGTTTCGCCTGATGGGAGCCGAATATCGAGATAGTCAATTCTGGGAAGTTTGTATTCCTTGAGCTTGTTCACAACATCAGCATTGCTATTAATTGTCCGGATTGCCTTCCCGGTCCTGGTTGCAAAGAGTTCCTGGTAAGGGACATCCGGACCCTGGTAGTGGAGGACATAATAACCACCCCTTGCAGAGAAATTAGCAGTGTAGTGGCCAGCCTCACGATCATTGACTAGAGCTTTTATTTTCATATCGCGGTATGAAACCGAGTAAAGATGACGTTGGGTACTGTGGCGCTTGGTGGCAACGAAATAAATCAACTGACGTTCAGTGTCGACGTGGTTCAGAGCAGTAACCTCCCAACGGCCACGGGTGAGTTGGATGGGCTCTCCTTCACCGACAGGGAAAAGATAAAGGTGACTCCAGCCGTCCATATCGGAGATATCGACATAGTAATTTGCCCTGCTGTTGAACCGGCCGCCCTTGATCTTACCGATGTAGCGGATAGCCTGGTTATTTTCGAGCCAACCATCTGTACCATCACGTTCTTGTATGATTGAACCCGCGCCGGACTCACTGTCCACCAGGATAATCTTTTCCCTGTCCTGAACGCGATTGAAAGCTCTGAGTGCAACTTTCTCGTGACCATCAGTCAACCATTTAACTTCACCAATGATGAGGTCATCCGCCTCAAAAGCATCAAGTGTCACATTCTTTTGTTCTTCGGATTCGACATTCAGAAGGCGGAACTGGACAGTAGGGTTGGTTTGCGACACTTTAGGATAACGAAGCTCCAATTCTCTTGGATACGGAGGGGCAAACTTCTGATTATCCATGTAGTATGGGATAGTGTATGTTGGGACGCCAGTTTCGTCGGTCCTCATGTAAGCGACATATTCGCCGTCGGGTGAAAACCACAACGCAAACGGAGTACCGAAAATTTCCTCTTCATATACCCAGTCTGGAACACCGTTGAAAGTATTTGGGCCTCCATCTTCCGTGATTTGAGTGACCTCTCCGTTCTTCCAGAGGTATAAATTGTTATTGCGGACATAGGCGATAACATTTCCCTTGGGACTCCAGGCAGCGTACTGGATATCGCCGTTTTGGTCATTGTCCAGGGGAGTCAATGAGCCAGATTCCAAATCGAGAATGTGATAATCCGCAAAGAAGGAATGCCGATACTGTTTTTTGTAGTTTGTTGCCCACAGAACGGCGGAGAGATCTGGCTTAATGTAGTAGCTGTAAGAGTTCTCTGGAACTTTGTCGGCACCAACTAGCGTTTCGCTTCTATTTGTAGCAATATTTTGGATAATGAGCGTTCCGTCGTTTTCCTGGAAGACGTATTGCCCATCTTCCTCTCCGGGTATCCAGTCGACAAAGGTGGTTGTCGGTGAGATGACGCGCCTGGTGACAGTCTCGTTGTAAGTCAAAAGCTTGCTGCCACCGCCTCTGGGTGGGAAAGGCTTGCGTGGCGGGTCGACAGCCAGGCAGAGACCTGCGAGGAGGAGGAGAGAAGCGATCTACACGACGGAATCAGCTCTAGAAACCTATATCTGGAGCTTTGTTTGCTTCAACGGCAGTTTCAATTTGAAGCAGAGAAGCGCATTTGACATACCTTCATCTTCAAACGAATGTAATGTGAGCCAAATCAATAAAGCATCACACTCAAGAAGGAGACTCCCTTCACAGTCGCTGAGGTCCGTGTCTCAGTGTCTGCCTCCACAGCTGCTGGAGTCAAAAAAGGACCACAGTGTTGGGAAATCCGGGGGATCAGCAGCTTTATCAACGACAACATCCCTCCCCTGGACCGAACAAAGCCAGGTCCTTGCAGGTGCACTCAGCTTCGGTGCCGGCCCTGTCTCTTCTGGGCACGTTTATAAAACTAAAGTGACTTGGTTTGTCTTGGCGAATCGGGCACCGTGGAAAGGATGTAACATCAGGTGCCAGGGCAGGTTCTGTGGTCCAATCCACATAGTGTTTCTCTCTTCCTCCTGACGGGGATAGAGGCGGAGTTGCACACGGCAAGCTTCCCGTCTCCTCACTTGGCCCATCATCCATGAAACCCCCCCCCGGTGTTGTCGGTAATTTTCTCTTGCCATTGCGACGTGCACCCAGAGGGTTCCGTTTAATTTTGCACAGCAATTGAATTTTTGGCCTTTTTGGCCTTTGGTTCGCAGTGGGAATGCACATCTGCCCAAGCTACAGCTGGCCTGCCGGCCAGTTCGGTGGGCTTGTTGTGCCTGAGAGTGCAGGAGGTGACATTCCGAGTTGGTTTATCATCAGCAGATCATCGGGAAATAAACTTTAACTCCGAGGCGGAGGAGCAAACATTAGCACGCTCCCGGGTTTGCACGCAAACCAAGCCAAGCGGTTTATCCCCCTTGCCCAAGTTGTTTTCCCGTCAATCCCCCAGCCTGTTTCCCCTCCAAGCTTGCGCACGGCGCGCCGTTCGATAATACATGGAATTCTCCTTGCGAATAGATAGCACCTCGCACCTCCATATGGCAGCTTATACGAGCGATAAAGCGAGTCCCACTTGCACGCGGCGGTATCCTGGCGTGGAATCTCGCTCAGAAGCGAGGAATCCTACCTCGATTAACTCTTAATTTCATTTCGTGTCCTACCCTTGTATGATTTGGCTTTTGGAAAAGACCATCGATCTTAATCCCGGACCCGGGCAATTTGCGGTCATCAACGGAGCTATTCATAGCCAAGTCCTTACCAACCGAATGAGATGGGAGAACAGTCTTCTGTGGGTAGACACTCGCGAGTTGCTTGCACCACTGTCTGGCCTCCAATTCGTCGTCACGTATCTGGGGGTAACAAGTCGCTTGACTCGGTTAATTTCAAGGTGCATGAGTTCAGAGGTGTTATCCGTCACGAATATGCCAAGGATGTTACCGATGCTACCTGTATAAACGACTTAAGCGGCTACCGTTTGCGCAGGTGTCGCTCTTAATACTTCTCGGTTCATACAGGCATTGGCAGCCGAAAATCATCGGCAACAGCGTACACCACACAGCCATCAGTGAAGAGTAGACGTTCGCAGGCAATGCCCAACCATCCATCGGGTGTTGATAATTGATAGCAAAATGAAAGAGTAGCTTCCATATGGCCTAGACCATACTGTATTGAATTAAGACTGGCCACAGATCCAGACGGATGTTTCCGCCAGATAAACTAGAAACCGCCCAAAACGCCTTCCCCTAATTCCATGCTTCCAAAGTATCCATAAAACTTGTTCGTTACATCATTCCTCATATCAAAAATGAAAACCCAGCAGCTACCTATGCGCAAGACGACGCACCGCCGGATGCTGTACAGGGTTGACCTTAACAGGTAACGAAGCATTAGTATCACCAACGGAGTCACTTCTCATCCACTTTAGAAACAGATCATAATTCTTTGTGTTCCCTATGTCGGAGAGATCATAGAAACCTCTTTTTTGAATGACAAGATGGTTGTCATCAAACTGAGCTAAAAGGATGCGTGCCGTGGTGCTGAAAAGGGACAAGGCCTATAGCTGTTTAAGAAAAAAAAAATGAATTGACTACACATGCAGTAGAGAAAGGAGAAAGGCAGGGCAGACGTAGAGGAAATATTTCATGGTGGAGGTATTTCCACAAACTCGTCCTCCATCGAATGATGGAGAGGATGGGGATGACCTCGGTTCTTGCCGACGGATCTTCAGGCTCTGCGTCGTGTTGTATTTGGATTTTGCAATGTGGGTATTCCGTGGATGGGGCCTCGACCTGGTCATCCACGATCCGGTCATAATTCGCTCCATGGCATTAATGTTCCAGTACGCCACTTTGATCTCCCCACCCAGCAGCCGGGAAGCCTATTGAGCGGATATGATTAGCTTGGGTGCTATATAGCTAGTCTTGAAAAGCGTTGAAGGATCAGAGCTTTCTGGGCGGAGAAAAGGATCGGGTGTTGTCCTACAGCTACTCTTTCTAGTTGGGGTGTAGCTGTTCGTAGTCCCAAAACTTTGACTTGAGCCACAAAGGAGGCATTTCTCAAGTTGTAACCCACCGCCCTAGCTCTGTGTTGATGCAGCTTCTTGCAGCTTATCTACAGTAACAAGTCCCATATCAGTCCACGGAGCCTGTGGAAGCTCGCTTTCAGGGACAGGTGCATAGAAACAAGGCTGGAGTTGGTCCGGTTGGGCCACGTCGAGTGGGAGCAGTCTGATATTCAATCGATCGAGGTCACTCTCGTCAAAGGAGCGGGGTTTGAATGATTTTGCGTTGAAATCATCGACTTCAACTGTCGCATCACGGTCTGTAAGATCTCGCTTTACTGCCGGAGCCATCTTCAGGAATTGCCAAAGATGCAAATGGGATAATAACCGGGGGACGAATTCGCTGGTGTTGTCTTTGGCAGCATTGTATGAAAGCTGAACGGTACCGAGCGAATCTTTATTTTTTTATTTTTTTCCTTTTTCCGTATTTCATTTTTTTATTTTTTTTTTGAGCGAGGATATATTTATAGAGCCTGAGAGCCCATGTTGGCTATCTAACTGACTCGAACGGCTTCCCCAAAACAAAAAAAGAGCGGCGTCTACTAACTCACTCATGAGCTCAAGTCTCGTCCAGTCAACCACCAACATCAGTCGATGCATGCTAAGAATGATCTGACGCAGGGAACAGCCGGCCATATGTACTCCCCGTACACCATTCCGTTGTTCAACTTCCCTTCAAGTTCTCGTTGGCGGCCACCTCAAGCCATAGCGATTCGTTCTTCCAATTTTCGTCTGGGGCCGATGTTGCATATCTTAGCAGAGAGATGGTTATCCCGTCCAGAGTTTGAGGAGCTATCACGAACTCCTAACATACTGGAGAAATGCTGCCTGGTCAAGAGCAATGTTTGTTAACTATCCCCGCGCCTTGACCCTCCAATAGTTTATTCCGGGCCATTGTGCCCGCATCTCGGCCGCTCACTGACTTGGTCGTCTCAAAATTCCGATAAACCATAACGTTATGTCGTGTCAAGCCTTCGGCCTTGGCCGTACAGAACATAACGACATGGCATATTGCAATTACCCGTTGATACTCCCGCTTTCAGGGAATGTCTCCGAGTTTCCAATGTCTTGATAGGCAATAATGTTAGTATGACGAAAATGTCCCTGGCGACTAATGAATACATAGCTCGATTACCACAAGCTATCGCCAGGTACCTTATGTATGTATATACATGCACGTTTATATATATCATGGCTCCTGCGTTATGCCGCTCCTTCGCCTCTGTCTCCATCGATATGTATATAAACCACTCCCATACCCCGAGTTCTGTCTCGATTCCCCAAGCAGCCCTACGTTGCCTTGGAATATCAGAAGATCAAGAATTACTTGATTTTAATTTCCTAAAGACCTTGCTGTGAATAATTCTCAAATACTCACTGATATTCCGCCATCATGCAGACCTCAAACAATTGGACTTACCACTCCATCGTCGGCGCCTATGCCCTCAGCATCTTACCGCATGGATACTACTATTGGAAAATGATGCGAGCCACAAACTGGAAGACTTCAAACCTAATGTATGTCCTTTGCTTCCCTTTTTCTTTTTCTTCTTCCTCTTTTTTTTTTTTTTTTTTTTTTTTTTTTTTTTTTTTGGTGACTCTTGAACTATCACGTCCTCCTTCTTTTTCCCCGTTCCATACCGACATTCTTGAACAGGCCCCGTGAGAACCTCAACTCCCTCCGCGACAAAATCCCCGCAGACATCTGGGCTCGACTATGCCGCGCTCGCGGTGCCCATCTCAACGCTTTTGAAAGCCTGCCACTATTTGCGGCTGCAATGGTAAGAATCGCCGTCTCCTACATATATCCTAATTCTAATGCCGCCTCAGATTGCAGGAAATGTGTCGAACCTCCCGACTAAGGAACTCAATATTCTAGCGGCGGAGTATCTCGGCGCAAGAGTACTTTATACAGCGGTGTACATGGGCGCACGCTCAGAGTTAATGAGCTATGTAAGGACGGGCTTGTACGGTTGGAGTGTCGGCATACCTCTTTATGTGTTGATCAAGGCGGGAAACAGCATGTTGGGGGGTGGGAGTGTTTGAAGCCTATATTTCGGCGGTTAGCTATGAATTAATTGGGTGCTTAGCGGAGGAAATCGGTGTCAAGTCATTCATATTTGAAGCATGTGAGAAGCATGGTTAATAGAGGATAACTGGAATGTTCTGTATTACATGCTAGATATAACCTATTATCAATATTAAACGGATGCAAACAGTGTATATCCAAAAGAAAATTTTATATTGCTAATCTCTTGCAACGTATCGCGTAATTTTGTTTTTTTCCCCCTCCAAAGCCATTAATTCGATCTCTAAACATGTCTCGCAATTATCATTACTTTTGCCATCTGGCAAACCCCAAACAACATGCAGGAACGACAAAGAAATAAAAAGCCAATGGGTAAACCAACAATGCATATTCAAGAGAGGAAGGAAGCCACCCGTACAAATGATAACTTATAAAACAAAAAGGACAGAAAAAATTCCAACCCGCTATATGATCTATGGAAGCATGTAGGACAGGATTATCAAAATCCACGATTTCGGTTAGGACCCAATGCAGACCGAGAGAAGCGGACTCAGAGGACAGGCTTAACCTTCAACATCTTTAGGCTTGACAGATCTCTGCTGACGCCACATGACAACGCTACATGTAGCAGATAGAGCGAAGAGGATGCTGGAACTGCGTTAGCATACCATGAGAACAACAATGGCATAAACTTCTTACCAAAGAGCAATGCTTAGACCCCAAATAGCCTTCATCTCAAGGCAGTTTGGCTTAGAAGTGCCGACCCAGTGGGTATAGCTGATCTTGTCACCATTTTTGGCAAGGCTGTTGCCCAAAGCGGCAGCAAACGCGTATGCCGAAGATGTACCGTTTGAGACTCTCCCGAGGACGTTGCAGTTTACGTAGGACAGCGGCTTTCCGACGGTAACGGCAACAACAATGACGGCGATTAGATGAAGACCATCCAGACCAGTATTGATCAGGAACGGTAGGATGTTGTCCATGAACAGGATGAATGTGACAACACAGTATAGGACAGCAATGCATGTCTGGACTGTCACATTAGTTTAACGCACCACTGTATAGAAAAAGCCCACTCCAACGTACCACGCTAATAGTCCCGACAAGAACCTCGGGCGGAGTGGTATTACTCGACACCATCTGCGAGATGAAATTGGCAGTCATCCCAATGATCGCAATAAGGCACACGACCTGGAGCATGCGGACAACCTTGAAGGTCATACCAATCGCGCCGTACTGAGAACCAGCCATTTTAAGGGTAACTGAGTAAAAGAAGGAGAAACAGGAAGAGGTAATGATATGAAATGTTAAAGAGATTGGGGGTTTTGTAACCGTGGCCAGGTATAGAAGCGAGATCGTAAAGACCGTGTAGTTATGGCAAGAGGGAAAAAAAATAAAAATAAAAGCAGAAACAGGAGATGACTTTCCAGAGTCAATCGGTCCTAGCAGTATGCTTGAAAGGAATGTGTCAACAAGCAAGCACTTAAGTAAAATATCTGCTAAATGATAGCTTTGAAATTAAGAATGAGAGCCAAAAGCAAACCAAAGAGAGAAAAAGGACAAAATGAAATAGGAAGACACCAAGGAAATAGACTCAAAAGAAAAAAAATGAGATGTTGTTTTTGATTGCTGAAGGAGCAAACAACAGAGGGGGAACAGGCAATCTTGCCAACAAGATTCATGGTTATATATCTTCAAAGATGGATCTATTGAAGCTTCATCAGAGCTTCAACACCATTGTTATTTTTGACTGACTCATTTCACTGCGGAGCTGTTTGTAGACTGTTTGACCTTGATTGAAGATGCGCTGAGGCGTCCAATAGCACGCAATCATGCCCAGCTCCCTTCGATATTCAGGCACACCAATCATCAGTCCATTGATGGACAGAGTGTTAGCACAAGAGAACCCTGCATGTCTCTTGCCACTCTGGCTCGCTAATCTAGTCCGCCGGCCCTGAGAAGAGCTATCATCCAAACAGTCCCTTGTGAAGCTTGAGCTCCGAAGTGGTGGTGGGTCGGAACCCACAGTCCTCCGTTTGAAGATCCTCCAGGTCTATTTCCAGCCTGTCCTGAGATCAGTGTCTTTCAAGGGCCTAGAACAATTCACATCCTGGACCATGGAGCCGGATGCAATCCAGCTTGCCGCCGCCAACTGCAGGGACATATCAATCAGAGTTTCTCTCGAGCTTTGCATGGGGGCTAGAAACACTTTGTGTTTTACATATTCAAGCCTGAGTGCAAGCTTAAGGATGATTGGAGGGAATGATGGGGATTCCAGAAAGCTTAGGCCTAGGCTGGCGGGATTGCGTCTGGGTTGATCTGATTCTTCCCGCTGAGGTTTGCTGGATGTCGAGCCTGGAGGCGGCGATTGGACGGCGGCGGGCGCTTAGAATCGCGCAGTCTCATTGGTGGACTGTCGCCGCAAAAAGTGCTTTATTTAAGTCTGTGGCTTATTAAGCTAGCCTTGGCGAGATTCAGAAAATCCGTTCGCGCTCTTTGTTCAAGGTTTGCCAAAATTATATACACAGAGAATCAACTATTTACTAGTCTTTGCAAAAAAAAAATAACCCCAGAACAACCCTCCTTGACTGGCTAAGCCTCGTCGAGACAGTTTCCATCTCCGCACCTGCGCACAGCTGCGTAGTACAGATCTGCAATCCTCCTACAATGCACACCCTTCCAGCTCTCCGACCCATCGTATTGACTACACTCCTCGTACAGATCGCTCTTGAACTGATCGTCAATCCGCTTCCGTAATGCCTCGTCGAAACGGTTCTGCTTTTTCGCATTGCGGTAACCGAAGTCATGGCGCTGGCATGACGGAATGAAGTTGAAGCCGATGGGCTTGTCCGGTGAGCTGCTGCAGTTATCGGAGCTCCAGTCGAAGCAAGATGGGTCTTTGGCGTTGCGGTGCTTCAGGAATGTCTTCATGGAGTCTTTGAATACATATGTGTCCGTCAGCGACGGAGTACATGGATCCGCCCGCGAGGTGAGCGAAGTATGCGCGCCAGCGTTAGCATCGGCGTTGAACTCGACGGGCGCGGTGAATGCGAGGGGGACCAAGAGGCCCACGAGAACGACTGGCCGGGTGTTAAGCTTCATCCTGAGTCGAACAAAGACAGGTGGGCTTTTCTCTCTGGAAGCGGGGTGATGCGCGCGCGAGTGTGTATCCGATTGCAGGAAGATATAGAGAAGGGCTTCTTAAAAATCTCTTATCCGTCTGCCCGAGCAGCGCGCTTTGGATACTACTTTATGCGCTCTTGCACCCACCCTTTAGGAGGGGGCCGTGAGCCTCTATTTATATTAGGCAGCAAATCCATCATGCTGCAGGTTTTACCGGAGCAGTTATTCCAAGAAGAGGTGATCAGCACATCGTCCCCACGTGAAGGGCTTTTTGGACGTTGATGCGTCATGTTTTTTTCTCGGTCGAACAAGGGCGAGCATGGCGATCTCGTATATTTAGCTACGCACGGCCAATCCCATTTTGCATCCTGTCATGCTTCTCCGTAATGCCGGTCCTGGCCAAGCTTGGAATCTCGAAGGATGCAAAGAGCGGGTATTTACAAAATCCTTGGGCTACATAAGTCTGGAGTAGATCAAACCGTATAAGTTTTTCAGGCTAAAATCTACTGAAAGTATAACATACATTTGAATGATACTCCGTGTGGCTCTAATATTGCTAGTAGTCCGGGGGTTTTACCATGTGGACAAGAGGAAGGTTTGGGAGGATTTGAGTTGCATTTGAGAAAACTTCGCATCTGCACTTGGGACCCTAAGACAACGTCAAACCATCTGCACTAGATCCCACGATGCAAAATGCTCTTTGAAAAAGGGCATATTTTTAAATTTAATCCGAAATCAATGTTCATCTGACTTTTACTTCTTTCTATAATCCATAATATTTAACATGCAGTTCACGGATCTCCTGTTTTCCCTCGGCAACCCGGTTGAGGATGCAGAGGAAGGTGGGTTTCCCTCCCGCTTCCAAAGAAACTCGACTGTTGGGTATTGCGAGGAGTATCATAATAATAAGAAGCCTGGAAATAAATTACAGAAGCGTTTCTTCTTTTCTCGCAAGATATCCCTTCGCAAAACCTGGGTTTTATAGACTCGCAGTCACACACTGTCGAAGTCTCTGTGCTCAATCGGGATCTTACGATCCACCAGTCGCCAACAGTGCTCTCCTCCAGCAGAGCGGGCGGGACCACGGGGGCAGGTAGGCCCCCCTGCTTTCAAGAGAAATCTTGGCCTGTGGATTTAGGGTTCCCTTACCGCTGCTGATCATGGTCGACCGCGCGCGAGATATGATATAATTTAGTCCTTTGGAAGATCTCCCCTCTCTTTGCCCGATGGCTCTGCTCGAGCAATAACATCCTATGGGAATCATCTATGCTTCACCAGCACTCTACAGTCATAGAACTGGGCTGCGGAGTCGCCGGCGTTCTGGCACTTTCCCTCGGTCCTTCCGTAGGGAAATACATCGCAACGGATCAGGAATACGTCCGAAAGCTGTTCCAAGAAAACCTCGAAGACAATCATCACGTAACGAGGCGCCATACGGTCCAGCAAGACCGGAGCACCGATCGCAACCGCCAACACCGTCGCGGCTCCCAGAAGCCAAGGCATAAATCGTACCCCGGCTCTGCGAACCGCTCGCCCGCAGAATCCCAATCTCGCTCTCGCACAAGGCACGTTACCCATTCCAGCGCATCGAGCAGAAGTCCCACTGCCCGCGGAGAATCCGGCGGCAAAGTCGAATTCGTCCCCCTGGACTGGGAGACCGATACGCTTTCAAGCATAACCGGCGTCGTTGAGGACGGCTTCGACCTGCTCCTCTCATGTGATTGCATATACAATGACGCACTCATCATTCCATTCGTCCAGACTTGCGTGGATGTAGCCAGACTCCGACCGTCCCTCGCGGCACATACATCCGCGTCTGCAGATCAAGGAAGACAGGATTTGGCACACGGGAAGCCAACGATATGCATTATTGCGCAGCAATTACGCTCTCACGAGGTATTTGAGAACTGGCTGCGAGAGTCATTAGCTGAGTTTGCGGTGTGGAGGGTTAGGGATAAGGTTTTAGAGGCGGCTGGTTTGGGCACTGGCTCAGGGTATGTGGTTCATGTGCTTGTGCTGAGAAAGTAAAAGTTGGGCTTCAGAGACTTTTGCTGCGGTCTTTTGAATGTCATAGTGAATATAACCATGGACTGAGGTTTGTATCGTAAGCTACTGTACATTACATGTTTAGCAGGCGATGGAAAGACATCTGTTCTAGGTGGACCTACTGCACCGTTTCATATAGCAACAACGGCCTACACATTGATGATCTACCCATTGAAGTTTGGGAAGGACTTGTTGAAGTATCGAATGATTTCATCAACAGAAGATTCATAAAATATACATCAGGAGAGGAGAATTCCTATATTCCACAGACGGCCTCGACCTTCCTCCAAAGAACCTAAGCCGCAATCGCAGGCTCTCAAGATCATAGATAGAAGTACGCCGTGAATGAATTAGACACGGGAGGCACAAAGAATTGATCCTTTTTTTTTGAACGGGCCAGCCAGAACCTTTTTGCCCATCAAAAAAATTGCCCTTGAACTCCCCTCCCTTCCGGAACCCATGCATAAAGTTTTTGCACGATAAACACAAGTCTCATGTTTTAAAACCACCAAGAAAAAAACTCCAACACCCGTGGATGTATACCCGTAAATATCGGAGAAAAGAAAAGCAGAGCTTGTATGGTTACAGGTAAATGGAAAGAGCCAATAGGGAATAAAAAAAAGGCTAGATATAAAGGACACAGGAAACGAAACGAAGAAAACAAATAACCATGATGTGACGATAGACTAGTACAAATGGAGGCATAAGCGTTCAGTAAGCGCATTACTTTTGAGATACCTCATTCACACCGAGCTGGACATTCATGGCTTCTTCTCTTCACCGGAGGCCTCGCCGGTCTGGGATTGTTGTTGTTGCTGGTTGCTCTCTTCCTGGCGAGCCTTGTGCATCTTGTCGAAGAGGGACAAGCTGGCAGTCTGGAGCTCATCAACCTTCTGCTTGAGCTCCTCGGCAGTGGCAGTACCCTCGCCAGACTGGCTCTTGGCGACGAACTCGCGGAGAGAAGCAATTCGCTCCTTGATCTGGTCGGCTTCGGTCTTATCGAGACGATCCTCGAATTCTTTGAGGGCCTTCTCGGTGTCGTTCAAGACGCTGTCAGCGCGGTTAGCGGCTTCAATGGCAGCCTTGCGCTCGCTATCCTGAGCACGGTATTTCTCAGCATCTTCAACCATGTTCTGGATTTCGGAGTCAGAGAGACCAGAGCCAGATGCGATGGTGATAGACTGGTCCTTGTTGGTGGACTTGTCCTTGGCGTGGACGTGGACGATAGAATCAGCATCAATGTCGAAGGTGACTTCGATCTGAGGGACGCCGCGGTGAGCAGGAGGGATGCCAACAAGCTGGAAGTTTCCGAGCAGCTTGTTGTCCTTAACAAGTTCACGCTCACCCTGGTAGACCTTGATCTCAACAGCAGTCTGGAAATCGGCAGCAGTGGAGAAGGTCTGAGACTTCTTGGTAGGGATGGTGGTGTTGCGGTTGATCAAGCGAGTGAAAACACCGCCGAGGGTTTCGATACCGAGGGAGAGAGGAGTAACATCGAGAAGCAGGACATCAGTCACTTCACCTGCGAGGACGGCACCCTGGATGGCAGCACCAATGGCAACAGCCTCGTCTGGGTTGACGGACTTGGCTGGATCGCGTCCGAAGATGCTCTTCACAGACTCGGTAACCTTTGGCATACGGGTCATACCGCCGACCAAGATGACATCCTGGATATCCTTGGCCTGAAGGTTAGCATCCTTCAATGCCTTTCGCACAGGCTCAACGGTTTTGGAGATGAGGGGATCAACGAGAGATTCCAACTGAGAGCGAGTCATCTTCACGTTGATGTGCTTGGCGCCAGAGGCATCGGCAGTGATGAAAGGAAGGTTGATGTCGGTCTGGAGAGCAGAGGAAAGTTCGATCTTGGCCTTCTCGGCAGCTTCACGGATACGCTGGATGGCCATGCGGTCACCAGTGAGATCAATTCCACTTTCCTTCTTGAACTGCTGGACGATGTTGCGGACGAGAGTGATATCGAAGTCCTCACCACCAAGGTGGGTATCTCCGTTGGTGGACTTCACCTCAAAGACGCCCTTCTGGATTTCAAGGATGGAGATATCGAAAGTACCACCGCCGAGATCGTAGACGGCTACGACACGATCCTGCTCCTTCTCAAGACCATAAGCGAGAGCGGCAGCGGTGGGTTCGTTGACGACACGAAGGACGTTAAGACCAGCAATCTGACCGGCGTCCTTGGTTGCTTGACGTTGGGAGTCGTTGAAATACGCAGGGACTGTGACGACACCGTTCTTGACAGGTTTGTTAAGGTAGGCCTCGGCGGTCTCCTTCATCTTCTGGAGGACGAAGCCACCGATTTGGGAGGGAGAGTACTTCTGGCCCTGAGCCTCGACCCAGGCGTCACCATTGCTGTGTTGGACGATCTTGTAAGGAACTTCGTTCAAGTCACGCTGGCACTCTGCGTCGGAGAATTTACGTCCGATAAGACGTTTTGTGGCGAAGAGGGTGTTTTCTGGGTTAACGACAGCCTGGCGTTTGGCAGCAATACCGACCAGTCTCTCGCCATCCTTTGTGAAAGCAACAACGGAAGGAGTTGTTCGTTGACCTACCCAAGTGTTAGTTTTCGGAGATCTGGAACCTTCTACCCTCGGCAAAGGGACGGAGCATCGTAAGGGGGAAATGAAAAATCTGCTCACCTTCGGAGTTTTCAATGATTTTTGGGGATTTGCCTTCCATTATAGCAACGGCAGAGTTTGTTGTGCCTGTAATTGCGGTCAGTGGTGTTCTGCAGAGCTCAATTGCCCTAGAAGCACGGCGCAAGGGACTACACACCAAGATCAATACCGATGACGGCACCCTTGACCTTCTCCGAGCTCTCCGTGGATTCCCATCTTCTGAAGGTGGTGGAGGGAACTTTGAAAGCGTTAGAGCGTGCGAATGAGGCAGCGCGAGGAAGCTAATTCGGAGTCAGCCCATAGCTCTTTGAGTGCAGAGGTATTTTTTTTGCCCAGGAGGAAGAAAAAAAAAGGAAAAAAGAAAAAAAACTCACCGCGCGCGAGAATCGGGAAGAGAGCATTATGAACTTTTAATAAATCGAGCTAAAATACAAAAGCAAAATGAACTATGAATACAAGAGAAGAAGAGAGGGAGCAACAAGAGGGATGCGGACTGATGGAAAGGGGAATTGAGGATGAGTCCGGAGACGTTGGATGAAGAGGAAAAAAAGGATTTCTTGGGAAGGAAGAAATTTTGCGGTTTTGAAGGCCAAATACCAAGGGCCGGGGCGCGGCGCCAAACCCTCTGCGGACTAGCGCAGTGCCGGCGATGCCAATCGAAGTCCATAGAATTCCTAGCACGTGACGTCGCTCCCAGAGCATAAAAAGTACACACAGAGAGAGAGAGAGAGAGAGAGGGGGGGGGGAGGAAGAGAGCATCTCTTTTGAAGATGGAGAGAGGTGGCTAACTGCAGTTACTCTCGTTATATCCAGGCTGCCTTGTGCTGAGTTGAATGGGCGTTGGGTCATGGGGCGTGTCGCTGGTTGAAAATCCATAATCCTCTCTCCGGCGCGCTCATTCTGCAGGTTATGCGGTGAGGGCGTAATTGGACGTGGTTGATTTAGTTTTACAGGGGCAATCCAGGAGCCATGTGTGTTTCTATCACAGCTGACAGCGGTGCTATATTCAAACTGTTGTGTCCCCCGCCCAGCGGTCAGCACCTGGAATTTCTATCCTTCTATCCTTCTATCCTCGCAGTGTAATAACTACGGAAGCTCAGCTCCTTAGTCAGCCCCACTGCACTAGTTACAAAACTAGTTAGTGAGGTGAAAATTACGGGAGTCGTGACGGACGCCGGGGCGGTTACGTGGTATTGTCGGGGTAACTTTTCAACCAGCACTCGGTACTATTCGATGCTACTCGGTATCGTCCGTACAGAACCCGCTTTGAAGCTTGGGCCGGGGCAACGGGGTCCCCTGGAGCAAGGGAAGCCGGCAGGGTGAGAGAGCACCCTCCAGGGAGGTGTAGCTTCAGCACCCGGCAGCTGCTCTGGACCCAGCACGCTTCCGCAGTCGGCTCGCACAGGACAGACACAGCTTCCACCAGTCACACGCACATCCTGCCTTTGACGAAAGGCAATCTCTGCAGCGCCATGTGCCATAACGTACATGTAGTTACCTCCGCGTACGGCTTATTGATACATGTGGTAGCGTTAGTTACGTGGTTGGCCGGTTACGTGACGGGACAGCCCACCCCCAGCCAGTGAGTTATCTTTAGGTTCGCTTTGCAACGCCAGCTTGACTTTCCCCGGGTCGCCATCGTCTGCCGTCATCGAAGGAGTCTCCGCCAGAACCGCTCCAATTCTGACGACTCTGTTCAAGGAAATATCAGCTCTCTTGGTGTCTACGCCTTATCAATCCGACCCTCAGACGCGATTTTACCAGTTTCCCGACGATAGCCTTTGCTGCCCTATGCTCCTCCTCCTCCTGCAATCCATGTCGTAGCTCGCGTGCCCGCCCAAAGCAAGACTATGACGCTCGACTCTGCATTGCTGTCAGTTGCACAACCCTGTGCCCATCACCCTCCCCACGCAGCCATGCTCACTCCTTCTAATAGCTATCGACCAACCGACTCTCTTATTCTACCTGACCGTCGAAGATTCTTTCCCTTCAAAATCCCAAACTCGTTCGTCTTACCCTTCATAGCTCAATGGAATACTCGTTTCGCTGACAAGGGGGCCCCCCCAAATTGCAGCCATCATCAACTCCGTCACTACATTAGCACCTCCGACCCGGACAGGATCTATGTCGCTGTAGGCAGGATCATATATACTATCCACATCTCGTCTCGCAAACGCGAAATCATAACCGTCATCCCCTTCGAGCCAAAATGCCTGACCGCCGGGTTGGGTTGGATCGGTATCGGAGGCAGCGAAAACGGTGATTGCGCATTCATCAAACTGGGCGACTCTGGAATCACCTCTCCACGAACTAGGGCCGCCGCCCTCGACGCCGATATCGATTCTCCGCTTCCTCTCGATCTAGATCCTCCCCTCAGGAGACTACCTCCACGCGCACCTGGTAACTCTCTTCTCTCAAACCCACGGCAAGACGCGGTGTGCTGAACAGTTGCTAGAAGTGATTGTCCAGGAATTCGGCGGCAGCATCGTCAACTCCGTGACCCTCCATCGGCTGCCAGCCCCACGCGAAGGCCTTGATCATGAAGATGTTGCTGTCCTGAGGTATGTAAAAGCTATGTAAAAGCTCCTTTTCTAATTCCCCCACACCAAAGCACCATTTTCTTCTATATCAAGAGCGGCATGCTGATTGAAGCGGTTGGGATAGCAATAACGACAAAACCGTAAGCATTTTCTCTCTAACTCGGCAGGAGATGCTGGAAACGATTCGCCATCCAATTTGCATGAACTATGCCATCATCTCGCCGGATTCAAAGGTCCTAGCAGCAGTAGGAGATGCGAATCAGATCTGGTTTTATCATGTTCGGCCAATTACCGATGAACACGGTCCCGTACAGGATGGAGATAAGCTTCTCTCTGAATGGAAGTGGCCTCTTATTAAGAAGGTCGACCTGGACTCTGACCCCCATTATGATGATCAGTGCTGCTTCACAATCGCCTTCTCGCCATGTAGCAGTCTATGTGCAGTTGGATCTCAGGGTGGAATAATCACGATTTTCGACATGAATTCCATCCTCAATGTTGACTTGGAAGGTTACAAGGCCGGCGAAGAGGTTCTATGTGTCTTTAGATCATCCAGGTCCTTCTTTGACGGCGGCGCGGTCCGCTGTATGACCTTTTCTCCACGGCCTTGGGATTTACTTGTTTGGGTTGAAGATCATGGCCGAGTGGGAGTAGCAGACATTCGTCAAGCATTTTCTCGCCGACAAATTCTGAACCTGGACATGGAAGAAGAAGGGCTCGAACGTATACGCACCCAGAATTTGGATAAAATTGATGATGGCGAAGGATCGGAACCCGAAAGCGAAAACGAACCTTCTCGAGATCCAACCCGGTCACCTGAAGATGCTCGGGGTACTGGACGCATGTTTCGTAGGAGAATGCACGAGAGCCAACAAGATAGCCAAACTATGCGCGAGGAGCTAGCTCGAGACCTTACAGCAAGGGAACGGCAGATTATCGATTTTCTGAATACGGCTAGATGGGCATCATCTATTGAAGAAGGCCCCCAAAGGGCTCCAAGGTATGCAAGCCCGCTTCCCGGATCTGGTTCTTCGCCTCCTAGGGGTAGTCGCCATTCACCGCTTTCATCGTCCCCGCCGGATCACTTCCCTCGGCATGAGCACATCAGGGATCGTAATCTGGAGCGCACCCGTATAGGTGAGCCACGACGCCGTAGTTCTGTCGTCCTCTCCCAGGACAGTTCGTCTTCCCATAGCCAGCCTAATCCTCCCAATTCAGCTTTAATACCTCACCCGACGATCACTTTACGATGGACTGCGTCCCCATCGCAATTGCCACCTTCAGATTCCCCATTCGAAACAACTCCCAGCAATTCAGCAACGACTTCGTCCGCCATTCACGTCAATGGACGAGCCAACTCTGGCTCTAATGGACATGAGGGTACTTCCGAAATCGCTATCCCGCGAGCTCGTGTGCTTTTTGACCGCTCCTTAGGAGTCTCTACAAGTAACGGAAGTGGCCAACGGCAGCGTGGCCTCCGATCTAGGTCCATACCCCGCCGTTCCGAGCGACCGCCGGGTGCCACAGCTGAGGTTCAAGACTCTCCAGGTGGCCCGAATGCTGAAACACGCACGAATCTAGCGGCCGAGCGGCTACGACTCCAGCGGCGTGCAGCCATCGAGGAAAGTCAGCGCCTTAACCAGTGGGAGCAACAGTATCGTCGGCTTATGGAGTTTGATCAACTTCGCAACAACCCTCGGTTTAGGAGTTTACGGGGCGACTTCTCGGACCGCCCTAATCGAGAGGAAATGGGCGTTGGGACCGCGGGAGTTGGTTGGGGCGAAGATGGACGGACGCTGTAAGCTATCTGTATAAGCGAGAGGTACTTTAGTTCGGTGACTAATTGGAATTCTTCTCCAGGTATATCGGCACCGAGGAGGGTATTTTTGAATACCAAATTAATATTCAGGACCGGAAGACATTCCCTGGTATTTCATGTCGGTAATCCATGGATTTATTTGATGGTCAAAAGCCATAGGCTCTGCATGTCGTCAACGAATTTCACGTATTTTGTTCCAAGGCGTTGTTATGGAGTATCGGAGGGCAAAATCTTGGTCTCTGAGTTTGCTATGCATTTTGGATGCATTTGGAGTTTTTTTCCTCTTTTTCTCCTCCCTTTTTCTTATCGTCTTTGTTTTTATTTGCATATGGCATGTCAGGGTCATGGGTTAGCAAGCATCTCCGGGCAATGATCAGTTATGATATGTTGGGTGTCTTCTTTGGTGAATGGGAGTATATATCATTAATGACAGTGGAGAGATTTATGGAGGACGAACATGGCAGATTGCAGGCGACACTGGTTAGGCAGGGATTAGGTGCAAGCAATAACACCCATGATTTTTTTTTTTTTTCTTTTTCTTTCCTCAGTCAATCCTTCTAGAGGAATATCCTGGATTTTCTCTGTTTTGATCTCATGTCACTCTTAAGTCGTGTCACTACTTGCGATCACCTATAGTTTGTGATCAGTTTGAGACGGCATGTTTCACTTCCAACATAACCTACATTCAATACAGAACCAATACGTTGTCATTTTATTGTGTAGACAGCTATTTATCAAAATTATATCTCTCTGCTGGAGTTGATTCTCTAAGAGAGCTGTAGCGGCCTGGTCAAGTAGGTGCATCTTGGTGCTCAGCAATTGAGATTTATTATCTAGTGATGTCGTAGAAATAATAGTATGTAAACATTGCTTCATTCAAATTAGTTACATGAAAAGACATCTCTGACTCTCTCTCTCCCCCCTTTTCTTCCTTTTTTTTTTTTTTTTTTTTTTTTTCTTTTCTTTTGGGGGTTGATTTGCTCTTTGGACGTGCTTCTTTTGTTGAGCTGCCTTAATTCAAAGTTAGGATTTCGTCAAACTTGCCGCTTTTAGCTCAGATTTCCAAGCAACTTCACTGCACCCTAAGATACAGCTCAACAACCTAAATCTATGTCAACAAAATATAAATAACTAACCCAGTTAAAGAGATATAAAATTAGTTGACTAGCACGCCATTCAAGGACAGGCTATCCAGGCAAACCAAAAGCAGACCAAGTGACCAGAGAAAGCCAGCCAAGGCCAAACATGGCCAGCGACCTCGCCTCCGCCATGCAGCAGGTGCAGATCAACGCCCAAGCCCTTGACGTAGATGCTGAACTTGATGCCTGGATCGACGGCGCCGGCGAAGCCACAGAAGGCAAGCGGCGAAAGCGACAACCCCAATCCGCAGAGGAACTCAAGCGGGAGCTGGAGGAAGAATTCCTGGCTCCCTCACCAAGATTCAATACCCAATGGCTAAACCGGCTCCAGAAGCGCTGGGAGGCTCCCGTCGATTATGCAGATTTATTCGAGCTTGCGCCCACCCAGACCCGGACAGTTATCAGATTCACCCGCGAGGGCCTGGAGGGTAGGGTTACTCGCTACCGTGAAGTCACTGTGCCTGCGGGTAGCGCGACGGCCAAGAACTCGACGTCGCTTCGCAGGCGGCCAGCTGGGCGGGCGGAGTTTGTGAGAGGTGCTGCGGGGTTTTATCCGTTTGAGCCCGGCGGTTTGGAAGCAGTGGAGGCTATTTCTCTTCTGGAGTCTGAGGCGCAGGCTGAAGAGCTGCGGGCAAGCGCGGCGGCGGGGAAGTCTTCGCTTGATCGAATTATCAAGTTTGGGGTTGAGGGTGGGCTGTTGGAAGTTGCGCCGGGTTTATCGCGTGGGTTGGATTTCAAAAAAGAGAAAGCTGCCGAAGCTGAGAGGGATGCGGATGATGTGCAGGATGCGTTGCAGCGAGATGACAGCGAGCTGGATCGCGAGGTCGGAGAGGCTGGTCACGAAGTCGATGGTGGACTCAAAAAAGAAGAGCCAGACGAAGGGTTGGCCTCCGATGAGGAAGAAGATATTGATTCCTTGCTTCCTGTTGAATACCCAGCCTTGGAGCCTCGGGGGGAACTTCTGGCTGCTTCAACGAAGAAAGCCGGGAGAGAATGGGCTCATGTGGTGGACGTTAATAAAGAGATCACGAATTTTTACGATTTGGTGCCTGATATGGCTCGAGAATATCCATTCGAGTTGGATACATTCCAAAAGGAGGCAGTCTATCACCTTGAGAATGGTGACTCCGTTTTTGTTGCGGCCCATACGTCTGCCGGAAAGACGGTCGTTGCTGAATATGCCATTGCATTGGCTGCCAAACATATGACCAAGGCCATTTACACCTCTCCAATCAAGGCGCTGAGCAATCAGAAATTCCGAGATTTCAGAAATACATTCGACGATGTGGGAATTTTAACGGGAGATGTTCAGATAAACCCCGAAGCTAGCTGTTTGATTATGACCACCGAGATTTTGAGAAGTATGCTCTACCGCGGTGCGGACTTGATAAGAGATGTAGAATTTGTTATCTTTGACGAAGTCCACTACGTTAACGATTTGGAAAGGGGAGTTGTCTGGGAAGAGGTTATCATCATGCTTCCGGAACATGTTACGCTGATTCTGTTATCCGCTACCGTGCCAAACACTTACGAATTTGCATCCTGGGTGGGTCGGACGAAGAAGAAAGATATCTACGTCATTTCTACACCCAAACGTCCCGTGCCTTTGGAGCATTTTCTCTGGGCCGGCAAAAGCATGCACAAAATTGTCGACGCTGAAAAGAGATTCATCGAAAGTGGCTGGAAACAAGCCGATGACATTTTGTCCGGGCGTGATAAGGTCCGTGCACAGAAGGAAGCAGAAGCCAAAGCTAACCAGAGAGGTGGGTTCGTTGACCGTGGACGCGGACAATCTCAGCGTGGTGCCCAACGTGGTGCTCAACGAGGCGGACCACAGCGCGGCGGTGGCGGTCAGCAGCGAGGTGGCCCACAGCAACGAGGACGAGGACAGCCAGCTCCACGAGGCATTGGCAACATTGCGCGAACCGGACGAGGGGGCGGGCGCACCACAGCAGCTCAAGATCGAAATATATGGGTCCACCTTGTGCTACATCTTAAAAAAGAAAGTATGCTTCCAGCATGTATTTTTGTGTTTTCGAAGAAACGGTGTGAGGAAAATGCGGATTCGCTATCTAATCAAGATTTTTGTGTGGCCTCCGAGAAGAGCTCGATCCACATGCTCATTGAGAAATCGTTAGCCCGTCTAAAGGTGGAGGACAGACGACTCCCTCAGATTCGAAGAGTGAGAGAATTGCTCAGCAGGGGAATCGGCGTGCACCATGGTGGTCTTTTGCCTATTATCAAGGAAATTGTGGAGATTCTCTTCGCCAGAGGTCTCGTTAAGGTTCTATTTGCTACTGAGACGTTTGCCATGGGGCTGAACCTGCCTACTAGGACCGTGGTCTTCTCCGGTTTCAGGAAGCATGATGGCAGGCAATTTCGGGACCTTCTTCCTGGGGAGTATACCCAGATGGCCGGTAGAGCCGGGCGCCGTGGTCTCGACACTGTTGGGTCAGTGATAATTGCCACCTCCGGGCGAGACGAGGCGCCTCCGATTTGGGCTTTGAAGAAGATGATTCTTGGTGATCCTACTAAGCTTCGTTCCCAGTTCCGTCTCACTTATAATATGATCTTGAACCTTCTGCGTGTTGAGGCACTGAAAATTGAGGAGATGATCAAGAGAAGCTTTAGCGAGAATGCCACACAGGCGCTCTTGCCTGAACATCAGAAGCAGGTGCAAATATCCGAAGCTACGCTGGAAAAGATAACACGAGAACCATGCGCGATCTGCGATATTGACCTGGAAACATGCCATAGAGCCTCAGTTGAGTTTGGGCGTTTGACCGTTAGGCTCCACACTCTCCTTTTGGCGTCCCCGGTGGGCAGACGGCTCTTCGCAACGAAGAGGGTAGTGGTATATAGAAAGGTAAGTCTTTACGTTGGCTTCTTAAGTGTTCTACTGACATCTCCATAGAATGGTGTGCGAACAGTCGGCATGCTAGCGAAAGAGGGTGTTAGCGGCGGCGCTGCACCCTCGCTTCAAGTCTTCGAATTTGGGCCTCAAAGTCTAGTCCGTCACCCTAGTGATATCCTGCCGTATCTCCCTATGTTCCGGCATTACTTCGTGCCGCTGCCAAGATTGGCTTCCGACATGCATCTGAAGACTTGCAAGGTCCCACTTATGGATCTAGAATGTGTCACGTCGGCCATGGTAAAGTTTGGAGGTCCGCCTTACGCTCTAAATAATAAGAAGGGTGAGTTCTGGGCTCGATGCATTAGGTTAATTGGCTTTTATTAACTGCGTATCGAGCAGAGGGATTGAAGATCGCAAACAAAGAGTTAATACCCTTGGCTTCGTCGTGGGAAAAGGCTGAATGGGATGAGCTTGACTGGGGCCGGATGAAGGAATTGCAGGTTATAGAGGTTTTAAACGAGAGGCAGCAACAACTGGAAATCGCCCAGTCATGCCAGTGCTTTCAATGCCCCCAGTTCTTAAAGCATGTGAGTAGTAGGATCGGATGGCAAGCTGCTAAATGAAAGCTAATATGAGAACACAGTTTGAAATGCAACATGATGAGTGGCAGGTGAAGGAGAATATTTCGCAATTAAAACAGCTGATGTCAGATCAAAACCTTCAATTACTGCCAGACTATGAGCAACGGTTACAGGTGTTAAAAGACCTTGGCTTCGTTGACGAGGCCTGCAGGGTGCAGCTCAAGGGTAAAGTTGCATGCGAGGTGAGCCGTACCATTTTATCTCATCTCAATAACTTAATGGCTAACCTGCGCAGATCCACTCGGCAGACGAGTTAGTCCTCACGGAACTGATACTCGAGAACGTCTTGGCCGAGTATGAACCCGAAGAAATCGTTGCTCTTCTATCCGCTTTTGTGTTTGAAGAAAAGACCGAGAACGCTCCGACGTTGACGCCGCGACTAGAAAAGGGTAAAGAAGCGATTATCGATATCTCTAATAGGGTCAACGACCTTCAAGTCAAACATCAAGTGATATTGTCCAGCGAAGACGCAGGCGACTTTGAAAGCAAACCACGCTTCAACCTTGTCGAAGTTGTCTATGAATGGGCACGAGGAATGTCTTTCAACCGCATCACTGATTTAACTGATGTGATGGAGGGCACAATCGTGAGAGTGATCACTCGTCTCGATGAAACATGCCGCGAAGTGAAGAGCGCCGCGAAACTGGTGGGGGATCCTTCGTTATACACGAAAATGCAGACAGCACAGGAGATGATCAAGAGAGATGTCATATTCGCCGCCTCTCTATACATGTAGACCTTTTTACGAGCCTTTCGCCACGGGGGCAGGTGTCAAAATGACGCCGTTAGTGGAACGTTCTCGCCTCTGTTCGGTTCGAGCCCTGCTTGGGGGTCTCTGTGCAAGAAGGCTAGCACGCTCGAATGAATTCGTATGCTGTGAGACCCAAAGGGAGTAGTCAAATCGGAATCACCTCCTTCATCCACTAGGCGAGGGCAGTCGCCCTTTTCCCTCATGTACCTATCGTTTTACTGTTGAAGCGTGTCGTGACATGCAGTGTGGGCGCCAAAGAAGACAGAACAAGGAAAATAGACAGGCAGGCAGCCGGCGAATTTATCGTTGGATCTCATTTGTAGCGATTATTCCTGGTTTTTTGACGATTTTATTGGTAGACATGGAGCGACTGGGTATAAAAAGATGTTCCTGAGCGGGCGGGAAAAAAAAATAAGTTTAGGAGAACCACTCAATTTATTAAATATTTTTTTTCTAAATCCTTGTCCCCGCCGATCTGTGCATTCAAACAATTCTGACCCCAGAATCCTGAATCCCTCAAATCGACGGTCTCCTTGGTCGTCTCCTGAGCCCGAGCTTGCATGAGGCCCAGCCTTCCAGTAATAATTTGACCTTCTCATTCATCGCCTTTGACTCGGTGCTGGGGGTTTATCAGGTCCGCAAAGATGGATGTGGCAGGCCTACGGGACCGCATTCAGGCGACTCTCGATGCCAACGGGGATATTCGACGACAGGCAGAATTAGACTTGAAATATGTGCGTTGATCGACATTTCCCTCAGAGAAACATGTTACGCTTGTTGTACTAAATCTGCTAACGTGTTTATTCTGCTTGATTCTCGTCTAGGCTGAGAGCCAACCTGGATTTCCGAATGCGCTGTGCGATATCCTTCAAGCCGAGCAGGACCAGGCTGTTCGACTATCCAGTATGACGAATAATCCCTCCATCCCATCCTTAAGCGCGATATCACTTGGATTCTGACTTGTTGTAGCCGTCGTCTACCTGAAGAACAGAGTGATTCGAGGATGGTCTCCCGAAGAAGATCATTCCCTCCACAAGCCGATCCCAGAGGAGGAGCGAGGGTCCCTGCGAAATAGATTACTCCCCATGCTCGCGTCCTCCCCGCCCCCCATTAGGTCGCAGTTGGTTCCTATGCTTTCGAAGATCTTGCAACACGATTTCCCAGAGAAATGGCCCAACTTTATGGATATCACGCTGCAGTTGCTCAATGGCAGCGATGTCAACTCGGTCTTCGCAGGTCTTCAGTGTCTGTTGGCCATCTGTCGAGTGTACAGCTACAAGGTAACCGAGGATGATAAAAAGGCCGAATTCGATGAGATCGTGGATCATTCCTTCCCTCAGCTCTTGAATATCGGTTCTCGACTCGTCAATGAAGAAAGTGAAGAAGCCGGAGAAATGCTTAGAACTGTGATGAAGGCCTACAAGCATGCTATCTATGTGAGGCTCCACGTTCCCGCGATGTTCCCATAACGGGTTCCGTGAAGACTGACTGCTCAACGCTCTTTCGTCTAATTAGATGGAGCTGCCTTCGCATTTAATGTCGAACCAAGCCACCGTTGACTGGTGCACTTTATTTTTAAGGATAATTGACAAAACGCCCCCTCCATGCTCGATGACCGGAGAACCCGCTGACCGAGAACTTACCCATTGGTGGAAATCCAAGAAGTGGGCATATGCGAACCTCAACCGTCTTTTTGTCCGGTATGTCAGGTTTTGGTCTTACATTCATCAGCATCATCATTTTAACATATCTTTTGCTCTACAGATATGGAAATCCATCGGCACTTGGAAAGTCTAGCAAACCGGATTATGCGCAGTACGCCAAGATGTTCATGACCGCTTTCGCGCCTGAGATCTTGAAGGGTTATCTCCAGCAAGTGGACAAATGGGTGTCAGGAGGGTTGTGGTTGAGCAGGCCAGCCTTGTATTACACTCTAGTCTTCCTCGAAGAGTGCGTCAAACCGAAGGCTGTGTGGGACCATTTGAAACCGCATATCGAGAACCTGGTCGCGCATCTTATCTTCCCGCTTCTCTGCCAGACGGACGAGGATATTGAGTTGTTCGATTCCGACCCAGCGGAGTACCTTCATCGTAAACTGAATTTATTCGAAGAAGTGTCCGCTCCAGATGCAGCTGCGACAAACTTCCTTATCGCCCTTACAAAGACACGGAAGAAGCAGACCTTTTCGATTCTTACCTTCGTCAACAGCGTTGTGAGCAAATACGAATCTGCGCCGGATGATCAAAAGCTGCCTCGCGAGAAGGAAGGTGCTTTACGCATGATTGGTTCTCTAGCCTCTGTCATCCTGGGCAAAAAGAGTCCCATCGCCGACCAGGTCGAATACTTCTTTGTTCGCCATGTCTTCCCAGAGTTCCGCAGCCCACATGGGTACCTTAGAGCTCGTGCCTGCGACACTCTAGAGAAGTTTGAACAGCTCGATTTCCAGGATCCAAACAATCTTATGACTATTTACAGAAGCATTTTGGATGCTTTGGCAGACAGTGCTCTGCCAGTTAGAGTTGAGGCAGCACTTGCATTGCAACCCTTAATCCGTCACAATGTCATCCGCACTTCTATGCAAACGAATATTCCGCAAATCATGCAGCAACTTCTTAAACTGGCTAATGAAGTCGATGTTGATGCTTTGGCAAACGTTATGGAAGACTTCGTTGAGGTTTTCTCAACCGAGTTGACGCCCTTCGCCGTTGCTTTGTGTGAACAGCTACGGGACACCTACATGCGCATCATTCGGGATCTCCTCGATCGAAAGAATTCTAAAGGCGAAGATGAAATGTATGGGGACTTCTTGGATGACAAGAGTATTACGGCATTGGGTGTTTTGCAGACCATTGGCACCCTGATCCTGACCCTCGAAAGCACCCCGGATGTGCTCTTGCATCTGGAAACCATCTTGATGCCAATCATTTCCATTACTCTCGAGAACAAACTCTATGGTACCCTCTACTCTCTTGACCTTGGACACATTTCAATGAGTTAACTAACATTTCACAGACTTGTATAATGAAGTGTTTGAGATCATCGATTCCTGCACTTATGCGGCGAAGTCTATCTCCCCAACTATGTGGCAAGCTTTTGTCTTGGTTCACAAGACATTCAAAACAGGAGCAGAGCTTTATCTTGAAGGTTTGCACCTTGTCTTTTACTTCATGATTCTAATTTTGTTGACTGACCTTTCGTTAAGATATGCTTCCGGCCCTGGACAATTACGTGACTTACGGATCTGCCATGTTAATACAAAACCCTGAATACCTTGCTGCCATTGTAAGCATGGTGGAAGACATCTTCCGCGACGACAAGACAGGCGGCGTAGACAGGATCTGTGCATGCAAGCTCGGTGAAGCGATCATGCTCAATTTGCGCGGCCATGTGAATCAATATATCCCAGTGTTCATCAGCTTAGCGATGCCAATCCTAGCCAACGATGGAGCTATGACCAAATCTTACCGTATTCACCTCATGGAGATGGTTATCAATGCCATCTACTACAATCCTATCCTGGCACTCCAGGTGCTGGAGAGCAACGGATGGACCAATAAGTTCTTCAGCAGTTGGTTTTCCAACATCGACAGCTTTAAGAGGGTGCATGACAAGAAACTATCTATCGTTGCCATCAGTGCTCTGTTGACGATGCGAGCCGAAGACGTTCCTGCGAGCGTGCAGCCAGGCTGGCCCCGGCTTCTTCAAGGGATTAGCAGGCTGTTCCAGACATTGCCTGCCGCCGTCAAATGTATGTCGTTCCCGCTATATCGTCTTCTGCTTCAGGTGTACTGACTATGTAACAGTGCGAGAGCAAGCCACAAAGGAATCTGACTTGCAGTTCGATGACACTGGCGATGACGATGATTTCGACAACGACTGGAGTGGAGAGGTGGAGTGGACAGACCAGGACGAGACAGACGGCGCTGACGGCGACTTTGGAGACGAAGGCTCAGCCTATATTGAGTTCTTGAACCGAGAGGTGAGTTTGATTCTGCCCCAAAAGAAAACAATACATCTTTAATGGTTGTTCCGATTGACCAACAATGCTAAGGCGGTAAAGCTTTCAACTATTCCGGATGACGACGAAGACGAGCTGGACGAAGAGAGTTTACTAGAATCCCCTCTCGACAAAGTGGAACCATACAGCGTGTTTAAAACTTCCCTTCTGAGTGAGTAACAATGCTACGTCACATTTAAGCTGCTCGCTGACCCGAGATGTTCAGATCTTCAACAGAGCCAACCTCACCTCTACGAGAATCTCACCAAGATTCTCAATGCCGAGGAGCAGCAGGTGATTCAAGGGGTAGTCGATGAAGCAGATGCGCACGCACTGGCAGCTGAAAATGCAAATGCTGAGCTTGCAAAATTAAACGGAGGGTCTTGACGAATCAAAAAAGTAATAATCTACAGTGATAGAATGGCCGAGCGAGTATGATGGGATATCTTGCAAAGACAATGTTCTCGTTTTGAGTTTGACACCCCATGTTTGTTACCCTTGTTACCCCCAAGGCGTGAGTTCTGTCAAAGTATTTGCGTTCTGTTTTATGTCACCCATTGGCTCCTCATGCAGTTCAAAGTTACACCAAAAATGAAACGGGTTATGACCGCAAGAAGGGTCTAAACTCCTTTCCCGATCATAATATGGACAATTTTCCTGTGCAAAATGTCCCTCGAGCGAGTTGAAGAAGTACAACACACATAGCTATTTACACTGAGAGCGAGCTCGAATTGTCTTCAGGGGAAACCTGCGTTGAGCCGCGACAGCCGGAAACTCAATTAATCCGTTTTCCGTTATCTGTCAGCGGACAGTTTGGCAGTGACGTCACAGTGATGCCATTCTCCATCGGGACGAGATCATTTGCCCATTGCGCTCTGCTTTTGGGCGCCATACACAGGGCACTCCAGCAGTCGACCCAGCTGGAACCCAGGAAACCTGGAATGCGGGAAAGCTTTCTCCATGGAAAGCACTATATAAGTAATTTTAAGTCTTGCAGGCGTACGGATAATCAGCGCATATTTTCGTCAAACATCCTTCTGTAACATCAAGAAAAAGAATCACTTTCTGAGTACCATCCCAACTACAATAAACTAGAAGCCTCTCCTTTCAGAAACATCTTCTTCTACCCGAACTCAGACGATTCCCTTCCTTTGATACGTCCAAGAGTTTACCAACGCTTGCGAAACATATACAAACAACCACACAATGTTTGCAGGCCGTCAATCGCCGTCCCCTTCCCGGCAAACCGGGCGCCAGCAATCCGACCTCCCAGGTTGGACAGGCCAGGCGGAAAGCCACAATGGTCATGCCTCACTGTTCAATCCTTCTGCGCACACAGCGAACGCCAAACCAACCAAGGAAGAGATGGAGGACCAGAGCCGAAGGAAAGACAGTGCTTCGAGCGAGACAGATGGAGGAGTTGAACACTTAGAGAGCAATCCGGTGCATCCACTGGCGGAAATAGCGAAGGGGAAGATTCATTGATTTTTGCTTGAACTTTCAATATGTTACATTATGTTGCGGGATATAAGAGATAAGACAATGCACCTGCAGAGATGACGTGTTGGGGTATACGGAAAGTAGGCTGTCAAAGAAGCGATTCTAAACACATTAGCATCAAATTGATTCTTCATACTATTATTAATATCGTGAATAGTTTTAAGAGCAGTAAAGTGTAAACCCTTTTTTCACAAAAGCCGCTAACATTACAACCGGATATAAAAAGAGCCCGGGCCTGCTGATTACACTGTATCGAGAGGGACATATTCGAAGTTGGGGGAAAAAAAGAGGGGGGAACCTAAAGGAATGATAAAAGTGCCCACAGTAACGCAAAGAAGTAGAAGAGTTAAACCTTTGTTTCAGTGGCCGGAGCGGCTTCACTCGCAGCAGGATCACCAGCAGGCGCCGTTGGTGGCTGCTCCTTTTGCTCTGGCCCCTCAGCACTCGGAGACCTTTCCCGTTTCAAATCCGCCAGACGTCTCGCTTCACTATGGATATCCCGGACTTGCTTATCACTATTGAGGTAGAAATCTCGAATCTTGCGACCGGTGGGCGTATCGAGAGCCTTCTCGAAGTAAGAGCTAAAACCTCTCCATCCCCGCTCTGCCTTCTCGCTAATCTTGTAGCTCTCATCGATCCCCTTCGCCTTGTCGGTGGCATGATATTTCCTGTCAAAGTTGGCCAAGGCGGTCTGGAAGCGGTTCGAGAAGCCATGCTTTTTATCGATCTCGATGGCCTTTTGGATAGCGTTGTCACTGATGACGTAACCTTGCGCGAGATATTCGGCGAAGATTCTCGAACGAGGTTTGTCTTCCTGTTCTAGAGTTTGATTGTTCTCGTCTTTGGCTTGTGATGCGTCAGCGGCCTTGCCTCCCGCAATTTCGTCAATCGAACGTGCGGCGGTTACGTGGACAGATGAAGGGCCGAGCTGCGTCTGGTCGAGAAGGAGAGCTGTTTTTGCCGCGCTGTGAAGGAAGTATTAGCGAAATCGTCTGTTAATTGACATTGACATTGATCATAGAGTATATGTCGGCAAATAGTAGCTAAGGATAGTGGGTGCTCTTACGTCTCCTTCTCAAAGGTCACAGTCGCAGACTGCGGGGCATCCTTTTCACCGGATGATGGAGTGAGGGAGAGCGAAGTGATCTTTCCACTGAAGAGGCCATTAGTGATGTTCACCCAAAAGTTAAATCTCCGGAGGCGTACTCCGTACGGAGTACAACATACCAAAAGCTAAAGAAATCTGTCACCTCCTTCTCGCTTGTGGAAGACGCAATATTGGATACATGAACCGTCGTAGACATGATGGACTGTAGAGGCTGGTGAAGCAACTTGGTTTTGAAAATCTCAACTTGCCAGCTTAAGAATTCCCTCTAGGCAACAATAACATGGATAGTGGAAAGTGAATATTTTCCCCCTCACAAAATCAAGATTCCCAGGTGTTATATACTCCAGGGGATTGCTCCGAGCAAGATGACGGGCGATTCGAACGGCGGGGTGAAAGCAACTGCGCCACAGGTGACGTAGTTGCTGAACCCACCAGCCACAGTATAGGCGGTCGTGTCTGATTGGTCGATTTGGCATAAAGACCCCGCTCTGGAGCGCATTTGTATCTCTTTGCGGTAAAGTCGCGGGAAGGGTACCTACGTCACAAAATAGGAATCGCTTGCGAGTTTCTCCCTCCAGCTTTGGGGAATAACGGCATTGCTGGGATCGTGAGGGATGGCAGATGCATCCATTCCTCTCTGCTATCATCTAGTAATTTCCCGCTGATACAAACTATCCCGAGTATGGTATGCAGTTCAATTCAATGAACGGAGTAGCATTGGAAGGAATACATTCTATTACATTCCAGTGAATCTTGCCTTGGATCACAATTTCTCCATCTCAAGTTCTATCCAGCTGGAGTAAAAGGAAAAGCGACAGCATCCTAAACCCGAATACTAGAACCCCCATCAGAGTCGAAGAGCCGTCACCTTCACCTCATTGGTCATTGGAGATCGATGCCGCCCGTAAGCCAGCCGTAAGAGTCGAGGTCGCCTCTGAGATTCTGGTCCGTCCTCCCGCTTCTGATCGCCGATATTCTCGAATTGTAGCCTCGAGTTCCCTGACACGACGGCGAAGCATCTCATTTTCCCTTTTTGTAGCTTCCAACTCGGCCCGATGAGTGGAGACCTCTTCATACCGTGCTGCTGCATGGGTTGCTGAGAGAGATCCGCGACGAGAGCCCTCCCTCGGAGCTTGCGTCTGGCCAGAACTCCCCGGCGCAGGGAGGAAAGTCTGCGACAGCCTGTAGGAATGAGAGTGAGGATGGCTCGACGGCATAAAATGTTCGCCATGCTGCTGGAACGATGACGACAATGCTGGGGATGCGTGGCCCGATGGAGCACGGGATGCAATCGACGGTTCGTGACTGGCGTTTCCGCGATGATAGTCTAGGGATTGGCGTGATGGAGCACCGCCCTCTCGCGACGGGGTGATGCCGGACACGCTCCCGATCGGCAGAGACGTGGCACCCGCAAAACTACGTGAACTGAGAGTCGAGGACGATCGATTTCGCGATCTCGGGTTGTAAAGAATGGGGCCTTGCTGGTGATCCGCGAGATCATTAACATTAGTCGATGCTGAGGAGGCAGTCGAGGCAACAGACGCGGTTTGCTGACGCAAGAGACTCAATTCACGGGTAAGACGGTTGACCTATAAGCAATATTAGAAAGGAGCTCATATGTAGCCATTATCGAGGTCGTGTGTTCGCTCCGTACAACTGCCTCTTGCTCTTTCTCCATCTCCAAATGTAGATCAGCGACGGTCATCGGACGCGGGTGACGTAAGGGATCTATCATTGAACAAACGAGTCTGTCAGCCAGGGGAACTTGTTGTCTCTATTCGCCATGCATCCTTGTTGCACTGATTCTTCTGGGGGTCGCAGTACAATTTGGTGGTGTTCTGCCATCATCGCCGTCCTTCACATCGGTCGAGTTTGCGATAGGAGTAGGGCCCGACATGGCATGCTGGCTTTCCAGATCACCTATCCACAGGGCAAAGGCATTCAAAGTCAACAATCCCAATTTCATCTAAAGCCAAAGAGCCATGTGCCCTGGAATTTTGGGTTTTACCGTACCAGGGGGAGCGTTCCGCTCAGGAGGATTCATAGTTTCCGACCAACTCTCAACCGCACTAAATGGTATGTGCCACTGTGCTTGGGTCTGCTGTGGTTCAGTTAATCATGCTTTGACATTCATGGTTCAGGACAGTCTTCGCCTGGAAGATGTTGAAAGGCTTCTTTTTCTTTTTTTCTTTCCTTATTCAAATTTTCCAGTTATGGCTGAAGATGCATAGATCGCCGTAGCAACAAGAGCGAACTAAAAAGAGTGTTCCTTTGACGCACTTCCGTCCATGATCAGATGTGTGGTGCCTAGTTAGTGGGCCAGCAGGCCTGCCAACTGCCAACTAACGAGTTGCCAACTGGGGGGTGCGTAGTGTAACCATGTCAATATCACATCATGGAGGAGATCTTACTCCAACTATCCAAATTAAACCAGGAGGAAATTCAACCACCAACTACAGCACCTTGTAAAGTTAAAATATACATTCTTGATAAATTTGATACAAGTCAAAAAAAGAAACTTTGAGTTAACTTGTATACTCTGTGGAACTGTATTTGAAATCGACCTTGAACAAGCTCTCCAGCTGCAAATAATCACCTTGAGAGGAGCGGGTTAAAAAAAAATTGAATTGCCAAAAGAGCAGCAAACGAAAAGGAGAAAACAATCACCGCATTTACTCCTGTACAAATTAACTGGAAACAGCCATGCCACAAAAGTTATCCTCAAAACATAGTCATCCGGATCCCCGCGTCCCAAAAAAAACTCCACATCAGCGCTTCAAAAAACCCGGAGTGTATCACCTAGAGCACAGTACGAATCAAAAGGTGCAAGAAAGAAAGAGAAGGGGAAAAAAGGAACCACAAAAAATAAAGAAAAAGAAAAAGAACGCTTAATTCCCCGGGATCAGCAAACTTCGTCGTATTCTGAACTTCGAAAGGAGCATAAGGAGGGGAAAAAAATGGAGAAAATTGCAGGTTATATCAGCAGCACATTTGCGTAGCCAGCCGCTTCAAAAGTCTCCTGTCATCAAGAGGCACGTTCATCACCTGTGTCTTGACTAGCTAGCTTGCGGTGCCTAGACTTGATTGCGGAAGCACCTCCGCTGAAGACATATGCACTTCTTTACCCAGAGTATCCTTTTGTTCAAGAGAAGGGGAAGAAGATAGTAGCGTAACTTGATCTGGTTCGTTTGGCGCAGAATTTTCGGAGGGCTCCTTTGCTGCTGGAGCTCCCTGTACTTGTTCGTTCGTGCTTCCAGGACGATTCATACTTTCACCAGAATCACCCGATGGAGTATCATCAATCATTGCGGCAAGGCTTCTGAATCCATGAATGGCGGCCAAACTGGAACTCGACCCGTTATGCGGCGTTCCAGAGCCTATTGATTCGCCGAATGCAGACTCAACAAGCGAGGAATTGGAAGAGGAGGCACTAGAGACGTGGCGAAGATGCATATTTTTGCTTGAGCCTTCCAGCATTGAGCTGAATTGCTCGCCCTTGAGGTCTTTTATGGTAATCTTTGGTGGTTCGGTCGAAGAGCCTGCTTCAGTCGATACACCTGGCCTTGGCTCCGATCGATCTACGCCTTTGCCTTTGTTCGCGGACATGTTGAGTTCAGAATTCGCTCCACCTGCTGTTTGAACAGCAGAATTGGCGGAAGAGGTACTCGATGTAAGATTGCTCGGATTCTGGCTATCAAGCCCAGCCTTCTTTGCACTCTTTTCGGCCTTCTTAGCCTCCTTCTCTCGACGCTTGGCTTCTTTTCTGGTCTCTTTCTCTTCCTTTTTACGTCGTTCTTCCTCAGCAGCCAAGCTCAGCCTGATGGCTTCCATCATCATCATCTCTTCTAGCTCATCGATCCGACTACGGCGAGAGCTAGCTCGAGGGGGAGCAAGATTAGTAGTGCTATCAACCGGAGAAGCGTTTTCGCGATCAGTGACAACCCGTCGCTCGGCAAGGTATGCCATTGCGTTTACATGCGGAGGTGCCGTCCTGCCACCTGGGCTATCTTGACCAGCGGTTCTTCTCAACATGCCGCGTCGCCTGGGCTCGCCTGGACCCCCGGGGTTATTCATCATATACGCAGCCGTATGGAGCGCGGTGGCAGCGGCGGATCTTCTGGCGGCCTGCGCTCTCGCTGCAGCAAGTTTCGTGGCCCAGTCTGGACGAACCCTGTCGGTAGTTATCACGCTGGGTGAATCGGCAGATATCGAGACAGCGCGCCGCCTGGTACCCGGGTTGGCACCCCCAGAGACCAACGACGACGCTGAGGACGCAGCCGAAGAATTAGCAAGCGCATGGACGCCAGGACTGGCTGCATACGCTAGCCCACGGCGGAACGGGGGTGGAGTATACATGACACCGAATTCGGGTTGGACGCAGAAAGGGCATGCCGCGGGTTCCGAAACGAGTTGTCCCTCCGGCTCGTCCGGACGGGTGGTTTCGGAATTGTTTGGATCATGATGCTCGGGAGGGTGGGGGTCTGGACGTTTTATCTGTACAAAACATTCCGAACATATTGGTTGATCGCAGCATCTCGTCTTGTTCAGATAAGGCGGGTAATAAAGGAAACAGATAGGGCATTCAGAAGCATCTTTGTACAAGTATGCCTCGATCGGCTGTCCGTTGACAAAAGGGTCCTTGGGAAGCTGAAGTTCGCGAGGGGCCATATCAGATGCGGGCGTTTTTGAAGATGTCGTCAGAGAGGCCAACGTTTTAGCACGGCCTCTAAGAAAGGAGTTAGTCGGACTCAGAGCTCCAGGTGACCGCGCGGGCGATATAGTACGATTAATCGACGAGGTATCCGAATTGTAAGACTGGGATCTCGACGTTATTGGGACCATTAAGGTATTGAGATTTCTTTCTGGTGGCTGCTTTTCCGCGGAAGACTTCGAGGGTATTTTATATTCCAGCTCGGGGGGCACTTCATCTGGCGCGGGGATTGGCATCCCTCTAGCAGCGGCCATCAACTGGTGCTCCGTCCATGACTCCGAGAAATCATTCAACCCTCTCCAAAAGGGGGCAAGGCGTCGTTCGATCTAATGCCAGTGTCAATAAAATATTGGCTCCATCACCAACCAAATATGTGATGGAATCCGTACCATTAACTGCCTTACTATCGCTTTATTGAAGTCCTCCGTGCCAACATACACCCCTTGTGTCACCAGATAGCCACCATCGACATGCTCTTCCTTCATGCTGCGCTGGCGCTCTTTAATTCTGGCTGCATTTTCCTTTTCTCGCTTCCTAGCTTCTCTCTCTTGTCTTGTTTCGCGACGATACTCCACTGGCTCTCTTTCAGCTCCGAGACCGAGCAGAGCAAAATCAGACCGGCCACCGCGGAGAGCGCGGGACGAGCTAGCATGTATACCATCTGAGGGCCTGTAATGATCGTATGCTGCCGTGGAAGCCGTTGATCCGCCTCGCGAATGCCGAGCGGAGTGTTCCTGCGAGGATCGGCTCTCCTTCGTCGCTGCGTTTCCCATACTGAATATGGGCGGTAATTAGGAACTCCAGCAGACCAGGGCCAAGAAGGATAGGGGGAGGGGAGACCCGACGACCTATGGAAAGAAGGAAAAGTGAGATCTCGTCTCTATGAATATTCGAGGCTTTCTATAAATAAAGAAAGGGGAAAGTCTGAGGAATTTTTGGTGGGAATGTGGACCGCCTGCAGTGCCCTCCTTCGTGTGGCGGACCGCGGAACAGGTGCACGGACTACGAAGGTACCGTAACCCTTGGACGTACTCGACGTTTGTCAGGAAGCAGAACGGCCATATGAGCGAAGATATTGCGTGCAGGTTATGGTGGTGAAGGCATAGCAGTACAGTGGAGGAGTTGGTATGGCAGTGATGGCTCGAAAGGGCGGAAATGAGAGTCCAGAGGGTGTTGGGCGGATGAATCACTTTGAGTTTATGACATGCGTCGTGGACAGGGAGTCCAGATTCACATGGAAGCGGGTAGGACGACCTTATTATAAACGTTGAGAGCAAGTGATGGCAAATTGCACGTTAAAGCAGCTCCGTAACAACAGTTCTCTTGTGGAAGATCATTGATCCACCAATATCGACATGGATGACGATAAGTTGTGTGCATTGAGAGCACAAAGGAGATTTGTAGGTTCAGGATCTGGACGGAACCCCAGACGCAGGCCTGGAGGAGGCTTGTGATGGACTGCTGGGGGAGGGGAGAAGGTGGTGAAGGAGATGGGCAGCCAGGCAGCGCCCTCCACGAGAGTTATCGAGTTTTCGCCTCCTTCACCGTCGAGCCGGCGACTGACAAGCGTTCGGCTGGGCCATTTCTCTTGCGTACCTGCTCGTTCTGGCGGTGGCGAGCACCGATTACCTCAGCTGGGGCTTGTTGACGCGGCGCCACATGATTCCATTGCTCCCATTGGATAGTTCCAATTATGTAATTTATTTCAAGGTTTCTCGCTTGTGATTGGCTACAGCGCCAAGGCCCGAAAAAAAGCGAAATTTCGCTGGGAAGAAGAAGATACAAGCTGCTGAATGCTGGTGGTGCTGCACGACGGCAGCTGGCGAGGACAGAGCGGGTGCGATGGCCTCCAGAGCACACGCAGAATCCTTGTGACAGCTGCAGAGCCCCTATCTTGCCCTCAGCCTCGATCCCCGATGTCGACTACCCCGGTGAAGCGACTCCACATCACGCCCCTGGACGCAGCTCTGCTCAATACCATCCTCCATCCGACGACCCGTTCCCTCGCAACAGACATCTCCTTCCACACCGTCCAGACGTTCCCTGAGAGTAATTATGGGTTCGTAACGCTGCCCACGGCCGAAGCGGAAAAGCTGGTTAAAAAGCTGAATGGCTCGATCCTGAAAGGCAGGAAGCTCCGGATCCAGGAGGCTAGGCTCAGAAGGGAGATACCGCTCGAGGAACTCACTTCTCCCGAGGATCCTGGCCCAAAGGTAACTTGCAATACCGCTATGGCGAAAAAACGCAAAGCTGGTGATAACGCCATCGAAGGCTATGAATTGCCGTCAGAGCGTCGCGTAAAGCGAGGATGGACTGAGGCGCCCGATAAAGAGAAGAATCGATCACGGAAGGCCGACAGGAAAGAGCAGAAGAAAGACAGCAAGGGCAAGAAAGCTCAGAGATCTAAATATACAAATAACCCGGAATGTCTCTTTCAGACCGTGCCTCCCCCCAATAAAGCAGACCTTTCCAAAGCGGATAAAAAAAGAAAAAGAAAGCCATCCGACACCGCTGCTGTTGTGGTCCATGAGTTCGAAAAGTTGACTACCCATCCAAGCTTCTTAAGGACCGGCCAGGACTCGTCATCGAAGAGTCTGACAAACGAGTACGTTGACGGGAAAGGGTGGCTTGACCGAAGTGGGAGTGTGAAAGAAGCTAGCTCGCTGAAAACCAAGCCGGAGCCCACAAGTCGGATAAGGCCGCAAGAGAGAAATGTCTCAAAGATTTCGGTTCAAATCACCGAAAACTGGGCTCCAAGTTCTAGTGAGGACGAGACTTCATCGTGCGGATCGTCAAGCGAAGAAGAATCGCCTGGATACTCGTCCTCGTCCTCTAGCGATGAGGTCTTAAATAAAGAAACTACGAACGATTGCGTTGTTCATCCGTCGCCGTCTACTTCCAAGCGCAGTTCCAATGACAAATCACTTGCGGGAAATGGCGATATAACTTCGTCGACTACCTTGGCAATGGACGAAGCCTCCAGCGATTCTACTTCTGAATTATCTGACGAGGGCGACGTGGATCAAGGGAATGAAACGTTCAGGGATCGTCACGATTCCATTGACGGTGTTGATGATGAAACATCCTCGAGCAATTCCTCTAGCGAAGATGACACCGCCGTCTCTAGTTCAGCCTTGGATGGCGGGGACTCTCACTCCGATAAGGAGGAGGAGGAAAGCGAAAACGAACCCCCAGCCAAAGAGGTTCAACAGGCCGACACAACCCCAGAGTGCGTGCCTGCCCCCAAAGAAATCCACCCCTTGGAAGCTCTGTTCAAACGGCCAGCATCGGGGGCAGCAACCCCGCCCGGAAAGGCGCAACCCGCGGCTAGCACGGCGTTCAGCTTTTTTGGCAACGCCGAAGAAAATAGCGACATCGAAGACGAAGATGATTATACAACCAGTCTCCATGGGGCCGATGGCAACATTGTTGCTGAACCTCAGACACCCTTTACAAAAATGGATTTGCAGATCCGCGCTGTGCGTAGCGGTGCCCCTACTCCTGACACCGTTGCCGTCAGCAAAGTTAGGTTCTGGGAAGAAGATGAAGAGGAGGACAGTGCAGATGTCGACGCAGAAGGGAATGACAGGGGCGACGGAACTATGAAACCAACAACCATCTTATCTAAAGCCACCGAGCGAAAGGACCCAGAGGCCGATGGAGAAAGTGAATTTTCGAAGTGGTTCTGGGAGAACAGAGGCGATAACAACCGTGCTTGGAAGAGGAGACGAAGAGAGGCGGGTAAAGAGAGAAGACAAAGGGAAAATAGGCGACGGGGAAGATAATAACCCGTACGGGTCCTTCGTTGAAAACCATATGCATAGAATGTTTGCGATGTGGCTATTATACTCTTGACTTGATGTGGAAATGAAATAGAATATGATGAATGAAAGTGCTTTTTTCCATGAGATCAAATTCTTCACTCTATTTGCAACCCCCCTTTGTTTTTTTCTTTTTTCTTTCTTTCTTTTTTTTTTTTTTTTTTTTTTTTTTTTTTTGTGGCTCATTCCTCTGCGTACAAATTAAGTGATCATCTAGAGATTTTAGCCTGCAGCCCCTGAATGTGGGATTCGTCTGCGTGTGACTGGTGCAATTGTTGAGGCAAGGTCATGACTTGGATCGGATGTTTTACATTGATCATACCAGGAATCAATGCTTCCAGGGCGAGTGCAAAGGCTGTTCCACTGCTTCAACAGGCCGAACAAGTCCTCCCTGCTCCCAGACATTGAGAAATGGTATAATTTGCTTTAGTGGATGACCAAGTGCCTTGTAATTAGCACTCCTGGTAAGACTAGTCCAAATGCCTTTAATGTACTCCGTAGACACTTGAAAGTGCCAGCCATACCTTTAGAAAGTTGCCCATTGTTATAGCGTAAAAATGGCATGCGCTCATTCAGCTGCACAATCCACCAGCCCTGTGCGCTCTCCACTGCCCAGCACCAACCATGGTGTACAATTATGGCTTTGTGTAAATTTTCCATGGCCTCCATCAATTGCTTGCAAGCGGACATGAACACCTTTCTCAGGATGACAGGGCAAAGGCATCCCCCTACCAAGGGGGATACTAGAACCCTGTGATGGCGTTTTGTTCCAGAGAGCAGAAAGATTGTTAAGTATATTATAAAATGAGAGGTATCCTGTATGGAGTACTCTGTACATTCTGAAGGATTCCATCCTGCATGCAGATCTCTTTTTCTTTTGTTTCCATTTTCCTGAAGCTGTGGCTTTGAGGGCTGCATATGTCTTGGTCTGAAGAGCATGAGCCATCCAGGGGTAAGGCGTGCATGCTACCGCGGATTTGGTAGCACAAAGAAGAAAGCCGCAAAAACGCTCAGGGCTATTCTGCACTCAAGGGAGATCTGGTTGGGGGTAGAAGAGGTTGGTGCGAGGGAGGTTTCGTGGAATCAAAGATACATGTCACTCCACACCGTTCGCTGTAACTTGGTTACAATACCACTAGTTAAGAATTTTAGTGCAGAGCGGTCAGCAAGGCAAGAGTTCTGAGGTCATCGAGCGAATATTATCATCAACAGCACAGTAGAAACCTGTTCTGCAATCCACCAATACACACATATCCAAAATGATAATACGAAGTCACACCCTCTCTCTCTTCCTCCTAATATTCTTGTCCTCACTACCCTTCATCAGCGCTGCGAGTACGTCCTCCCTTTCCTCCTCCAGCCCTCTCGCTGATATCACGCGCTGACCACACCACTCCAAACAACAGCTCCAACCTCCTTTTGCAAATGTACCTGTTTTTCCAATAGCACCATCATCCCACTTGGCCCGCCCAAGCCTCATACCTCCTCAAATCCCACACTAGGTAGACGCTCGATATTCACCCCATCTCTGTTCTCCCACCGTGCCGTCCCCCGGGACAACGCAGGTGTCCAACCAGCGGAGTCTCAGGGCGATAAGAACAAGAGTACCGGCGGTGATAAGGACGACAAGAAGTTCCGCGCGGCCAATTGTAATGACTGCAATCGTAAATTTTGTCTGGACTATCACCTTCCGATGTGCAAGGGTGCGAAGGAGGATGATGTTGTAACAACTTGTTTCCGTGCGTCTTGTCCCTCCTGTCCAAATATCATACAACATTCCGGGGAAAGAGCCGAGAATGCAAGACAACTGACTTATGACTGTCTAGAACGAGAATCTAATAAAGACAAAGCCGTTGTGCTGATATTCATTGTCGCTACCGTGTCATTATTGGTTTGGGCTGCATTGAAACCTTGGGCGGAAAGGTGGATTCAGGTACGGGTTGACTTATATTCTGCATTGGATTTCTCAAAATGATCAAAGTTCTTTTCTTTTACGTCTCAATCATGGTGGATTTTTGATATACTAACGACGAACTCCAATATTCTAGGCCGCTCGTGAAAGGCGACTATACATTCCTATCTCATCTCGCGAGGATAATAACTAAAGGAGGCTCCAAGATTCCTGTTTCATGTACATTGCTTACATTTATCCCATTGGCGTTCCCGGCAGCAGAACATCGGCTATGGTATACATATATCAGAAGAACAACAGGGCGTTTGGAGGTCTTTAAGCTGCCGTGTTTCACTATACGAACATATCTATCTCGTTTCGTCTTCTCGCCTGGGAATCTGGTACAGGTGGAGAAAGTTTCAATAGATTTACGCCGAAATATCTCCTTTGCCGGGCTAGCTCAATCGGTAGAGCGTGTGGCTCTTATGCGTAAGGTTCATAAAAACCGCGGATTAACCACAAGGTTGCGAGTTCGACCCTCGCGTTCGGCTTCAGTTATCTTTTTTTCATTTTCTTCCCCGTCTGTTCTTTTTGTTCGTTTGCAAAACTGTTTTCCCTGGAAAGAGGACGAGTGAACATTTCCATTGATGCAATTGCTCTTCTAGGTGGATGATGCTATGTCTTGATACATAGGAGCCCGACTTGTCTTACAATGCGACACAACATCCCGATGTACATACATATAGTCCGTACTACTGGGCACTTTTTAATTTAAACAGCTCAGCTGTCTATAATGATGCTCGCCACATTGCTGCTAATATCGCCCGAATCGCGCAGAAAGCTCACAGTTTGAGACCACCACCTTGAACGCCGTTCCGCAAGTAGAAAACGAAGGACGTTTAAACGAATGGGTCAATAGTCGGAAACTTTTAAACCAAACCCGAATAACCAAGATCAAAACTGGCCAAGCTAAATAATAGCAAGTGAAGGAGGTAGAAGCCAAAGTCTAACACGCAGCAAGGGTATCGAGCAAATAGGCTCACTTACACGGCATCCTGGTGGTCAACACTGACATGCACAATCTCGGGAGCTGGAGTTTCAGTATGTTGGTAATAACCGGGTGCGCCTGTGGTAATGGAGACGAATGAATATTTTTTAGGGTGCATGAACCAGAGTTGCAACGCTCCGACAATGGCGGCCAAAGCACTGGCCCACCACGCGACTCCGGTGAATCTAACGCGAGAACCCACGGTATAAAGGTATCCAGCGATCGGCGGAGCAACAGTCCGCGCCGCAGCACCAGCTGATGCGGCTAACCCGTTAATTTTCCCCAATACCGAGTTTGATGGACTAGCTTGCTTGATGAGGATAAGCAAGACGGGATAATCGAGAATTGAGAAGATATTCCGAATCGTCAGGCAAGTATAGATCCCAGGGTAGAGTATGCCGGATGGGAGTAAGGCGAGGAATGGTACTATAAAGTAGGCAATCGGATGGAGAATAGTCACAAGGACGAAGACGTTCCAGACACCGAGCCACTCCGTGAAAACCGGGAAAACGACACCTTGAATTACCAGCGCGATAATTCCGTTTATAGACATGATTAGGCCAACAGTCTGGGTGGATAATCCCAACCCACCAGGAACATGAGGGAGACCAGATATTGGCCATTTGGCTGGTTCGCTCTTCTCGTCCTGGAGAAAGATAGGTAGAAGATGGTCGTATGTCATGGAATGGTAAGTAAATATGCCCAAAGCGATTATTAGCATTATTACACGACGTGTAAAGACCTTTGAGGGCTTTGGTGAAGGAAGGAGTTTTCCGTCAGGCCTCACATGCCATTCCTCGTCTTCATGCATGTCAACATCATTGAAAGTGCCGTAAGACTTTGCTCTCAAATCTGCACTTGCGCAAGAGAGTGATCCAGCGGTAGCCACGGCGGCTAATGCAGTACCAAATTCGGTGTCTTCATGGGTTTCCATCCGGGTATATCGCGTCTGCATGTCCGGATGGGTTTCATGGAGGAATAAATACCCAGCAATAATGCTGATCAGAAGTAGCACCGAGCAGATAACGTTAGGGAGGAGATACGGGAAGATGCCAAATAACCCTGAACGGGGGAAAATAGAAGGAAACGTCTCAGCAGGTTTTGAACAGGTACCTCCAATGGCTTTGCAAAACTGTTAATGGTGTTCTGATACCAACTGGAAAAATAGAGAAAACCTACCTGGGCCAACAATCGTCCCGATTGACCAAACAAACGGCATGACCGCATACGCCCTCGCTAATAAGGAAACAGAGAGTCAGGATACAATAAGACTTGAAGAGTATCAGGCAATGAGAAGGCCAAGCATACGTTCATATTCCGGCTTCTTGACTAACTCGCCGACCATGGTCTGAATAACTCCTATATTCCCGTTCAAAACGCCGCCAACCACCCTGCCCAGCAGGGCAACCCAAAAGTTGGTTGCGAAGCCAACAATGAGCAGGGAAACCATTGTTCCAAAACAGCCAAAGAGCAAGACTGGTTTACGACCGACCTTATCTGAGAGACTGCCCCAGAACACGCCCGTCAGGCTCTCCGCGAGGGAAAACGCAGAAATGAGGATGCCAGCATAGAAAGAAGCGCTGGACTTCTCGCCGATTTCGAAGTCCCTCACCATAACCCATGAATATGGGAATATGGAGGTCAATGCGATTGGCTCGGCAAAGCGACATATTGCTGCAAGCCGAACAACGTCAGCGTGATGCAGACCAAGGGAGGATATCAGATTGGAGACACTCACCGAGAATGAAGAGCTGGAGGGTTGGGAAACCTTCGTTGGTGTTGTTGGGAGTATATGTGGGGGAATGGCCTCTTTGACGTGTTAATCTCATGTTCTCTAGAAAATACAATGATTCTTACGGCAATCCTCCCAAGCAGTTGCGGTAGACAGTTCCCGCGTTCTCCTGAAAGGCTAAGGACTTCTGGTTGCTGCAACCAGGAGACTCTCTCTTTCTCAAACTCTGACTGTCAAGCAGGTTTCAACCTAGCCGATGACGTCTGTTGTAGTTATTCTGATCTTGCTGTCAATTTCCTTACTCCAGCGCCTTTATCTCTTGCTTCGACACAGTGAGAGCATAGGAGATTAAAAAGCCAAGGGAAGATAATGGATATGAGCAAATATCTCTCGGTCATGGGACGACCGTCCGCTCTTAAAGGAAGCGGAGAGGAGGGGGGAAAAGGCTAGCCGGCTGAAGGTTCCAGAGCCATGGAAAAGGAAAGATAGGCGAAGACACGAACGGGTGGCGGCAAGACCGATTTGCGTGCACCGACAAGGGACACGCGGGCTGAGACAAGCGTCTCGCGTGTACTGTACACACAGAGTACTGTATGGGTACGGAGGACTCCGTCCAGGCTCGAAAATCCCGTCGCTACTGCAGTCCAGGTGGAGCCAGATGGGCATGTGCTACAACCCACTCCCGTGTCATCATGAGGGACACAGGAAGCTGGCTTTCCCGATGGAGAGATTCGAGCTCGCCACTATCTTTGAATCGGGCCCACGGTACGGAGTCATAGCAGTTCCGGGATCCTATCTCCAACAGCGAAAGCCAATGGGCCACTAGCGTTCCCAAGGTCATATGCTCAGCGTTTCGAAAGTGCCAACTCCAACCAAAGGCTGTGCTGCAATCAGACCAAACTGTCCTAGGTGATACAGGAGGATCATTGCAAGCCTTGTCACTGCAACTGTTCCGACACAGCACTCAAGGCCTGCACGGCCTGTGGCTCCCGCGATGAATGATGCGGTGCAGGTCAGCGCCAAGCATCACATGTGTAGGTTAAAGTTTGCTAGAGCAGCCCTAAGCCCTGGGTTGCGTTCGAATCGGTGTTAGCTTTGTTTACGTCCTGTTGCTATGTCGAGAATGTCTTTTTGCCGTTGCGACCAAAACATTCAGCTCGCCGGCAGTCAAGCTTGTCGTCACACAGCGCAGTCCGTTCGACAGCCAATTCTGACCATTCTACAAGAACCCCTTGATCTGCCAAATGAGGCAAATGCTACCGAAAGGAATAAAGGTGAGATCCCTCCGTATTTGAGCAAGTCGACTGGTGTAAGGAGGCCATGTGCTCATTGATGGCATCGCAGCGCGCGACTTAACCCCCTTTCATGCTGGCAAACGCCATACACGCGATACGTCATGACGAGTCCGATCTCAGTCCTCTCTCCCCTCTCCTCGTCGAGGCAAAATGCCCGGTCTCCCCTTGTTGAATCCTTCCCTGAAAGTTCGAAACCGTCTACAAATAGCCCTCGGGGAATTTTAGAGAAGCGCTTTTCAATCTACGACGAGAATGCTTCCCCGTTAAAACAGGACATGCACACAGCCTCTCCAACTTTGGATGCGGAGGAAGAAGGGCTTTGCGACGAATGGCCTCCTAGCTCACCGTTTCAGGAGATGGTATCCGGCGACCTCACCGGCTTAACACGAGATATGACCCCCCGGAAAGATGGCAGCGGCTCTCCTAAAGGCGAAAACCCCGGTGACGACGATGTTAATATGGACCGAGAAGACTTTAAGCCGGACGAGCCGCCTGTGCCTACAGTGGAACACGCGCCGATCATGGCCGACATTACCTTCACTGATGAACAAAAGGACGCGGTACAGTTTCCTGATATAGATAGCAGTATCATCCACTACCGCTCCGAACCGGTCCAAGTCCGAAAAGTGTCCGGGATGACCGTGAATCATGAGAATATGAGCATCGTGTACCACCCAGATGAGGAAAAGGAAGGTCCTGTTGAGAATGGCATGGGGGGTCACGTCCATTTGGGCTACGATACCGGAGATGACACGTGCTTAAGTACTTTTTCGGCTGTGCCCAATGCCGATATGACCCTCTTCGCAAAGTTGAGAGCGGATTCGCCACTGAAACGTGCTAGAGAAAATACGCTCAGCCCGAAGAAGGTAGTTTCCCCATCGAAACTTGGAGATTCTATATTGAGGACTCCAAATTCTGCAAAACGAGACTACAGACGAAACGGTTGGGGCGATCAAGGCGGTGACTATGGATCCCCGACTCCTGGAAGAAAATACCCTCGGATTGACGATACTCCCAACTTGCTTGAATTTACCGACCAGCTCAATGGGTCTTCGCATAGACAGTACGCTCTTGAGACCAGTTACGCGTCCCCCGCTCGTCGTAACCCGCGTTTGTCTCCACTCAAGACTACTGAACGCTTCCGATCCCCCAGCAAGCTCTCGTTGTTGGATTTCGACATCCCCCCCGTCCCTACGCCACGCTCGATTCCATCTATCACTCCGAGAGAGCTAGAGTCTTTGAAATCGTCCTTCCTATCTCAGATATCTTCTCTCAAAGCGACTTTAAGTGGAAGAGATGCCGAAGTGGCAAGTTTGAAGGAAGCTGTGGCCGACGCTGAACGTCGAGTCGGTGAAGCTCTCGAAGAAGTGCGGAATGAGGCAGCACGGAAAGAGGCACTGGAGTCCGAGCAGCGGGAGTGGGAACGTCGTGGAAAGGAGATGGAGAGTGTTTTGAGGGGCGTTAAGGCCGAAATTGTGGACGGCGAGCGCGAAAGAAAGAGACTAGCCGATAGAGTTGAAGAGGCTGAGAAGTCGAAAGAACACCTTGAAGGGAAGATTGTCGAATTACAGAGTCAACTCTCAGCCGTCAGACAGACCTCTAGTGAACAGACAACTACTACCACACTTTCTAATTCTCAAAATAAAACGACTGACGAGGTGGCGAAGGACGTTCAAGACGCAGTTGAGAAAGTGGCACGTGAACTGCACACTTTATACAAAGGAAAACACGAAACCAAGGTTGCTGCATTGAAGAAGAGCTACGAAGCTCGATGGGAGAAGCGGGTTAGAGAAGCAGAAAAAAGGTTCAGAGAAGCTATGGAGGAGAATGAAAAGTTGAAGCTGGACAACGCTATGTCTAGTGCTCATTCCAGCACATCGCCTGGAGATGCCACAATGTTGCGCGAACATGAAAACCTTGAGGCTGAGAAGCGCGTCTTGGAAGCTAAGGTTAAGGGTCTTGAGCAGGAAATTCTCTCCATTAAACAAGACAACGAAATACTCAATGAGCAGCTAAAAAACGAGCGCGCCGAAAAGGGGGAACTTGTTGCTGTTGTCGATGAGTTTTTTGCTATGCAACAGCAACAACAGCAGCAGCAACAGCCAATGGAGAAGGAAGAGTCGCCACCACCCCCTCCTCCCCATAGGGAACGCACGCTGTCCGTGCTACGGACTGAAGTCGGTCAGGAAGAAGAAGAGTCTCTGCCGATGACCTTGCCTACCTTAGAGTTGACGGCGAAACCTACGGCTCCGTCAAATGAAAATGCTCCCCCAGCTAGTAACATTGCCCGCTTCTCCAACGCTCCGAGTGGGATACGACCTCGCCCTTCTCTTGGGCCCACGCCCAAAGTCCCAAGGTTTGGTATGCCGGCAGGTCATGTGAGAAGCAACAGCAAGGACGATAAGGGCCTGACTGGAATTCCGAGCAAAACTCCTCTTGCGCCGCGCAGCGGCATTATGAGTTCAATCGAGAGGATGGGGAGGGGTGGAATGTAATGGTCTGTACTGTGGTGGATGTTCCACATAATGTGAAAACAAATTTTCCAAGACAGTAAAGGTGTTATTTTGTCCCCTGCCCCCAAACCCTTTTTCAACCCTTGGTTTTTGTGGATGATTGTGAATCCTTTTCCTTTTTTTTTGGTTTGTGCCTTGCTATGTACAGAGTATGAGAACATGAAATGAACATGAATTATGACAGCTATTCATTTGTATTGTTGTGCCATTATACCAGAACAACTTGCCAGAAGAGGGGAATCTTAGGGGAAAAATTACAAAGGAATAAAGGAAAAGAGAAGCATTATAATTTTTTGTCAATGATGGTTTTCAGCCTCCATCTTCGAGATTTCATAATTAACTTCATTGGCAATGTCATATGTCCACAATCCGGTCATCCATGAAGGCATGGGTAGCTTGCCTATATTGTAATTCACCCCAGTTAACTGCCTGCACAAAGGAAAGCATACATTCAATGTTTGGGTTACCAAGCTTACCCATTATGAATAAGCCAAAATACATCATGAATTCGGCCACTCTTCCTAAATTCTTTTTCTTCTGATCGAATTGTTTTCCCTTTTCCTGGATCGCATGGACTCGGGGTTTACGGATTTCCATGTGCTTTTGCATCACCTGCGCGATGGTTTCCCTCTCGATTCGGGCTAAGGCAGCGGCGGAAGGATCGCTTAGGGAATCGTATGTCTTGTTCAAGAAGTGGGAGAGCAGCATGGAGAAACATTCGACGTCTTCAAGGGCCTGGCATGTACCCTGCCCGCTAGTAGGCGTAAGTGTATGGGCTGCGTCGCCGATGACTATGACGCCGTCTCTTGTCCATGTTGGGAGTTCTGGTGTTGTGTTCACAGGAAATATAGTCTGGATATTGACCGTGCCGAGAATCTTCTGGATAATCGGATCCTTCCAGGTGTCGAGGCGGTTGTGTAGATCACGAAGGATGGCTTCTTTGTCCACTGCCCTTGGGTCCGGGCATGATTCCATCTCGTAGGTAGACCACCACATTACTGTGTCGCTCGGTGTCGTCTTGGACTGTGATGTGGAGCTAATGTATTCCGATGGGTTTGTTAAGGACTGCACGAAAGAATATCCGAAAAAACCATTCCTTCCAAAAACAAAGTTTATTGTACATGGCTCGACGAGAGATTTGAATTCCTCGCCTTGAACCACGCCACCGACACCGACTAAACCTCTGTGGGTAGATATTAACTTTAGTAACAGTTTGGACTGAGAGGGCTGTATCAGCTTACGCAAACTCCGGGGGATAAGGGTCCTCCTTCGCCTCCGGGAATAGGGCTCTCCTGGTAGGACTCTTTAGGCCGTCTGCACCAATGACCAAATCTGCCTCCTCGTCCGGACTTCCATCAGCGAACTGAATGACGCTTCTTCCATTCGAATTGGCTATGACTTGAGTAACACGCTTCGTCACAATAAGATCATCGGGGACGTAATTCCGTAGGCAACTCCAGAGAGCATGCCGGCTTAACGAGATGGAATACGTATCTTCAGACGAACAAGGGAGTCGTGCGAGCTCCCTGCCATAAGAGCTCATAAACTTCTGAACGTTAAAACAGTGCCCTGCAAGCTTAACATCACGGGCTAAATCTTCATTCAGTCGTTCTAGGGATCTGACCCCGTTGGGATGGAGCCCAATGCCTCCGCCCACAATAAGAGAGGCGGAGTGGGTGTCACCCGGAGCATGCTGGGATGCGAGATTCCGGGTCGTGTCGTAGGACTCGAATATGACAAATTCATGCTCCGCCATGGAAGCTGGCGGCTGGGGGAGACGCTTTTTGAGCGCGAGATAGATGGCGCATCCGCTGATGCCTCCACCGACGATCGCGATCTTCATGATAGGAAAGGTATCAAAAAATGTGAATTGATGCTATATTCAATGACCAGAGCGTTTTTGACGACTAAACATTGTTGACAGGGAGAAATCGTAGCCGCTTTTATGGTCCGTCGCTTTGAATTTCGGTTGCCTGGTGAAGTTCGGCTGCTCATAATTTCTAGTGCAGGGCCAGCCGTTGTGGCGGGTACGGTTTAATAGGCGAGATAAATTAACGAATTATTGCGGCGTACTCCGTATACTGCATGAAAAAAGACCTACAAGAAGAATCTAAGCCGTCGGATTCACAACTATTGAGCGGCACCGCGAGCCGCGATTCCAGGCAGAATAATTCCAGAGACAGCCGCAACTCGCGCTTCGTATTGATCCCGGACACGCCCTCCCTATTATGGTTATTCTTCAAAGGCAAACACGAGTCTCCGAAATTCAATGGCCCCGTATTTTCTTCAATTTTGAAAGGGAGAAGAGAAGTTTTGCTAGGTTAAGTTATGTAACAGTGGCTGGACTGGTAAAGCTGGAAGGAAAAGCCATCCCAATGCATCTTGGGCATTCAGGCTGAAGGGTGTGTGGCACAATTGAAAATCAGATATCAGTGAGTGGGCTCCTTGCTAGCCATCCTTCTGGCAATTTCTGTTGCCTGGAACTAGAATCAGTATACCAGGCGAATTTTGCGAGCTTCTTGGAACTGCACGATGAATGCCCAGTTGAAGGCTGTTGCTTGGCTTCACGTGAACATATGGCTCTGAGGTCCGCGCCTCAAACTTCCAACAAAGAGAATGCAACGCTTCAATAACAACAGCACTGTTAAAATGCAGCCTAGCCTAATTGTTTATAGGCCTGAAGTTGCATAGCTTCATTCACAGTCCCCAGAGCCTCAAAAGTTGACCCTCCCACCCACTCTGTTGAGATGTTCAGGCCTGGACTTCCCATTGATTACCGGCGGCAGAACCAAGTCTGGGATCACGGAAATTCTGCTCCAATGATCCCACAAGCTATGTAGGGAGTGAGTTCGACTCGAGAGCCTACCAGATTTTCAATGGGTCTTCCGGTGTTGCTTGCATGCTTTGAAAGTCGATCAAGTCGCCGGAATCCGAATGTGCAATTTTCTTGCCCATAATAATTTTGCACGGAAGATCATCAGTTGACTATATGCTGGTCTCGATGGCCATTTTATGGCTCGGTCCCGCGTCCTAGCACCTTGGGCATGTGCCACCACTCCTCAAGACACTGGAGGCTGCATCGACCCTCCCAAATTTGCGCATCACGGAAGCTTTTGGCTTTGCGCTTGTGCAATATATCATGATTTGCAGACTGTCAAATGCGTCAGTATCTGGGCTGATTCAGCTCCAAACCTGATACGAGATTTGGTCATGTAGTGGACTCTCTGGCCTATGTCCTCGTGACCTCGGGCCTTGTCGCGTCTTTTTTAGGAAAAAGCAAACGCGGCAACTTTGGAGCTTTATCATTGTTGCATGATCGCTCGGAACCACCCCGATCAACGTGACGCAAACACGGGAAAACGATAGAAGGGCCCCACGTCTGGAGCTCGAGCATGCAAGGTTCATTTTTTGCATGCAGTATTGGTTGCGGAAAAGTCGGCTCTTTGACGAAAGCAGTTGTGAACCTAAAATCCCATAGGACCAGACCTCAGATGTTCGAACATAGAACAAGAGAGGGGTTATGGACGTGACTGCATATACGAAAACATTGCATGCATAGCTAGACGGATGATCAATGGCTGCTTTAAGGACATGGCGTGCATTTCGCTATCGGTATCCTGGCTCTCGGCAGGACGTCTAAGCTAAGAGAGAGAGAGAGAGAAAGAGATAGCACGCGAGATACAAAGCAATACCGATTCAGTGGATCCCTCTGGTCAAACTGGGCCTTTATTCATTCCAAGATTAACTTTAAGCCAACATTGCGCACCTTACACTGGGCATTATTTATGCTACGGGAGAATGCTAGTGCAACTCGTTTCCCTTAGTGGCAAAATTATGGAAAGGGTGATGATAGATATTACGACGCTGTTACCGTGAAAAAATTGAAATCCCTCGGGGATGGCCCCATCGTTAGGTCGACCGGCTTGTCGTCTGCCTCCTACCGGCCTCTCCATTCCCTGCATCGGCCAGTGGATGGGGCGAGCCACATGGGAAATCGCGTGACATATCGCCTTGCCACCTACGAATTTATTGCTAAGTTTCTTTCTTAAATTCTCCTCCTACCGCAACCGGTTTCCCTCGAAGAGTTCTAACAACTTGGGAAACTCATTTTGATCTGAAATTTACATATTTGTAGCAAGTCAGATTGTTTTGGGGCAATTTTTCCAACTCGATTCCATGCAACTGATGTCCAGACGAAACCAAGAATATCTCTATTGAGGGAATACGTTCGATAGTAGTCAGTGAAATGTTCATTACGAATGGCTGTATTCTGGATCCTTGTCTCGCTTTTGATCCGGAAATGGATATCGGTGCGGTTATCCCAGATCAACGAACCGAGCCTCCTTGGAAATGATGCCATTGCAGCTACGCCTTGGAGGGGGGAACATGGCTCAAGAAACAGCCATGTGGATATTATACTCAGAACTCGTTTATCGTTTGCCATTTCCAACGATGGAAGACTTTTGACGCTCGAATGCTGATATTACATTGGCTAAAGCCAGAACACACCGGATAGAGAGTAAACTCTCCCACATCCGCATCAACCTTTCGTCTTAGCAGCTCCAGCCATCGAAACTCAAGTTGGTTGCTCACATTTCTGTCAAAGAAAGGGCTAACAGGCTTGCAGGATCCTGGAATGATGATTGCAGGTCGCCTGCAAGTGACGTTCAAAATTGCCTAATCGGGTATGGTGTTAGGGCTAACTTTGCTTATTGAGCCCCTAATGCGGAAAAGGATCAATAACTTGGGGAGCATCTCACCGTACCCGAAGATTCAACGCAGTTTGGTATTGCGTCGTTTTTCCCGTCCATTGTTTGAACAATGAACGCAGCGAATGTTCCTTTGGCGAAACGTCCTCAGAGCTGGTTTCCGCGGGCTGGCCATATCAACATGGCGAACCTCATAGGTGGCCACGCTCCGGAAGGTTTGTTAGGATGCATGTTCACGGGCCATGATATGTTGCTTTCGATGGGGTTAAATCTCCACTGGATTCTTTTCTACGTGAGGGATTTCTTTTCGTCAAGTGGCTAAGGGATCCTGAGCGAGGGACTCCTTTTCGAATGGCTACCATTTGGAACGGGCGTGTGCGTCTATTATATTCCATCCGTTCTCAGACAATCTCGCACGTTGTCTATCTTCTCATCTTGGATTTAATCTAGATCAGACTTGGTTTCTTTATCTGGCGACCAAAAGGCTCATACAGCTCTCCCAACCTTGAACGCAACTCAAGAGACCCCCGAGAAGGAGACATACGAAGGCCACGAGGCTCTATAAATCAACATTGATTCCTCAACTAGATGGAATCTGCTATCCTCTAAGAATAAGTGTCTATTCCAGCAAGCTCATTAATCTTGTCCGATCCTCTTCGTATCTCTCAATCTCCAACGTTTGGCCTTGTTCTCTACGACGTGCAAACATGAAGCTGTTGACCTTCCTTTTTGCTATTCTCGGAGCATCAACAGCTATTGTTCTAGCTGCTCCTGCTCCTGTCGAGGGTAGTGTTGGTGCACCAGTTGCAAAACGCGAACCTGATCCCGAGCCAGGTGTGTAAATCGTTAGACGCCTTCTCGTGACCTGATTTGATTGACTAATGAGTTATCATAGTTGACAAGAGATGGTGCCAACGCCCTGGCGAACCTTGCTAAACACGCCAGGCAGATGCCGCCATGCCTACCTATCCTTCAACTGCTCATACCCATGGCGAGCCAAACATTGGAGCATGCTACGATATCTGCTGCTAGTCATTGTTTCGAACATCTCGGACGTATAAGTTTTGGTTTTTATATGTGCCATTTCTCTATTTACGCTACGTCATTGGATTAAAATCAGCCGTCTTTGAATCGACTTGATGTCCTTCCCTTCGCAAGCCGGACTCTGGGTCGGTGTGACGCCGACAATAGTAGTCTTTGGAACATGCGCTAGCACATGACAACAGTTCCCTAAGCCCAACAACCAAGGACTTCCTCGATAACGGCCGACGGCCACATGAGATATAAATCGGGACGCGTATACGGCTTATATCTTTCACGCACATTGTTTGACTGCTTTCCGACTCATCCAAAGTCTCTCTTTTCGTGGATGGAGTCCATGTATTTCACTTCAGATGACATTCTTTTGGATATTAAAGAGGCGCCGTACATTTGTGTATATATGTGGATGTAAATACCTATATAAACCCGGGGGCGGGTATATGTATATATTACCTGATACTCTGTATATAGGAATTAAACCCGGATATATATATATATATATATATATATACACATCCATTGTATACAGTGTTAACACAAGTCTGTGGTACAATACGTACATCAATTCGATTTTAACTGGCGCTTCAACACCATATGTTCAGACAAGGGACAACGTTAGTCCCTGAGCCAAAATCCGCTGTGAAATACGAGCACTTTGGCTCGGACGAATTATTTTTAATGGGGATGCATATCAGCCAAAAACATAGTTTCCAGCAAAACTGTAAGCACGATCTGCGAATATAAATGTTCGCACATCATCACAGATGGAGACCAAAGAAGCGCCATGGCATCTTCCCACTTAAGCTACCCGCATGAAAACGGCGCAGACTTAAGTATGAAGAGTCCGAGTACTCCCTTTAGCTACACTGGCCCGAGTTTCACGCGCTGCCGTTGAGTTTAAGTGAGATACCTACTCGAACGCCGGGGTGGCCGCTAGTCCATGCTAGCAAAAAGGAAAATAGCACTGCGGCTTCGGGCCAGGCCCGGGCCTCTGCACTAACCCCATTTCTCAATTCCGTTCGTGCGTCAAGGATCAGAGCCGGTCCCGCCCGATAGCTAGGGCTGTAAACAGTTGAGATTGGCTAGGAGCGCACGGGCGAGGAAATGTAAACAGTGGATTCACCGCATTTGTTGAGCTAGAGGGAGGAATGTTCTATCTTCGGGCCAAGCGGAACCAGTCACACCAGCAATATATGGTACATAGGTAGGACATCCGAGTTGGAAAAAATTTCATTTCGATTATATCCATAGCCAGGCCAAATGAGATCAACGGCACAGCGCAGCCATCGGGCTCGGCTTGTCGATATGCAGCCCGCCTAAGCCGTTCTGAATGATTTTCAAGCTTGCTCTAGCTTTCTTAAATATATGCGAAAGATGAGACATCGCGGAAAAAGCAAAGAAAGGGAAAGAAAAAGAAAAAGAAAAGGAGATGCAAACATCTTCCACGTTGCTCTTTGCAGGCGTCCAAGTTGGCCTGCAAGTCACGTTTTTGAGGTTCAGGGGGGAACAATGTCACTCCTTAGTTAAATGTCTGGATCCAACACGCCGAGAGGCTGAAATGTGGAGGAAAGCGGCCTTGGCACAGTTGACTCACAAGTCAAGGCACTTTTTTTCCTCCAAGTTGAAGGATGAAGCGATGAACCATGTTTTCGAATTGCTGGGCGGGTCGTCTCCCGTTGTTGGGCTGATCATGAAGCTACGACAAGAAGCTATGACAAGACAAGAGTGAGAACGTTTGACTTTTCATGTTGATGTTTAATATATCGGGCTCCATCGCCGTGCAGTGCCGGTTTTCCACTCATGGAACAAGAAAGAAAGATAGGTTTCGGCCTAGTGCAGGCTACAGGCCATTGCCCCCAACGTGGGGAACTCCCATCAAGTTATGGACCTGAGAAACCGTCCATACCTTCGTCGGGCTACTGAACATGAGTGGACCAAGGATCCTGCTAGCCGAGCCTGGGACGAGCCGACGAAGGAAGCAGCACAGGTCAGCAAAGAAACATACGAGAGAGAAGGCGACAAGCGAGTGAAATGTTGAATAAGGTGATGCCCCTCCCCCGCCTTTTCTTTCCTGGAGCTGAATATTCCGTAGCTCATCAAATATAGGGTACAAGTACTCCGTACTCCGTACAGAGCACTAGCTTCCCCTCCGTGGGATGGGGTACCAAGTGGGCCGCGAGATCTAGGTCGAGGAAGTCGCCTCGTTGTTCTCCTGACTGGCCACTCGAAAAGATCCCAACACTCTGGCTGGGCCGTGCTGCCAACCTTGTTACCTCAAGCCTAGGTCTTGGCCGTCGATATGATGGTACGCTAATACTTCGAAGTCAGTTTCGAGCAACTGCGAAGAGCACGCCGTTCCAAGTAAGCTCGCGAGTTTTTGGACGGGTCGACTACAGAGATCTCAAGTCGAAAACCCCACGCTCGAAAAGTGGCCTGCCGGTATCACAACCATGCTGGCGTAGGATACGAACCCGGCACAGGCTCGTGCTTGGAGGCAGAAAACTCAGCGCCCATGGCACTCAGCGAGGAGCTCTCGGTGTGCCTGCGATCACCGAACGGCGAAGTTCTTCGAGGCGATGGTAAGGATGACTAAGAGGGTTCGCCGCACCCTCTTGGCGGAGCTTGGCAATTACTCTATTCGGACTAGCTCCGCGACCCAACGTCGACGCATCCTCGGTCGCCCGCCGAGGAAGTATCTCACGACGGGCTGCCCACCCACGCTGATCGCCGCCGAAGAGTGGGCTTGCACACACGCCCGGAGCGATTGAACACACAACCTGCCAGGCTGCCTGCGCTGCCGTGCCGCGCCCGTTCCGCTCAAACCAACTGTGTTCAAACTCAAACGTGTGTGCCCATATTCCCTTTCCCCAAGAGACCCCATGATATCATTGTGGTACTGAAATTTTGATACATTCTGAGGACTGAGGAACGCTTGAGATGCGGACCGACCAGATTTGAAATTCAGTGGGAATCACGAATTGACCTTGCTGGTTCGTCACCTTGTACGGGAGCGCCGGAAGAGGGAAAAAAAAAAAAAAAAGAAAAAGGAACAGTTAATGCTTGAAGATCATAAAATCAGTCTTGTCAACACGAAAGACGCAATCTTAGTTCCATCTTCCCTCACAGACGTGCCGTTATCCGACCGCCACCGCCGGAGTGAGATATGTACGGAGTACGGAGTAAGGAGCGAGAGAGTCGAAAAGACATTTTTTTTCCTTTTTTTCTCTTTTTTAAGTTTTTACTAGTGGAATGGACACACGTCACTCAGATCCCAACGACCTGTTTGTCGCCGACTCTCCTGAATCGGACCGTATGGGAAGGCCGTTATTGTCGGAAGATTCCCTTGAGAATCGAGATGCTCCATCTTCCGTGGACCCTTTTGTTCTTTTGGGTAAAAAAAAAAAAAAAAGAATATTAAAAAAGAAAAGAAAAGAAAGGAAACAAAAAAGTAATCCCTGTCAGTCTACCTAATCCTCGCAGAAAGTCTTGACCCTTTCCGTCCTATCTTGCAGCGACACTCGTTCTCCGAGGTTGCGTTGATTCGGGATTTTGCGGCCCGAGTTATAAGTCCCAGCAACAAAGGCGAAAGTTCGAATTCGCAGCTGCGAAGGGTTTAGCTGGATGCATCCTGAGCTGGTCCTATTTTGTGTATGTGCATGAACGAAGTGCTTGAATCTCAGACCGTCCACATTTTTCCGGACCAAATTCGGTCCTCGCACAGCGTAGTCTGGCATCCTAGTTAATCTGCGCATCCACAGGCCAATAGATTCAACTTCTGATTTGACTTCGAACTTTCCCAAGAAATGCACCAGCCCCTGGAGGTCACTAACCAGGTGAAGCAAGCAGAACCACATGGATCGGGAGTGGACTTCGGCGGTTCTGCAAGTGGAGCGCTGAACCTTCCACCACATTCCCCAAGGTGCTCACGCGGTCTTTCGACGAAAAAATGCTCCCGTGTTAGCCATCCCGGCCTATGAGAGGGGAACGCCACTCTCCTACAAGCCAGTCGCGCGCTTCTCGGACCTTGGGACGGAGCTTTCTTCAACCCTGGGCCAATTATCGTCTACTTTCCCCATATCCCCCAAGAAAGGGGGGTTTAACCCCCACCATGACACTTCAAACAGACAAACATTTCAGTTTCCCCAGTGTTTCTGTATATTTCTGGGGGAGGCAATAATGGCCAAAGTTTTCATGGACCCTCACACTTCCAAGCCTAGTTTGGGAATATCACTCAGCCCCAGCCTGGAGCACTTTGGGTATAATGGAGTGTATTTTCATCTTTCAATCTCAATTTTTAAAAAGCTTCCAGTTCCGCTCCCCGCATTCCCGAGCGAGCTCTTCGCTTTTGTTGTAAACCTGTTTTGTTGCTTTTCTCTGCAACCTTCTTCACTTTCTTTCCTCTTTTCTTTTTTTTTTTTTTTTTTTAAATCGAGATCCTCTCCGCTCCTCTTTATTCGCACGGAGTTGATCAGAGGACTGGAAAAGGGGTTTCAAATACATCAACTCCCATATAGACACCGCATCAGATCTTGACATATTGGGAATTTTGAAATTGGAACAATCTGAACATATGCGACTTTGGGGCTAGACGGTTACAACTCACCACATTTAACTTGAGATTGAAGTAATGGCTTCGGCGGAGGTTACTGCGGTTCAGCCTCAAAATAAGCGGAAAGCGGCAGCTGCTGGGATTGTTGGAACGACTCGTCCGGTGAAGAGGCGCGCATCGAAAGCATGTTGTTGCTGCAGAGCTCGAAAAGTGAGATGTGACGTTGTGGAGAGCGGTTCTCCCTGTACGAATTGCCGTCTAGATGAGGTGGAATGCATAGTGACGGAGAGTAAGCGCAGAAAGTCAGTTACCAAAGAAGCGGGAGCGTTTACTTTAGAATGATTACGTCGAGTTTTATTTCTGGTTGTGAGCCAGCGAGCTAATATTTGAGCTCTCTGTATAGGAAAGCCCGGCCTGATGGAGAAGGCAACAAACCCTCCTCTGAATCCTCTGCGGAAGCATCAGATGAAATTGGTTTCCTTTTCGGCACCAAGCACAGCAGAACCAGAGTGCCCTCGTCATCAATTCCGGAACCAGGGCTGCCGCTATCTCCTGGAAATCATGCTGTAGATTTGGAAAAGGGGCAACATGTGCCACATCTCATCTGTGGGTTTCATCTAATGTTTCTCGGCGTCTTGAAAGATTGAAATGACTGATCTATCTCAGACCAAACTCAAGGGCAGCGAGTTAAAGATGGTGGCCGACGTCAACGGTTATCAAGCGTAGACAACATTCTTCCGGCCTTTTCGTCCTCAGATCTGAACGCCGCCAAGCCCGAGATTCTCAATCTTCTGTCGGGGCGAATGAATCAGTCGACTTCTCCTCGCACGTTCAGAAGATCTCTTCCGGATTATCTTCGCCCATTGCCTCTAAAGTTCCAGAGCGCTGATATCGACTATCTGGAGGCGAAAGGCGCTTTAACCATTCCAGACCCTGCCCTTCGAAACGAGTTGCTCCGAAGTTACCTTAAATGGGTACACACCTACATGCCGCTCTTAGAATTGGACGAGTTTTTGGGTGCTATCTTCCGAAATGATGGTTCTCAGCAGCTTAGTCTTCTACTTTTTCAAGCAGTGATGTTTGCCGCGACCGCATTCATTGATATTAAACACCTTTATGCCGCGGGCTTTGAATCAAGGAAAGCAGCTCGAAAGGCGTTCTTTCAAAGAGCAAGGGTATATATTCTGAACCCCCGATTTCCTTCGAAAATTGAGATAAATCTGACTGTTCAAATAGTTGCTTTATGACTTTGACTATGAACTTGACCGTATCTCCTTGGTGCAATCGCTATTGCTCATGACGTATTGGTACGAAATGCCCGATGACCAGAAGGATACATGGCATTGGATGGGAGTCAGTCTTTCCTTGGCACATACAATAGGTCTACATCGGGACCCGGCCAATTCCAACATGAATCCTCAGCGTCAGAAATTATGGAAGCGTATTTGGTGGAGCACATATACAAGGGACCGCCTGATCGCTCTTGGAATGAGACGACCCACAAGAATTAAAGATGAGGATTGTGACGTCCCGATGCTCCAGGTTAGCGACTTCGAGTTTAAACCGCTATCCCCAGAAGTTCTTCAGGTTCTCGGGGATCTCGAAATGACACACAATGTGACCCACCAAAGAGAACTGGCGGTGATGTTTATCGAGAAGGCAAAGCTCTGTCTCTGCATCAGTCACGTTCTCTCGGCCCAGTATTCTGTCCTCGGACACAAATTTGGCGGAACAACGGAGACGACCATGATGTTGCTGCCGAAGAAGTCCGCAGCAGAAACTTGTGAAGTTAGACGCTGTGATGACGAACTAGAAGCATGGTTTTCCAACCTTGCAGAGGAGGCACAGTACCGGCCGCCTCCTTCGAACCTCGCAACTGGAGATGAAGTAATCTATCTACATCGGGCGCTCCTGCTGATGGTCTACCTAACTACCTCAAGCGCACTTCACAGGCCCCAAGTTCTCCCAGCGACGCCATTCCCAACGGTAGAAGTCGAGTTACAGGCCCTGTCTCGCACCAAAGTCCGGCATGCAGCTGTGGAGATAACCAATATAGCTCAGACGCTTCACAGCTTGGACTTGACTCGTTATCTGCCCACAACCGGAGTCACCGTTTTACTTCCAGCCGTTATCATTCATTTGTTGGACATCAAGTCGAACGACATCAGTGTTCGCGCAGCGAGTCTTCACCGGTTCTATCGCTGCATGCAGATCCTGCAGCGACTCCGGGAAATCTACGCCTCGGCAGATTTCGCTACCTCGTTCCTTGAGGCTGCGATTCGCAAGGCTGGCATCCATGTATCTACGCAAATTCTTCCAGAGGCCCCGGCGAAACTGGCGACCGTTGCTCCTGCGCATACTCGCCTTGGCGCGCTAACCCCTCCACCCGAAGCTCAATCCGACAAAGTATCCGAGAATACCGCCTCAAGCCGACAGATTCTATCCATGCCCACGTTTTCTCGACCCGAAGAAAAGGGCACTGTGTTCGCATCTACGCCGCCGCATTCGGTGCGCAGCGAGGACGGCAGCACCCAGAACAGCCGAAACGATGAAGTTTTCAAAACTGATTTATTCGATTCCTCAAATGACGACCCCGAGCCAAGCCTTACGGAGTTCATGAACATGGCCCATGATGCCGAGATCACGCAGAACGACTTAGATGCCTTAATCAACTTTGACGATGCCGGCGCGGATCTATTCGCGACTGAGGATGGGCTTGGACTCGATTTCGGCCTTTCTACTACGTTTTCCAATGACAACAACCCAGTATCGCTGGAGAACTTGAACTGGATTCGTGATTTTGCGGCTAGCGGGAACTTGCCCGTGAATTCGACGATAAACCTGCAAGATACTTCGGTAGAGATTGGGGAATTTACCAGCCCAGTGGCTGACAACACTGAAACCCCCGCAGATCAGGAATCGAAGAGCACGGAGGTGATAGCTAGACAGGAACTGGATGTTTCCTCTCCGTTGGAACAGGACGGTATTGGAATCGCTGCAGGGTTCATGACCGAGGTTGCCCTTGAGGCATAGTTCGAGGTGGACTTACTTAGGTAGTAAGGGCGTTTCTTTGAACACTTAACGAATTTCTTAGTTTCATCTGGTTCTGTCCCAATTGAGCATGCACTGCGTGTCTTGATACCAAACCCATCTTTGTTTGTGGTTAGCTACTCCATGTTCCTCAACTGGCGGATTCTAATGTCTCTCATTCCGTGCGTCCATGTATTATATTCCTGGATATGATGATGAATACCACAAAATCTGGTTAGACCTTTGCATGTCTATGATATCTGACTGAGTTAATCCTCCATCCTCCCAAGTTACATATCTGGCGCTTTCGGCTCCTGAATGGATGCGGGCTCGAGATTAGTCCGACCAGGCACGGAGAAACTTATTAACTAGTTAGTCGGGCCGAGAAGAATCATGTTACAAAGGAAAACAAAACACCAAACTCAAGGAACAATTCTGGCCGCGAAGCCTGTTGTGCTATGGCATGATATGAGATGTAAACCCGGTTGATTCTCTCTAAGTCCCATGGCGCGCGGGAAGCTAGCTAACTAACTATGACCTTGATGACTAGTTAACTAGTGAACTAATACTCTACACGTGACAAAGCCAAACCGCCCGGAAAATGGATAGTGCTAACTAACAGTGATAGGTTGTGCTATTTTCAGACTGTACAAGATGTGTGAACATAGATTCACTGAACACAAAAGCTGACAGCTTTTGATTCATCTGACTTTGGAAGACCAAGGTTTTCGTACCGTGCGGCGGGATGGTCCCGGCTCTCGTCACAGCACAGATTGGAAACTACCTTGATGATTCCCGGTCATCTTGCCGGGAATGTATGGAAAGCTCCCGACTCATTTCCCCATTTTCCACCCAAGGGGGCCCAGCTGGCCGATGTGTTGTTGATCTTCACTGCATTACTCCACCGCAGGGATGATCGATGCTATCCCCCTCAGGGAAATAGTGACCCATCCCGTCGGTTATATATATCTCTCGAGTCTCTCAACAATTAAACTAATGGACATCGATATGCATATATGCGAAGCAAAATCACCGAGGATTGCTTGAACGACGCCTGAATGCTTGATTAAATGCTTGTATTGACCAAGCAGTGATGTTGTGGGAGTGATCATCGTGGGATTGTCCTCTTCCATCTTAGCCACTTCATGCGATGTTACCTCGCATATCCTGGAAGCGAGCTGCTACGATTGGGGACCGTTATCTCCACCATACCCAGCTCTGGGGTACCCCAGGTTGCGGAGCTTCCGGCCCCAGCAGCCACTGGACACCAGGGGGTGATTCTCAATTCCGTGTGGATTATTCCGTAACGTGGTACCAACCTCGGGAGCAAAATATCTTCCCCGCGCTGTATTTTCAGATTCAAAACAATCCCATTATTTTCAGCTCCTGCGAGGGCCACCATCGCATTGCACCCAAAGAACGTCGTTCTTTGAACCAGGATGGCATTGGTATTTTACTACGGAGGACCAACGGCGACTACATCTCGAGAGCTCCGGGAATGCTCATACCTCCAATTTCGATTCTTTTTGTCGTCGCAAAAGCAGGTATTTTGACACTATGAGTTTAAGGGTGCCAGAGCATGGAAAATTCGGGCTGTCTGCCGCCAAATCATTCCCTTGCACCGGGTTAAACGCTACCAATCTCATACATATATGTAAGGTTTGTATGTAATGCCACGAACAAGCTAATCCTATCCTATTTTAGAGTAACAGGGTCTGGTAAAATTTACAGTCGGCTGCCCGCGCCCGCTCGAGAACTATATGAGGATCCTCGTGTCCGCTGGTTTCCCGCCCTGGGTAAAATTTTCAATTCCTGGACAAGTGTGATAACTTTGGCAGCCGCCTTGGAGCCGACGACGCCGTAGTTTATGTGATCGCTATGAAAGGGTTGACTATATCTTCCGTCCTTTGCTGGACGACACTATTTGTGCCATTTGTTGCTAGTGCTGCGCTCCCAGAGCAGGCCTCAGAGATTCATGGCCGCCAGGTGCCAAACCAGCCAAAGGGCGTGAAAGAGATTTGGTCTCCCGATGGTTTTCGAATCAGATACAAAGAGCCTGGGAAGGAAGGAGTCTGCGAGACGACTCCAGGAGTCAACTCGTACTCAGGATATGTTGATCTTGGGTTCGATTCGCATACATTCTTTTGGTTCTTTGAAGCGAGACATGATCCTGCAAATAAACCCGTTACACTCTGGCTCAATGGCGGCCCAGGAAGTGATTCGCTCATCGGCCTCTTTCAAGGTTGGCTATGCTTTCTGGGATAATCCATCTCATGCATGTTGTGGGATTGGCCGGTACTGACAAAATCCTAGAACTTGGGCCCTGCAATATCACGGAAGACCTCAAGTCTAAGGTCAATCCTTACTCTTGGACAGAAGTGTCGAATCTTCTCTTCCTCAGTCAACCCGTGGGTGTTGGTACGTCCCATTGAAACATGGATGATAACTATGGCCCGATTTAAACTAATGGCTTTTATTCCTGGAATTAAGGGTTCTCTTATGAGAAAAAACAAGTCGGCTCGATGAACAACTTTACAGAATCAATTGAACCACCAGAAGTAAATGGTATCACAGGCCGATGGCCCAAAATTACCCCTTCTAAGATTGGTATGGCTCTTTACATTGCATGAGGTAATTTGAAACATTGTCTAATTTGAATAAAGAAACTACCAAACAAGCTGCAAAAGCCACATGGAACGTGGTGCAAGCTTTCTACAAAGCCCTGCCTCGACTTGATGGGAAAATTACGTCCAAGAGCTTTAATCTCTGGACGGAGAGCTATGGAGGGTAAGGAAGTTACAATATATAAGAATTCCCATGTCATTGCTAATGAACTCTAGGCATTATGGTCCAACCGTGGGTGTCTTTAACAGAGCCGTGAATTTGGTCGAGAAACTGACACCGGTTTATAGTTTTTTAGGTATTTCGAGGAACAGAACAAACTAATTGACCAGGGTAGGGCTCATGGAGTCAAGCTTGATTTTAACACCTTGGGAATCATAAACGGACTTATTGACATTGCAATCCAGGTCAGCTTCTTCTTCTCCAATCCATCCCTCATTTTCAGGCAAGCTGACAGGGCTTACGCATGCAGGCACCGCAATATATTGAATACGCCCAAAAGAATACCTATGGAATTCATCCTGTATGACTCTCGACTTCCATGTATGATACCATTGCCAGTGCAACTAACGCGCATCTAGCTCAATGAAACCGTCATCAATTACATGAAAATGGCAAATTCTATGCCGAACGGTTGCCAGGACCAGGTAGCAGTATGCAGATTACTGAATCGAACATCCCTCGTTCCCTACTCATATTGCAGCGGGGCACAGAGCATGTGTCGCGATAATGTTGGTAAGCGGAGAGTTCTCGGCCTACGTATGATCTAGAGCGTCGATTCTGATTGTGGCTGTATAGAGGGGATGTGGTACTCGTTCACTGATCGAGGAGTCTATGACATCCGTCACCCGCGAGAAGTAAGTCACCAAATACCCTGAGCGAAACGGCTCACGTGCAGACTCCTAATTCAGATGCATAGGACCCAACTCCGCCGGATTACTTCGTAGATTATCTCAATCAAGCGGAGGTGCAAAACGCCCTTGGCGTGGACTTTAACTATACGAGAACATCGAATCCTGAAATTTTCGCTGCATTCGGGCGAACTGGCGACTGGGGATACCCCGATTTCATTGAAGATTTGGAAGCCATCCTTGAGATGCCTGTGCGCGTTACCTTGATGTACGGTGATGCAGACTACATATGCAATTGGTTTGGCGGAGAGGCCGTTTCTCTTGCTGTGAACTATACCCATGCGGAAAAATTCCGAGCAGCCGGGTATGCCCCCTTGCTCGTTGATGGCATTGAATACGGGCAAATTAGAGAGTACGGAAACTTTTCGTTCTCAAGGATTTACGAAGCCGGCCATGAAGTACCCTGTACGTATATATCCCATCTCTCTTCCCTTCTCATCTTTCTTTTTCTTTCCGCCTAACTGCAGGAACTCCACTGCTAACATTTCATAGACTATCAACCTCTTGCGTCCCTCCAATATTTCAACCGCACCTTGAACGGGTGGGACATTGCCACCGGCCAGGTCAAAGTCGATGGAAATTACGGCACTTCAGGCCCACAGAGGTCTACACATACAGAACCATATGTTCCCTTACCCTCCGAAACAGGAAGCTAAGATCTCAAAGCCGAGACATGGGAGAAACCTATCCTTGTGTATAGATCATGGAATGTTTAACTCTCTACCTAATAAAACCAAGCAGATTAACTAATAATCATTTTACCTTTACCCTTTTTGTCTTTGGAAACGATGGCATAGACTTTACCCCATCACGAGAGGTAGAGGTACACATGATGCCCAAGTGAGAACCCGAATGGGGATAAGCAAACGTGTATCCGCATTTCTTAGGCCGGCTAGAGATTGCCAAAAGAAAATGAAACAGTTCTTGAGATTCGCCTTACCCGGGGACCCTACATAATCTGGTTACACGGTACACTATGAAATGGCGGACAATATTACGGTTGATGTAGGACGTAGTAGGCATGACTATATTAAAACCATATCGAATTATGTCGGGAGTAACGACGTACTCTACTTACTGAGAATGGGACTTTCACCGTAAGACCAGGGTGACAAGTTGTTGGGCTAAAATAAGCGCACAACATTTGAGACAGGAATAATGGATAAAACGCTAAAATTAGAGTGGATTGGCTCATGATTAGATCACGACAGGTACCACAAGGTTCGAGTCGCCGGCTTTGTTTGCTTTTCCGCATCGCGTGACACTATTATCGAATGCAAAATCAAGATTGAAAAAGGGTGGCGTGTCGCAAGCCAAGAATAGGTTCTCTCCGGCCAGAACGAAAATGCCAGAATGAATCACGAGATTTACATCAATCTTGCGCCCCTTAGGGTGATGATGATATCGTGTTCAATCCATGTAGCGGGACACACGGACACCTTGAATTAAGAACAAGTTGTAAAATGGGAAAGTTAAAACCCCTCGTGGGAAATGCCTATTTCTCGTGGCGTTCCTCCAAAACATGTGTAGCGGCAACTTCTTCGATGGTGTCATCGGAGAATTTGAGGTCATCCTCGAGATCAATGGTATCCTTAATCTTCCAGAAGATGACGGGCGCCGCAACAACGAGAGATCCTGCCAAAAGACCCCAAGTAGAGCCGAAGTAAACCTTGTATGAAATATGCAAGTCGTCAAGGCTATATTATCAACAAATCAGCAAGCTGTACAAAATTCCTAGTCGTGCAGAAAAGGCACGTCTAAAATGGGCCCACATACCGCCAGGTGATGGCAGCACCAGCAGACTGAATGCCCTTATAAAACGCAGCAAAGTGTGCCAGCTTACGGCCGTTGTTCGTGAGGGAGCCCATGAACCTAGTTGATAGTCAGCATCTTCAGGCTAAGAAACAGAACAAGAGGATCAAGAGTAAGTTTACCAGTAGCAGCAGGTTTGGAAGGCGGCATCATAGAAACCATAGAAGAGATAGAGAAACATAGGCCCAATATAGCTATTGTCTTGCCAGTCCATGCGGGGAGTGTGGTCATTGATATCCGCTCGGTCATAGTCTTTCTGGAATGCCCAGCCTCCACCCCAAACCGCCATTGTTAGAGCAAAGAGCAGAACAAGCCCGGCGCGAGCACGGACTGTCCGGCGAACTACTTTGAGATCAAGTAAGTAGCCAAAAACAAAGGCGCCAACCATCTGGAAGAGCCAGTAGAGAACATTATTTAGAGCACGGGTGCGGATATTGAATTTCGCAAGGTTGACCGCGTTGAACTGGTAGGTGGTGAACCAGTTGCTAGCAATGAACATAGGGAAGTAGAGGACGATGTAGTAGTCAGTGCGTGCGACCTCGAGGAGACCTAGCAGCTCTGATTTCCAGGAGGGATTTTTCATGAGGATGACATGAGAGCCATCAGCACGACGCACATACTTGGGGTCCACCAGGGTAAAAGCAAGGATGAATCCGAGGAACATGAGGACCATGAATGCGATGTATGTCCCATCGTTGACGGCGTTGGCTTTGCTGTGAATATTTTGGCCAAGGGGGACCTATGGAACGTTCATTCGCGGTCAGTTTTGGGTGAAATAGGAGTCCAAAAGTGAGCTGTTTGTCCTCACCAAGCTTCCAATAACACCACCCAGGTTGAAGATAATCCAGAACCAAGAGATGAATTTGCCCTTGGACTTTTCCTCGGGGTAGCTCATCATAATGGCACCCTGAGCGGTCCACAAGCAACCAGCGCAGACACCGAGGAGAGCACCGGCAAAGATAAGAAAGCCGACATTTCCGTTGTGGTTATAGGAAAGAATCGATGCTACATAAAGAAAGTAACCGAAGCCACCGAAGAACAGAGCTGTGCGAAGACCTAGTCGATTGGCGATGGAGCCGGCGAAGAAACCGACAACGGCAAAGGTCGAGTACAAGGCGGTATTGGCTTTGTTAACGTCACTGGGATCAACTTGACCAGCGCCGCCGAGACCGTTGACGGCATTGAACATTCCAGGGCACAAGAAGCAGACAAACGAGACGATGAGAAGCTGCGAGATCGGCGACGCGTACCAGGGGAGAGTCAAGGGCCCAATTTTGGGAGACTTGTACATCCATGGTCTGCCCTCACGAGTCGTAGGAGCATGATGACCTTCCACGTCCTCGAGGGGAGGAGTGGAAGCAGAAGAAGGGGGTCTTTTCTCGTCAGCGCCAGGCATTGCTGTTGATGTGGATGTCAAAGGATAGTTAGGTCAGATTATCCGGGTATATTTGGATATAAAAGCCGCCACCAGGGGCCTAGCCTCAAGAGGACGCTTTCTGTTGCCCGATGGCTTGTGCAACCCAGTATTAACAGAGAGTATCGGACTAATCTTAGTTAGCAAGGCTTTAGAGATGGGCTTCTGGATCGATAGTAAAACTCAAATGCAAAAAGAAACAATAGCACTGAAGAACCAAGGAAGGGGAAAAGAGATGCTTCTGGAACAATAAAGGGAGAAAGGGATTATCCTGTAGCTGTTGTAAGGAATAGATACATACACTGTATTAGAGGGAGGACAGCAGCAAAACAGAACAGTTAACAAGTGAATGAATAAATAAATAAATAATACTAATATTTGGAAAAAAAAAAAAAGGAGAAAGAGAAAGAGAAAAAGAAAAGAAAAGGACAAGGAAGTGAGGGTGTGCAGCTTTATTACTGATATAACAAAAAACTGACAGGACGCGGGTGTGACACTGCTATGTGTCTAGTATGTTCAGTTGTTGGGCTAGGTTGACAAAGCACGAAAGTGCTACACTTACAGTGTAACTATAGCAGCTGAGCCAGAGCACAGTACAGGAGCTTGGTCATGAAGTTGCGACGCCAAAGCGCGATGCATTCAAGCTAAGGAAAGCATCTAACAGAGTGCCTTGGAAGAGTCTTGTCTTGCCCGGGGGATGAAAAGAGGAGAGGGGGAGAGAGAGGCTTGGAGAGAAGGAGATGAAGAGGAAATGAAGAGGAGATTGAGAGTGAAGGTGGAGGAGTTAGAATTGGGAGGGTCAGTGTTCGCTCAGGGTCACTTAAACTAAGGAAGCGAGAAGGATGAATGAAAATTAGGATGACGGGAGACTTTGTTCGCGTTCCGTCCTGGCAACAGTGGCCCGTGTCCGGCCTCGCCGCCCCCAAGGGTGACAGCAGCAAGTCGCAGGGCCAAAGTCAAGATGGTCGAGTAAACTTTCCGCTAGCTAATTTAACCTTACAAGTAGTCAACCGAGTTTGCAACTATCAAACTAACCGTACATAGAGGCTGGCTTGATTTCGCGGTGCGTGACTATGTTTCATTTATTGCCTGATTCACACACGCTCGGGTGCAATATCTAGCTGATGAGAGGAAGGAAAAGGATTGGAATAGCTGCGTCAAACCACGACTCCCGCTTCAAAGGGTCATGAACCAGGTCCTAGTGATCTTTCGGGTTGACCCTCAAAAAGGCAAGCTGAACAAGCTTTTAAGTGACCCCCGTTGCTTTTCGTCTCCACCACTAAGTAATGCCAGTTCTCATACTCCATAACTAGGGGGGTGGGGGGGAGGGAATCGATTTTGAGTTTGTCTGGGGACAAGAGTGCGGGTGTTTCTCCGCATAGGCTCGGGAGCAAACAGAACCAACCACACCACGACAATGTATGGATGTCCAGTATGTACCTAGCTACCCCGGGGTGGGTCATGGCGTCGAAGATGATATGTATTTCTTTGTCTTGTGATTTAATCGCTCTGCTGAGGAGGACCGTTCATGGCTTTTTTTCGTCCTGCTTCTGCTGAAAGGCTGCAAGTACTTTTGAGTCACATTTTGGGACCAGGTTGAGACCGAGATTCACGATCCTGTTCGCCTGGCACTTAGTCAAAAGATTTTACGCCGGCAGTGCAGATGTGTCTCCCTGTCGTATGGTGCAATGTGAGTGAGCTTTGGTCCCCGGACTGCATGGGTAATGGTGTCAACTGCAGAACAAAGGACACTTCGCTCGAAGGAAAAACACGAGGTTTGAAACTCTCTATGCGCATCTCGCACAGACAGCCGACAAACATGCTGTCCCCCGGCTGCCACATCTTGATTCTGGAGTCCGGTATGCACGTCATCTCGCTGCTGTCGCGCGCGCTCTCTCGCCCGCTGCCCTGCCTTTTGATGCAACCAGACGGCGAGCGTGGCATCGGATTATCCTTAGCCGAGCACTGGCTTATCTAATCGTCCTCCTCGCTGCTGGAGCTCTCTGCCGCATCGGGCCTAGCGCCCCTCTGACGTTACATCGACCGCCGATCCAACGCCAGCTCTCCGGTCGGAGCATGACTGTATTCTGCACGCTTCAAAACTCCTCAGCAGCGTGTTGTGCTAGCAAGCAGGAAAGTACTCGTGGACTGGCCTATGTTACGGGAGTTGGTGCTGCATTGACGCCGCCCACATCGAAACTGTTTCGTTGACAGCGAACGAAGCGTACGAGGCTGGCGGTCCTTCACGAGCTCACCAAGCTTTTGAAACAACCCAAAGCTGCTACATACTGCTGAGGCTCGCGCTAAGATTCATGCCAGCGGATTTTTGGGGACCGTCTTGAAATACAGGTATTTATCCGTCACGTAAAGTTGGTATTTTGTGGGAGCGTGGTATGGTAAGTACTGTATGGTCATAACGCTCTCCACGAGGTGGTCCTGTACAGTACCGTAATACCCAGCGGCGGGGGGGAAACGCCACATAACCGCCAGGTAACAGCGTCCGTCCAGAAGCTTCGCCAGGTGTTCTCTTTACATCACATCAACATCTCGAGCTGCTCACGACGACTGTTCCATCTGGACATCTCCCAAGCAGAACATGCTACTATCCGCTCCTCCACCCTGTCTCCTTCCATCTCCTTGCTATCGACAATGATGCGGCAGATTCTGAGGAATCCAAGGTTAATTTCCTTCGCCCGCGCCTTTTCCCCCGGATCCCAGAAAGTACTGTACATTATTCAGGATGTAGTTAGAAATCAATACCGAGAAAAAAAGTTTCCAGTTCCAAGGCTTCCTTTCAACCTTTGATGTAAAAAAAGGGTCTCCAAACCCTCATCTTCCTTTGCCCATTCACTGGATGGTTCCCGGGTGCCTTTTCCCCTCCCGCCTTTCCTCTCCTCCACTCGTGTCTCTTAACACCTTCTTCCTCTTCTCTTGAAACAACGAGTTGGCTGGCGGGTGAGTGGCTCCTCCAAACGTTTTCACTATCAAGGCTAACGTTGAGCACTTCCAGGACTCTAAGCTACCTCTCCAGCAGTCCTAGCTATTTCCGTGCCAGTCTTCCTCCCGCAAGACTCGTTATTACCATCCACTCACCTCTTGATACGCGACGATGCCATCCTTGATTGGGAATGGGGATATACATCCTCGCGTCACAAAATTCACAAACTGCCGCCTTGCCATCGACGGGAAGCTCATTGAAAAAGACTTGTGGATCGACTCTGTGTCGGGCAAAATACTCCAGGATCAACGCGCCTTTTATGAGGATCATATCTGCCCCGATCAAGTCATCGACCTTGGAGGACGTATCTTGGCCCCGGGTTTCATCGAAGTACAGATCAATGGCGCCGCTGGATTCGACTTTTCCGTGCCCCGAGAAACCAAAGACGAGTATGACACTGGACTAAGAGTCGTAAATCACGCGCTGATAAAAATGGGAATCACGTCCTATCTCCCCACGTTGACCAGCCAGAAGAAAGAAGTATATGCCAAGGTAAGCCTTGGTCCCGAGGAAACAAATCTTCCAGCGGAATATCATCCTGACAATGGCCAGGTTCTCCCTTCTCTCGGCCCTTCTGGTCTCCTCCGCCGTGCTGAGGACGGCGCCGAATCTCTCGGTGCTCACGTTGAAGGGCCATTCCTTAGTCCCGGAAAGAACGGAATCCACAGCCATGAGGTGTTGATTACCGCGGAAAACGGCTTCGAAGATCTCATCGATTGCTATGGAACCGAGAATATTTGTGTCGATGAAGCTTCTACCGATCTGATCCCCGTTAAGATGATCACTGCCGCCCCAGAGGTGGGCGTCATGCTCTCGCTCATCCCTCAGATCCAATCCCAGGGCATTATCTATTCCATCGGTCACTCCGACGCAACATACGAACAGGCTGTCGCTGCCGTCGATGCTGGTGCCAACATGATCACTCATCTTTTCAATGCCATTAGACCCTTCTACCACCGTCATCCGGGAATCTTTGGTCTCCTCGGCCAGTCCGAGAAACACCGGCCGTTTTACGGCATTATTGCCGACGGTCTTCATCTCCATCCGACAACTATCCGGATCGCCTATAACGCTCATCCGAAGGGGATGATCCTTGTCACTGACGCCATGAGGCTATGCGGCATGCCAGACGGTATATACGATTGGACCAATGGCGAGCGGATCGTCAAGAAGGGCGCATTGCTTACTCTCGAGGGCTCGGATCGCCTGGCAGGAAGTTCAGCCACGCTCATCGAGTGCGTGAACAATTTCAGACAATGGGCCGGTGCAAGGACCGTGGATGCCATTGCTGCAGTGACAGAGACGCCTGCAAAGATGTTGGGTATCTTGGGGACCAAGGGTACACTGGCGCATGGTGCTGATGCAGATTTGGTTGTGCTGGGAGAGAAAAGGGATGAGAACGGAGGCTTGGGAACTTTGACAGTTGACCAGGTGTGGAAGTTCGGCGTGAAGGTGTTTGACGCTGAGAAGGCCTAGGGAACTAACCACGGCACAGATTGATCATCATAAATGTTCCATTCTGCTATCTTACAGCGTAAAATACCCTAATGTCTCTTTGTTGACCAAAAGAAGAAAGTTCACCTTCTCTCCCTCTTTGTGATCTGCTTCTGTGGTTTATTGCTCGAGCTGCTTTGATCTTAGAACATGAGAGTACCTAGATGCACGCTTCGTCGAATAGTTACACGGCTAGGCATAGAGAGCACAAAGAGAAAAGACTATTGTAAATTATCAAATATAAATTTTGCATTTCTCTATTACCTATGAGATTTTTATCAATTCAAGCAAGCATTACTCTATTCAAGGCAGATGTTCCTTATAGTTACACCTGCTACATCTCCCCCTTGTGAATTTCACCAGTCCTACCTGAAGTCGCGCTACTGACAGCTTGGTGGGATACGTGAAGATGCAGGACAGCAATATCTATGTAACTCTTCTTGTAGATTGATTTTATTTTCTCTTTCCTTGATCTCTGATACCACATCGTTTTATCCAGAGCATCTGGACAACAAAGCATGTCGAGAAAGCATTTGGGCACCCAAAAAGCCAAAATATAATTGGCGGGATATATCGAAACTTTATACATCCAGGACACATCAACGCAACGCAATATCTATCCATGAATATCTTCATTAGAGAAAAATGAAAATAAGACACAATGCCTCCCAAGTAATCATAACACCTTTTCATTTCTTTCATTCTTTCTTTTTTTCTTTACAGCCTGGGAGCAGCCCCCTTCCATCCGGCCTCCTGAGCAATCAATTCTGCCGCACGCTCTCCAATGGCCAAAACCGTCAACATCGGGTTGATAGTAGGCATATCCGGGAACACGCCCGCATCTGCGATGCGCACGTTTTTCAAGCCCCTAAGCTTCAACTGCGGATCTACAACCGCCATCGGGTCGCGAGTGACGTCGCCCATCTTGGTCGTGCCGGCGGGATGATACACCGTGTGCGCCACACGACGACCGTACTCGCTCAATTCCTCATCGGTGGTGAGGTTCGGGCCCGGGGCAACCTCGCGCTTGATCCATTCTTTAAAAGGAGACTGCTGGGCGACCTTGCGCGCCATCTTGAGACCGTACACGATGGTCGCGGCGTCGTAGCCCTCAGGGTCGGTGAAGTAGCGGAAGTCCAGGGCGGGTTTGACGTTGGGGTCGGAGGAGGTGAGGTACAGACGTCCGCGGGAGCGTGGGCGCGGGATATTGGGGGTCATGCAGAAGGCGTTGGTTGGGGTGTCGTAGCCGAGACGGGCGGTGTTGAGGCAGAAGGGGATCTGGTAGCAGTGCATCATCACGTCGGCCGCGTCGCCGTCGAAGTCCCTGGCGTTGGGGGGTTCACGCCGGAGGAAGATGCCGGCATCAGAGTCCATGGTCGTCTGGTTGGGGGGAACGGGCTGGTTGAGTTCCCAGATGATGATGGATTCGGGGTGGTCGATCAAGTTCTCGCCGACTCCCGGGATGTCTTTGACGACGGGGATGTTGAGAGAGGAGAGCTGCTCTCGTGGGCCGAGGCCGGAGAGTAGGAGGAGTCTGGGAGTATCGACTGCACCAGCGCAGATGATGGTCTCCCGTTTGGGACGAAGGGTAAGCTTGGTGCCTGATTGCAGAATAACGTTCACTCCGGTCACAGTGTCTCCAGAGACGTTGACGCGGGAAACCCAGGCGTCTGTCAAAACAGTAAGGTTGGGTTTGTGCTCCTCTCCTCGCAGCATGGGGTGGATATAGGCCACGCTAGCACTGCTACGACGGCCATCATCCGGGTTATAAGAGACAGAGAAAAAGCCCACGCCCTCGGTCAGTTTTCCAGTTGAACGGATCTCCTTGTTGAAGTCTTCGATGACTGGGATATCAAAGGCGCTTGAGCAAGCGTTGACCCAATCCTTGCAGAGCTGGTTCCGGTGGCGGGCATGGACCGGCTGGACGGTGTTGCGCAAGTTGTCGAGGACGCGGGAGAAGGTCTCAAAGGACCACCCCGTGCAACCTTTGCTCTCCCAGCGCTTGCAGTCATATTCGAATGGGCGGAAGGAGATCAGAGTATTGTGGCTGGAGCAGCCGCCAAGTACCTTAGCGCGAGAGTGCCGGATGTGACTATTACCTACATCAAAAAAAGAATTCCATGTGAGTCCTAGTTTCACACACCACACAGTGATTACTGCATTTCTTTTTTTTAAGTTTTGCCTGTTGGGCGTTCGCAGGTTGTTGTTTCAACCAAAGGCGGGTTCTGGTTTGCTGCAAACCACGCAAACCAAGACTGCCGCGCAGGCGAGAGGGAGCAGGGACAGATTAGCAGTCATGACAGACGGCATCTTCAAACGTACCCATTGGCTGCTCAGTGGTGCCATAATCATAGTCAAGCTCTCCTCCCAGCAGATTCAGCCAGTCCTTGAGAAGGAGCACACGGTCATCCATGAAATCACTAGGGCCGCCTTCGACGAGTAGGATCTTCATACGGGGAAGATACTCAGCCAGCCTGCTGGCAATGACACAGCCGGCAGTTCCACCGCCAACAATGACGTAGTCATAGTTATCCACGTCTCCGACGGGAAGTTCGGTCGTCGTCTTTGCGGGCATGGTCTTGGAAGTGATTCGACGTGTTGAACGAATACAGGCAAGCTAGTAACAAGACCTTGTTGAAGGTCCCGATACGCACAGACCAGGAAAGGCCAAAAAAAAAAAAAAAAAAAAAAAGGAAAAGACAAGGAAAAGGAATCCTAAATGAAAAGAGACGACAAGAGAAGCAATCGGCGACTTTCTTCAAAACAAAGAGAGCGGCGACCGAGAGGAAGGGTCTCACGGGGCGGAGGTAGCCGGATATGCAACGGGCAAACAACGTCTTAACGCTTTTTATGGCGGAGCCTACTTTTACGAAATAAAGTGAGAGAGAGAGAGCGAGGGAGAGATAGAGCAGGAAGAGAAGAACCACAGAACACGCCGCGCAGCGGGAGAATCAGATTTAAATAATGGCAAACGGACGAGCATCTGGCGCGGCGACGACAAAGCCACAGAAAAGTCTCTCGCCCTGCTGCTACACTGGCCAATCACCGGTCACATCGGACCGCACTAAGTGGGCCCCTGCCAAGCTTAACCAGCCACCGACGTAGGCGCTAGGCCGCAAAGGGTTAAACTACCCCAGTTTTGCAGCATGGGCGCCACATGCGACCGTCGGATAATCTTGTTCCAGGCATTGTGATTGGCCGCTGCCGCCCGCCGCCCCACCGAGGCCTCTTCCGCCGGCAAGCCGCCGTTCTGACCGCAGGCAGGCGGGAGGCGTCCGGGCGGCAGCGGAGAGGAGGAGAGCACACTGCCAGCGACCTGCAGTGGGCTTCAGCAACGACTTCAGGAAGGGTGAGTTTGTGTCTATGTTCGGAGAATATGTTATGTTACCAATGTTGAAGGGATTACGGGAAGTCCGCGGAGTGTGCCAGCAAAAACACGCTGCCCGGAGCGGTGATAACCCGAACCTCGCTCGGCGCACTCTTGGCCCCACGCAGCGAAACCGCCCGGTCGGACGACAGGCGCCAAGCCCTCAAAGCGCGGACCCACATTCACGCCCTCTTGCCGATCCCGCCGATTGTGTCATATCACGTGAAAATGCGGCAGCTCAACCTTTTCGGTATCAACTTGGGAACGTTCGCTGCAGATCTTTAAAACGAGGCCTGTCCGGCAAATATTATCCGAACAACACACACCCATCATAAGTGGGGGAGAGGTGGAAAAAAAAAAGAAAAGGAGAACCGCAGGAGCTGGGATCCCTCAATTCATTTCCGGGAGTAAATATAACTACTATCCGAGCAAGATGGACACGCCGTCCTTTCCCACACAGCAACTCTACTACAACGGTGCAGTTCGAAATGCGACCTCCGGTAAAACCTTCGAGACCGTAAACCCTTCAGATGCATCCGTCCTCGCGTCTGTTGAGGTCGCATCCCATGCCGATGTCGATAACGCCGTTAAATCCGCCGAGAGCGCGTTTTCCGACTGGTCGAAAACCCCAGTCTCGACCCGCGCCAAAATCCTTCTGAGGGCCGCGGAGATTTTGAGAGAGCGAAATGATGAGATCGCCCGGATCGAAACGCTCGATACGGGCAAGGCGTTCTCGGAAACGAGTACGGTTGACGTCGTCACGGGTGCCGATGTGCTGGAGTACTACGCTGGGTTGATCAGCGGCGGTGGGTTGAACGGAGAGACCACGCAGTTGAGGGAGGACGCCTGGGTGTATACGAAGAAGGCGCCATTGGGTGTTTGCGCCGGAATCGGAGCTTGGAATTATCCCATTCAGATGTAAGAGGCTTCGAGAAATGTGTCTTCCTGATCTTTGAGAGGCTGGACCCTAACTTTCCACAGTGCTCTATGGAAATCAGCGCCTTGCTTGGCCGCTGGAAACACGATGGTCTATAAACCCAGTGAATTCACGCCTCTCCACGGACTTGTACTTTCGCAGATATACACTGAGGCCGGTCTCCCAGCAGGCGTGTTCAATGTCGTCCACGGTGCGGGTGATGTCGGCGCATACCTCACCGCACACCCCACTATCGCCAAGGTGTCGTTCACGGGCCAGGTTTCGACGGGGAAGAAGGTCGCCTGCTCAGCGGCCGGAAATATGAAGTATGTTACTATGGAACTGGGCGGGAAGAGCCCACTCATTATTCTCCCCGATGCAGACCTGGAGAGCGCTGTAGATGGTGCAATGCTTGCCAACTTCTTTAGCACCGGACAAGTCTGCACGAACGGAACCAGGGTGTTCGTGCCTTCGAAAATGAAGGCGGACTTCGAGGCCCTGCTCCTCGGCAAGATGGGATACATCCGCGCTGGACCCCTGATGGACCCAAACACCAACTTCGGCCCGCTGTCATCTTCCGTACATCGCGAAAAGGTCATGAATTATATTCGCCACGGCATTGATAACGACAAAGCAACTCTGCTCTACGGCGGCCCGCACCCGCCCGCAAACCTCGACTCGTCCTTTCGAGACGGATACTGGGTTTCCCCGACTGTGTTTACCAACTGCACTGACGACATGAAGATCGTCCAAGAGGAGATCTTCGGCCCCGTCATGTCCATCCTCACCTATGATACTATCGACGAAGCCGTGCGTCGAGCAAACAATACGCCGTTGGGCTTAGCAGCAGGCGTGTTTACCCGTGATATCAATCTTGCGCATAAGATAATTGACAGACTAGATGCCGGAATTACATGGATCAATTCTTGGGGGGAGTCTCCGGCGGAGATGCCCGTCGGAGGATGGAAGATGAGCGGTGTGGGTGTCGAGAATGGGCGAAGGGGAATCGAGGCGTGGGTGAGAAATAAGAGTACGTTGGTGGACATGAGCGGGACGGTGGCGACGGTGTTTACAAAGCTATAGATAGCCTGACTGTACCAGGCCGCTCTCTGCTGGTTCGTTCACTTTTGACGGAAATGTCCTGGATTTGCTCCCTTCAAGTCTCTTGGGATAACATGTACTCCACAGCTAGTTACATGTTTGGCTGGTTTCCATAAGCAATTTAACCAAAACCAGCCCAAAGAAAAGAAAAGAATCGAAGAATTGAAGTAGCTAACGAGACGCAAAAAAAATTAAACAAAAATATCTCCCCCCTTGCATGAAATGGAATCTCTTGAAACTTTTAATCTGGTATGATACAGGTATCTTTTGCTCTATCAGCAGGGGGAAAAAAGGAGGTTGGGAATCTTAAAAAATTGTTACAATACAAAGTGATCAGTAGCTAAAGGCATGAAAAAGACAACTAAGCGGACCAGAATTAAGCATGTGTAGAAGATCCTCACACTCCCCCTTATCCACACCTTGTTGGTTCAAGGAATCAGCCGTTGTTGGTACGGGGCAAAAGCCGAGCGCACAAAGAGCACCAGACTTGGCGCAGCGGTTAGTGCGAAAGGGGTGGAGCAGAGGAAAAAACAAAAGAAGGTTGTGTTAAGAAAACAAAAGATCGCAACCTCGAATTAGAATGGAATTGTCGTCAATCGTAAGAGATCGTATGCGTCCAACCGAAATGCGCAACTATCTTGCTTGATGTCGCGCTCCTCTCAAATCGATGCAGAATTGGAAATCCCGACTTAACTAAGCGCGTGCTGAAAATCCCCTGGACGTAACGGAAATTTCGGAAGTCGCGAGGACGCATCCTGATTTTTTTTCTCACCTTTTTCCTTTTGTCTTTTTCTCAATTTTCTGGGAAACGAATTTTGAATTTCGACGTCACATCATTATTTATTTTTGATCCATTGATTTGACACTGTATGTCGCTCTAGTCAACCGTTGGTGACAATTCGGGATCCCATGCGGTCAAAAATAATGTCGCCGTTCAGCATGGTCTCGTCCAATCCTGCAACGGCAGAATCCAGAATACGGGAGGACATGCTGTCGGGGGTGAGCTCGTCAGGATCATCCAGCGGGCGTTGGAATCCGGTGTCGACCTTGAGACCAAGCCCTGGCCGGGAAGGACTGCTGACATCGCCGTTGGATGTGACGGGCTTGTAGTAAGGCTTGGCGCGGTGGACAAGCGGCGGCCCCTGGGTGCGAGCGTCGGTGCCGGTCTGCTCAATGCTTTCGAAATACTGGCAAAACTTGGGTCAGTAGAGGAAGAGAGCATCATGAGAAGATATGGTCAGGCGCTTTTTTTTACCTTAACGGTTTTAACCCTGAGCTCCAGAGTTGCGTCTTCGTCGACGACGATCAAAGGATGCTGGTGAAGCTGCAACGCAGACAGGGTCCACATGTGGTTGACGGCTCCTTCGAGTCCCTTCTGCAATGCCTTTGCCTTGTGCGCTCCGGTCACGACAATGACGACCTCGTGCGCATCCATGATGGTCTTGATACCCACAGTCAACGCTTTGCGTGGGACCTTGGACACGTCGTTGTCGAAGAAGCGTGAATTAGATAGTATGGTATCGTATGCGAGGGTCTTGACGCGGGTGCGCGAGTTCAAGCTCGAACCGGGCTCGTTGAAAGCGATGTGGCCGTCTGGACCGACTCCGCCGAGAAACAGATCAATACCACCCACACGTGCGATCTTTTCTTCGTATTCAGCGCATTCCTTAGCCAGGTCCTGAGCATTTCCGTTAAGGATGTTGATATTGCCCGGCTGGATATCAACATGGGAGAAGAGGTGCTTGTACATGAAAGTGTGGTAGCTCTGCGGGTGGTCCCGAGGGATGCCAACATACTCATCCTGCGCGACACAGAACTCAGTTTCTAGTAGCCTGGAGCTGATGCTTATGGGAAGGGTCTATCTACCATGTTGAAGGTCACAACGTTCTTGAAGGAGATATCGCCGGCCTTGTAGCGCTCAACCAAGATCCCATAGATGATCTCTGGGCTGCTGCCGGTTGGAAGGCCCAACACGAATGGTTTCTCAGCAGTTGGGGCGAATGCTTTGATTCGACCTACAAAGAAATAACAGTCAAGAGGCTGAACTTCCCAGATGTGAGGGGATACTGGAGCTGTGGCCACACATACTAACAATATAGTCGGCGATATACTCAGACACAGCCTGAGGGTCTTTCCTGATGATGACTCGCCTTCACGCGTGCAGAGTCTAATATTAGCTGCAGAACAGCAAGTGTAGTTAATGGAACGACATAGCCCAGGAGGATACTTACATTTTGATAGGTAGTTGAACGCGTCAATATTCACGTCTCTTGCCGCTGAGCCTCGGCGAGCTAACAGGTGTTCCGGAATCCTTTTAGAAGATAGAATAAAGAGCTTCTCAGATGGGACCGAAATGATGATCAAGTTTGAAGATGAAAGGATGCTGGAGTTGTGAAGGAAAGTGAGGGCAGGTAAGTGAAAGCAGATGACTCTGTGATGATGTGTTGCTGTGCAAGAGAGCAATTTCACTTCCAAGGAATCAGCTAGAAAGTCTATAATTCTTACTTTGATTATGTATATATGTATGTATGTACATTTTCTGGACAATATTTGACCATTCTGCAGCTTTTGTTTTGGCGCTCATCCTCTTTTATCCTTGGACATGGAAAGCCTATCCTGAGCTTCAGTAACGTCATGTCTCAAGGATGCCGTATTTAGTGCACGCCGAAATCCAGTCTCTAAAGCCATCCCTACTCAGATGGACGTCCTCTCTCCATCTCCGTTACCATCGAATCCGTGGTGCGGAGGACCAGTAAGTGTGCATTTCACGAATTACTCCGACGTAACTCCAACGTAAAGTATGGAATCCCCGGGCCGAGTGGCACCGTTTCCCAAGGGCAAAAACGGTCAATCTACTCGCGAAGTAACGATGGCAATATTGTGACAAACCAGGTCTCCTCGCTCGCGCCAATGGGGAAATTTTGCAAGATTTGTGAGGCAGAGATTAGGTCCATCGAGCGCTTTTTACGCACCCACATGCACCCTCCCTTTCCTCGCCCCCTGTTTGCCTAATCGGATGGGGTTGCGTTGAAATGATCATTTTTCTGCATCAGAGAACTAGGATCGAAAGCTTCCAACGGTGACGGATACCGGATCTACGGTCTCCACATTAGTATGGACTGATGGGTTTCCTCTGTCCTTAATGCCTAGTTCATTTATCATCGTCATTTTGATGTTAGAGGATGAGCTCCTCTTCTATTGGGCGCTGGAACGGTACACAAGGCTTACCATCTCGGTAACATCCGTGCAATAATTACATACCATTACGCTCCCAAAGCGTATCGTATGGAGTACATGTATGTAATATGACCGTAATTTGCTGTGTAACTACTACGTATCGAGAATTCCATGCTTCAGGTGCAACCACCACGTCACCCTTCCAAGTCTCAAGCTCGAAAGTCGACATCTATTAGCTTGCTGATATGTAACGTCGCATTGCCTTTGGCCTCCGAAATATGATCTCTTTACGCGTCGCTCCCAAAGGATCAGCAAGATCGCAACTTTCCTCCTTTAGTGATTAGAGCAAGTTGCAGCACTCAAGCTTGAACGAAATAGGGCGCCCGTCAATCGCCCTTCACTTTTGAAGAGTGACCCCAGAGTTTCAAGTATGCAGGATGGCGGACTGATGTATGGAGTGTACGTTATATAACTACTACGGCGTACCTATAACTTAATTCACCAGCGTTGTTGATGTATGTAATATTATGTATGTGACGTATTTACCACGCCTCCCGTTTTCGAGGGCGTCTATCCTCTTGTTTATATACTTTCCTATGCGATAATTTGTCGCCGTAACTCCTTGAAGATGCCCCGGAAAAAGGGACCGTTGACAGCGGTTCCCGGCCAATTACTTCCGAGAACGACATGGAGCTGGGCTGGAGACACGATGATTGGTTGACCAGCCGCGCTGGGACCGATGACGGCAATCCGCGAACTGAAGGTGATGCCCGTGAGGTACGGCCTGAAGTTGCTTAGCCCGTTCTTATTGTGGACGTCATCATTTCTCAGCCAATGTTGAGAAAGAGCCGTCGTTCGGCCCTTATATTTCAACGGATCCAGCCGCTTCACGCAGGAATCCTGAGAGAGCTCGATTAGTAATGTGGGTAAATACAACTCCCTGAAAGTCTGTACATTCTATGTTGAATATTTAGTTTTGCTCCACACAAGCCGTTGAGCGGAGGCTTGTGATAACATCCTTTGACCTTCGCTGCGCCCCGAAAGGAAACGGGACAAGAGAGAATTTATCCTCGGAATTGCCTCTCGGGAGGCTAACCACTCTCAGGGAAGACCCATTTAAGTTTGTGTTGAGAGAGTTCATTCGGATCCCTGAGGTCGCTGTTAGGCCGCTAAATTTTTGCAGAGGAATCCAAAGGACGAACATAAACGGACGGAGAAGAGAATGCGTAAAGAGAAAGCGGCTGCATTGCCCACCAGTCATGCCCCACAGCGGCGGGCGTAGAGGTCATCGTCATGAAGAGCCGAGCCTGGAATCCCTGCGCTGACAGCGAGACTGACTACACTGAAGCAGGCCTTACATTTCAAGTGGAACTGAACATACTCCGAGGAAACAGTCAATATAAACAGGAGGTCACCTGAGGGTGAGGAGCTTGCCGGCCCTCAAATCGCTGGTGATGTGAGACTGGATTAGAGGATGCAGGCCATAGAGGGTGAAGATGCACTACGGCAAGTTTGCACTCTCCTGTGCGCCTGGCCAGTTTTAAATCTCCAGATGGGAAACGAGTTCGAATATGTAAGGGGAAGCTGCGCCTTCAAAGGATCGGCTCAGTACCTGAGAGAATCCCCTCAACCAATGTCGAGAGCAAGACTCTCAACTGGCTCTTTTGTATCATGGCTAGCTTTAGTCATTCGGGCTGGGAGGCAAGTTTTCATCATCATCATCATCCCAGCCCCCGGAGATATTGCATCCGTCGGGAGTGTATCTTGCCCGGTATAAACAAGAAAAACGAGCCGTGCAAGTTGACACCACGTAGCCCGATGACATTATCGAGTTGCGATTCGATTCCAGCGGTTGAAGAAACACATTGTTTCGAGAGTAACCGAAGTTCGAAGGGATAGAGACTGCAGTGTTGAGTAACTGGCATGGAGGGCCGTAAGAGAAAGTAAAAAGAGATTGGACGTTGAAAGAAGAGCTCTCTTGGAGTGGCAATCAAACTCTTGGTACTGCTCCTCCTTTGACGTGTGTCGCTTTCATAGCCGGCAGGACTACTGTCGTTCGTTGGTCTATCTCGGCCCGGGGAGCCCCATATTAACGACCTATCTGTTCTCTGGAAAGAATCGTTTGCCCAAACAGGCAGGTCAAGAGGCCAGAATAATCACGCAATTCAGATCTGAGATTGCGAGAAGCCAAGCGCCCTTAAGGATGCAGGGATCAAGGCCAAAATCGCGGATTCCTCAGCACCCACGATCATATTCCTGCCAGCCCAGAAACCCAGAGACCTTCCAAACCTCATAGGATGTGCGAGCCCGGCAATAGCCAGAATGCGTAGAGATCGCAGCCTTCTTCTAACTCAGCAAGATGGTCGTCGACAGACCAGCACAAAGACTTGGTTGCTTGCCTCGTGGCAGACGCGGAAATTAACCACGACCAAAGCGTAGCACGGGCCGCTTGCGGCCAGATCCTGGGAGGGAACGTCTGCGATTGCCGTTGAGTTTTACCGGGAGGGGAGGCGGCAGGGCCTCTTTTTTTCTTTTTTTTTTTTTTTTTTTTCCTCCTTTTTTTTTCTTGGAGAGACCGGTGGAGGCGTGGCCGGGTGACAGCACACTTCTTCCCGCGAGACTCGCTGTCGTCCTCCCAGGCGACAACCAGCCCTGCCGCCGTTCGACGCTCATCGTCATCGCGAGTCGTCAAAGCAGCGGCTGGCTGGCGAACTTATGTCAGCAACCCGCCCAATCAGCACACCGCAAGCCGGCGGCCACCACTTTTCTCCACGCTCGTCCATAACCGCAAAACCGTCGAACGTCCGAGAAAAGGGCTCGCGAAGCTGCATGGAGTGCAGCTTAACCGCCTCCTCTCTGGACAGTTAGCTGGCTCCCAGAGCTCGGCAGCTCCAGCCCAGATCCAAAGAGATTGGCCTGAAAGCTGGTACCGTCAGACTGGCTGTGTTTCGTTGTTTTTGCCCCCCACGCCAGTCAACATTACCTACTCCGTACACCTGAAGCTGCACACTGTGACTGTTATAGACCCGTAGCCAGTGCGCCATTTTGCCGCATCATTCTCTTTCTCCCCCTCCATTACATCTCGATAGCTACTGCAAGGCCCGGGTTTCCCCTGGCCTCTTCTGGACCCGTCTGTTTCCCCCAGTTTACAGTACAGCTCCTTGCTCCACTGCTGTTGATCTTAAAAGAGATCGCGTGGCCCTTGAGCCCCAGCGCTCCCGCCCCCCGATCCTCCACGTGAGACAAAGTAAAATTCTTTTTTTTGCTTACCGGGGAGAACCAATTCGGCTGGAAAGAGAAGGGCACCACGGGTTCCCCCGTCGCCGCCATGGCAGCGGCTAGGGAGGAAGAGTCGCTCCCAGAATGGGACTGCAACGAGCTCGACAGGTATGTGTGCCGGTTTGTCCCCTCAGAAATCGAATGGTCTGAAACTTAGCCTTTTGGCGCAATTTCACCTTCTATTTGCTATCCTTGACTGGGGCCATGCTTATTTGCCGTCGCAAGTCTAATCCCTTGCTTCGAGGCCCTGTTTCTTTGTCGGGATGACGTGCACAATGGATCCAATTCCCAATGTCACCTCTCTCTCTCTCTCTTTTTTTTTATCTCTATATTTCCCTCTCTTCATATTACTTCCCAGGAATACATTTTATGTTTTCTTTTTTGTCTTTCTTTTTTCTTTTTGTCTTTCTTTTCTATTCTTTTCTTTTCTTTTCTTTTCATTTTTTTCATGTTGATCTTCATGGCAGATAACCGGAAGAAGAATAAACTGGCTGACTGACATACCCGTACGCCATGGGAGACATTGGCTACAGGCAGATGGGCCAGCTCTTTGTCATGGGCTTTGATGGAACTAGCGTCGATCCCCAGATCCGGTCACTTATCGAGGACTATCGGCTTGGTTCGATCATTCTGACTGCCAAGAATCTTAAATGTGCAGCCCGCCCCTCCTCTCTCTTGCTTGCTGTAAATCAATTTCCCTATGCACTGTAGATATCCATGCCTATTGTCCTTCTCTGTCTGGTCTTTCATCTACCTCTCTATCCAGGCGACGCTCCTTCTCGGATTTTCCCCTTTTTGCTATCTAGCCCACCACACAAAAGCTATCAACAAACAACTAATGTCTTGATAGCGGCAGAAGAAACCACAAAGCTCGTGTTAGAGCTTCAGACTATTGCCCGGGATGCTGGTCACCCTGCTCCACTCATGATTGGCCTCGATCAGGAGAATGGAGGCGTCAACAGTCTTTTCGATGAGATCTATATCCGCCAATTTCCGAGCGCTATGGGAATCGCGGCTACTGGATCGAAGTCTCTGGCAAGGGAAGTTGCGAAAGCCACTGCTCAAGAGCTCAGTGCTGTCGGAGTC